CCGTTGAGGAACCCCGTAGATTCTGTTAGCTGCCCCATGGGCAAAGCATGTGGGACATAAACAGGGACGATTTTAAGCCGTTCAAATGAAGTGTGGCCATAGGTAATAAACAGGAGGCACGAATGATGGGCGTGCCTGAAAACTTTCAAAAAATGGCTTCCTACGCATTGGTAGTGTTTACATTTTCGCTCTCGACCGGACGTAGCGCTAATTCTGTTTCTACCAAGCATGAATAAAGGCCACATATTTGAACAATTTTAGATTTTCTCTTGTTAGTTTGCTTGCTTGAGTGGAAGCCTTGCCAGTGGACATTTAAACCCTTTCTGGACGGGCAAGTCCAACCGCCCGCGGTACATCCCGTGAGACCAGCTTGAGACTTTGATGGTCAAGCAGACAGAATAGCTATCTATTTTAAAATATTTCGATACCATGGACGCATTATTTAGCTGTTTACAGGATGAATAGGTGGGCGATTAGTCCTTGGTTAGAGAGACATTTTTATGGGCAATGTCTAAATTGTAACAGCGCTACTTTTGCGAAGGTAAGATGGATAACTTCGAGGATTTTGAAGCCAAATGGGTTTTTTAAGAACAATATTTTTGAGTGTGCAATATTGAGATGCTCCTAAGCGCAATGGTATGCTGTATGGACCTTTTTAAAGTAATAAAACTAGCTTGGTTACTGGCGGGCTAAAGAAAGCAAGCAGCACTCAAGTTCCTATAAATTTTCCTGTTTAAAAATACTGTACTGTATGCAATAATTTTACAGCCTTATCCAAGCAATCCGTGAGAATTGTGCTAACGTTTAACCTTAGAACTCAATATGAGGGAGAAAATGAGGCAATTTCTTGATCGACACATTTAGACAAGGGAATGAAGAAATTCAAATAGCAATGGATTTAGTTTCTTTGGACTTCGTTGCTAGTTTATGTTGATGCATTTGAATTAAGTTCTTCAGCCGCCCATTGCTTACCTAAAAACTAGAAAAGAATAAGAAAAAAGCCTAGTATTGAAAAGCAAAACTAAAATGTCCTCAATATTTATGAGGAGTTATTAGTGAAGTTAGTAGATTCTATTGTGAAATGAGTTTGTAACTGATGTCCCATTCTTAAAAAATACGATTTTCAAATATAAAGTAGGTGATTGTCATTTGCATTTGTGCCCTTACATTCAGTTCCTTAAAGAGCGTTACTTATAGCATTACCTGAAAATAAAGTATTTCCATTTCAAAGGTCAGTGCTTGGTGGCTCAAAACCTTCCACAGTGTGCAGTGTATTTCCGTACCATTTGAGTTAGCTATGAATTGCGCATTCAGGAAACAAGTTTGCTGATATCTTTAATCAACAAGCAAATTGAGACGTCCGATAGACTGTTAATTTGGGAATGAATTTATACATTCCATCTTGACATGGAAATTTGTAAGGAGCGTTTACTTTCAAGAAGTCATGCACTGTTTTAAAGCGGGAGTCCGCACAGCTCGCCCTACTTGAATTCCTCTTTCTCAAAGGGTATATGGATTTGGCTTGATGCCATCATTAGCAAAAACATTATGATCAACTTCAATTTCCACCAGGAACTTTGTGAAAACTCATACTTGGCTTGTTTTTTTAATTCTACAAAAAACAGACGTGTTGAGATATGATCAATTTACTAACTTTGCTAACGGTGTTGCTTTTAGAGTGAATTAATTTGAATTTTGCGAGTGGGCGCAAGGAGATTAAAATAACACCACATTTGAAGATCTTTGAACCCTTGGGAAAATAGCTTTATTTACTCAAGATTCTACGCAAAACGACCGAAAAAATAAGTAATTGGGATTATAGTATTGCCATCATTTTCTATGGAATCCATGATTAATGGCATATATGTGTTTTGAAACTTCGCCCCAGGAGCTAATGCTTCCTAAGCAGTTACATCTACTGCCGTCTGAAGTTTGTGGTATTTGATGCATCGTCCCTATCAGTGAATGACAAAGGGCATCCAAAACAACCGTTCCATTTTTGGGTATCAGGGTCAAACCGAGTTACCGCTCAGTATATTATTGTGGCACTTGAAGACATTACTCAAACCTACTGGGATGCACCATTATCTCTTAAATGCACCTGGCTCTATATCCTAAAACGAGTCAGTTATGTTAGCAGTGCTAACTGAAATTAAATGTAAAAGAAGTCTATTTTTCCTCCAAATTTTACAATTTGAAAATCCAAGCCTAAATTCACATTGCTATTGGTAAACACACATGCATGATTTAACATAAATTAACTTAATAAGAAAAAGCTCGTGCCCCTGTAATTGCAATTTTTAAGACCTACAACTAATATTTTGGTTCACAAATTTACAGGGTTTTCATCTTCCGTCATTTCGTATGCAAAACCATCTTGTCGGCTACAAAACCCCTAAAAAAATTAAGAATAGTTAACTACTTATGCAAACTACAATGCAATTATATTTCCTTTTAAGTAATCCGTTTTAGATGGACTGCAATTCTGCCCCATCATGTCAGCATGAAGTCCCACTATTTAGACAGAAGCTTCGGTTATCCCGTTCATCGGGAGACTTTAAAGTTAAAATAAACTGCGAATGATTTCAACTTACCGAAACTATGTCAAATCATCTCTTTCAACATTGTTCGAATCGCCTTTAGTCTCCAAGGTGTATGGCTCTATCCTCTCTGATCCTCGGTGACGTGTGTACTAAGGACAAATGTGTGAAATGTTTAGGTGTTGCGCAAATGCACCTTCAACGTTTCGTCAAAGTCGTTTCCGGAATTGAAACATTTCAAGTTCTTACAGTTTGTGAGTTATAAATCAGTCCTTACAGTTAAACACCAGTGCATAGCGATCACGAAATCTCATGGAGTAAGTGAGCAAATGTGCAAACTAATGTTTGCACATCATTTCGGATAAGCCATTCTTATTGATGAAACATTATATTCTGGCAGTAACTCTTACCTATACCCCCTTAATAATTCACTATTCCTTGTCTCTAATAAAGGAGTGTGTTTCCAAAGTAGGTAAATGGCGGCCTCTTATCCCGATTCAAAAAGAGGATGAAGTGCTAATATCAATTATCCATAAAAATTTGCCCTAGATTGGTCGGCAGAATCAGTCCCTTAACATGCATCGCCTTAGTCATGCACTCAAGGCCACCCAAATCATACTGCGGTATTATTGGGGAATGCTTAGGCGAATGGCTTCGGAGCTAAAACTTCTGTTCAATGTCTAATCTCACTAAGGGCTCAAATTCATTACTTTTGAATGTTTGAGATTTAGGTGATGCACCATCAATTCCACTATGTGAGGAGTTGTAACAATGGGAAAAGAAATTCAACATCGTTTAAATGCGCCACATGTAGGCCCTCGACTAAAGTTTATACAGGCAGGGTTTCGTGCAAAAAACTCAAACAATTAACAATGTTGTTATTGGTAGCGATAGTCCCTTGTTTTTTCGATTAGTACAGTGGAACTAGCAACACATCAAGTGTCCGCTGAGCTATTGGTCATTTTTACAAGTCATGTATACAACATACAAAAGCTCAATGGATGTATTTTGTCTAGTGTTCTACGCTGCTTTCCATTTACTTTAAATCCATGCTTCATTAAATATCCACTGAACCGAATTCATCTCGGTTCCAAAGCTGCAGGAGCTAGCTTTTGGTTAAATATATTGCGCCAAAAACTTCGAGAACGGGCAGTGCGCAGTCGCAGAACGCACTGTCCAGAAACGGCTTAAAGAAGTCGAGTGGCTCTGGCGAGGAATAACTCAACAACTGATGCATCCCGTTTTGGAGGGAAGACACTATTCGTAATAACAATGAGGAAATACGTGTTGCTATCAGTCAGACGACTTTGAGGCTAATGCGTCAAGAACCTACCTGAAAGTAATGGTTAACCCAACGTAAATGATGAAACGATTGCATTGCACCTACGTCAAATGGGAAGGGGAAGTCCTGGTGGAAGCTGAGCAAGTGGGTTGCACCCGCATGGATTAACAGACAACAGTATGCTTCAAGGTTCGTCTATTTATTCTTCACTTCCTTCGCGAGTGTCAGAAAAGCAGGGCATTCTTCGGTTGCCTGATTGACTGATTAGTGATGAAAAGTGGCTTTTGAAGTGCAGAGTTTTTTACCCGAACGAAGATATCACTGGTTACCTGCAAACGGCCAACCCCCATTCCACACTTCTTAGGTAGGCGCCACCTCGCCCATATTCCTCTGATTAGGATGTTTTGTGTGTGGTGGACTGGAGACATGAGTGTTCACTGGAACCCTCTTTCTGTAAACTAAACAATGGTTGCAGCTCAGAATCTGTCAACTCGGCACGAAAGTGGGAAGGATAAACTTTTTCTTCTCCATGAACAGTCAGTACTAGCCATTCAGTTAGAAGGAAAGTGCTACTTTTATTCATATAAGGAAACCGCCGGAAAATTTACCCTTGAGAGGAGTTGCATTTTAGGTTAAGCGCTGAGTTATGCTGCCTCACCTTCATCAGCATCCTCCTCGGTATTCTTTCATTTTTTAGGTCATAATTATCACCTTTTCCCGATAGTAGACAATCAAATACCAAATGGACAGTTGGGGAACTGAAGTGCAGTAAAAGGCGCTGCTGGGGCTAGCCTTTTAGCTTCTGGAGCAAACCGTCTGATAAATGTGGAACTTGCAGGCATGTGTCTCGATGAGGAAAAACAATAAATTATGGAACTATAATGGCTATTTGTTCCAGTGGATGAAATTTTTTAGAAAGCTTTCTGTAGTTATTTAAGTTCTACCAAAAACTATTAACTTAGCTACTCTACATCAATACCCTCCCAATGGTTAAGGGTAGTTTGACAATCAACTCATCGCTGATCCAGTGATTGGTCGGGGTAAACCGGTCTGTTTTTATCTTCAATTGCCTTGCACGAAATTCTACAGTCAGCCGCTCGCCACTATTCTGAGGAGTGTAAATTCTTTTCCGTTGTTGCGCCTGTGCTAACATAGCCCCCGCCCCTCTGGCCTCGGATATGTACGCGAAAAGCAGACGCGAGTCATCGCTGTTGCGGTGACGCATTCGATCTGAAACCTGGGCTATTGCTTAATTCAATCGGTGTCACAAATGTTCCAGACAAGGGCACAATGTTGTAGACAAAATTTAGCCATCCTTACAAGCTCCCACAATTTAATGCGCATTTTGGTGCCTCAAGTCACAAGTTTTAGGTACAATTCGTTGCCTTGTATTGATCTTGATGTTCTGTTGGCTTGCAACAAAGCCATCAATATCGGCATCTGTTAGTCTAACCTAATTTATTTTTGATTTTGAACTCCTTGAGTGCTGGCCTCGCTTACTGGCAATGCACTTGCTTTAAATTCAACACCGCGGTTTTTGTGATCCTCATCCTCGTTCCCCATAGCATGTGTGCACTGAACCACTGACTTTTTAGTACTTCACCTATAGCTTAATGATTTTTTGCTGCCATATTGCGTTGCATCTTTTGCTTATTTGATTAATTTTATTCACTAGGGAGACTATAGTTATCGATCACTTGTCTGCGAAACCAGTGTCCTGTTTACATCCAGCATTTAAATCGCACGGATTTGTTGTTTTTGCTCCTAACATTATTTTGAGTCAATTTTTGCAGTGACATGGGGGATCTTATTCTTGTTCGAAAGTTAATTTGCGGATTTGTTATCTAGTGTGAATGCATTATATTTAATGAAGATTTGGTTCTCTATTGCTTGAGCCAACTGGTTTAAGGCTCAGATTTATAATCTTTCATTTATTATGGCAAATTTACGGGTCCATTGTAATAGAATGTTTGTGACAGGTTCGTCGTTTTTGTTCTATGCATTTTCAATCCTGTTTTGTAAACGACTCATCTTACTTATTGTTTACCTTGTGCTAAACGTCGCTTCCCCCAATTTTCTATCAACGGTCAGTGGAGGATCCTTGTTTTTTTATAAAGCGCTTTACTTACAGATATAAGTAGGCATTAACTTTTCTTTCTCCAGATCCATATCATTGGAGAGGCAGGAGAGGATAATGCGCTTCATTGATAATGCAAAGATCATCCGGGGCACCTACGACACCAAGGCAATGCTGATGGGCGGTGACAATGCCATCCGACTAAAGGCCGAGGTGGACATTGACGGTCGCGAGTTGACTCGTAGGTACCTGGAAACCATGCCGCTAGGCACGCTTTTGGCGGTGAGTGCGATTGGTAGTTTTATTATTTTTATGGCGATAATCTTGGTCTTATCTGGCCCGGATGTTTTAGTGATTTGTGACAAAAGTTAAACACCTGGCCAGTAAGAACCACCGATGATCGAGGCCTATCTTTCTTTCGTGAAATGGTTGCCCGTATATGCTTAAACGTTTAGCATTTTTATTTGGTGATCGGGTGTAAGTGTGATTTCTCTGCGAAAATAGGCGAGGACAGCGTTTTTGTCACCTTACTGTGACTTTCTCTGCTGAGTAGAAGGAATTGAGGCAGCTTTTTATCTGGTTTGATTTGTCTATCAGGAAATCCAAGCCATCAATACGGAGGAGCAGCTGATACATTTCATGCTGGACCATGGGGACCAACTGGTAAATACCCTTGGTGCTGAGATAAACCAAATTGAAGATAGTCTAAAGGTACGGTCTCTACTTATTTACTCCTCGGGTGTCATTTTATTGCCTGTTTTGCAACTCCCTTGAACTTCTCTAATCAATTTCCCTATTTCATTATAAAAAGTGGTTAAATGTTCTCTGTATTATTTTTTAATTGTTTTGTGTCGGTTATTTGAGGGTTAGCTTGCAATGCCATCACGCGTTTCTCACTTCAGTTTTTTATCTCAACCAATCGATGTTATTCTAGTCAGTATAAACTTTCAGTTGACTGCTTGTCTAGTTTTATTCTACTGAATGCATGTTCAAACAATGGGACATTTGTGGTATTCACTTCTCATTTTTAACTCATGAGTACCACATCAAATTGCTTAGGGTTTCCAAGTGAAGTCGCCGCGCCTATCAAGTTGAGGTCGCGTTTCTTCTAGTATGTACTCATGCGTTCGAAACACAGAGCGTCACATGCGTTTTCTCGGTTCGCTCGCACATGTCAGGATTTTTTTGCTTTGTCTGCTGCGCGCTCCTCAATAAACGGACGACCTATGCCACTAAAAGTAGATACATATAGTAATCACGATTCTCCTTCAACCTCTATGAACACGCGTTTTCGATTTTGTGGTAACAGTTGGGATGGTGTTATCCTGAAGAGTGGAGTCCACTTAAGTTTCTCAAACTGCTTTATGTTAAATATAAGTTTTTGGAAGCTGAAAGACTGAATTTATTTAGGTACTTTTTTCGCTCTCTTTTGCATCTTTGCCTTCTAAGGACGTGTTAAACAAAGTGGTACTTCTTTTTATTAGAAGTATCAAACTAATTTAAAGTTCCTTATCATTTCTGGCCTTCATAAGTCAAAGTGGCTTTGTAGTGAGTGCAATTAATTATACTTGCGTGAATCATGACCCATATAGTTAAAGTTTTTGCTCAAAATGTGGGATATCGCCTTTTATTGCTTTCGCTTCTCTCTGTTGATACGACCCAACTAATACCCATGTTTTGTACTATGCCTTTCAAAACTTTATGTTAAATGTACACAATCGCTGCTCCGCTGTTTCAATTATCCATTGTGGATTGTTTCTTAATGACTTTGTCAAGCATTTAACAAAATTTCATTTGTGTTAATCTGCTATTTTCCTGCAAATGTCTATACTATGCGCATTGGTATGGTTGGCAAGCCGACCAACGTCAACCTAGGGCTGGGGTTGAATAGGAATGGTTTTAACCGTGTGTCTCGATTTTTGCCACTGGTTCGACTCGTTAAAATAAATCTATTTTATGGTGTGTACCGTGGCAACTTTACCACTTTCACATAATCATTGGAGACGGCATGCTTTAAGCATCCTGCGATGTCTTTGCATTCATCACTTGCATCGTCTACCAGTCAATGCTTTGGTATGGAGAACGTATAGTATGCCCTGCGATATTCGAGGCTACTTTTTTATAAATTACAATCATGAAATTGTTTCTGAACGCTAAGTATCGTACTTGCTGTTTCGTCATGCGCTGATTCTTCCTTTTCTCTTCCCTTACAGAGAGAATTCCCCGATATAAAGCACATAGATATTGAAATCAACTGAGGCCATAGAGGCCGATCTGATACGATCGTCAACGTGCGCATGCCGCAAGCGAACTCAGGATCCATTACTTAACCCAACCTCCTGTACACACTCCGTCATACATGCCTCGCTTGCTTATTTTTTTCCTGCTTTTCTGTGCACAGACACAGTTATATCACTGTTTTGCTCAGCCTCCATGAGAGATCGATTGCGTGCTGGAAGTTGCGTTTGTTCAATGAAAGCTTAGTGTATTTTTATATCTGTAATATTCTAGTGCGAATAGGTATTCTTCTTTCTATTGAAACTTTTGATTCATCCCTGTTTCTACCTGGGAGGAGTCCAGTGAGCGTTTTTTAACATCTGATTAAATGGTTGTATGCTTCATAAATGTTTGAATCGTGTCAGTCTCATCGCAACTCCCGGACTGACTGAGGCCTCGTTCTTTGGCTGTGAGTATTTTATGTTTGCAATCAAGGTGCTCCTGCTTAGTTTATAAGCTGCGAATTTTCACTAGGTCGATCCGTATTTTGAGGGTGTTCGTGGAATTGCTTTTTAGAGCTAGATCGAATGTATATTGGCCCCCACCTCAGTCTGGATGTGTGTTTCGCACTTCAGCAAATACCTCTTTTTTGCGTGTCGCCTCTTGGACTGGATCATCGCTTAAAACCACTGATTTGGTATTGTTGCACCTGTAGGGCTATCGCGAACGTAAAGTAATAAGTCGTGCCAGCTCGGAAGTAAGTCCATCGTAAGCTCACGAAAGGTCACGGAGACGCAGACAAGTCATCACGACACCGGCGTGGCAGGCGAATTGAAAATATTGAAAAACCCGCGTAGTTGGGCATACAGTTACACACTGGATATCGCTGTGCCATGATGAGACTATCGGTAACTATGTGCCACCCCGCAAAATACGATGCTTTCCCACTCTGGTTTTGTTGATGCTTGATTCCTTTCATTGAAACCATTTCACCTCAACTGAATGCAAGTGCAATGGTATTCCCCGTCTGATTTTGTTAGTGTCATCGTGAACGCGTCTTTATTTTTCCCAATTCGGATACATGGAGACAGTTTTAGCAATCATATTTGTTACAGCATATCTATATTATCTCCTTTCTACCTTTGACTTGACAATATGCAAACATCCGTCAATTCTTATTAAAAAGGGAAAAGACGTATTTCCCAAATAAGATTGACAGTCATTCACTACGACGCAAGTTTGCGCACAGCCTCTAAGTCATTTCAAATAATCAGTGGTAATGGAATAGAATGAATCTTTTATCGACTTCTATAAAGTACTTTCAGGGTCATTAAAACTTTGGGTTTGGAAGATGATGCAAGCCTTTTCAAGCAAACAGGAAATTTGTATTTTCGTTTTAAATCAGACGTGCGTGAACCGGATTTCGTTCCGCCATCAACTTCAAAGTTGGCATTTATCTCAGGCTTGGGGGACAGTAGCTTGTCCTTTTAGGACATTTAACTGGGTAAATAGGTATCTTAGTCATTTGTGCGTCCCTTGTTTGACGAAAATCTGATATCCTAGTGTTATACTCAACTCAGCTGTCGAAGTTGACAGAAGCTTGATGTGGTGCTACAAATGGGGGTATTTATAATTCGAAACTTTATTAGTCAACCGCCACATTGGAGGCATCTTCACCCGTTACTGGTGAAGTGCAATCGTATGTGACAATTTTTGAACTGAGTACTCACATTCATCATATTTTTAGGTCCCCATTATCGTTTCGCTTATACTATTTATTTTTAAAGTTATGTGGAACAGAGGTACGTCTATTGCATGCTTTATCATTTATCTTATGCTCATTTGACTCATTTTTCCACAATGATTTTGTCAAATATGCGATTAATTGTTGCTCTTAACTTTGTTAGCATTAGAATTCTGTAGTCTGTTTAATTAGTACAGATTTGCACCATATTCCCTTTCTGTTTATCCATTGTTCACTTATCTACTTTACTAAAGATTTCAAGTCGACAAATGCTCTTTAATGCGGTCTCCTAAGATTCACCGGACATGGCTTATTATTACACTGACCATTGGTCTTTCAAGTGTATTGAAGTCCCTTGAGCACTGCTATCTACTTTAATCATATTCACTTTACGATACGTTCGCTACTCTTGTTCCACCTCGGAAACCCTGAAGACATATTTTGCTGACTCTACATTACCTTTAAATGATGAAATCGGTGGTGAAAAACAATGCTATGAGTAGTTATTTGCTTCACGGGTATTGGAATAAGGAATTTTTGCATCCACCTGAATGGCCTCAGCACAAAACTAGAGTTGAGCGACTTGCTTATGCTCTCATAACGTGCTCAAATTTGGAAAGAGGTGCAAATTTACGGAAAAACTGAAATTTGCCTATGTGCGTACTTTTTCTTGGCCAATAAACGCGTCCCCACCTGCCCCACCTCCTCCTCCAATGAGAATGCTCCTGCCTATCGACCGGCCTATCAGCGCTCGGAGGCTGCTCACGCGTGCTAACAGAAAGACGAGTCTGCAGAGCAGCAACGGCATCAGCACCACTTTTCATACACGCCCAAATGGGTCGTACCAAGGATACAGCAAGGGACAGCCTCCCCATGGAGAAGACTCATCAGCACCATCACACCTCATCTCACAAGGTCTTTTCACGGCTGCGCAAGAAGTATTGCTCTGGCACCTGCCTCAAGTTTGTCTACCTAGCCTGTGCGACGCTGGTATCAGCCAGCGTCATTATTGAATGCATCCTTGCGCATCTCGTCATCACCCCCTACATCTCTGAGTCTGTCTTTGAGTCAGGCGTCTGCTTCCTTTACTACACTGCCACCGGCAAGCGGGTGAAGTGTGAGAACAAGTGCTCCAAGGACCGCTCTGCCTTCCCATGTGCAAACGTCCAAGTCATCTACATTCCAGCTCCCCGGGCCCAGGAGAATCATATTCCTGGGATCATCGAGGCCATTCGATATCGAAATCCCACTGTCAGGCAGTACCTCGAGGTAAGGCAGGCTCGACTTCTCTACCTCTACGACTACTTCAGCACCTATGCTGCCTACAAGGCTGACAAAGTAAGTCTGCCGATCAACTGGTGCACCCTTTTATGCCAATCTTGAGTTTCTTTATTACTTGAGAATAAATTCTAAAGACAGCCTTCATTCATACAGTGGAGAGTGGAAGATGGCAAAAGGATTGTGGTTCTGTGTAAAAATTACCTAAAAAACTAGTAGCTGTTCATCGAAAGGAAATAACCGTATGTAGCTTCACCTCAAGAGTTTTTTCAGCAATTACAATTCATTTTGTGCAAATATTTGCTTTTTTCACTCAAATAATTCTCACCAATGAAAAAGCAGTCTAGGTGGAATTATACCCCAGGGGACTCTCCCTGGTTTTGCGGACTTAAGTAATTGGTACTGTGCAAAATTATTAAGCAGCATTATATTCCAAAGCATGCAAAGGTTCTCTAAGCTTTATTCTAAAAATTAATTTTAAATATCATTTCATTCTAAAAATCGCCCAGAGTTGTCTTTCTTGCTTAATGCACTTTAGACGCTGGAATGTCGAAGTAAACCTACCAAATCATTAATGGATTTGGGGTAAGTCAATTAAGCCTTCGGTTGAAATGAAGAAAGGAAGGATGTATCACCCATTCCTTGTTTACAGATAGAGAGGGTTAACGGCTAGGGGAGTGCATCAACTTCCCTCCTTCATAATTTGGTTATCAAGGTCTAGAGGCTGAGGCAAAGCTATGAGCTCTAACCCACTTCTTGAATCTTAGCAAAAAAATGATCCTTAATATTAATTTAAGAGTTTTCTAAACAAGTGAAATATATGGCCATTAGCATATCTGATTGGGCTTTCCACAGCATTACTTGGACGCAGATTTTATGCACGGATCAATGTCCTTGCATCACTGATTAATGCGCCTCAAAAGCGGTCTGATGGGGCGATTACGATTTGAGAACGAGTAGTCTCAACTTGAAGCAGAGGACGCTAGGAGTGGAGACGCATGTTGTCATTGGTGGGAAACCCCTAATAACATTCTCCACTCAAACAAAGTCTTAAATTCCATGCATAATCTTTTGCCCGTTCCCTGTTTCTGCCGTTCTATTCTCTCTCCTCCCGTCAGCAATGTACAGGTGCCACAGACGCCTCCAACCGACATAGTTAATCATCTAGTCCCCTATCACGATTTTTATAATCGCTTTAGCAGCCACAACTATATGAACTGTAGTTAATTTAAATGGTGGGAATTCCGTTATACGTAATAGCGCTACCCATAGCAAAGCTCGATTACAATTAGAGTGTAACAGTTGTGAACAATTTACAGAATTAGAAAACAAATGCGAGTGTTGCCTTTGTAATCCGGGCTTTGATGTTGAGTACATATTCATGCCAATAAAACAGAAATTGCCAAAATGCAGACTGAGGCGATAGCAACTTATGTGGAATATGCTGTCTGGATACGCATATGGATATGAATATACATATTCATATAGAGAAGAGGATACATGTTTGGCTTTAAAACCGGAAACCCAAAGATCCTAATCGAAGGTGATTCTTTCATATAATTATTGTCTTGCCATAAAACCAAACACTGTTGCAATTTGTAAGTGAATTGTTAACTGATAGTACGTCCATGAAAGGTATGCGTCCTTCTCTACAAACGGAAATTCGAACAAAGTGACTACCTCCTGAATTTCAAATCTTTAACCAAGACATTAAAGGACTCAAATCATGGCTGTGATTATATAGTTCTAAGGATTCTCTGCCTTGAACTTCTGTACTAATAACTAAAAGGGTACGAAGATGTGAATTGAGCGCTATTGGGCATGTGGCCATGGAACTCGTAAGGATTAATTCTCTTCTTATCAGAAGAGCAGGGAATCGTCAATCAGTTTTAAGGGAATTCGTTATTTTGAAGTTGAGTGTATGTAGAGACGCTTTAATTCTAGGTTAGATATCTACCTTCATCGACGTAGGTTGATTCCAAATTCAGTAGTAGAGGTATGACATTTGCATGCATGTTTTTAAACGCTGCAGGGATTGCGTATTTCTCCGGTGTGTTGTTCTGCCTGATCTAGACTGCAATGAGCTATTTGAGAAATTGGGTGAACCAGTGTAGGAGCGAATTCCTAATTTTGGCATTAGAATTTAAATTTACATTGAATTAATAACCCCATTTATTCTGCTTTGCACTTCTTCACTTTGGTAAGTGTTTTAGTGGCAAGAAACCATTTCTTGTAAATTGATGTCTGTGTGAAAATGAGACATTGAAATTAAATTTACATATATGCATTAAAATACTGTAAAATTTTGACTCCAAGTTTTACCCATATAAGTGGGGTCCTTCTATTACTGCAGTGCTCTACAAGTCCCTGCAACCGTCGTGAAGCAGACAACGTGGAAACTGTGGATCAATACCTGCGCGAGCTCCACGCAACTGGGCTGATGCCCTGCTACGCACTTCCCATGCGGGCAGAGTTCTCAAAGGAGATGCACAACTGGCGGGGTCGCTTCAATTCATTGACGATGCCCGTAAAGATAATAGGATCGCCAGAATCTAGGCGTGAGGAGGAGAGTGAGGTGGAGGCCGGCATTGACAACTTTCACATTCTGCCGGCTGCTAACGAACCCACCTTCCTCCCTCTGCTGACCATAGAGTGGCTGCGTGAGGGTTCGAACCTCTCGAAGGCAGAGGTGGGTTCCTCGCGCCGCCTTCTTCACTTTCCGCCGCCAGCACAAGGCGAGCTGAGTGCTGCAGCACTGATGCACCGCCTTTACCCCGACACCCTCCTCTTCCACTCCCTTTTCTGGCCCCTCGCCATCATCCTCTGCGGCCTTCTTCTCATTGCCCTTGCTTACGCTGTCGACGGTTGCAAGGTCTGGCGCACAGACATGACTGTCATCGCTTGACTCCTCCTCCGCACTCCCTTCCATTACAGATTTCACATGTGTGCACATATAGCTTTAGTCAACAGAGTAAATGAAAATGGTTCTTTGATGTCATCTCTTACTTATTAGTTGCACCTCGACTCAAAGGAAAACCCACAAATCAGTCTTTTTTCGTAAGGCTTGATTCTTTCATTCCCCGTAGTTTATTCCGATTTCCTCGTATAAACATATCCTTAGTTTCTTACTATCAATTCTTTTGCCGTTTTGATGTTTGTAAGCTCTTAAAAATGGGTTGTAGTTTACAAAGGAGGGCAAAGAAAGGAAAAATAAACCTAAATCTACCTCCATATACGAATTGAGGAACTCACTTATCTCGCTAACAATAATTATTGTACGTTTTGTGTAGTCAGCCCTCCTTCCCCCTTTTTTTGTTTGATAAACTTATGTGAAGCTTCGATGTCTTGTCGTGCTCTCCACACCACCATACCTGCAGTTTGGTTTCATATATGGGCTTTGAGCATGGTCAATACGGCTATGCATGGCATTTGGCGCTTCCTTTTTCCTAACAAAGGCGGTCGAGAAGTCCTAGTGTGTGAATGTCTCACATATGAACAGTTAAAATACAACCATAACTAGGGACGGAAGTAACCCGCATACCCGCATCACATCACCATGTACTCACAAACCCCACAGTCATTTCCACGAGGTACATGGATCGGGTTGTCCGTTGTTCAATCCGACTACTCCGTCTCACATGCCCAGAGCTACTAGTTTTCCTCGCCTGGCTAATCACACATGATACGACACTCACATTGAATAAACACGGTTTGCTATTACGGTTGCCTTCTGCCCAGTGCCATGTCATGCCATCACTGTGCATTTGAGCGGTGGGTGGGATTGCTGACGCCGAACCAAAATACTTTTATAATTAACATCTACACAACTTTTGTGACTTTATTTACAAAGACATTATTCTACTTAAGCGTTAAGGTTTTCCCTTTTTAAATTCTAGGTTGAAAATTCGATAATTTTTTCAAATGACGTTGCATGTCGAGGGAACAGTTTCTCATTCCAACATTCGATTTGGACACGTATTTAAGGTAGAAACATAAAACTTTGCAATCTTAAATTTACGTCCCAGCTCTTCTTTCGTCCTTTCACCGGTTTTGGAGTTATTTATACAGCGTTTCCCCGCTTTGATAGACTCAAATTTCGGTGTTGTGCCAAGCGGGGCTGCGCAAAATAGACACCAGTGACACACCTTAGATGTCACGAAGACAAACACCTAGTTTACAGTGCCCACTTATGGCTGACATTTTTACACTGATTTCTGGTTCTTACCGCTGCAGAATTGGTGAATTACTAACAGTATTTAACAGCATTATTATTTTTCATTGGCAGCATCTCCTTTTTAACTAGAGTATTTCACATTACGTACTTGAGTCCGAGACATAAAATAATACATCTGGGTACGGTTACCCTTATTTGGGTAACTCCAGATCAAGGGTACAACCCATTAAATTGATAAGTTGGAGTATGCGGTACAGATTCGTGCTCACAATATCGCCACCAGTAATTTTGCTTATTTCAACGATATAAATGTGGAACAATTCTGCAGCTTCGTACCATCAATACGCGAGAGGAATTGTTTAAGCACAGATTTTTCTTCAAGTCACTGAAGCATGGCGTACCTATCAAGCCTTTCTGTACGTGACTGGATGCAAGATTTGTTTTGTTTTTAAATTGCCTATTTGAATCTCCAACCACTTTAGCGGTGATATAGCATCCAGCCCACGCCATACTCATTAACAGCCCACCAAAACCCCATGCATTTAAAACCAATTTTTATTCCAAACCGTCCATCTTATGACGTTATCCGAGGGGCCTATGCGCAGCAAATTGAATTAAGCGTCCTTGTCTTCTGTGGGGTTTAGTAACTCCAAGGAATGACTCAATGATCAAAGCAGAATTTCCCGTACGCATACCACAGAGAAAGGGATTATTTTTAAGCACGCACAAAACGAAAGAGCAGTTTCAAATTTACCACTTAGTTGATTTTGGGTATAATTAGTGAGCAGTGATTAGTTGTCCTGTTGCACTATCTTTGTGGTAAACATTTAGAAAGCAAGGCAGAATTTCGGAAATTTCATAAACAATGTGTGGCTCTCCTATTCTGCAGAGCCACACCCCGTGCCATTTTCAAAAGCGCAGCTGTCGACTCAAAATTACTTCTGCGACAAGGTCAAGGATCCCCTGGTCAACCGCAATACAATCTAAGTTAATGCAAACGACTATATTAAACTAAACAAACGCTTGTCACTGAATGCGAAATTTGTAATATTTGATATGGAATTATGCGTCACCCAAAAACTTCATCCGCTGTTGTGAAAAATGGGGATTGCTTCCACATCTACTCAGATGCAATATTGTAAGACGTTTGTTGCTCAAACATTGGCTTTAGTTAAGGGCCACTTTGTGACTTGGGCATTGTAGCTTCAGTGGATAGGCCGGCCCCAGGGGCATGCTAATAGCCCCAGAGGCTGCTGCACGTTAAATTTATATGCATCCTGCATGAGCATTATGTCCTCTTTCATCTTCAGGGATGTCTCGGGGCGCCACAACACAATGACCATGTTAGCTGACTAATTTTGGTAAAAGGTGCAAAGTGGAAGCACAACTAATGGAGACTGGAGTGTCCAGGTAATTAGGCACGTGAGTAAGTAAGATAATGAGCCATTACACTTTAGGAGGTAGGTGAGAATTAAATTTACAAATGCCGAAATCTTTGCTCAATAGAATTTTCATTGCTTAGCTGATCATTAAGTTAAATAACAGAATATATTTCATGTTCAAAACACTAAAATTGCTTGATTAATTCTCTATACTGTCTTTGTTTGACATTTAATTAATAAATACATCTCCAGTGCTCAAAATTGTAAAAAAGCAATATCCTGTTTCACAGTCTGCACCAAGATCACCTTCTTCATGCATCTAATGAATTTTAAATGTTGCTTCGTGGGCCAGAATACTTCGAATTTAGCACTACTTAAGTGATGTGTGATCATTTTGTTTCGTTTGTTTTATTAAATTTATTATAGTCATTGCTAGGGTGTTATTAGCCGCTACGTCTTTATGAAATGGTTCGAAAGGGATTGGTTTTTAAGGTTTCATTAGGCCAAACCTACAACAATTAAAGCTGCTATCGCAGATTGGGAGGCAAAAACGAACCAAAAGGCGAGCGAAGCAACTGAAGTCAAACTCTACGCCCAATTCCCGCCAATAGAAAAAATGGATGCGGGATTATCTGTGCTGTCCAAATGCGAGTAGTGCCTTAATTTGCCGTTACACAGTCTTTAGAAGATTGTCGCTTTCATCAAACGCTATTGAAAAAATATCGAACCTACATTCTCTAAGTAAGGATGTACTTTACCCACTAAATGAATATCAGAGCACCTTCGTGTCCTCTCGTTAGCTAGAAATAACATAAAAAATATATCCGGGTTGGAACCACTCGGAGAGACTCTTGAGGAACTATGGATATCCTACAATTTGATTGAAAAGCTTAAGGGTCTCGGTTCTCTGAAGAAATTACGTGTACTTTACATGTCAAATAACAAGGTCAAAGATTGGGTTGAACTGCTCAAGCTAAACGAACTTCCATCTCTTGCTGACCTCGTCTTCGTCGGTAACTGCAAAACTTTGCGCACTTTAGGTCTTCATAGGAAATCCACTGGAAGAACACAACCAAGAGACATTTAGAGATGAAGTTATGAAGAAACTACCTAAGATAAAGAAACTAGATGGTAAGCACCGATATTAACCCAGTGACGTAGAGTTGACGTCTCTAAATTGTAATACCTCTGTTCTAAATGGTTGATCAACGAAACAAGTAGGACACTAGTTTACTCTTTCAAATGCTTCACTGGCACATGTTCTTGCGCTACCTTGTGAGAACAAACAATTGCTCAACTAAATGTTATTCCGTACGATAAAACCAAAAAAAAGAATACACCAGCATCAACGGCCTAGAGAGAATGAGTCACACTCCCCTGATTAAAGACCAACCCTACATACGCACGAACTCGATATGACGGATTAAATGCATCAATTATTATTCGTAAACGACCGATGGGTTGATCCGCTAATTTATGAGCCTCTAACTTCAGGCATTCCCTTCGTGCGAGACGACGCCGAGGAGGAGACTTGAAGATACTATTCGGCTAGTATAATACATTGGTAAATGAAGTGTATTTTAGACAATGTGAATAAACTTATCCCAATGTACAGCATGGAGAAGCGAAATAGAAACAGCTTGTAAACGTTCAAGTAAAAGCCTATTTCTTCATCTTCTTCTTGGCTTCGTCAATAATCTGATCTATGAATGAGTCGTACTTCTTTTCCTCATCTCTGCGGCTTAGAGACAGCGAAGGCGGCACAGATCCACTGGTAAGGAGTTGACACAAGTCGGAATAGAGCTCCTTGGGATATGTCGGATCCGCAAATTCACGTTTAGATTCGGAAATGACATCTTCAATCGTGAAAAGCTCAAATGTCGCCTTCGTCGACTTTTGGCGAGTTTTAACGACATTATTCAGCAGCTCATCGGCAAGGCCAGATACTTTAAATCGGGATGGTTCTGGTTCGTTAGAACTGTTGAAACCCAGACACCAGGAGCGTACCTCCTCTGCACGGCTTTGATGTAGTTCTGCAGCCCTGTGTTCGGAGAAATACCAGTCCTCGCTGAATATGTCACCGCGGGAAGTCAACATGAGACCACGAACCCCGATTGGCTTGATGTCACATTCATCTCGAAGTACATAAGCTGTCGAACCCACCAGGCCTGTGGTGAACCGCTCGTTGCAAAAATGAGGATCTAAGATACCACTGTGAAGATTGTTGAGTGGACAGTCCAGAATGTCAGTGAGAGTTCCATTTGTCATGCAGGGTCCAACTACAGTGGGCGGCAAGGCAATATTCCTGTTAAAATTGATCCCCATAATCGAAAGTTCTCCGGGCATCTGCGAAGCCGCCACGAGTGCCGCCTGTAAACCAAACAGAAGATCACTCAAAACTAATTTTCCAAAAAGTTAGGGACTTAGACCCTAAATCAAAAGCACTACCTGTGCGGGAAATTCGCCAGATTGGTCTTTGACATCGCAGATTTGTGCATAGGTTAAAGGACCTCTTAGGGCATGAGACCAGTGTAGGACGGGATGTCCGGGCATGCGCTTGTCCAGAACCAAGCCGCTGTAGTCAGTAGCAAGCAGAGCGTATGTGTCACCATACCACTGGGGTTGTGCGTAGAAAATGCTCTCGTAAGGATTGAATGACCGCCCCTTGTCCATGTCGACCACTTTCGTGGCCATGTTGAACAACTCCTGAGCCGCTCGCGCGCCCGAGATGCGGGTGTCAAGACAAAGAAGTCGTTTTGGTGTTGCAAGGCAAAGTAGGCCTGGAGCGTCTGCAAAACCCACACGCACCCACGTGGAAGCGTGGCTCAGTCGAAAATCAAGCTCCGCACGATAAAGCAACTGCTCTGGTGACAAAAAACCTCCCTTCTGCTTTTTTTGAACTTGCTGACAGTAGTCGAGGAGACTCTCGTAGAGGAAAGAGTTGGCATATGTCCGTTTTGATTCCTCAAATTTCGTGTAACATTTGTCTACGAAGTCCAAACTCGATGCTGCTACCGAGTTAGTCAGCAGGTGGGTTATGCATTCACCTGGAAGCGACAAAAAAGCAGTTAATCCAGAAGATACATACCACGCAGGAGGGATAGAGAAGCGGACTAACCTTCGCTGCTGAGTGGAATTCGACCGCACCACAGACGTCGATTTAACCCAGCATCAAAGAGTTCCACGACAGCCAAGTGCGCATCGGGAAAAGCCACAGGATCATGCGTGCGGCCAGCGAGAGCCCACCTGAGTGAGGCTACACTCGATCTGTCCGAATGTATGCACCAGGGGCATATGGCCACCGAGGTAGGTTTGTAGTAGTTGATGCTTGAGTTGAATTGAGTGTGATCACAATCCACCACTGTCAAACTCCCCGAGTCCAGAAGCTTGAGCCTCGTCCTGCTCGTAAATACCTGACTGCCTGTATTCCGGGCGATGGAATAAAGGGAAAATTCATCTAGCTGAAAAAAAAAAACATTTCTGTGCCTGTTAATTTCAACGCAATATCGAATTCACCTTTGCCGATTTTTTTACAGATTACAATCTATCTAAGCTTGCATGTTGAGTGAAGAACTCAGATAAGACATCTGTAGTTAGGATAATAAAATAAACGGTCGGGAGGACTAAATACTACTACTGTCGTTCGGGATGTAACAAGTAGTAAATCACATTAGCAAGCGATTTTGAATAACAACTCACTTGAACGGCGTCGATCTCACACACGGAAGACCCCACAAATTCATCAGGCACTTGAAAGGACGTATACTGATTTGTTGAGAGGGGAAATGAGACGGCGTTGGGGAGCAAAGCGAGAAATATCTTTGGGGTGGATGTGGTCAGAGCGGGTGGAGCCCATAACATTAAAGGATTCCCCTCTCCAATCACACGAAGGCAGCCACTGCCGAGGAAATCTGGATTCACCGGCCTTGCCGATAGAGCAATAAGAAAGGGGTCAATTCCACAAGAAAGATAAGACAATTGCGAAAATTTTGGTTGTGTTTCTGTGCTTGCCTCCTCATCGAAACCGAGGTACTTTGAAACAGCTTTGGCCTGCACCTCATCAAAAGGAATCCTAAACATAGACCCAAGGGAAGGAGTCAAAGGAGATTGGAGTTTAAGTCGTCTTTTTCGCAATATCTCGCGTCGAATTCCCTCCTCAACCTCCGATGGTTCAGCAGTCAAGTCTTTGACAGTGTTCACAATCTTCTCCAATGCTCTTTGTAATACTTCAGACTGGCGGGCCGAAGAAAGAACTTTCGATGTGGATTTCTCAATTAATTCCAAGAATTTTAGTGTATTATCCGCTGAAGCACGGGTTTCGATATATTTCCGCCGTCTCATTTGTGATTTGGACAAATTTGGTACATTCTGATTTAGAAAAGTCACAAACTTGGCACAAACAAATGTCGCACAGGCTTGTTCACCAAAAACAGGGTCGTCGAGGAGCTGCGTGATACCCAACTCCTTAAAAAGGGTTTTAGAAAATGAAGAAGATGAAAGATTCGCCTTTTTTTGGCTCCAATGATAATGAACAGGCAAAACGGGTTCGGGGCATCCAGCACGATGCAAGGCTCCAGCTAAATCGCAAGAGAGTTGGGGATGTACCTGAATCCCAAAAATAAATCACAGTATAATCATCGCATTAGAAGCCAAATAATTAACAGTTCCTGCTAGATTTTCCAATTATGCGTGATTTCTGAGGTGCTGGCTAAAATTACTTCCTTAAATGTGCCATAAATCTCAACCTCAAAACGCACCTATGTTCAGTTTTCAGAAATCATGCCTCATAACTAAAAATGTAGATTACAGCGATAAAGTGTGGTTCAGCAAACTTGTGTACATTCTAGATTGGAGGATCCATAATATTTGCTGTCTTTTATATGCAGAGAAAGGTGACCATACCTTAAGGACTAAATCAGGGAAAAAACGACACCAGAGCTATGCATTTAAGCAACGCAAATTGAAAGCGTACTTGGACTGCGTCGTCTGACAAGGTTAACTGGCAGGACCCCACACGACCCCAGTCAGCAGTCGTAGATCTCCCATTCCCAAACGGCACCCGGATACTCGGCAGTTGGTTAAGATGATTAGCTTTGTGGGTATGTATATCCCACCAATCCGGAAAGAAACCACGCGGGAAATCAGCACACATTAGAAAGAGTGCACCCCCTTAAATTTGCCGGGTCCCAAATCAGGAAATGGCTACACTAATTTCAATATCTTATTCCAGCCTAAATTCGAAGACTCCGAATTTTTATTTTTTATTATATTTATTGAAATTGTGTGAGTTTAACTTTGTAACGTTGAAGGCTTTTATTTTCTGTACACTTTAAAAAGACGAATTTGGTTTGCAATTTCTGTAACAATAGATCTATTAACAGCGTATTTCGACTTTCACAAACATTATAACTACGAAACATTTTAGTCGTCAGGTGACCTGGTGTTGTCGTCTTGGAGCTGTTGCACCTTAGGGTCTTCCTAGAAGTCTGGATAGAACACGCAGGTATGAAAAAGCAATTGATGTGAAGAAATGCTCAAAACTACAAACACAACCTTTCATCCGCGCTAAAAATGAAGTTTCGATCGCGAAAAGTAAAAAAAACAGTTGAGCAATAGTTGAATTGCTACACCGTTCTCCATCTTTTGATCGTTGTCACTTTTTCGCTTTGGCCATCACAAAGTCGTCAGTTCCTTAAATTTTACCAACAAATGGAAAAATTATAGTAGTCAGATTTTAATTCAATCCCAGTGTTACTTGTGGGCCCTACCGATTCACCCATATTCGAAGTTCAGCCCTCATCGTAAACAACATTATCAAAGGGGGGATTCACTAACTTTGTGGTGTTTAAGGTTGAAAGATCCTTTGCAGTAGGTAAACTCGGTATGTCACTGGTCTAAACGCAGAAATATTTAATAAAATTGACCAACTAATGTAGCTCCGAAGATCCAACTCCTTGCATCAATTTCGCCTTGCCACCTCGTTCCCATTTAGGGCCGCCTAGTAGTCTACCCAGGTGTTATTCAGGCTCTGTACATCTGGCACATTTAGGTCCTTCAAGTGTGGTATTGTCTTAGTTGTTAACAGTATTCTTGTAGAACATAAGATTGGAGTATTTGTCGAAGGTAAATGCTGCTTCTATTAACTTTGTACTCCATATTTCGGCCTATTTATTATCTGTAGCCGATGCTCCTTCTGTCCAGTTAAGGCTTGATAATTTGATAGTTGTCCCTTTGAATCGGATTCAGTTATCAGTACCACCGTAGTAGCAGTCAAGGTCTCACTGGAAATCTTGATGAGCTATACAATAATGGGAGATCTGTAAGTAATGTACGGTCATATCATCAAAAGGGAAGTGAAAGACGTGAACACTGAGGCGTCCTGGTAGTTAAATGTACAGTTATACACAAAACGTATCACTACAACTCATCTTAGGTTATTCTATCGGAAATAATAAACACACCTACTTGCCAATTTCTTTTCAAATTTTCCGTTGCATGGTTGTGGTGGATGATTTGCTTAACTTATGTGCAAAAAAAGGATAGGTTAAATGTAATTGAGCAAACCTTGCCCTTTTCATTCAGTATATGTGTTACAATTCTCCTTTTCTTAAGTTAAATGGCAGCACAAATTATTTCCCTATTCCAATTTTATCTGTTAATAATTCACTTAACTACGTTAGGGAAATTCATTACAATTTTAAATAATATTGAGTAGTTTGCATTCATTACGTTCGTGGGAAATGGTAGAGATACTTTTTGCTAACTGATTATGCTGCCCCTTGGGCATGATCGTCGACCACGCTTTACATAGTAATGTGCAGACTGTGTTTTGACCAATGGATTGACCTGTTTAAATAGAGGGAGCCGTTGAGGAACCCCGTAGATTCTGTTAGCTGCCCCATGGGCAAAGCATGTGGGACATAAACAGGGACGATTTTAAGCCGTTCAAATGAAGTGTGGCCATAGGTAATAAACAGGAGGCACGAATGATGGGCGTGCCTGAAAACTTTCAAAAAATGGCTTCCTACGCATTGGTAGTGTTTACATTTTCGCTCTCGACCGAACGTAGCGCTAATTCTGTTTCTACCAAGCATGAATAAAGGCCACATATTTGAACAATTTTAGATTTTCTCTTGTTAGTTTGCTTGCTTGAGTGGAAGCCTTGCCAGTGGACATTTAAACCCTTTCTGGACGGGCAAGTCCAACCGCCCGCGGTACATCCCGTGAGACCAGCTTGAGACTTTGATGGTCAAGCAGACAGAATAGCTATCTATTTTAAAATATTTTGATACCATGGACGCATTATTTAGCTGTTTACAGGATGAATAGGTGGGCGATTAGTCCTTGGTTAGAGAGACATTTTTATGGGCAATGTCTAAATTGTAACAGCGCTACTTTTGCGAAGGTAAGATGGATAACTTCGAGGATTTTGAAGCCAAATGGGTTTTTTAAGAACAATATTTTTGAGTGTGCAATATTGAGATGCTCCTAAGCGCAATGGTATGCTGTATGGACCTTTTTAAAGTAATAAAACTAGCTTGGTTACTGGCGGGCTAAAGAAAGCAAGCAGCACTCAAGTTCCTATAAATTTTCCTGTTTAAAAATACTGTACTGTATGCAATAATTTTACAGCCTTATCCAAGCAATCCGTGAGAATTGTGCTAACGTTTAACCTTAGAACTCAATATGAGGGAGAAAATGAGGCAATTTCTTGATCGACACATTTAGACAAGGGAATGAAGAAATTCAAATAGCAATGGATTTAGTTTCTTTGGACTTCGTTGCTAGTTTATGTTGATGCATTTGAATTAAGTTCTTCAGCCGCCCATTGCTTACCTAAAAACTAGAAAAGAATAAGAAAAAAGCCTAGTATTGAAAAGCAAAACTAAAATGTCCTCAATATTTATGAGGAGTTATTAGTGAAGTTAGTAGATTCTATTGTGAAATGAGTTTGTAACTGATGTCCCATTCTTAAAAAATACGATTTTCAAATATAAAGTAGGTGATTGTCATTTGCATTTGTGCCCTTACATTCAGTTCCTTAAAGAGCGTTACTTATAGCATTACCTGAAAATAAAGTATTTCCATTTCAAAGGTCAGTGCTTGGTGGCTCAAAACCTTCCACAGTGTGCAGTGTATTTCCGTACCATTTGAGTTAGCTATGAATTGCGCATTCAGGAAACAAGTTTGCTGATATCTTTAATCAACAAGCAAATTGAGACGTCCGATAGACTGTTAATTTGGGAATGAATTTATACATTCCATCTTGACATGGAAATTTGTAAGGAGCGTTTACTTTCAAGAAGTCATGCACTGTTTTAAAGCGGGAGTCCGCACAGCTCGCCCTACTTGAATTCCTCTTTCTCAAAGGGTATATGGATTTGGCTTGATGCCATCATTAGCAAAAACATTATGATCAACTTCAATTTCCACCAGGAACTTTGTGAAAACTCATACTTGGCTTGTTTTTTTAATTCTACAAAAAACAGACGTGTTGAGATATGATCAATTTACTAACTTTGCTAACGGTGTTGCTTTTAGAGTGAATTAATTTGAATTTTGCGAGTGGGCGCAAGGAGATTAAAATAACACCACATTTGAAGATCTTTGAACCCTTGGGAAAATAGCTTTATTTACTCAAGATTCTACGCAAAACGACCGAAAAAATAAGTAATTGGGATTATGGTATTGCCATCATTTTCTATGGAATCCATGATTAATGGCATATATGTGTTTTGAAACTTCGCCCCAGGAGCTAATGCTTCCTAAGCAGTTACATCTACTGCCGTCTGAAGTTTGTGGTATTTGATGCATCGTCCCTATCAGTGAATGACAAAGGGCATCCAAAACAACCGTTCCATTTTTGGGTATCAGGGTCAAACCGAGTTACCGCTCAGTATATTATTGTGGCACTTGAAGACATTACTCAAACCTACTGGGATGCACCATTATCTCTTAAATGCACCTGGCTCTATATCCTAAAACGAGTCAGTTATGTTAGCAGTGCTAACTGAAATTAAATGTAAAAGAAGTCTATTTTTCCTCCAAATTTTACAATTTGAAAATCCAAGCCTAAATTCACATTGCTATTGGTAAACACACATGCATGATTTAACATAAATTAACTTAATAAGAAAAAGCTCGTGCCCCTGTAATTGCAATTTTTAAGACCTACAACTAATATTTTGGTTCACAAATTTACAGGGTTTTCATCTTCCGTCATTTCGTATGCAAAACCATCTTGTCGGCTACAAAACCCCTAAAAAAATTAAGAATAGTTAACTACTTATGCAAACTACAATGCAATTATATTTCCTTTTAAGTAATCCGTTTTAGATGGACTGCAATTCTGCCCCATCATGTCAGCATGAAGTCCCACTATTTAGACAGAAGCTTCGGTTATCCCGTTCATCGGGAGACTTTAAAGTTAAAATAAACTGCGAATGATTTCAACTTACCGAAACTATGTCAAATCATCTCTTTCAACATTGTTCGAATCGCCTTTAGTCTCCAAGGTGTATGGCTCTATCCTCTCTGATCCTCGGTGACGTGTGTACTAAGGACAAATGTGTGAAATGTTTAGGTGTTGCGCAAATGCACCTTCAACGTTTCGTCAAAGTCGTTTCCGGAATTGAAACATTTCAAGTTCTTACAGTTTGTGAGTTATAAATCAGTCCTTACAGTTAAACACCAGTGCATAGCGATCACGAAATCTCATGGAGTAAGTGAGCAAATGTGCAAACTAATGTTTGCACATCATTTCGGATAAGCCATTCTTATTGATGAAACATTATATTCTGGCAGTAACTCTTACCTATACCCCCTTAATAATTCACTATTCCTTGTCTCTAATAAAGGAGTGTGTTTCCAAAGTAGGTAAATGGCGGCCTCTTATCCCGATTCAAAAAGAGGATGAAGTGCTAATATCAATTATCCATAAAAATTTGCCCTAGATTGGTCGGCAGAATCAGTCCCTTAACATGCATCGCCTTAGTCATGCACTCAAGGCCACCCAAATCATACTGCGGTATTATTGGGGAATGCTTAGGCGAATGGCTTCGGAGCTAAAACTTCTGTTCAATGTCTAATCTCACTAAGGGCTCAAATTCATTACTTTTGAATGTTTGAGATTTAGGTGATGCACCATCAATTCCACTATGTGAGGAGTTGTAACAATGGGAAAAGAAATTCAACATCGTTTAAATGCGCCACATGTAGGCCCTCGACTAAAGTTTATACAGGCAGGGTTTCGTGCAAAAAACTCAAACAATTAACAATGTTGTTATTGGTAGCGATAGTCCCTTGTTTTTTCGATTAGTACAGTGGAACTAGCAACACATCAAGTGTCCGCTGAGCTATTGGTCATTTTTACAAGTCATGTATACAACATACAAAAGCTCAATGGATGTATTTTGTCTAGTGTTCTACGCTGCTTTCCATTTACTTTAAATCCATGCTTCATTAAATATCCACTGAACCGAATTCATCTCGGTTCCAAAGCTGCAGGAGCTAGCTTTTGGTTAAATATATTGCGCCAAAAACTTCGAGAACGGGCAGTGCGCAGTCGCAGAACGCACTGTCCAGAAACGGCTTAAAGAAGTCGAGTGGCTCTGGCGAGGAATAACTCAACAACTGATGCATCCCGTTTTGGAGGGAAGACACTATTCGTAATAACAATGAGGAAATACGTGCTGCTATCAGTCAGACGACTTTGAGGCTAATGCGTCAAGAACCTACCTGAAAGTAATGGTTAACCCAACGTAAATGATGAAACGATTGCATTGCACCTACGTCAAATGGGAAGGGGAAGTCCTGGTGGAAGCTGAGCAAGTGGGTTGCACCCGCATGGATTAACAGACAACAGTATGCTTCAAGGTTCGTCTATTTATTCTTCACTTCCTTCGCGAGTGTCAGAAAAGCAGGGCATTCTTCGGTTGCCTGATTGACTGATTAGTGATGAAAAGTGGCTTTTGAAGTGCAGAGTTTTTTACCCGAACGAAGATATCACTGGTTACCTGCAAACGGCCAACCCCCATTCCACACTTCTTAGGTAGGCGCCACCTCGCCCATATTCCTCTGATTAGGATGTTTTGTGTGTGGTGGACTGGAGACATGAGTGTTCACTGGAACCCTCTTTCTGTAAACTAAACAATGGTTGCAGCTCAGAATCTGTCAACTCGGCACGAAAGTGGGAAGGATAAACTTTTTCCCCTCCATGAACAGTCAGTACTAGCCATTCAGTTAGAAGGAAAGTGCTACTTTTATTCATATAAGGAAACCGCCGGAAAATTTACCCTTGAGAAAAGTTGCACATGTGAATTAGATAATCAAAATATGGAAGTAAAGTGGTGACTAGGACTAGGTTTCCTGCTTCTAAAGACAAAACATTGGTCAAAAGTAGGAGTCGCAAGCTTGTACCCTACTAGGAACTGATCATAAGTTGGGTTTTGTACTGGTTACTATTTTACGGAATAAATGCATATCTCATGGAGGTTTTCGCATTAACTGGCACAAATTCGTTTGCTAAATGACCGCAGAGACTCAATTTGGATTTCGCTGTTACTGACATTGCATTCCGTGTTTTTTGATGACTTTTACTATGCTTTAGCCATGAAAGCCAGTGCTATCTAAATTTTTTATGTGTGGAGACCCAAGCACAGTTTTAACTGCGCTAAGGACACAACAAAGCGTGCGTTTCTGAAGTATCAAATCGGCATATAACGTTAAGATAACTGCGTTGAGGTGCGAATTTAAAAACCTGGTGTGAGGTCGGAAGCACCCGTTATCACTTAAATTAGTTTCGGAAGTGGCGATTCGAAGTTGAGCAAATACATAATTAGAATACACTATACCTCGTCGGGGTCGCCTCGAAATGTCTTGTGAAATTGCTCAATGTAATTTTGAAGAGCCTCTTCATCCGCATCCACCGGAGACACCAATCCTTCCACAAGGTGGTTTGACCCAACCATCCGACGTTTTTGAGCCAAACTCGACCCATCGACCTCTTCGTGCAACAGCTGTCCCATCCTCACTAATCGTTGCGTCTCTTGTGCCACCTCTTCTTGTAGGTCCTGACGCTTGGCGATGGCTGCTAGGACAGAATACAACTCTGCCTCCTTCTCCATCGTCTCCAGGACTTTCTTTGTCTTCGTGGCCATCGTCTTTTCGTAGAGCTGCTCAATCGCTTCGGCCAGTGTCTCGTTCTCATCCGTCAGGGGTCGTGCCTATTCAGTGGAAAAGAGGACCAAAAAACCAAAAATTTCAACATCTCACACGAAAGTTGCGTGCCACCGAGAGGGCAAATGACAGGACACCTCAACTGTAGAGGGAGGATTACACTGGGATAAATGCATGCCTCCGCATTTCCCACATCCGATTGGGTGATTCGTCCACCAATTAATTAAATCCATTGACATTGTACATAATTGAGCGCAAATTAAGCCCAAAAAGTGGGTGTAATTGGGGTTAAAATTGCCAACGTATCTTGTTCAATCAAAAAAGTTGAGTCTGCTTAAGCGTCTCATTCATGCTTCAAATGTATTCAGATACCAGCAATATGTCGGAGAGGGGTACGCAACCTTAAATTGGTGGCCCCCTAACAGACATCAGTTGTTAATTATTCCACCCCTTTGTGTAACTGGTCTTACACCCTAATTTTAAGTTCGCTCTCTGGAGAATCGGAATTGTATTAAAAGGTTCACCCTATGATAATAAATTGCACAAATGCTTTGATGTATGTAAACCGAAGTCTTTTTTTTGTTTCCACTTTGTCATGAAATTTGACTTACAGGACATGAGTATCGTAACTTGGCAAATTAATTTTTTTTATTCCTTAATGCAGAACCGTGATCCCAGTATCGTTATGCCCTGCTTTAGCTAAAATTCGCATCGCCGTAACCAATCGTAGAACATGGAATTGGAGTTATTTGCATTTAAATAATTATTCAGATAAATTTGATGCCCAAAATCCGCGCTTATTCCAAATGGGTATTAACATATTTTAATTAACATAGAACAACTTTCTCAATTAATTGTGAATACCTAGACAACATATTCACACGATTTTGCGTAGCTAAATTTTCCCTTAAAATTTAATTTTTATTTGCAACTAAGCCAAAGTGTCATTCGAAATCCCCACTGATTTCTCCATTATGCAGTTATTGAAGCATCTTACTCACAGCCTTTCATGTGCTAGATTTATTTTGTATGTGTACCCATCTACTTCCTTGGGCTGTGTGAGTTTGTTCTCCACATATTTCACGTATGTTTGGTTTAACGACCATTAAAGTACCATATAATTTTGCTTTTTTCTTGAACGCCGGTTCTTGAACGAATTTGTCTTCCTCTACCGAAATTGACATTATCAACGTATCTAGTACGTCACTGCGTGTGTTTAGACTGTTAAGTTGGATAAGACCTACCTTAAACCGAATAGTAGGGTGTGTAAACAGCCACAATACCCTAGAGACAACATTTAAATAAAAACTGTTGAATATTTACTATGCAATATTTCAAAAGTTAGGAGGTCTGCGATAGGGGGTCAGAGTCATAGTCGGTCCGTGGCAAAATGAGATTACAATCACGCAAAAAAGCATGAGTATCATTTGACTGGTGAAACTAGTATTGTGGTCTTTAAAATAACAGATGTTTGTCCCGGCTTCACTTTGTATGTACCTTATTTTCGCTCAATAGTGTGGAATATTTTATATCAGTTTGGTCGTCCAAATTCAAGCATACCACTAGTCAGTACTATAATCCATGGAAACTTTTATTTAGCTAACAAATGACCACTCCTGCATATTACTGCTTGACATTTAACAAAATTCATATTCTTCACAATCTTTAGTTAGGGAGTAGAGAGTATATTCAAAAGCAAGGTATTTACTAACATTTTTGCACATTTTGTTGGTTGCATAACAATAGCGATCTGATTATAAAGCATTTAGAAAGCATGTATTCAGTTGTCATCAGTTGTCGCTAAAACCCTCATTTGAAAAACGGCAAACTAAGCGCTAGTAGATCAAAGAGTCCATTCAAATCTCATGAAGTCGGAAAAACGCAATTGCAAATGCCTCCCAGTTTTTCGGTTCAGCCATTGAGTCACATACATATAAAGTGCAAATTTCATTCAGCTATAATCATTTTGCAATCACTTCCGGGAGACCCACAACAAGTGTGCATGTTCACCTTCAAATTATTGCAACATCCGTTAGAATATAAGAGGGGGCATGTATCAAAGTTCCTCAGTCTTTGCCCATCTGTCTGGTTTATTCTGTGGGACAATGTAAACGGTAATTTAGTTTTTCATTCCAACCAATGAAGATTTTAAGTGCAGTGTAGTTACACCGTTTGTTCATATTACCAAAGTAACGAATTTCAGCGCTAGTCACAAATTTTCATGCTTATAAACCATTTGGCAATAATACAACTAAAAGTGCTGCAAAATTTCATATAACTAAGTATTCCTGCTAGTACTTTCATGCTTATGAGTTTTAGAGTTAACTAAAGTCTGGCTACGAATTGTATTTTCCGCACCAATTTTGACTGCGTAATATGAGTCCGACAGTGAGTGACTGGTCGGTTCAATCGTGTTTCATGTTTTTCGTATTTAGATTCCATTTAAGCTTTTTCTCATATTTACCAATAAAAATGCTAATCCCAGCAAAAATTTTGCACAAATTCGAGTAGATGATTACTTTTTTACGGTGAAAGTTTGTTGAATGTTGATATGAAATCATTTGTCAGGTACCTTTCTGCCGGGAAGTTTGTGAGCATATTTTAAATTCATAGATGAAGTTAAAATATATTAGAACTGATAAAGAGCAAAACCCTTTTATTGGAGTGAATGAGATTTTATAAGGTGATAAGAAAATGTTCGATTTTCAAGTAGCAAATGTTTTCAGATGAGCGTAAATACTCGAAGTCTATACCGAACACTATACTTTGCAAAACAATTGCATTCAAGTGTGGGACTAGCATGTTCAATGGGGGTAGCAACTTGCAACTTCATTTGAGAACTTTTGAAGACTTTTTCATTGCATGTCGTGATATGGCAAGCACTCTATCACAAGCTTCAGCCTGAGTGGTGGTAATCTTCAAAGCAGAGGATTTTAAGAGCACTCATTTTTCTCCGTGAGGTAGTCTACTTTGCTCCAAAGGTGATTTATGTCCATCTCATCATGCTAACATAGGTCGAAACCGCATTCTTCTGCATTCATTTTTGTCATGACTAGTGTAAAGCACCGACATATTGGTATCTGTATCTTCTGTTACCTCCATATATTGAAATATAACTGGAATCAAATAAACTTATATTCAAAAAGTTGGAACAACATGCGCCACTTCAGAAGCCTTTTTTTAGCAGAACTAGGGAGTGAAAACTAGTTTGGATTAGGTTTAGGGGGATTCAAAGGAGCAAATTTATCTATCAATTCAGAATAAGAACATCATTTACAGAAATGACTTCAATTTTACCCTCTTTGTTGTGGTAGATGTGGAACTGAGAGTAAGTCACTTTGAAGCAGTTTACTGACTTGGCAGAACGGTAGTCCTTTGAGACGTCAAGTTTGGTCCACGATTTTGGTCGATTAGCTCTGGAAGTTCTGTAAGGTTTTTGAACATTTTTAGATTTCTGGAAAAGTTGTAATTTACACTGTAAGAAAGCTGTTTATGTTTTTTAAAGGATTCGCAAATGACTTGGTCATTAATGAAAAGTCCTTCATTCATTTGTCGCAAACTCAATAATTATAAGGTTCGCTATTTTGTTAAAAATGTTTTATCTGGAGGAAATAATGCAAGGCTAAGCTGTGGCAATTTCAACCGAGATTTGTGTGAAGTAGGGATAACACTTTGATAAAGTATTGGTAAATCATTTTATTTTCCTAATTTTTTGAATAAAATAGTAATATGGTTTGCATTTTAAAGAGGTGGGCACCCATGTGTAGCGTCCCGAGACTCCCTGAAGACGAAAGAAGACACAATACTCGGGCAGAATATGTATTCAGTGCATAGAAGGTGTCTGGGCTATTGGCATGGCCCGAAAGGCCAGCCCACCCAGCGAGGTACAAGGGGGCTAATTCAAAGTACAAAAGTGGCGCCTCACCAGAACCGAGGGATAAACCACTATCGTATTACACATGTATCCGAAAAGTGGTGTCCATTAAAAAAATCTTCTCCAGCAAACTAATTTAAGTGGTTTCTGTTTAATGAGCTGCAAATCTTAAAAAGGGTCCATTTTTGTTCTGATGACTTCGTATTATTGTCTTGATGATTGGCTGAACCTATAATCTCGATAGGTATTCTGTGCAGTTTGTAAAAACATTGTAGCTCTTTTGTTCAGCTATTCTCCGCTGCGGTTGGGCTAAATCTCACCCGAAAATATATTTGACTGCCTGATTTGCAAATGCAAGAATCTCCTCATTTTAAACGTCGAATAACTTATGAATTTCCCCTTTTACTTCCCCAGAAGGTGATAATAATACCACTTGAGAATTAATCAGGCACTTTTTAATTTATTACTCGAAATTCGAACATAAATTTTAAGTGCTACTTCGAATTTCCTGATAATTTTTGATTACACCAAGGAGGAGTCTGTTTTACTGGTAATTTTTCATTTTAACTAACGCTATTATTTCGGAGTCGAATTGAAATGTAAACATTTATGGATCCACATGATTTCAGGCAACTACACGGCTCACTGGAATACTAAAGAGCAGTTTTGATGCGGAGTTTGAGGAATTTATATTTTTAGGACGTAACATTTCGTTTCTTCTTTTATCCAATTGATTTCTCCATCTAGGCAGTCGTCCGTTCCTTTATAATCTACTGAAAGATGTTTGCATTCCCACTGTATGTGAACAAATATTTTGGTTTCTAACTCTTACACTTCAGCGCATAATCATTTGTGTCCGGTTTAATTCATTTCCTTCCCAATGGATTTACCCATATTATCGTTTCCGTTATCACTCCTACCATTCTCGCTAATAGTGTTATTAGCCTCTATCATTTGTGAAATAACACATTTCCACCACTTTCTGTCCTTTTTATGCGCTACAGTTTAAAATGATTGGCGTCTGCGATTCGCTGCATAACTCAAGCAAATACAATTGGATTCCATTTATTTTCACCACAAAGAGGCACGTTCAGAGTGATGTACATTTGGTGTTTTAGAACTATTCTTCATGAAACAAAGCGTAATCATTTTGTTCCATCTTGCCTCAGTAAGCCTAACTAGATTTGTCGCCTTTCAGTATGTTTCAAGTAATGTGATGAACATATGCAGAAATCCAGAAAGCACGACTTCGTGACCGTACATCTGAGAGTGCGAAAGTTATGAGGCACCTTCAATCCATTCAAAGTGAGGAGCAAACTAATCCTTGTGAATTGAACACTCTGTGCGTTAGTAATGGATTTTCTTCCCTATTGGAATTATGCCATTGTCACTGTTTCTAGTCAGTGTCGTTCACCACTTTACACCATAAGTATTCCTCACTTAGGCGAATCGAATCAAAATTATGCACGTCCAGAACCTCGGGCAGTATGTTATCACTTTTGGACCGAGTTGAACCCAAAATCATCTAAGCACCACTCACTTTGCATCGTCTTTGAGGCATTTAAGTAGGTCATAATTAGGATGAATGTTTCCACCTAAGCTAAAGATTAATTCCTGCCCGATTTTTTCAAATTCTCAAATTTTATAAACAAGGTGCGAAGCCAGGTTGTCCTGCCACCTGATTTAACTTCTAATCATGCATCGGGAAGGGTGTATGACTAATTTGTCCCTAATCAGACATGCTGAATAAACTGCATTGGGAAGCTTTGGATACAGTCTATTCCTGTGCACGTAATAGTCCTAGGAACCAAAAAGTGATTATTTGACATACTGTACATTTAATGCAACTGTTATCGACACGTAACGGCAGAATAAGAGACTATTCAAGGCATTAAACCCTTTATAATGATACAAGATCTTACAACTTGATTTAGTTACAATATGGCGCATTTTTCACAAAGGAACGCAATTTGACCCAACTACAACTACATTATTCCACGCGGTTATCTGTAAATTGGGCCTTTAAACGTGGTCAAAGTCCACCTGTGATTGCCTTACAACCCACTCTCCAGAGCGCATGATCTTGCTACAGCCGCTGCGCTGAGAAGCTGACACCGGCATATTATGATCCTGAGAGACTATACACCCGGAATACTTGTTCTGCCTAAGTGATAGCACCTGATTCGCACCCACTGGTGCATCTTCATTTGCGAATGCTTGACAGGTTGAAGTCCTAGGACCACGTAGTGGGCTATCCAAAAATATCTTTGTAGTCCTGTGCTCCCTTTTTTGATAATAATGACTGCATGTTTCACTTCCATAGTACCCATTAGACCGTGCTCACAGCTAAGAGAACAACTGCAAACCCAGAGATTGACATAAGGTATAACCTGTTCGGTTAATGCATCACTGTAACCTAACGATGGACATTACCTTCAAATTCAGACAGAAGATAAAAACGCCTTAACACATTCGCCGATTTAGAGTCACTCGCACATCCAAAATCCCTTTCTCCGAATGAGCCCATCAGGCTATTAGCATTTCTACAGCTCTCTTCGATGAAACCATTTCTGGCATTATCACTTACATGCCATCATTGAAATGTCATAGAAGAAACAGAACACAAAGGCAGTTCAATTTATTACGCGATTTGTTATTCTAAAATGAAGGTAATCGAAACCGTTTGTCACAGATTATTAAACAATAATAGGCCAAAAATACAAATTTAGCGTTACTGTTGAGATGTGAGTGGTCAAAAGTTCAAATTGATTTCTTGAGCTTCATTGAAACTGTTCCTTCGTGTCGGCCAAGTCCATCTTTATTCTGTCTATTTCATCCATGTCCTCGGGAAAGTAGGGGTCAATCCAAGGATCGTTGCCAAAATCCTTCTTGTCGGCGTACGTAGTAACCCACGTGTGCCACAGGAGGCGAATCACTTCACCCGTGATGACATCACCCGCGTTCATGTTGAGCATCTGAACGATAAAAACACCATCCATGCGGAGAAACTCGCGAATGAAGCGCTCCACGGTGTCCGGTCTGCTCGGGTCTAGGGCTTCAGAGGGTGTTGTGGAACTACTATCACCATTCTTCTCTGGTTCTAGCATCAGAGGTTTCAGCTTGAGGTACCTGCGGATAACGCTCGTCTGTCGCCGTCTGATGGCCAGACGAAGAAACCAGTTAATGAGGCTCACACCAGTTGTTATAGCGACGGCGAGCGTCCAGAACCAGAGGAAGACGTAGAGCTTCTCGTTGAGCATATTAATGGCCAGAGCACACATGCCCATGTAGCGATTAGTCTTTTGACCCAAATGACGAATGGTAATGCTGCAGAAGGCGACTCGGGGGAAGTAGAGGGACTCCTCCCATTTCACCCCCGACACCAGGGAGTTAGCCAAGGTCAATCCAAAGCCCACCATATCCTCGTCATAACCGAGGAAGTGCTTCATCAAGTAGAGCTGCCCGATTGCATTTGTAAGGTAGAGAATCTTGATGCAGAGGTACGAGAATACTGTCCAGGTTCCTATAGCCGCATTGAAATCATCGTTATTATTTAAGTTGACTATGAGAGAAGCAAAGCCTCGTCCATCCAGTCTATCCACTCGTGGCGCGAATCGGCCGGGGTAATTACCCTTTCGGTGACCGTAAAGTAAACTACCTAATCTGCTTGCAGACAACATTAAATACATCTTTACAAAGATTATCAGTGTGAAACTAAGTGAGAGACTTTGATGCTTGATTAGCATCAGCCCGGCAGTTATTAAATATGTGCTAGATGTGATGTATATTGATAGCGCTGCATGGAATGCAAATCTCCTTCTGACTTGTCACGGAGAAAGCCAAAGATGGGAACACGCTATCTCGACAAAACATGACTCCTGAAAAAGTCCTCCCTGGGCTTTCACTTTCCTACTGAAGATTCATAGGGACAAAATAGAAGGCCGATGATCATACCCATCCTCTTGCTGACCAGGAAGATGCCGCAGATTGCGTGGAGTCGGCGTTTGATTGCTGCCCGTTTGCCCCGACGAATGTCACGGTGCGCAAACAGCAGAAGTTCCAGTCGTTTCGCCACATTCGCAATCATCTTCTCCCGATTCACAGGTGATGAGGTCTTGAGAGCGTCCATCGCCTTCACAACAATGGCAGTGAGGTCTGCTCCAAGACGATTAAACGTGATGTTTTGCCAAGCGACGTGTGGCAGGTAGAACATTATGGTTTGAAGACCCAGAATGAAGGGCACCCACTGATAGTATGCTGAAATTAAAAAAAAAAAATACAATGGGAAAAAGAACTTTCTCTCTCAACCTAACGTTCTATTCATTTCCTTATGATTAAACCCTTGTGAATGCGTATCCACGGTACAACTAACGTACTTACTTATTTTCCGCTCCTTCTCCAGTTCAATCCACGCGGTGTCGTCCTCAGGTATGGTCTCGTTGGCGCGAATCGGTGTGGTGCCATGTATCCAGCAGTAAGAGTTGAAGTAGGAGTCAAAGTCAGAGCCCGATGGGACAGTGGGCACGTGGCAAGCCAGAGGCTGCAGAATGTAGGTTTTTGCAGATACTATGGCTGTACACAGCATGAAAATTATGGTACTGTGCACGTAGCTCATTCGGTCCGCCCAGTCCTGAATACCTATAAGCGTTGCCGCCTGATACTTCTGGTAAAATTTCATAAAATCTGCCCCCAACTGAGACATTGTGGTTTAGAATTCAATCCTATGAAACAAAGAAAATTATAACTTCTTGAACAATAGGCTTGAATTCTGGATTGCAGAAAGGATTGTACTGTTAGTGATTCACTAGAGAGATGTTACATAGCAATCCAAGGATGACTTCGCTTTTCAAAATATTTTTACGTCTAAATTTAAAGCCTAGAATGAAAAAAACAATTCATCTTTTGTGAAATTCAATCGAAAAAAACCTTGACGGTAAGAATGGCACTTGTTTTGGTCGTTTTCATCAACTGTAATCTTGCTTGAGCACAGTCATTCCAAAAGAGTGACTTCCAATGAATGAAAGCATATTTATTTACCTTTAGAAGAATATACAAATCGTTATCTGAAAAATTGAGAGCGGCTGGAAATCAGACTAGATGCGGTAGAAAGGGATGGGTGGAGGGGTGTGTGAAAAGTCTTATGAGAAAATCATCATACCAAAATTGCTTCATCAAAGGCTGCGTTAACAAAAGAAATTGGGTTGTTGTGCTTGAGCGTGGTGCAAGTTTTGTAGGTGTGCTTTCCTCGGTCGACTGGCGATCTAGACAACAGACGCCTTCTTCTCATAGGGTGCTCTGCGTTGTGTCGTCTCGCCGCCCTCTTCGAGTTGCCGCCTTTGAGCAGCAATGTCACGCGCAATGTCATTCAGCATAGCCCTGTTCTTATACTTGGTCTTGTAGATGTCCCACATCTCCACAACAACATCGGCGGTCACGACATCGCCGGCATTCATGGATATCATGCGCAACAGGAAGACGCCGTCGTGACGTAAGAAGTCGGAAATGAAATTGCGCAAAATTTCTTTGTGCTCTGGAGTGTATATATCCTGGAGACGAAGGAACTTCTTGATGAAATGAACCTTATTCTTTTCACGACCCAGCCGCATGATCCATAGTGGGATCGAAACAGCTGTGCATACCGCGACGATGGCCGTCCAGAACCACAAGAAAATGTAGAGTTTTTCGTTCAGCATGTTCACAGGAAGTACACATTGGGCTACGTATCTATTAGTTGTCCCGAGGTGGCGAACATGTTCCAGGTAGCAGAAGGAGACACGGGGAAAAATTCTGGTCTCATCCCAGTCTCGACCATTTACCATGTACCTAGCAACCTCGTAACCGAAATTGCTCATTGATTTGTTGAATCCAAGGAAGGTCTGCATGAGATAGAGCTGGCCGATTGCGTTTGCCAGATAGATGCACTTTATGAAGAGATAGGTGAAAATGAGCCAAGTCCCCAAACGCTTGCTAGCAATAAACATTCCGAAAAACTTAAAGGCCTTTCGGCGCGCGTCAGCGACTTTGCCACGACGGTAGTCGCGGTGTTGGAACAGCATTTCTGCCATTGTTCCAGCAACGTGTTTTACAAGCATCTTGCGGTCGTTCTCAATGGTGTTGCTCGCTTTGTTCGCCACAGCGATGAGATTCTCCAAATCTGTTCCTGTACGGTTGTAGCAGATTATCTGCCAAACGACGCGTGGAACGTAGAAAAGGATGCACTGTAGACCAAGCATGAAGGGGACCCACTGGTAGTAATCTAGATATTGGACACAAAAATACCTTCACTAGATTTGTCATTGCTACTTCAACTCCTATAATCTGGAAAAAATTAATTGTGATCTTAACTGGACAAAATACACCCAGACAAATTGAGACAAGGTAAATTCAACCTCACAAGTCTCGAGCTTTTACTGGATTGAAAAACCTCTTTCTGCACTTATAATTACGTCATTCGCCAAACGCGAAGCCATAGTACCGAATCAAGAAGCTGAAATCTTACGTTGACAGCTGCCTAAATAAGTTAGGGTCATTGAACTCACTAATTCTCATATTTTCATCAGCATCGTGCCACTCAGAGTAGTTTTGAGGGATGTGCTCCCCCTCCAAAATAGGAATCGTTCCGTGGACCCAACAAAAGTTTTGCAGGAACTTCTCGAAATCCTTGCCGGAAGGTACTGTGGGTATGTAGCACGCGATGCTGGCAAGCAGATATTGCTTGACTGCGATTATTGTTGTGCAAAGGAGCAGAATCAGAACGGAGTACATGAAGCTCATTTTGTCCGCAAAATCCTCCAAGCCGAGGAAATCAGAGACATGAAGTTTTGTCAGGTAGTCAATGAATTCTATCCCAACCATTTTTGCGGCGGTGGACTAATGGGTACAGTACAATCACCTGCAGAAAAAGGAAAGCCTTTCATTTTTTTCCTACTCCTGATTACATGACCAGCAGGCGGGGCACATTAGCTCTTTGTGTGAAAAGGTTAACGTAAACATCTGGTGCGTAAACAGTTTAACATGAGTAGTAGCGACCGACTATCTCCAAATGAATTTTAAACTTCATCCTACATTCCCAAATACATATTCTCAGGGTTATTCAAGTTACCACTCAAAAAGGAAAGTGAATAACACGATTTAACAAAGAATGACGTCTCGGACAGCCGTCGGACTGGTATCACTTTTGCGTACATCCGTAAAACTGCCCATTTAGCCAATTGGAAAGAGACCCAAGCTTCAGCCACCAGGATGTAGGGTTTACTCAGCATGTCGTCTCACTAAGCCCCATGTCCACAATGTAAGGCATTTCAGCATGAAAAGACGTCTTTCAACCATGCCGAATGTCTTCACCTAATCGCGCACGCATGCACAGGCTGAGTAGCATTTGTGGATTAAGCCAACTTTATTCTCGGTTATTGTCAAGTCTGAAGTGGAGAAACTAAAAAGGAAAGTAGTAAGAGGTTTAAGAGAAACCAGTGTCACTAAATTAATGACAGTTCACTTGGATTGAAATTCCGATTTCTTCATCTCTATCACAAAACCGTCCAGATCGACTGTATCAAACCTGACAGTTCGTTATGAAAAAGCAGCAATAGCGAAGGACCAGTGACCTTGTGAAAACAACGATTGCAACGCATAAGACAGTGTACTGAAGTTTGGGGTTGTAAATTAGTAGTATTCCGTGATGGGAACCAGTGGTGAATTAAGTGCCATGAAGTAGGAGTGAGGAGTTCTCATACAGTCTCTAAATACATCCCACCATTAGACACCACAGACAATCATATTTCACATAATGGCTCAAAGTTTACTAACCAATCCAGTGAAATCACTAAACCTAGGTTAATAGATAGGTAGATATCTCAAAAACGAACTGAAACCACAATATTTCCTGTTGTGAGAGGCGTTGTAGGCAAATAGATTTAGGAATTTTCCTAGCGAGTGTTTCAAGCAAACGATGTAGAGAATATAAATCAAACCATAAACCCCAACCTTAGCAAACGTACCGAATTCACAATGGTAGACTAACAACGCCCAAACCCTTATTATAAACTTCCTTTTGCAAGTGTTTATAAGGCTGATAACTTGTACACGTCCAACCTACGACCAGTTGGTGGTACCATCACACCCTTGAGCTTGAGTCACGTGATAACAGTGAAGTCGCACATCTATGGCATCTTTACTGAGAAAATAATCCACTCGCTTCACTGTTACCTTGGCGATTACCGGGATAGTGCATTCCATTGTATCTTCGGGTCTTTGCTCCCAAATACAAATGTGGCACATCCATCACAGCTAGTGTGTGTAGTCTACGAATTTACTGTTATTTTAACCGGATGCCTTATTTGGTATCTCCGCATTTCGTGCATTCAGTCTCGGTCATGTAAACAACGAAGCGAGAAGTTTGGCAAGGAACAACACTAACGCCGGAAAGCGTGCGGAACCAACCAGCACAGCCGGTTAGACCAAAATTTTGGGCACAACATCTACAACCGCATAGGAGCTCCAGCGCTCTGAGAACACACAAACAAACCCGGTGGGAGGGGTCGCCATAACCCCTCAAGGGACCAATCAACGCACGTATGCGCGCACGTGACAGAACCCTGTCAAACACACGTACTCGCACTGGGGTTGGAGTTTCAGACGTGAGATGCTGGTACTGTCCAAAATGACGAAGGTAGGCGGCTAGCCAAGACATAATTTAAGCAAAATTTGAACGCCACCTACGTCGATGTATATTTTAGCGTCGTAATATCATCCCTATTACAAAGAACTAGATCACTACGGGACCAGCTTGTATTTTAAAGTCAGAAGAAACGCCAGTACCTTTCCATTGTCATGAAAGTCACCTATTTTCTAGGATATTTCTGAAAATCCTTACAAAATTAACCAATGTAAGGTTCGCCAAATGTCCCAGCTATCAACCCGATCTTTTAGAGCGTTGTCCTATAGGATTTAAAAAAAACCTACGTTTTTTGAACTGAAATGAAAGTTATAGGCGGACTTTACCTAACGTTCAGTTTGCGTTTTAAACTTGAACCACGTATCTAGTGATGAAAAGACCTAAATTATGATATCAACAGGCAGCAAACGTAGAGATAATCTATCCCAGAAGTCAAGTTCCCTTCTTAATAATGCTTTACAAAGGATGTTGCGGCTACTAAGGCAGATTAAACCTATCGACTAGTGTGCTAATTCCCCAAACGATTTGTCTAACAATATCAGTAACATAGGTAAAGGACAAAAAAATGCAATACCTGGGACCTACACTATGCAGTGGGTACAATATCCCGGATTGAGCACACCCCGTAGAGCGACCTCCAACGTATCAAGAACCTACGCTTCCAATGTAGTTTTATTAGCGGTCCGCTAGTCTAGATTACACGCTGACGATTGGTTCGTAGGGAGCCGCGCGAACCGATTGGTCAATAGCATTTATACCTTTGACCATAAGCCTCAGTCCGCTTAAAAGTCTGGATCTTTGCCAGTCTTCCTTTGAAAAGTGATAGCGTTTATACCAAGTTTCACGGAGGCCACATTTTGTAGCAAATAAAAAGCAAATGTTGACCCCGATCATGTCCTAGTACAACTGCAGTCACTAGTGCCACTTTCACGGGGCATTTTCGGACATTCAGGCTGCCAAATGGACTATATAACGCAGCGATGATTACAACAACACCCCTCCCCTCCCCATTTGTGTTAATTATGCAAAGTTAGGGCCATTAACCAAATTAGCCGCCACGACATGTATTCAAGACCTATTCCAGTACTGCAAACATTTATCGCCGCTGGAGTTCATGACGATCTTGGAACCATTCACTGGAGTAGTATTGCCAACTGCTATTTATGCGTGAACACGAATCTCGTTGAGTTTTCAACCAAAACATCCGTTTTTGACGCCAACCGCCTATGTTCAAGTGCGACAGGCATCCGTGTGCACGCCTGCTGGCCGAAGTGGTGGTTCCATTCCCGTGAACTTATGCTACTTTGAGTGGCCTTGATTGTGTTGAGGATAAAGTGCCTCCACGAGATATTGAACAATCGGGAGGAAATCAGCAGGAAGGCTAACTGTAAAGCTTTTAGAACGTTTCTAAAAAGGGGACTTCTAGAAACTTCTGGGACTTCGGAATAGGAAGCCCTTTTCTGGGGGTGCCAACGTCTTCACTAAACAGTTTTACTTAATAATGGTTACGTGTGTACCGCTCATCTACCCCCAGTACTTACTTCTTAATCGATCATAATGATACCACATTGGTGAGCTGTCCGCTTTGATTGGTTGAGAGCATATTATTCATATGTCGAACCCAAAACTTGACTCGTGGCACAAGGATTTCAGTTTTTATTGACTTTCTGCTTTGGATTAAAGTTTACTTTGAATCCCTCTTTTCTAGCTCAGATTTCACGGATGAATTCAAACCTCATCCTCCGGTAAGTCGGCATCCCGATGATAACTTTGGACGAAGTAGCTTTGGTAACCCCTTTATCGTTTGGGTGGCACGATTTTAGCACAATCATTGTTTCGTCCACATCAAGAATCCAGGTTAGACATCCTGAAATAAAGGTCAACATTTGAGCCACACTAACCTTGCAAACACCTCTTTGTCACCCTCTCTGCAGTAGGGAATTAACCCCTTTTCATGAGCCTGGATGTTCCCATCAGATCACCTATGGTAATACGGAACTTCTTCGAGCATTAAGTAGCGTGACCGGGTGAAGGCATAGCATACTTCCTGCCATACTGTTCAAATATTCGCAGCTCCCCTGAGCAGTCGAGCATATTATACGGCTTGTTTGAAATATGGACATAAGAAACTCATGTTTTACCTGCATCCGATTTCTCCTATGATTTGGAACAGTCTAACCTAACTGAGGCCTAATCCGATGGTACATATCCTGTTGTGCTGCTTCCTGAATTCAATATAGCACTTGAGCTTGATCAGAATGGCATTAAAGCACTCAATTTCATTCCCAAATCCTTAGTATTACTTGCAAGTTTATCAGCGATTGCTGAGGAGTTTTGTTTTTGTAATTTACATGGACTCGAAAAAACTGCCTCTCTAAATGCATGTACTCAAAGGTATTACAACCCATCTTATAATTGATTAGTTGATATCAAGTGTAGTTTACTCAAATCAAGCACAGAAGCTCAAATCCATCCACAGTATAGTTAGTCTCTCGAATCTTCCACGTCTGCTCCTGCAAGTTCCACCATCTGGATTTTGCAGTATGCTGAATGAATGACCGTAAGGTTCTTTTTCCTGCGCAGGTACAAAATAAGAAGTGCGTGCTTTCCAGTAAGAAGTGAAAGTAAGTACGATTTCAATTATAAATATCGTAAATCATTCAAACGCAACACTCCTAACAACAATATTAATGGCTGTAGCCATTCAACTCCAAACATCTTAAAAGCACGTCGGAAGTGGCGAGTCCACTATTTACTGGGATGTTTTAAATTTAAGTAAATAAGCCTATCCTCACTGTCACAAATTTACCAACAGTAAATCCTCCCGGACAAGTTACGCATCGCAGCACTTTGAAGAACTGTGAATGCAGCTGAATCAGCGTTGGCCCATAATCAAATCACATATGATATGCAGCAGCTAGAAGGTACAAACAAGTGGTGTTCCTTTACATGAACGGCATACAAGCTTTCTGAGTAAATTCGCGCTAACAAGGCGGTACGTGAGTGCCATACATTGACCCGTCTTCACTTTGCGTCCACTTATCAAGTTGGCAGACCTATCTTGTATTGATGAGTGGATTTCTCCAGCCTATTTTAAAGATGTTTTGATGGTTTCTTTGATACTCATACGCAATATTAAACAGCCGTAAATCATATTTTTACCACAGCAACCAATTTCCCGAAAGACTGCTTGAGCTTAGCCTAGTAATGTTTAGAAATTCTTCTGCTAAGTAGGCGTTTTGTGCAATAACCTTTGTAGTGAATCAATGCAATCCCGATTTTCGCGAAGCGTTTTTTGCACTGCTGCTCTCTGGTCACTGCTCTGGTAAACATTTGTCTTAGTGGGCATCCGGTCGAGCCTGTTCAGTTTATATGAAAAGACCGCATAAGTGCTGTGGACTATAAAAAATTCAAGAAGACATAAGGCAGGATGGAGTTATTGGTAATGTTAATCACGTTTTTAGGGCATTAATAAAAAGAAGTGCAGTCACCATCCAACTAATGGCAATGTAATTTTGTGGCGATTGTTTCAACAAATTAATAACCTATTCATCATTTCGACTTTTCCCAAATTGCACTTTGGGAGACCCTCAAATCCATCCACTATGCTGTTGCGCTATGGGAAATTTCAGATGCAATGCACACGGCAAAGCGGTATTTATCGGCTCAAGCTATTTAGTTTTCTTTAATTTTTAAGCAAGTGAAATTAACTGTTGAGTTGCTATTAGGTAAATGATAATTTTGGTATCTTACATCTCTCTGGACTTACTCATCCTCTTCGAAATAACTCCCATCCACCGACACATTCCACAAGCAGTTTCGATGCAATCTTCACGAAACTACTTTGGAACCCACTGTGATTCTTCTGTTTGGGTGGAAATCAGCATACAAAGGTGGTTAGAAATGCAGAAATTATGACTAATATAGTAACAAGTGAAGTGAATAGAGGCTGAGAGATCTTATCTACCAGTGTTGTCATAGCATCCATACGTGTATTACACTGATCAAAAAACATCAGAAGTGTTTTATCCTAATCGCACGACTGTGATGTAATAACCCTGTATTTTTCTGGAAATAATTCTGCACAATAAGCTTATTACTAATTAAAAAACATCGGCAAATTAGCAAGTAACAAAGGCATTACTATCACATTTCCATATAATACTAGCATTTATCTTGAACAATTGCTACGCATAGCGGCATGGTTAATGACAAGTGATAGCCAGTCCAAGTGATTTGTGACAGGCTTCCGCTGAACTAAACAACTGCCCCCAATTGGCCTGTGATTGTCGATGTAAACAGTCCAGACGTTTTAGATCAACTAATGTGACCTTAATTTATTTCTCGGTCAGGCACCTTGACGAGCGGTCCACCCCATATCAGCTCTGGCTATCATTTAACCCACAAAGACCCCAGCTATTTGACAATGGATAGAGGAAAAAACAAACGTTAGGGAAGATTTGCGCTAACCCGATTTCGCAAAACCCGGTCATTTAGACTTCAACCTTGTCTGGTATATCGCAATAAAAGTGCTCTAGAAATTAACAGCTTTAAACCACGCAAATTCAGTATCGTCACCACTGAAAAATCTTTGATGTACTAGAATCAACTTATTCAAATATGACCGTGACAAGATTGTTTTACGCTTTTTTCAACTGTTGTTAAACTGATCCACACTAAAAAGGGTAGCTGAAAGCCCAAACTCGAAGCACAGTGCGTTGGATTGCGTAAGTAAAAATAGGATTACTGCCCTACGAAAGCACACTTTATTTGAAACAACAATCAATTTTGCCTCATGTCTTTGCTAAATGTTGCAAAATGCTACATCTTTAGAAATGTGCATTACACTGGGAACGCCCCAAAACTATAAAACTATTGGTGTGTACCACCTAGTGTAAACAAGACTTATGGTTCATCAAAACACGTATCTCAGTTCAAGCTCAAGTTTATGAAAAAAAGACCCGGCTATAAAGATGCAAATTACAATCATTGCAGCACAGTAAAAATAAACAGTGGCGAGACACAACCAACCAATGTCCTGCCTGAATATTTGCCACAATCTACAGTATGGGAGTTATTTCAAGCACCAATTGTAATTAGTTTGAAGAAATCTCACTTCAAAATTTCCACTTAAAATTTCTCTTAAAATATCGTGGATATTCAAGAAACGCAGAAGTTCTGTTTTGGTTCATGATGCAAAATCACTTCATCATCACCCATTGTAATTTGTTACTTAGCAGACTAGGAGACCATTGTTAGTTTTTTAGCGCGCTATGTTTTAAATGCATTTTAGAAAGTTGACCTTCTTTTAGAAAAATGAGCATTTATTAACCTTGCACACGTTTACCCTATTTGCACCTCGAGTTCTTATTATCACATTCCGCCGGTCTGCGCTGCCCGCCCGCTTAGCGCGTTTGTGTGACGGATATTCTGGAATGTCGGGGATGATCGAACACTTCTGTGAGCTAACAGGTGTGCTGATTTTTTGTTATGAATTATTTTCGTAAGGCTGTGATGCTTACACCGCTAAGTCTTTTTTGGACGCGAACGACGGGAATTTGCAGATGGCCGTAGATCTTTTTTATGCGAGCAATACACCTCAGATATCCCCATCCGAGCCGCCTACATCGCAACCTACGTTTGCACATGAAGGTATGTTATTTGAAATTCTTAACGGCCTGTGGTTTTTATGTGCATTAGTGAGTTCTGTTATTTTGAGAGTTCGTAACCCACGGTGGATGATACAGAATTAAGTGGAGATGGTTCAGTATTTCACATTAATTTAGTTCTAATTATGTTGCGCCTTTTTTTATGGAATCGCGTCGTTGGCGTGGTCGAGTAGTTGCTAAGAGACCTGGCCCCTCTGATGCAAGCAACAATGCACCGTCCACGTCGTCCAACAATCTCGTAAGTTTTGTTTTAGGGCTTGTCCACGTCAAGTTCGCTTGATTTTCAGGTTCGCTCAAGGTAATCGTATGTTACTATAACCTAGAATACAGTGGGTTGCCCTCCATCAGTGAATCTTCCATCCCCCGACCAGAAGCGGATTACCTTGGAACAGCTATTTGCACCTCCATATGATCTAATGCATAGTGGAAACTTGAGACAGGTGCGTAGCCTACTTTATTTTGAAGTTTCAAAGCAACTGATGATGTAGTATCAGCACAGCTTATTCGTTTTATATGTTTTCTGCCTAAATATCTGTTCTTGTAATAGAACCACCCTATAAGTAGTCGTAGCTTACATCAGTCCAGGTGTTTTGGGCACTTGTGTTTCAGTTAGTGCTTTAGTTTCGTTCTATGATTAGCCTAAAAATTCCTTGGTGTTAATTTCCCTGAATTTTATTGATTTATCTGTCTTGAATTTTTGAAGATTACTCTTTAAGGTTTGTCGTACAATGCTGCTTTTTAAATGATAGGTGGATATTTCAGCTTTGATTTAGGCCATTCATGGGTTGTGAACTGCTTATTTCGTATGGTTTATCCGGATTTATTGCAGGGGAAGTTAGAATAAACAGAGGGTTTCTTGTCAAAAAAATTGTTTTTGCAACACACAAACATTAGTTATTTACCATTTGCACAAGTTAACCCCGCCCTGCATTCAAAGATTTCAAATGACCGATTTGCTGCCTCTCTGGGGTACGCTTTGTGCTCCACAACCTCACCCAAATCATCTCCTGAGGCATGGCACTGCAGTTAGAGATTTTTTAACTGTTAAGGCCGAAGAAAGTAACAAGGGATTATTCATTCAAGTCTCATCCACCACCTACTCTTTCTTGTGCCCGTCCTTATTCTCGAAGGCGGTCTTGTTTGATTTATATGGATAATTTTCTGCTTTTTTCCTAAGCAGCAGACGTTCGCACGCAAAAAACTCGCAGCGACGGTGGCGGTAGCAGTTGTGCCGTCATATCTCGCTGCCTTTTGAAATCTTCAAATAGCCACTCTTGTCTTTGGTTCAGATCAACTGAGAAATAATCCTTAAAAAGGCTGTTCGTTTGGTTCAATCACCAATTTCTTTGAACAGAGTTTGGGCTGAAATTTTTATCCCCTCAGCACGCGTGTAGTCGGTGATCTGGGCTCAGCTTATCTACGGATTACTGTTTGGCCTTGGCAACTTCCAATGCTTAATCACCGTCTCTAGACGTGGTTTACTCCATGGCTTGAATAGCTTTTAAGACTTAACGCTATTAATTTAATCGCTTGTATGCTCAGTCGAATTGTATCATTCCAGTCCTTCTTATCAATACCTATCTCCAAGTGGTAGCTCCTAGAGTTTGGTGGTATTTTGGATCGTCATCCCAGGTAGTAAAAGACGGGGAGACCATCAAAAAAAGATAAACCTACATATTTCTGTTCCAATTTTGGTGCCTGGAACGTGTTTTATGTTTGTTGTGCATGTTAAAAATAGCGGAATCCTTTCGATTTCACCCGAACTGCTGCGATCCCAATAATACCCTTTGTGAGGTCCTTCGTTACTCTCCGTCCTTCAGTCATGGACCAGAAGTTCATTCATCCTTAAAGCTAGAACTTTTGGTTGCTATCGGAGTAAGTGCGCACTTTAAAGGTGGATTTTACCTTGCAGGCCATGGAAGCGGCACGCATCCGACGAAAATGGATTTTGGTTAGTCTTTATGACGATTCGTGCTTCGACTGCCGCGTGCTCAATCGGGACGTGTGGAAGGATTATCGCATTATTAGTCTCATCAAAAAGAATGTGATTTTTATCCAGGTATAACTAATACTATTTCTCTTAGTATATTTCATCGCATTCATATTATCTTCACCTCAGTCCAAATCACCACGGTGACTCGCAGACGAAATTTCATCTACCACTGCATATGTGATTTATTACTCATCCTACCAACATGCTTCGTATCCAACATAGTTACGACTGGGATAATGCTCGTGTTTTGGCTACCTTGACTTAAATTTTAGTTTTGGAGCCGTGAGACTTGGATGAAGGATTTTTTTATCTACTTGACCCTCGAATATTACTGGTATTTTGCTCTCGCATCTGACACAAGCTGTAGATGACATCATCTACGATTGCGTGTTGTTGTGTCGTGCACTTCAGAATGGATAGGTTCTCTGGGGTGCCTCTAGTACGATGAATTTTTCGTTTAGACTTTAAGTTTGCATTTTTAGAGATGTTCTTTATCTAGCAGTTGCTCTTTTAACGCACTGATCGCCTCGTATTGCATTGGGGATGGCTGAAATGGCTTACCAACTGTTCTTGCTTGATGGGCCATTCCCGCGCTTGCTGCGATTTATGGAAGCTGCATAAGCCTGATGTACCTCTCAGTTCTGCTCTAATGACGCATCTTACTCAAGATTCATTTCTGCTTCGTTTAAGTTGGTTCCTACTCAATTTGTTTAGGAGTTTTGATCTCGTTAAGGAAGCTTTTGCTCTTTTGAAATGCTGGAATTATTTCCCCATTTATAGACAAAACAGAATACCTGGGAGTCTTAAGAAATTATTGAACTGGTATCACTCCTCAGGCTTTAAAAAACTGAGTTTTTTATTTTTTTAGTTCAACATCAAATCGCCTGATGGGATGCTGTATCGAAATCGTTTCACCTGCATAGATTCAGCGACTCATATTGCGTTTCTGAATCCGTTTACCGGGGAACAGAAAATTTTCTGGAATCGTCTTAAAACTCCCCGTGAGATATTGAGTGTTTGTAAGTTTTCATGCTCGATTCCTTATCTAAATCGCGTCTTGTGGTTTCGCGTTCCGTCAATGCCCTCACGACTTTAATCTCTCAGTGAATGCCCTTGAAATTTAAGACATTATTTTACTGTTTTTAGTATGTTAATGCCTTCAGAGGAGTTTATGAACTTCGGCCAGCTTAGCAGACTACGGACACAAGAAGATTGGCTTCATATTGTTCATTTTTTCAAAAGCGGTAGCTGGGACATTGCTTACAATTCTGCTGTACGCGACGCTTGATCACTGGCCCTTATTCGCATAAATTATCGGTTATTGATGAACAATCACCAGAATTCGTTTATTTCCCATATAGACATTCCCATTTATTTACTTGAAGCCTCTACGCCCACCTATCTCTCCTGGAGAATACCCGTTGTGGAGATGGATTAGAGTATTCACGTTTTTTAGGCAATTGAATTAATCCACTGTTGCACCTGCCTCCTTTCTCTATTTTAATCAAGTTAGCATTTAATAAGCCAACGAACCCCCTTAATTCTTTTGCAATTGTATGTATCCCAGTTAGCTATCGGCAACGTATATTAGAGACTATAAATACGACTTTATTGGCCGTGTAGACACGCTCGCACCAAGGTGTTTCTTCGCCTTCCAACTCGGATCCTAACGACACCGAGCTGCGTTAAATATACTTGTTCTGTGCGTGTTTGTGTGCATACATCTAATGTCTTCTAACCGTAGTGTCGAAGTTCCTATTGGCCCATCCGACTCCTCTGGGTTCCGACTGTGATATCTCCAAGACCAACACTTTCGCTACCACCGTTGCCAATGTTTCCGGACCCTATCTACGGTCTGCTCCCGGCGAAACGGAACTAGCTGAACCCTCTGGATTGGAGTCGAAGTATTACCCTTTGAAAACGCGTCGCCTCAAGGCTGCTAACGGCACCTCCGCTTCAGCTTTGGTAAGCTTTTCTCTTTGGTCACGTGAAATCGTCCTTATTTCTTCATTTATTTTAACCAGTGCCATTTTGCAAATTTGCCATAGCTCTCATTTAAATTTACGGTTCATGGTATTTCGTCAGTTCTATCTTCAACAGCGCAATTGACTTCCTTTGCGTATTGCATAAAGGGAAGGAAAATTATCCGCCTCTTTTTCAAAGCTACCCATCATGGCGAGAGCGAGGAATGGAGGATGGAGAAGCAGTGTATTTCACTGAAGGCAGTGATGAAAAAACCAAATTCTGCTGGTTGCTGTGCCTGCACGTCTTTTGGCTTATTTCATTGGCTAACTCCGTGGGCCAATCAGATGTGCATCACTTGATTCGCATGTTGTATTCATGCTTTGTTTTTTTTTCCTCTCTCACTCTCACTCCCTCGGTACGCTCTTTTCCAGCCCAACTTTAGCCTCAGCGGCTCTTCTGCTAAAAGGTTAAAGTGCACATACAACAGCGAATGTACGTGTGTGTGTACCTCTATGCAAACTCCCATTTAGAATCACTTTCCTGGCTTATTTACCTGGATTTCCATTTATTCACGTCTGCTTCATGCAGCTTATGGCTCCAAGTTGCGTTCCAAAGAATAAAAAATACTGGTTAAAAGGATAAAGTAGAAAATAAATAAGGCTAAAATAAGTCCCGAATTTGCTGCAAAAATAAACGATCTTGATCTTTCACAGGTAACATTCTGTGGGTAGCAACTACTGAAGGCATGAGAAGTTCGATTGTTCTGGGTTTGTTAGCTAAAACCGTTAAAAGATAAATTTTGGTCCATGCTGTTAAGTCGTCAGCAATTACACTGTAACACTAACACTTATTTGGACGTCTTCCTGGGTTACCCTACGCAAAGTTTGTGCCCCAACGTTATGTGCTTGTGCTTGTATTCCATTGTAACTGTCTTATGTATGCACCTTGTTCAGGTCGTTGAGGACTTAGTATCAATTTCCTTCCTTTTCGTTAACTTTAGCCCTCGGCGTCTGCACATGGCTCTGCTACCCATACTTCGCCGGAGGCATTAACCGCCACTCCATCTACCTCATCCGGTTCCACAACTACGGCTAAACCTTCTTCCTCCTTGAAACGCAGAAGCCTCGATGTGGTACGTCATCTTGCTTTCTAATAATTCTTGGTATTTAATGCGGGTAGACGTTAGACGCTCTTTATTGTCGGAGCTGCCAAATAAATTTGTGTGATTTTTTATGGGAGAAATTAAATAAATGCAGACTGCTTCTTAAACTATTTGACTCGTTACGATAGTCATCACTGCACTCTATAATTTACAATACCTTCACACCAAGACATACTTGCGGATTTCACCTTCGTCAAACGCTTGCCTCTAGAAATAACAAACCCAGCCCCATCCATCACTTTTTCTCGGCCGTCCGTTTCACGTGGTTATTTAATAGAAAAGATGCCAATCATTAATTTGAGAAATTTAAGGATAATATGGGGAATGAGGATAACGTACAAAGCACAAATCTCAGGGGTGTTTTGCAGCGGTATAACGTCTTCATTTGCCTTGTATGGATACAGATAGACTTTTTCTTCCAATTTATTGACTAGTCCTGACTGTTTTTGGGCAGAAAAGTTTCACTATTTTCGAGTTGTGCCATATCAGGTAGATAGACTCGGATCTGTAATTGTTGTTTGGTTTTCAGGAGTATCATGGTGACTATCGCATTTGCAGTCCACCGCACAAAAAAAACATCGTAATTACAGGAACACGGGTGGTTTGGCGCCTACCTACCGGGTCAAACTCGATTCATAAAGCAGGCCAGCTTGAATCACATCCATTAGGTTCAAGCGACGTTTTATGAAGTGAGGTTTAAAATCAAAGGAAACTGGTGAGGCACTGTAAAAGCGCCTTTTCGATAGCCTGACGTACTTATACTCTATAACGGACATGGAAAATCGCCAGTTACAAGTCCTTATATAGCTGCCGAATATCTCAGGAACTTTTTTGGCCACCCAATTGGTGGTTATGTGATAGGTAGTATCTTGGCACAAACTACAGCTTGGCCTGCGGCCGTGTACAATCCTAGATTTCCCGATATTGTTCGAATCCTTTGCTTCAATGGTGAAAATCGTTGCTTGGTTTAATTCTTCCTCAAGTCTTCTGAAGCTGGCCCGTCGAAACGTTCGTTGGTGGAGGACGATGCCGATTTCTTGCGTTTTGTCGACCTCGCTTTGGAGGAAGACGATGAGGAGGATGCTAAGATTCTTTACGAGGATGTTGACTCTCCAATTTCGGGAGAAGAGAAGCCTGCGGCATCGGTAAAGGAGTTGCCCCCAGTGACTGATCCCACCAACGCTTTTCGAGTGGCCCTGCGTTTTCCTTGTGGTCAGCGAACCGTACTGAGTCTGGAGCCTAGTCTTCGTTTAAAAGTGCGTTACTTTCATAAAATAAGTTGATGAACTGTCACTGGTGGAAAAACATTTTTTGTGAGGTCGCTAACGCTCTGTCAAAACACTGCTTCCTTCAGCTCGAAATGTGACACCATTAAGCAGTAAATGAATCTCGTTTGACTTAAATAACGTCACTGCCAAGAATCCTGTTTAACTGGAGTGGTGTGTTTCGTTTCACTGGTTCCATTTTTTTTAAATTTCAGTCGCTGTTTTCCTATCTCAAATCGAAGGGCTACCCTTCTTCAAAGTTTGAGTTGGTTCGAGTGTATCCTCGTCTTCGTTTGAACGATCTACCTCTTATGAGTCGCATCGATGAGATTGGACTAGCAAAATCCGATTCCCTATTCCTGCAGGACATTTAAGCCAGACCTTATTCTCTTTTGTGGTATTTTCCTTTATGTGTTTTAAGTATGTCAAATGCCTCCTGGAATCCTATGTGTACATTGGTCTCGACGTATTAGAATAAATACTTATTCCGTTTATATTTAAACTTTTCTTTCTAGAATGGAAATCGCATGGTTTGATTGCTGGTTTTCAGTATGGGACAGTTGTTTGAAATACTCGTCTCTCATATTGGGTCATGCTTTTCTTTAAATCACTCTCTGTTCTTCATTTTTAGAATTTATTCTTTTCACATAGTAATTCTGTTAAATACCTTTTCGTTAAGCGGTCACTCTATTTTAAGAGTTATTTGAGGTTTTAATTTAAAAATCATGACAAAGTTGTATATTTAGTTTCATCTGAAATCCTAGTCGAAACTAGTTGTAGTCCTTGTGAACTCAGATTGAGATTTGCTTATTGGTGGTCTAAATAGCACAGACGTATGTTCTCGGGCTTGCGGTATCATTTCCTTTCCTGAGTGTCCCTGCGTCAAAGTATCGTGCTCTTTTTTAAGGTGTGGGTTATGTCCACCCAAACGACTCAAGGTTTCGTGAAGACGGTGATGGTGATGATGGAGAGTGTGGTAACTGGCCACCGGATGGTCGGCTTCCGTCCGCGTCAGATGACCACCAAGAAGGAGGTGATTGCTTTCGATCCCCTCGTTCAGCGTCACGTCCTCTACCGCGAAATAAAGAAGATTCGCAGCCTTCGCAAAGCTGGCACTCGAGACTAGCCCATTTTACATGGCTCCACTTGTAAATACTGCCACTGATTTATATACAGATACATATATAGACAGTCATTGAGATTGAATTTTCTGCCTTTTTACGCATGATGGCGATGCATTACTGTCACCTCTGTGTTCGCTCATTGTTACCAGTCATCATCATCATCATGCATGTTGCTATACCCTTAAATGTTGTCATCGGAACACTTTCAGCGAGTAAATTAGGAAACAACCGTGGGGATACATCGAAGTCACTTCGTTGTAAGGGTCCAGTAGTTACTGAAAAACTAATGATTCGTATACTGGGGTGAGGTGATTTGCCGAGGTCCTGTTGGCATATTTCCGGAATAGCGACAGGTCGAGAGAAGATTCTTTGGACTAAGAAGGCGGAAAATCTATAGCTTTTAGATGTTTCGCTCTGCTTTATAACACTGATTCCACTCAAGCGGTGGAATGCCGATTTACCACATTATGAGGTTGGGGCGTCGGTAGTACATTAGGTACTAATTGCAGTAAGATGTGTCCAGGCTTCAAGGCGCGTACATTAGTCGGGAGGGCAAACGTGATTGACGCGTCTGATTGAAGTAGCCACAACCACGTATTTTCATGGTCGTTCAGGAGCGTTTTCCAGCCTGTCCGGCATCAAAAAACTTCTTATTTCGCAATTATTGTTGGCCTCGTGCATAATACATGATGTTCCTAATTTCTCTGGTTTTAGTCACCGTTACTGTTCTTCAAGTTTTTGTAGAGCTGCTGTCCGTTAGTGTATTCATCTTTATTAAATCACTATCTCTTAGAAAATGTTTCCACTTGCATCAAAGTAAACCTGTAAAGATTACATTTCTGGAAATTATGCATTGTCTTCAGGCGGTTGTGTGCGTTCAAATCGTCATTTTCAGACGTAACGAGTCACGGTCTCGGTGAGCCACTATCTTGTAACGGTCAACTCTGCTGTGCTGAAAAGGTGAATTTGCGAATGCGGGAAACTAAGCGGCATCTGGATGTGTGGGTAGTTATTTTAGCCTCTCGCCTCGTCTTCATACATATCAATGAGCAAGTGGTCCAATGGTATGTACTTTGTAGGTCCCAGTTATGTCCCTGCAAATATAACCTTAAGATGTGAGTGGCCTTGAGAGTTCGATTTCAACCAAAAGTGGATGACTGTCCAATAAGGTGACTCGCTAATTGGTACTGCTTTTCAAACACTTTTGGAAAGTTAAATTTCCTATAGTTAGTGCTTGGGTTCATGGGCAATTTCGGAAAAGCTTCGGAAATAAGGTTTAAAAGGTGAAATACTTAATGAATAAGAGCATACAGGTTCCCATTACTATTAACTGTCGGTTCGAATGCGTAAATCACAATCCAACCGTAGTTCTCTTCGTCAGCTTATACTGCTTCTATGCCTGATTTAAAGTAAAAAAAGAATACTTTAACAAGGTAGACCTTTTGTGGAGACCCATTACGAAGGACTTAGACATTTTCCATATACTTTTAAGGGTTAACCAGGGATAGGATTTTCACTATCTTCCCTTGGATTGTTGTATTCCAAGACCCATGTATCCCCTTTAGTTTGATGGATAATCGTTTACTCTCCCACTTTATTCTCGGGTCCGGGGATAGTTTGCACAGTTTCCTGAACTTGATTAAAAGCTAAATCAGACATTGGCCTGGTGCGTTTTGACACTTTTGTAGGAACCCAGAAGCAAACGTGTTTAGTCAAACTGTACACTTCAGCCGAACTTGGGTCGGCTTCTCACCCGGCTATGGCTTTACACGATATTTAAAACCGGAACAAATTCCACTGTGCTAGTGCTATGCAAACTTGGAGTTTCTTATCGCACTAAATTCTCTGAATCTTGGAACTGCTTTTGATTTAGATAAATCTACCTGCCTTATCTGTATAAATACTGGAGATGTTACCTCAAGAAGTAAATAAAATTAAGATATGCATGAAATTGAGGTTTTATGACAGGAAAATAACCTTTAGTTTAAAATGCGAGGAAAACTAGTCTGTCTGTCATGGAATAAAATTACCAACTTGTGGTTATGGAGTATTTTTTATTTGTAAAGGTAAAGTCGTATGCTTTCGAATTTTCTATTCGATGCATTTTTCGAAGCCGGCAGGCAATTAGATGCCGCTCTTCGGCAATTATGCGATTATTCCTTGAAGTTTCGATCTCAGAGGTGCTCTAGAGTTGACTCCCTACCTCCAAATAATTAAGCGAAATGCTGGTTAAAATGCCATCACAACAACAGCTAATACGTTTCAAAGCTCTTTGAATTCAAACCAGTCGCTACTGGCACTCGTTTGGTACTTATTCCTCTGTCGACAGGTAAAACCATACTAGGTGTTCATTTGTTACCCATTCTAATTAGAAATTAGCAGTAATGGCTATCAATGCATTACGTAGTACGATTCATTATTCCTATTCAAAGAAAGTGGCTACAATTTGCCTCGTAAACGCAAACTACTTGACCTTTTAATGAAAGCACGACTGCGTTGGTTGGGTGACACACAACAGTGCACCTTTGTCAAAACAGCTACCCTCACTCGTTAATGCTAGCATTGTAATATTTTGTTGGCATTTGCAACTCCTGAGCTCTTGTAAATAATTATTTTTAATTTGGTACCTTGATGCATTGACGGCGGTATAGCATGTAATATAGGCATGGTCATATGACAATTAGGAAATTTGGAACTGAGTAATATGGCCCTGAAATTGTTTAAATAACAAAATTTGAGCTCCTGCGAGGTTTTTTTGTTCATTGACACCTATTTTTTAAAATTTTTGTCAACCCTTTCCCTGAAGAAACCAACTTATTTGCAGTGAGGCATTGTGAATAAACTTATTCTTGATGAAACTTGATGCATGCGGGCGGTTTGGATCATTGTTAGCTGCCTCATGCCACTCGAATAAGTGATATACTGGAAATAGTTGACTGTTTTCACCCGTGGACTAGCGTGCGGATATGTACGTATAAAATGGTTATGCGAATTCCAAAAATTGGCATATTGTACATGAAGCTGTTTTCGAAATTGCTAGTTGGTGGTGTGATTGGTTCTTTGAGAGCGCTAAATTTTTTACCAAAAGTAATAAAGATTATAGGAAAATATTTCCATGCACAAGCAGATGTTTTTAATAAAACATTCAAATTCCGCATTTTAGGGGAGATCATAGTCAGCTATTTAATGAAGTGACGTACAGGTTGAATGAAAAAAAAAATGCTGCACTTCAGTGATGTCCGTGAGCCCAGTAAATTTTAAGAGAAAAAAGTCCCTTTAGTTTTCCAATTGGGCAACTACATATCGCCGCGCTGCGCGTTGCCAAATTTTCATTGGCTTTGGTGGACCAATAGGAATTCTGCCCACGCCCCCTTAAACCTCCACGTACCCTTTCAGACGGACTGGAAGCAGACGGTACACCGACACAGCACATAGAGTGGCGCGCGCGGGCATGGCAACCGTCTCCACAGTACCAGCCGACCTGGTCTCAGCCGCGGCTACCTCGAACGCAAGCGCTCCCGACCTGCTACGCTATGACTCCATCCTCGCAGACGCCTGCGCTTTCAATCGACGACTCCGCAAGGGCAGGGTGGACAGACTCAACTTCTTCGACACTGCGACACAGATAGCTCAGCGTCCAGCGCCCTGGTTGCATCGCTCCGTGCAAGCTCGTACCAAAAGTAGGCCCATTTCTCAACTATCATCCCACTTGTCTACTCTCTCGTTCGTTCATACGGCTCATCAATGCCAAAATGCCTTTTCACTTGAAGAAGGCAGCTCTCACTCAGGTCAATAATACTAATACTACAAGTCGGCTGGATGAACTTTGTGCTAGTTCACGCTACACATGGAAAAAACTGGAAAAGAGTTACCAGCCTTTTGCATAATCCTTACAGTTTTACCATCTATCTTCCTACAAAAAATACTGACATTTTGTAACATGTAAGCTTAGATCTTCCAGCAGTAGTAGAAGCGCAATACCACTTTGAGCAAACCAACCCAAGTAGCCTGTCTGATTACTGAATCACAGAGAGCTTCACTATCCCCATAAACGGTATTCGAGACAAGTGTAATATTTAAGTGCGTTCCAAGCTTCTTTACCTAAGTTGCATCACCAAATCGTCAAATACAAAACGTATCTAGTGTTTCTTACTTATTGATTATCAAATCAAATGACATTTTCATGAGTTCAATTGGGGCGTTTTCGATGACAGGAAAATTGGCTCTTACAAAAAACAATCACAAGGGCGACTAATCACCGTCACTGTCATAAAATTTCTAGTTTTGTGGTTTCCAGCTCCACGAGTACCGTTTGGTTTTGGCAGACATTGCTATCGCATAGAGGCGATTCACTGTATTCAGACAATAAATGGTGTGTATTGGTGAGGCCCAAGTAACACCTAAAGGCAAAAGTCTACATATGAAAGAATTTTGTAAGTCAAATTCGTTTTAAAGACGAACCGTCGGCAAAAAAGACAAGGGTTGACTTCACTTTCCAGAGTTTCAAATTGTTGCAAGATTTGAAGCGCACAATAACGCAATTTACCGTCAATAAAACGTCTGAACCGGTAGACCGTTGACACGTTAATATGTATTAAAAGGCACTCGTTCAGACTTTACTGTCTGCCAATTTCACACCAACAGCCTGAGTGTCAACTTACTAAACGAGTAACCCAAATGGCCTGTATTTTATCGAGTCGAATATTAGTAGATAAATGGTTGATAGGTAGGCACGAATCATGAAAAAGTACTAAACTTTTCTAAAAACTTAAGACTAAGACCTATTAAGAATGTAGACCAACCAGTGCCTTTTATAATACTTGAGGGAATTGTGTTGACTGCTAGCCAATAGCTTCATCAAGGGTGTACTCTTCGGGTGGGAACACTACAGACGCGTGGCGCAGTGGTACTGTCGCAGCCTTAACTACGTTCCAACAAGTCAGTCAAAACTCACACGAAGACGCATCACCCGACGTCGCTGTTGTTGACGCGGTGACCAATTGGAGGACTTGACGATGACTCACCTAGCTTGTGTTGAACGAAAACATTGCTGATCACACCTGTGGTAGAGAGTTCCATGAAACTCCTAGGCTAGCGGAAAAAAACTTTCCTTTAACCGCTACTGTTTTTAAATCAATCACTCGGTACCAAATCATCATGTAGCGTAATTGATCAGTGGGTTCAATGTTTTGCTCTTGTGGATCGGGTCAAATTTTTCCCGTAACCTCCTATGCACCATAATGAACAATTTTGTCATGTATAAATTGTAGTAATTACGCTAAGAATGGCAAAGGTTAATAAGACAAAACAAAAACTAGAAAGGGAATAGAATCATGGGACATTTGACTAAATGACTTAAAGAGTGAGTTAGCGGATCATATGATGGCAGAAATACTTTTAAATTATTTTTAGCATTTTATCCAACACCTTAATGAAGATAAGTCTTTATTAAACAGTGTAATTCTTCGTGAGTAATAAACGCAATTTTCTTGAAATGAATTAGTCATCAGTTCTCCATTTACCACAAGGGGAATCCGTGGACAGGACAATAAGAAAATATTCCAGAAAGGATTTTCCAAAGTGAAACTATCTCATATTCCCAATTTAATCGCTTTGATTTCATGAATAAAATGGTTGTTCTTACATCTATAAGTCGATTTACCATATAAGGCCAAAATTGCCCTGAGCAAGATGCCAACATCCCGTTTCGTCTCCTATTGGTAGACGCTGGCGTGTAAACGCCGCCTTTTAACTCGATGGTGACATTCTCATGCACAGGAGATGACAGGCGGGACCAAAGGCGGAGCATTTATAAAATGAATGGGTTATCAATCATTACAGCACTACCACTTCAGCTAACTTCATGCACATATTAAGGGACTATTTATAACTTTCCAGTACATGGTTTTTGAAAATTTCCTTCCCTATGGCTGATATGACTTTTACTCTAAGATGCATTTGATCGTGCAAGGAAGAATTTACCTGCGCGATGTCTAAGCTGCATCATTTTGTTATGCTCAGCCCTGGAGTCAGCAAAATAACCTTCGGGACATTAATTGATGCAACTGAGAGCATACACGTATCTTCCTACCGCATATGGGTGACCAAATTGGGTTGCAACTTATTTAGCTCTCGGGTTTATATGCATGGAACATTCTAGGGTATCTTCGCTTTGTTGAGTTGTTGTTCTCGCCTTTATATGCATATGTTTAAAGGCTTGATAAGAGGTCGGCCATTTGAGTTTGACCTTAGAGTGTTCACGTACTTCACGATATGTTGTTCACTCAAAACCCAACTCTGCAAGCAACACCAGTGGCATAACGATCATGGGGAATGAATTAATCGATTTGAACTTGGTCATTAGGTTACAAGGTCATTAAAATGGTTATTGATAAGGCAAACCTTTTATGATTTGCAGAAACATCATTTGTCAAGATCATGCAACCTGAAGTGCATTATGGTCTCCAAAGCCTGTACACGCTTTGAATACCAGAAAAAGAGCACCACAGCATGCCGGATCGAGTTAATTCTTACCAATAAAGGCAAAGCATACACCGCGATGTAGCATCATCACGGTTGTGAGGGTAAGGAGGGGGCGACTTAAGATGTGTTGAAGTGCAAAAAAGGGGCACACGATTTTGCAAGTGGTGGTCATATCGATTAACACGCATTGCATACTTTGACGAATCGTCCAACGTGACCTTGAATTTTTTGCCTCAGAGTTGATGGCGACTGATTGGTTGATTGTGCTTCAAGCCGTAGTCGTAGCGCACGCCCTATTTGTCGGCTTAGTCAGCCGGTTGAGGGGAGGAAGAGAGGGAGGGTGGGCGGAAGGCAGAGAGGGTGGGGGCCAGGGGGCGGCTGGACCGTCGGCCGGACGGATGGGCAGGCAGGCGGGCGGGCGAGCGAGTGGACGCGGAGGGATTATTTGTCGACCGTTTGGGCATGCAGTCGGCAGAAAGGTAAAAATGCACCGACAAGGTTATTTTCTGTGTAATGAAGCTTCGTGAAACAGGATCTTTTTCCCCATATAAAGTGAGTTAATTTAGCACGGTTTTATTTTGCTATGTTACTTAAGCATACATTTCCAGTCTTAGTAAAGCACACTTCTTTCCGCTTCTAACCTTCCAAATCAAACGATAATTATGCTCAACCTTTTCAAATTGTTTGTAAGTTAATCAAAACAAGGCGATACGACCCAAAGATCAAATATCTCTTTTTTTACCGTATCACCTTAGGTTTGTCCGTGTCGAGACCACACTTCCTTGTAACATATCGGCGACATAGGTGGCGACTACAACCCGGCCTGAAACGAAGAATCACCGAAAGTCTCGAAAGCTCTCGACTTCTTTTCATGTTCCAAACAATCCCATTCCCAAGCTCTAATGTGGGGGCAGATTCGTCCAACGGTAAATTATATTAAAATTGCATCTAAATACTTTTTAATTACATTATGCACTTGGCTGGATCTACTTGTTTATCTTCTTTATTATGGCTTTACTATAGCATTTGTTTACATCAAATTCATATTTCAGCATTGAAATGCTGGTATTTTTAAATTGAGGACTTGAACTTATTTGTTACTACATTAAACACTCTAAAGAAAAATAGTTTAGTGTACCTAAATTAGCCAAGCTCTGCCCCTAGATTGAATGTAACATTCAAGTAACATATTCGAAAACGCAACTTGAAGAGTGGGAGTAAATATGTTGAGTTGTTTTAGTTGCGATTCAAACTAACATTTTACTTACTGGAAGCTTAATAGAACCACTGATGGTGACAGAGGCTTGCGGGGTTCCTCCCAAGATCGCGTGCACCTTCACGCCGAGCTGTTCGCACGTCAGTTAAATTTAATTACTCCACCCACGGAAGCAAGCGGCTTTTCTGTCCAGACAATTTCTCAAAAAAATATGCCCACGGAATTATGAAGGCAATTGATTCATGCAATCGCGAAAATATACGACACCGGGTAGTTACCCTAGACCTGCACGCCAGAGCTAGCACTCGTTACGTTACCCACCCATTCTGTTAATTCTGTTGTACTTGAAACGAAACTTTGCATGATACTGCTAGGGGTGTATGGTATAACTTGGCGGATGTAGCTTGAAATCCATAACGGAATTATTGGTTTGTGCAAGAAAACAATTCGTCCGCTTTGACTTCAGTTTCGCTATTTATTTACGCTTCAAACAACAACCAGAAGATAGGCTGGAAGATTAAGAGTTGATTTGTTCTTACGTGCCTGAAGGCGGGTTTATACTAGCTGTTCATTATTATTATTATTCAAATGAAAGGAGTATGATTCATACATACTCTTGTAAGGATCTCCGGCCCTTCATTGATATACCTGCGGCAATTATTCTTTTTAGACTATTTTTATTTAAAGTGCACAAATTGCGGTAATAAAATAACTAAGGAATGACAAAATAGCCTGTCAGGCAGTTTGCATATTTGTACTGCTTTTGAATAATTTAAACTGTTTACTGCTTGAAATGAATTATCATTGGCGCAAACACCAAGGCAATTTTTCACTACACGATTTTAGTTTTCTCAAAATACCAGGTGATAAATTTACCACGTAAAAAAAACAAAGGCAAATAGTTTTAGTTGTTGAAACCTCTATGGAAATTCTCACCTGACTCATAATACATAATTTTGAATAGAATTCAATCTATAGACTTAATCCATTTTCAGGACACAACGTGTCCCTTGCATTTCCGCTTGAATTGTTGTTTTGGAACAATGATAGAACCATCTCCTCGAATAGTAAATCAAGCTAATAGTGCACTTACTGGATATTGTGTAATCAATAAGCATAGCCAAAAATGTCGCATCTGAGGAAACTTATTCAATTTTTTGGTAGCTCGAGGCCCCGTCTCGCGAGCCCAGGTGCCCGCTAACGACTTAGCCAAACCGCAGCCACCACAGCCATCTCTGGGCATCTCCACGACCGATCCGGAGGCCTCCTTAACCGGCTCTGTCTCAGGTGAGGGATCCTGTCAGTCCTCGGTGACTCAGAACTCTGCTAACAACTCGACAACCGCCTCGAATGGAGGTGACAGGAGGCTATCGACTGGGGAAATGCAGCAATCCCAAGCATCACCCTCTTTGGAGGACTTCAGCGGGCAACGCTACGATAGCTATGGGGGACGTTATGCTGAGGATGATGATCCGGAACGCTCCAAGTTGAAGTTTCGTCGACGAATTGTAGGGATGGGCGAAAAATCCAGCGTGGTTCGACGCTACCACAGACGTCCCGGTGTAGGAATATGTGGTCGGGTGAGTGATGGGCGTGGGTCTTCCACTAGAATCGATTCTGTGTTCCGTACTCTTTTTCACTGGTAGCGCTTATTGATATATGATTTTAGTCTGCCGCATTTCATTTGAGGTTAGAAAGTGCAGTAACATCGACAGAAAGTTTTATATTCCTTGGAACTTTTTTCATCAAATTCTCAGTAATTCCTCTCATTGTTGTGCATCTTTACTAAATGGTAAGTTAGTCTTATCTAGCATGATTAGTTCAGTTAAAGTGCATATAGATATGATTGCTGGAGCTATTTTGTGATAAAAAACTAATTGAGTGAAGTAAATAAAACACAGTACCATAAAAATGGAGACAAATAATTAACTCTAATGGCGGGAAATTTTCTAGACTTGCAAAGGGGCTTCATTCATAAGTATAGGTAGGATGATGGATACCGACGAAGGCTGTGCCGCCTCACAGACGTGCAGTTAAACTAAACGATTCCTCACTACTTTTAATCGCAGCCATGAAAGCAATTCATTGTGAACCCCAAAGGAGTTGCATGAAAATAACTTTAAGGGGGTTTAAGACTGAACCAAACTCCCTGAAAGATGCATCACGGTGAGAGAAGATTACTTTGAAGTAAAATATGACGATGCATTAGTTCAAGTCTGACTTCCACGCTGAAATTATCAGTACATTTTAATCACCGTCAACATAATATTTTTAGGGAGACATCAGCATAACCAACTTGGTTGGATATGGATTGCACTGGGAGGCCTTATTTTTGCAACTCTGCATCCACTCCCGAGTATTAATATTAGAATGTTTGGAGCCTGATAATAAAACTCCGAAAGTAAGGATGAAGCTCGACTGGTGGGGAATATTTGGAAATAGTAAATGTACATTAACTATATAGGAATACAGTTACTCTCTAAAGGTCTATTTTCCAGCTTTCCTATTGCTACTGGTGAATGTGCCTTTTGTAAAAATGTAATATACCCTCAATTCTTATCGCCTTCTCGGTGGGATAGCGTTTTTGACATCTCATTTTACATGAGAGGCCCAAGAACAGCGTTACCCACCTTCCGTACATTTTAGAACTGTAGTATTTTACATTCTTTATTTCTAGTAATCGGTCATGCTTCCGCCTATTGGTAAGATCCCCACGGATTTTTTTGCCTAACGAGAGGGATCTTGCTAATTTCGTTGAAATAACTATTTAAAATGTTACACGTACGACAATGGAATGAGTCTAGATTTTGGTAAGTAAATAAATAAATCACGGTGGTTTATCTACCAATTTCGCTGACGAAAATTTCATAAATTTGATAATAATGGGTTTATCAGGGCAATTGGGTACAGTGTAACAGGGCGTTGAGGGATAAAGGTGAGTAGAAAGTAACACTAAAATTAAATAATTATGGGAATTAACAAATGGCAATGCTAAAGGCTGTATTTACTTTTTGCTGGATTGTTTACGTTTGTTTTTTTAATGCGGCACAAAATGTCAAAGCTTTATAAATGGAGAGCTAGATGCGCAGTTGCCTACTTCGGCTGTCCGACGTGTTTTCCGCATCCGTGAATAGAGACCTAAAACAAACTATTAAAATACCAAAAGCTTAAGTACTAGATGTCTAGATTTGAGCAAAAAATAGCCACGACAGATGGCATTTCTATAGAGTATCTTATCATTTCGCTGCACGTAAACAAGTCCCACTTCACAAAGTCATGAAGTTAGTAGTTTAGAAAACAGACTGAACTGTAAATTGGTGCAGACTTTACAAAACAACACATTGTTGTATCGTTCGTCACACTATTGCCTGCGGGCATTAATAAAGTTAAGCAATTTCGGAATTTTAGAATATTAAAGTGGAATGGGTTTTAAATTGGCTGCTGATTTTGGAATATGCGACATTTCGTGCGTCAAGTGTTTACTGACACTGCCACGGAGAGTAAAAGTGCAGCAGACGCGTGCGCCTACGAAGGGCAATAAATCTTCCCTCAAACCTTCACAAATTTCGGCAGAATAAGCACTATGCGCAAGTATGCGCTAAAAGAATATAATCAAAAATTATTTACTGGATCACCATCAAATATGAAGCCCGTAATTCACATATTCATCCAAGCTTCGTTGGAGATATTTTCTCCTTGTTTCAAATGGGAACAAAGCTTGTATAATGTGTTGGTGAAGTCAGTCAGTACAATAGCACCTAGACTAATTTCCCCCACTTTTACCTATTATGACTTGTTTTCCTTTTCTTCAATCTCTTTACTTCTACTGGGTGATTACGAAGGTTTATTTGTGCATTGAAAAACAATCGAGGTGGATGATTCGTTGGTGAAAACAGCCATGAATGAGAAAGCATTTGAATCAATTAAATACTGAAAATCAGTGACGATTCTGGACTTTACTTCTCATCGCATTATGTACATAACATTGTATATTTGGGGAGAACATTAACCTTGTGAGTATTATTGGTGCTTCGCAGACTTTAGATTCATAAATAGCAAATACAATTTCACTCAAACTAGGGCGTGAATCCACCTTCAAGATGCCTCTTCCACGAAAATTCCTTACTTTTTTGGATCTGTTGATCCCGCCTCTTAAGAATAGAAATAAGACAATTTCTTGATGAATTGCGATTGCAAGACGTATCCAGTCAGTGAAATTTAATGTTATACTTATTTGTGTAAACACTGTCCATAAACTTAAGCAATCTGTGGTTTTGGCTGATTACCGATTTTTAGTGATTAGTCAAAATTTTGAGACACCCTATCATTGCGTACGCTTGCAGAGAACGGAGAACCATCAAGAATTACTTTACGATACCTTAGTTAACTTTGGAAATTTCCTCCAATCCAAATGCTCCATTACTCCTAAATGACAGCTTTACCGCGAGCAATTACAATTTACTGTTATGTTCTAATTTGTTCTGTAAAGGGCTATTCATTATCGGTATGTTGGTGACTCTGGCTACGAAATTAGGCCACGTCTGATCTCGCCTATTAGGGCATGGTCTCCAAAGCTCAGAATACATTATGTACTGTTAAAAAAGCCGCCGGTAATGTAGGGCGTACACTAAGCTGATATTTTGAATGGCAAGAAGTTATCCATATAGAGTACACTGTGTGTAGGAGGATAGCATTAATTGCGCACTTTTATAATTTTAGCCACGCGGAAGGAGGGGCGTTCCTGGAAGGTACGACAACAGTAGCCGATGGACGTCGCTCGACGACTCAGGCAACAGTCTACAGGGTTTTGATGCTGGATATGAGGAGGAGAGTCCAGGTGCACAATTGGTCCCATTTAAGTTTTTTTTTAATTTTCAAAGTAAATAACAACCGTTTGCAAGTGTAGTTATAAATACTGGAAGAAAAAATGGTTGCTTTCCAGATGTTTCGCTGAATCCATGTATTCATTAAGACAGTTATTCTCGTCTCGATTATAGTCTCTGCTAATTGAAGGAAATGTGCTTGTTTACCAGACATGCCTGTATATGCGAAGGGTGGACTAATTTGAATACTGGACGTATTTTGGCTATACCCATTACTCCGTTGGAAGCGATAGGGGTTACAGCCAATTACCTACTCAATTACCGACACAATAACCCATTTATTAGTGCTTGCACAATAATTATATTTGACGAATGGATTCGCCTTATCACAAAGTACATTACATAAGGCACACTTAGTGAGGGATGCAATCGCATAGACTGAGTGCGTTATTCAGGTTCAGTGGGAGTTATAAAAGCTGGCGCAGTGTACGCATTTCCTCACTGATGCGAAAAGAATGCTCTTATTCTTTAGGCATTCACATTAAAATAGTTGACACTAGATTAGCAGTGTATGAAGAAATCAAGCAAAAGCATACGATGAGATTGTTAATATCGGGTTGCTGACCATCAGAATATCTTTTTAATTGTGAGACAAGCCAATCATGGGTGGTCGGAAAAAATTTACTAGTTGTAATGTTCGGGCGTTCCCTTTATTGACATTGGGTACCCAAATCCCACTATTTTGCTGTGATAAATAATTTTTCTAAAATCTACTCGCCACGTTGTCAAAGATCCACTGGACTCATGGCATTTAAAGTTAGCTTGAATGGTGATGACTCTCGTACTAAAGGTGCACCAAATGCGAACTTGACTTATGAGGCAAATACAAGTTTACTTATGACAATTTAATGAAGTCTTGACCACATTAAAACAGATTTTAATGTCTTTCCTAGGTGATAAACTCGGTGCCAAGGTATCATTTAACTTCACGAGAATTCAAACTAACGAATTTAAACGGATCTCGTAATCGGAAAAAACCGTACATTACCTTTTAGTCACCCGCAGATGAATTGTAAATGCGGCATTGAAAGCTTGCTCAAACTTTTTCATGCCAGGGCACTACTGGTAGTCCGGATGAAATCTCGTAGCTGCTAAACTTATTAAACTGCTATGTCAAAACCAAACAATTTATTCGGACATATGTTGTCCAGAATTGGTGAATTAGGAAGGGTTGTGTATCAGGGTAACATGAGACCACACACAGGTTTGGTCACTTGTCAAAATGACAGGCCTGGGTGGGATGGTTGAATGCAACTATCCAACGCTCCTAAACCACGTAACCATATCAGACTTTTCCCAAAATGTTCACTAAGTGCTAAAATCGGTTAACTCATTAAAGCGGTTCTAGTATTACCCACCGATTTAGTCATTTAAAAGATACCAAGATCAACGCTTTGGTCGCAATGTACACTGCCTAGTAGACAGGAGCTATATCGAAATAGGCTGACACATTGCTGCCCACAAACAGTGGTTGAAATAGGTGATTACTAATTTTTGTGATCCCTTCATTTTGATTCGTATCAATCGTTTCAAAAATCCTCAATATTTATTTGGGAATACAAGGCTCGGCGACCTACCTTAGTTTGTTCGAATCATGGAAAAAAGGTACAATCTCAATCGTTGTAAGTTAAACCGGCCGTACGTTAACATGCTTTGCATCCTTACCACTTACAAGTATTAAATTTCATTTTATGCATTTTTGGTGGAAAACAATTGACTTGTCCATCACGCTGATAATGGTAATGCAGCTGGGAAGAATAGTAAACTCTTTAATTTAAGGTTTGTGTGAAATAAGAGAGACTGTTTTCAAGCGAAGAGGAAATTAACTTTCGAACTCTATTTCTGCTTCTCCAGTAGGCTGTTCTCCTACTCATGAATTGGGTTTAATCCAATTCGTTCGCAATTTAGGTGCATTAAATATCGCCAGGTAAGTTCATAGCTCTTGCACTGTTTCGTTGTCATACGGTAGTAGAGAAACGCAACACTTATGAGTGATTCCCAAATGTTCCTGTTTGAAATTATTGTATCTTATAATTAAACCTTCAAAATTCGAAGCTTTCTGCAACAGATATATCTGGTTAAGCTGACCGGTGGGTTAAACTGCACTTAAAGACATTCAGTAAAATGACGCTCTGAGAAATCGTGCGCATTAATTCATAGGTTGCGGATAGGAATCCCTCATCAATTGCTTAAGACTTCTCGGGATGGTTAACTTGACAATTACCAAATCAATATTGTTGGCGTTCACAACAACTGGTTATTATAGCCATCACGCGTAGAGAGGGTGTGCTAAAATGGCATCTTTTGACTCTGATGACTTGAGAAATACTTTAGATGTTTGGGACTTGCTCATCATTTTCGTAAACATTGCATCAAATAAGGCAAATCCCATTTTCCGATTATAAGTATGTCATATTTTTAGAATCTAACTACAGGTTATGCAGGTGACGAAAACTTTGATCCCCTTTTCAAGTGAACCTTTTAAATTACCTCTCACGGGTCCCTTTCATGTTTCTAGATGCCTACACACCACCTGACGAAGCCATCTACCGCAGCAACGCCAATCTATCGACGGGTGGGCTCAGCGATGGTCTCCCTGCCAAGCTTCCCCACCCTCACTCAGGTTTCTTTGAGGTCCCGGAGCTCCTTGAAACTGTTGTTGTTCCCCGATCAGAGACGCCGACCACTTCGCAGCACCATCACCACCAGCCGCCCACTCCGGCATCGCCACCGACTCCTGCGCCTACGCCAGTGCAAATGTCTGCGACGGCGTCATTAATGATGGTACCACAATACCACCAGCAGCAGTCCCTTATATTTGGTGGTATGGACAAGAGAATGCTTCCTGAGACGATCCACGATCCAAGCAATCTCGAATGGCGAAATGCTGTTCAAAGACATCCTCATGTTAACGGTCCTGACAATATAGGCAGTATGTTTCTAGCAAACATGCAATAGCGTTTTATGTTACTGAGGGTGAGATCAGCATTGAGGTGTTCTCGATATTAAGATTCGATGCTACCGGACGTGCCACAGGCTCCAGCACCGTCACCACTATCATCGTTGCCGCCTAGACGACCGACAATGTCCAACCAACAGCCACACAGTAATCCGGCGTATCAGCAACATCATTCATCGCCACTTCCGGCACCTCACCACCATCAGCAGCAACCCCTGCCACCCCCACCAGCCTCAATGCAACCGAATACACCGCCACCATTGCCACAGCAACCACCACCTCCACCACCGCCGCAATCGCTGCAGCAATCGAATTCAGCATCGGGTCCACCTGAAATGAATGCAAACCAAGGAGGTGGAGGTAGTAGTGGTGGAGGCACCGCTCACGGTCCCTTGGGCACCCCACCTCCACCTACTGGCAGTAGCGGACCCCCGGAACCGACCACCGTGGTGACCTTCTTTGTCTGTGAGGTCTGCGCCTCCCGATATCGATCGACTGCAGGTCTGAGGTACCATTACCATAGTCAGCATGCGGGATACACACCGAGGAATCCGATCTCGGCTTCTGCTTCGAGGATAAGCATACCTACTTCAGAGTATAATCGATTCGCTCCGAATACGGGACCGCGGGGAGGACGCAATGGGAGAAATAAGCGTAGTAGAAGTAGGTCTAGGCATGGATACACTTTCATAATGAAGTTCATAGGTGTTAGTAAAGATCTGTTGTGATTTTGTGCAAACAATGAATAAAGATACCATTGTGAAGACGGGGCTAGTGGTGGTGCTCAATGTGTAATCGGCCTTATCGGGTTATTTGGTCTCTTACTATCTTTTTTTGGATATATGTGAATGTTGATTTTCCACAATAAAAGTATGTGTTAAACAATCCACCACAAATTAAAATCATCAGTAGGAGTGATTGATGGTTTTCCTTGTTCCTATTTTGTTTAAATTGCTATTGGTGAGGAAGTTGTAATATCTGATCTCCTAAGAGTTAGCAAAATAAAAACGATGAGACGGTTAAATCAGGGTAGTGTAAGTTTCTTAGCTGTGGTACCAGTAATGTAATCCATGGTATTAATTGCATGAAATATCTACTACAGGACACATAGATATGCAGCTTGCATTTGATTTGAATTGCAAAGGCAATTACCCAAGCTACCGCAGTGGAGGGACAAACAAGGGGCGGGGGTTGTCGGCGGCAAACCAACAGATTGTGAATCAACGGAATGCAGCTCAGACGCCGGGGGATGGGAGCGAGTCCGATCCCTACCACATGCCCTCCGCCAACACCCCTGAGGAGCCTCATCCTCGCAGTGTCTACTCCAGCAGTAAGTATCCAGGCCCAGTGCACTATTCCAACTGTTTAAAAGCCAATTTTTTAAATTAAGACCAAGTGCTTTATGTACCTGCCTCATAATAGAGTAATTTGTACATTTTCACAGTAGACTTCTGATTAAGAGCGCTTTGGTTCTCTACAGAAAAAATTTAAATGATTTGCCGCCTATTGTAGGTAGTGAGCCGCTGCAAACAGAATCTTCATTGAGTTCCGTCAACTCCAGCTCCTATATTTCACCAATCAAGCTTAAGTCACCGAATGACATGGAATACCCCTCTGGCCCACGCGGAAAACCCTACTCTGGATATCCTCCCCCTCCCCCCCCGCCCCCCTCCTACCTCGTCGGGTCACCAACCGCCCCCACCGCCCTACGATCAGCACCCCTACTACGGCGCGTCCTCAGCCCTTGCTTCCATGGACCACATGGCCTCCTCCCTTCTTCGGCAACAACAGCACCAACAACCACTTCATAGCCTTCTCGCCCAACTACATCCGACTTCGTACAAGCCCTATGGCGATTCCTCTGGCCATTACTATACCCCTCAACAGCGGCCCTACAATGGCGGCAGACCGAGTTTTGTCGAGCTGAAAAACATGCTGAGACATAGGAGAGCCCAATACTCCGCTGACGCCTTTACGTGCGGCTACTGCCAGACTCATGTGGAGAGCGGTAGTGGTGGGGGTGGGGGAGGAGATTCGGGAACGGAGGGAGAGGGTGTATCGTACACGCGGTGCTTCGGCTGCGGAATGCCTGTGCATCACTTCTGCATTCTCCGGTATCGCAACGGTGGCGCTGCGAACTGCTCTCGCACCCCCAACAGTCAGCGCCTTTGTTATCCCTGGGTGTGCACTGAGTGCAAGTCCTGTTGGATTTGTGGCAGTGGTGCTAATGAGGCAAGCTCAAACTTCCACCTTCTAATCCTATACTACCCAATCATTTATAAATAAGCAACTCATTTATAAATGAGCAACATAATTATCATAATAAGAATGATTGATGGAAGATGTAGCGGGAACCGTCCCCACTTTTTGAAATAATTTCTCGAAATTGCCAAATGTGTTGAATTTTTTCTTTAGAAAGCGTTAAGGATAAAAGTGGTTCTAGAAACAGTGTAAACTAGATTGAAGTAATTATTTCTCTTAATAGAAAGATGAGTTATGCTCCCGTTCTTTGTCATTTCATTCGATAATTTGGAGTGATTTATTGCTTTGTGAAAACAAATATTTCACTGGAGGGAGAGAAAACACTACCACGAAAGTATCATGACGAAAGCGGACAACTGTTTCAACTTTGTGGAGCCACCTCAGAGCGCTGTGGAAATCACATAATGATAAATACCTTTTCGCTGAACAAAAAGATGGCAACATTAGTTGTTTTTGGGTTTTTTTCCAGTCTGATTCTTTGAAATTATCCCCTATTTTGTAGATGATGTGATACTAGCTCCACGTAAAGTGACTCTAGATATACCAAAAGGCGCTAGAAGCTGTCGAGAACTAGTTTTGCTTATGATTATTAAGCTTAACTATCCTCGTCTAAAGTCTCAAGTTAATGCTTTAGTGACTAAGCCCTAAGTTATTTCTATTAGATTGTCACGGTGATACAAAATGGCACCAAGTTCATAGTGCGACATCTCCAAGACTACCACATAGATGGAAATGAACGTTCGCCATACTTCATGCTAAAAAAATATTTGCTAAAAATGCACGTATAATCTGACGATAAGTGTATCGGAAATACACGGCTGGAAGGCGACGGAGGGGTGAATTCTGCATTTCCTGTCGTTCGAGCAAAACTTTCCATTGAATAAATTTTTTTTCTTAAAATTGTCCATAGGTAAGAAATATCGATAAGCTAGAGGTAACTTTATATTTAGTGCTATGCAGGCAGCATTTGCACCAGAGGTATTCTGAAATACGAGATTGTTGATACATTTCTCCATTTGCAAAGGTCACGTGACTACCATGGCGTCTAACCTAAATCGTAGGTGGCCTTTTGTTGACAATGTATCTAGGACGCATGGGCAACCGCATTAGCTGCTGTCAGTCTTGTATAGCTGAAACTTACATCGATAAATGAAAATCGCGGCAGCACCGAATATACTCCGTAATCTTAAATATTAGTTGGTTCACTTTCGAAGCCTCACTGTTTGCTCGGTACGAGCTATCTTTTTCTACCTGATCCTTGAAGTTAGGTCATCAAAAAAGTATCTTCCGCTTGAATTGGTTCTCACACACAATGGACACCCGAAGTCGCAGTGGTCAACTCTCCCTTAATAAGCGTGGCCACGCATCGTCGTTTACGCCAATCTAAGTTGCTCGACCATGATTCCATGTAGGTTACCTGCGTAAAAGCTCATGAACATATCATTTTCTGCACGTACAGTCATCATTCTCCACTCAACTTGTGCGTTGGAAGTGTTAAAAGACTATCTGAAGATCGTGTCAAGTAATTCAACTTATATACCAGCAGAGATGACCGTCAACGTCATTGCAATTGAAGTTCGCAGCCTTTTTGTTCTATAAACTGTAATACGTTTTTTGCATTAAGCTAGATCAGAAGACCTCCCTAGCTAAGTTAAATCAAGTAGGAATTTTATCTGACTTTTACACCCATTAAGAAGCTCTCTTGTTTTACTTCATACGTTATAACAATTCCAATGCTTTGAGTAAGGGCCAAAATGAAGCAAAACCCCAGCAGTACGCAAGGTCCGTGTAACATGTTGAGCGTGAGTTAGAGCACGGGTGCCTGAAATGGTTGAATTATACTTTTTACTTTAGAATAAAAGCTTCGAGATTAGTTGATTGTAGTGGTTGACAAGGCCTCAGGGCAATTTGCTTGTTACCCCTGTTGCCATACTCTCGAAACTTCTTCATTTTAATTCTCTGATTAAATTCCCTCAGTACAGCCTAAGTTGGAAGGACAGCAACATTTAGTAAGCATTTCTTATTTAATTTGCTGTTTACATTATCATCGTTTTTGGTGGGCAAAAATGTTTCGTATCCATTAAGCTATTCACATTGGCTAAGCCAGATACCAAATGTTACATAAGCCACGGTCAACAATGTGATTTCGATAAGCCCTCCATGCTGACCATTATACATAAACAAAAAAATTATTTTGACTCTAATTCTGATTTCCAAGCCCCAATCGCCTGCACCCCAATTCCCAAAGCCGGAGAGGCTTAAAATGCGAAATGTCATTGCTATTGAACACAGGTGGAATATTAAGCTAAATAGTTACTGACCAAAAGACACCAAGCTTCATTTTACTTTACTGTAGCTGTAAAAACTCCCCAAAAGATGACATCAGCTGCCTTACCTCATAGAGTTAAAAAATATAATTTTGAGGAAAAGTGTCTTTTGCACTTCCACTATCATATTAAAACTCCGATATTGTTCTTTTCTTTACGCAACATCTAAAACGTAAGGATGTGTACGCACACTTTCGCTGCACCACAACGTAATTTGCTTTGCATGCAGGATTTGATTATGTGCTGCTGTGAATGTGACCGCGGTTACCATGGCTACTGTCTTACGGGTTCCTCACCGGGCTACCAGACCACGGGCTTTCCGGATGACTGGGTTTGTGAAATTTGTCGTCAGCAGGACGCCTGTCTTCCGCCACAGCCGCCAACGATCCACTGATTCGGATGGAGTCACTTCCACAAGTGCGCCTGCGCCCATGCAATCACGCGCGCACTTATGAACGCACATTCACACAGATAAACAGGGTCATATAGACGAGAAAAACAGCCAACCCAGCCACTTCCTCTGTCCACCCTTTTGTTCGCTCCTTTTTTAAACCAAAAGTACTCAGACTCAGCGTACGTGTTGCACGAACTCCAGCCCCAAGGAATACTTTCTTTTCTCACCACTCGGCTATACAGGTTATCTTCATCAATGGCTATCTTCACTATCATTATGCAACTTGCCAGCTCCGAAAATGAGCTTTGCCATTATCATCTACAGTCGCCAGACCTAACCCCTCCTGATCGAGTCAAACAGGGTCAATATATACAAATATAAAAGTAATTGTATGTAAGTATGTACAAGTTTACAAGTGCGTTTATCTTGCCTTTCTCCTCCAAACCCTATCATTTCCTACTTACCAGCCTTCATCATCTCCTTGTACTCAACTTTATATTTTATACTCAAAGCATTACTCCGCCTCTCTTCGCCCATTAGCCCTGACGCATTTTCATTTCTACTGGTTTTTGACTTTAGAACTCTTAATGCATCACACCAGTCTGGGCGCGAATAAACGCTCACTCCAGTAGATAGTCCAGGCTTTTTCGCTATCCGAAGGGAAGTCCTCTTTAAATACATTAATGTTTTCTTTACTGACTTGGGAATTCAGACAATGGCGAACATTCGAGGTACTGGGAAAGCCAGTTTGGGTGTGTCTGCTATTGAAGCATGGTGGAAATGCGCTTTTAAGTTGGGTAAACACGAACGAAACACACGCAACGGACTGCAAGTCAGTATTTCTGCATGCAAAGCTTGTGCGGTGAAGCTTTTGTTTGCCCAAAAAGTCAACAAACCAACCCAATTATTTCTGACATCAAACAAATCTTCATACGTGCAATAAAGCAACGCACGTAAAGTGGAAATATCTCGGGCAATATATGTTTGGGTGGAAAAATAGGGACGGTTATTTTCATGAGCATCCTTTTACATCCTGGGAGAGTAAGAAGCAAGTTTAGTTGAGGTGTATAAACAGAAATGTAGTCAGTAATTGGCTAATGGACGTCTTAGTAAATAAATTAGTCGATCCTTATCCATTGGTTCACTAGGAAGGAGTTCTCACAAATTGAACAAAATAAAGTTTGCGGACTTTGGCCAGCCCGATGCAGGTGCATTGAGTTTACCTCTCCAGTAAGCATCACTTTGCGTTACTGAGCCATTTAAGAACGCCGAAATTTACTAACACCTGCTAACGATGAAAATTTTCTTCGATTTACAGCAGATACTATAGTCGTGCGACGTTGGGCTGATTGCCTCAAATGCAGCGTTGATGTCCCAGGTGGACAGGATTCAGGCGCCAACAAGTACGCTGAAGGTCACAGGGGAAGTGCAGAGGCATGCCGAGACTTGCCCTGCCGACGTCCATGCCCGTGCCCTCCGTATGTGTGGGTCTACATATTAGTGGGTCAATTGGCTATCTGAGTACAACACACTCCTCCCATTTTTAGCCGCTGAAATGGGTAAAGTATGGAAGGAAAGAGGTCCCTTCATTGAGACCACCATGGTAACTAAGTTTGGACCCTAGGCCAAGATATGCAAAATTAGGGAGTGTAGTCGATAAAGCTACAAAATTAGCTTAGAAGGGGAAGTCACCTCCAAATTTTATGCAACCTACTTACATTAACATTTCGACCCAGGCGTCACTCAAGATGGCCACAATTTCTTCCTCTGAGAAAATTCACTGGGCTATTTGTGCGTTGATGAGATAAAAACTGGTGTTCTGATATTCTATCGAGATAACGGGTGACGAATTGACAAATCGACTGCTTCTCAAGGCGAAAATAGGCACAATGTCTTTGAAGAATTTTGGCTGTTACAGTGACTAGCCGAAGTCTTAGCCCATACTTTTGCCTAGACCTCAACGAAAAGAACAAAAAAGCCCCTTTTAATAAATAATGCACAACTCCTTTATTGCTGACATCGAGTTGCAAGTGGCGAAAAACAAAATAAAGTAGTCTCTCCCTCATATAATTGCGATGATGTATGAGCGGTTGCCACTTTTCTGTGGAAGTTGAGCACAAGAGCTGTCGGAATTTAGAGGCATTCACTTGTACTTTCCATAAAGGAGAAGGTATATGTTAATGCTGAAATGTAAAAATAAGAAGCTGTGAGGTATAACCTGGTGTAGTAAATAAAGGCGGGCAAATTAAAGATTACTGGTAAGATCGGTGCAAAGATGTAAGAAAACAGACTTTACAAATAGATCTTGAAAAATAGCTAGCAAAAAAATATTTCCTAAGGTTCCCATCTTTTTATGGGTGATGATTAATTAAACGCATCTGAAAGAGTTTTGTATAAGTATGAGACAAACAAACTGGTCTTTTCGTAATCTTAGTAAGTAAAACAGAAAGTCATTCGATTGAATCACAAAAAATTCACTAATAAGCAGATGAATACAAGTTTATCTGTTACTTTGAGTAACGATAGTACGATTTTACTAACACCCCTGTCGAAGCAAAGTGGATCAAATGGGACCGAACGAGGCCCCAAGGCGGCATTAGGACACAGTAGTTCAGTCGAGCTTTCAATAATCGTGAAGTCGAAAAACTTCTGCAACTACTCATTATTTATAGAGTAAGGTTGTGGGCTAATAATATTATGCTGAAAAGATTCTTTGAATTATATGGAAGTGGCTGTTCTCTTAACTGTACACAATATCAACTGCTATTTATAATGGTTAATACAAATGGAACCTAAATATAACTCGAAAACTCAGTGAAACGTATTCATGAATGTGGTAGCATTTTACCAAGTTCAAATTTTTACATTTTAATACACTTTTTGGGCATTTTACAAGAAGATGCAGCAATGTCAGGAAGCTGGAGGATCTGGGAAGCGCTTTGCTGAAGGACTTCGTTTATCGTCGAGTAGCATGAATTGCCCGTTTAAATCTTGATGGGAATGAATACTAAAGTTAAAAACATTACACCTAATAGATGTAGAAAAATGAAAAACTCGGAAGAAATGCTGCACCAACGCAAGAAGTACGCTCTCCTTTCCCACTGTCGGCAAGGGAGGGTTGCATTCAGGAGGCACACAAGCCACTTCCCTACGACTGATCTGTTGGAGAGTTGACTAATACTCTCCTACCAAGATGCTAGGAAGAGAGCCAACTATAATTATGCATGAGCAAGATATGGACACGTCGGAGAGGTGAATTGGAAAAGTCCTGTAGCACATTCGCATTCCGACATGGGAGTGTGACGACGCTTAGAAGGCACGGAAAAGACCCGCGATGACTCAAGACGCGCCGAAAGCGGTTAGTCATAGGCCACGCTGTTGTACACCAGCGAGAAAAAAAACAAGCTCCAAATTGTTTGCGTGTGCTACGATGGTACCAGGTGGGGATGAGGCTGTCTCGCGTGCAGTTCTTTTTTTCTACCCCGTTTTTTTCATTTGACTGACTAATTAACTTATTGGAATCCCATTCTTGTATCCATTACAAATTACCATTACTATGTAGGTCACAGCAGATACAAAGTACATACTTGAAGGAAATGCTTATAACTCAATGAAACATATGAAGCGCTTTCGATTGAGTTAACACAAAAACTTAGTAACTGCTTTGGGTGGTGGGTTGATAAAGAAGTCACACTTTCTATTGAAGTAAAATAAGTACAACTATAAAGTTAAGCTAATGATAATTTCCAACATACGCGGTGAGCACAAAAGCGAGAGCGAGGATGAGGGCTCCCATGTGAAACACAAAGCCGGCATTCATAAAAACCGTCGTAGCAAACAGTGCTGGCAACGCAGTCGAGCCGATGAACGAACCCAGCGCATCGGCGAAGCCAACAAGTGCATACAGGAGACCTTGACGATTAAAAGCAAGTATGGCAGAAGCGAATAACCGCTTTAAGTATAATAAGTAACTGAAATAAACAACTGTTCGCTTTGCATTTAAAAGAAGTTTAGTTCAATAATGCAAGTTAGGCTTTGATAGGGATTTCATAAAAAGTCATTTATGTGCAAAGAGTTGTTTGAATTCGACTTCCCACTGGGATTGATAAATTGCATAAATAACAGAAGACAAATTCTCTTATCCGAACTCCGAGGACTTACTTGCTGTATTGTTGTGGATTAGGAAAAAACAACTTCTGACCTTTCTTGACTTGACTTACCTTGCACTTCACACGTTACCAAACCCGATAGAAGAGCTCGTGCGAGAGGTCCATAAAACTGGAAGGCGTTCAAAGTCATGCCTGAACATATAAAACAAAAGGGAATAAATGATGAAGGAACACAAAAATAACAAAGGCTAACATAGGAGTCCATGATCACTTTTGACTTGGAAAGTGGGCACTAAATATCTTCCTGAGAATTTGGTTTAAACACCGCTCAGGGTGCACTAATAAGGTGAATTCGAACTACGGTAATCTGAGACAAAGCGGTCCCCTTGTCACCCAGTTACTCAAATCATTGCCAATCAAGATTAAATGATGCTAAAAGCCATTTTGTACTAAATGCACTCATCGTTGCCACCTTAACTCATTAGGGGAAGAGGGAAGTATGTACGGAGTGATAAGTTATAGTTGTGAAGACACGAATTTACTCGTTAATTATAATTAGAAAGTTGCACATTCAGCGACTTGTGCTGCTTTTCTTTTGTGATTATCTTCGCTGCTTGCTAAAAGCGAACTAGCATCATCGTGACATAAAACCTGGTTTCTTACTCGTAATCGACGATAGTTTAAACGATAAAATTTTATCTAACCTGTTCAATATATGAAAGAGTTCGAATAACAAGCAACAATGTTGGATAGAGTATAATCAGGAGGAGAGTAACCTTACCAATGAAGAGCAGAACGAAACATGTGGGTTTGCTGAAGTTACTCGAGAGCCCGTAGAAGAACCGACTCACAGCCATGACAAGGAAGATGCCGCCAAGGCTGAAAAGTATGATGCGCCGAGCCTCTAGGATCTTTACTTTCTTCTCAGCGGCAACTTCGGCGCCAGTGAGACATAGGACGTCACCCTCGCTGGTGGACGCTTTGGACGTCTCGAGTGCCGGGGCGTTTGGTGTGGCCAGTCTGGGCTGCAAGTAGAACATGTTGAAAAGCACGAAGAGGCCAGAAGCAATTGAACACCCGATGGTTCGTAGCCCACTGAAACAAAAGGTGAATGACTTCGAAAATAGGATCGCTGATCATTACTAGGTACATCGCTAAGTGCGCATTTAAGATCACAAATTGATTAGACATACTTGAATTTGAATATGTTAAACTGACTTCCAGTGAATAAATTGAGGACGGTAGCATTGGTGCCTGCTATGCAAATGTAACAATAATGATGTTCCGCATTTTTAAACATTGAAAAGTGAATGCATGTTCGTCGGAAATATACTTGCCTCATTTACGAACAGAAAAATCTTCAAATTCCATTAAGGTCTAGTATTGCACCATTTGGTAAGGGTTCACACCTTAACACAGATTTCTCATACTCTCAGAGGGGTGCTGGAGAATATTCTAATCTCCTACCGTCTTTCTGTGTGTTCTCTGAGTGCAGTGCAAGTGGAATGAAGAATGAGGGGAAAGATGTACAGAAAGAGGAGCATAATTCCTGTTTCCTATTACCTATCCTCCAGAAATAGCAATCTTAACAAGGTTGGAAGACGGCATAATGCATGCTATGTACTGAAATGGTTTGAAATAGGTATAAAACATATTAAGGCATGTGTACTTTGAAGATAACAGGATACCAGGTTTTATATTTCAGTTCCGTATTTATTAAATCATTTTTATTTATTATTAATGGCGTGTACTGCAGAGGAGCCTTTATCTTATTTTGACTTATAACTTATTCATAGCAGTTTGGAAGTAAAATTAACAGGTAATTTCTTCCTTCAAAAGTATTTTGACTTGAGAAGCCGCCTTTGCTTAATAGGATCCTAGATTTGCCGGCGCAATTTCTGGATTGCTTTCATATTCATATTGGTATTCGTATTATTAAAAATCAACTCAAAACTCACCTATCTTTGAGATACATGAAAAAATGACAATTGAAAGCCAAAGATGCGCACATTAATGGCGGGACAGCGACGGAACTCGTTACCTCCTCTTCCCTATATCTAACACAGAAGCGGGAAATAATCTACCGAGCACATGATTAGACAGAAGTCGGTATTTTAGCCTGCATTTTTATATCTTATTAGAGGCAATTAGCTGTAATCTCGCAAATGCCATTGGTGACAACAGCTAAATATATTGGGATGGAAATGTAAATGTTTGAGGGCGTCAAAATATTCCTATTTATTTATTTGGGGGCTTTGGCTGAAAATAAGTTCATCCGATTTAGAAGGCACCAAAATCAGCCACTTGGAAATCATAAAGGCGGTCGCAATTGCAAAATGCGTCCAAACTCTAGTTCTTACAGATGGGATTTACTTGAAAGGCGAAGGAATATGTAGGAATGCGGATACATTCTGAATATCATAATGAAAGCAACAGAACATTAGAAGCCATATCAACTGAACCGCAGTAAGTGACCCTCTGTAAATGTACGACTGCCATCATCATTTTCCGTTGCGTATTTACTTACGTCTAAGATTAGGCTTTTTAGAAAGACCACTGCCAGAGATAAGAAAGTGAACAAACACTATAGGCTGACGAAGTAGTTTCATTTTACCTTTTATGACGCAATAAAATAACTACAGAAGAGCTTTCTTGTGAAACAAATAATTCTCCGTTATTATCAGGAATGAGCCGTAGTGAATTAATCTTTGAGTGATGTCTCACTAGAGTCACTCGATTGGCTTAAACCATTTCTGTACGGTAAGTTCTACTACCGCACATTGTCAGTCCTCAAAAGTCCTTACAGTGTATTTGATGAGAGACTATCTTCTGCAGCTTTGGAATCTAGTTAAATTCGGCTCAGAAAACACTACATGGAGTGATGTTTTAAAATAAGGGTGAAGCAGCGTAGACCACACTAAAATACACCACTTTGATAGTGACACATTACTTCACAACCTGTGTAAAACATGCTACTTTGCAAGTCCTTGCAAGTTACGACAAGCTATTGTTGAAAGAAGCACCCAAAAAACCCACAAAACCTTCTGATCAAGTGACAGGTTGAGAGCTGCGTCACCTTCTCTCCTGCTGCACCCACCACCCACCATTGTCTTGCAGTAGAGGCACTCCTGTGTCTAGTCTTCATTTGATCATTAAAGTAAATTCCCATCTTTTTCAAATTCCAATTGCCCGTTAAACAAAAGTACCAACATGAGCATGACATTTAGAAAAGAGACATACTTTATTTAGATTCCATGAAACCCCTTTGTAGTCTTATTTTTTCCCATCAGTAACGATTTGTGATCATGTTTTTAAAAATATATGCTTTGTGGGGATTTGTAAATGAGGCACACCAGAAGCTGTGCAGATCCAATTGACAAAGGTCATCGTTTCGAGTGAAAAGGAGCTAGCATGAAAATTCCCAAGTAAACAAGAATAAGTGGGCAGATGAATATGAAGGGAATCGAATTTATCCAAAAAATTAATTACTTCATCGAGTGAAACTATATGGGTAGGCAAATCCCTATGATTCACTTAGGTGTAGCTAAACTTTCACTGAAAACTTACGTCTTGTGGCTTCGCGGGTATGACCAAGAAATTATGAAATGTATATTCAGGTAAACGAGACCATGACCGCTTCAGCAAACTCGCGTTATCGCGCAGACCGATTCGCTGAGAGTGAATTAGGGTGACGGTAGTAACAAAGTAACTAGCAAATATATCTGTGGCTCAGATTTAATCAATTCCCGAAATGGTGGAATAAATGTGATCATTACATGATTATTTATAATGAGTATTTATGCATCTCATCAAATGCAAAAAACATAAATGAATCAGTGCACGGAACAATCCTACAATCGCCTGACTTCAGTTAGTCACTAAAACCACTTACATGGCCAATCCGACTTGTGAAATTGTCATTGTGAAAGGATTGCCGATAAAGTAGAGATTGAGGATGGGAATGTCGGTCATTGCAACCATACCAGCGAGCAAATTTGCGATGATCTCTATGATTATTGGCACTGTCACAAAGGCGAACGCCTAATAAGCATAAAAAGATATATTTAAGTGAAATATCATCTAAGAACAATGAAGTACATGTGTTCTCAAAGCTTCAGTGATTTGGAGAATCATTCCAGTATGTTTTGCCAACTTTTTCGACTTGCTTAGATGCTAAGCTGCAGAGGATGAAGTCACTAAACAGAGAGAAAGGTATGCGATTAAAAACTAACTCTAGCTATATTTCCGCCTCTGCTGGAAAGCCTAGCTGATTTAATAAGTTCACAAATAATCTTTACAAATTACCCAACTAGAGCCTACTTCACTTTTCACATTAAAAGAACCCTGTGCTCACCCTATATACCATAAGAAAGCTCTCACTGAATTCGCCCATTTTAATCTACCTTCATGCCTCCAACAGTTTTATCATTGATAATTGAAAAAGGATGCGCCTAGGACGTTTTTTATACCATTACGTAGAAAGGGATTTTGATACCCCTTCTGTACTGCAATGCATTATGGATGGGTGAAAATATTGTTGAAGTTAATGCGATAAAGTTCTAATTCCCATGCATTCACCAATTTTAACCTCACACAATCAGTACTAATAAATTCATCATTGACTAACTTCTTTTCAAACATGTATGCAAGGCTCTACCTCACTGCTTTCGAGTCTACACTCCAAATTACGCCTTTAATGACATATGAGAACGCCTTGCGGCTACTTTAAACTGTCACACTAACCTTGGTCGAATCTGCGTAGCCATCTTCATATGCAATGGAAACTTTTCTTCTCTCAAATAAACTTTTTGAATAGCATCCTGTGCAAAACAGCCTGGCAAGTGCACACAGCTGTGATAGGCTATTTATGCAGCAGAAATGTAATTCTTTTCAATCCCCACCAGGGAGAGTTATAATCTGTTTACCTTAAAGCTGAAATACTTTCGACAATCAGCACCTGCAGACCTGATACGATGTAAATTGTACAATAGCTTTACCTCCTGCCTGGTGTCTTTTTTAGCTTTGTGTGTTGCAACGGCTCGACAATCCACCTTTTTACCTAAATCATTTAGAAGCCCAAGGTTTATGCACTATTTAACAGTGCTTAAAACGAAAAAAGACAGAGTTTTATAATCTGATTTATTCATATAAAGTAATCTTCTTCTTTAAAAATGTCCCATTTGGCAATAGGACTTTTTACTTTATTGACCCCGAGCAGTAGCACCTGTAGACCTTCATTGGGAAATAAATGAATCAAATGACTAACAATGTACACCAGTTTGGTTGCGAATTAAAGTGAACTAAAGAAGCAGGTAGATTTGGTGTGAATTACAACATGAGTCCGCTTTAAACTTACTTGAAAAGGGATGCACCTCTTTATTTCTAGAGGGAAAAAATAACATCAAGGAGAAGTTTCAAGGTGGTAAGTTGGTACATTTTCCTGGAATGCCCTCCACACTCTTGTAATTTTGGATTTCTTTAAATTGGTTTATTTTGTAACTACGAAAAATCTGATTTGCATAGTTTTTGCAGCTGTATCACACGAATCGAGGGAAATGAATACATTCGTGGGAGGAGGTTTTAATACCAGCCATTTCTAAGCATGTTTGGAGCTTGGAAATACATTTACCCTCTTATTTTCCTTCATAGGTTAGATGGAATTGCACGAAAACCCTCAATATTTGCTAATTAAAAGACGCACTTGCGATGTCATAAATAGAGGGAGCAATCCTTTTACAGTCGTGATCAAAATACAATGATTTACTCTTTGAAACAGATTTAGTGCGGAGATGCAAAACAAAAAATACGTTTTGATGTAGTTAACAATTGCACTTCTTTCATACATCTAGGATTTTCCAAATGACTTTGGCGCATATTCATTCAGTCGGCAAAGTGTTTGTCACTTGTCAGGCCGATCATTTATTTCAGATTTATTCATAATTAATTCGTACCATATCTCAATCTAGACTTATCCATTATTTTGTTAACTAAACGCTACAGAGTGAATAGTTTCGGAACTACATCCATTCCCCCTTCTCACCTGCCTGAGAGCAAGGCAGCAGGACCTCTTTGGCAGAGGGCTGGAGGGATTTGGAGAGTTGTCCGTGCTCGCAGGGGAGACAGAGAGGAGCTTTCTTCTTGACTCCTGGTCAAACTCCTGAGACTTCCCCTCTTTGACCGCCGGATTGTACCATAGATCTCGGGTGTTGGGTAGGAACACTGACAACACCGCGTTGATGCCCGTCAAGACGAGGACCACCCAACCAGAGAAGACAAATCCAAATTTTTGAATGACAGGTCCTGGAAAAAAACAGACTAGTGAATTATTTAATTTGGGCGAGTGAATGTAAGAGGCAATTTCTTGACAAAACTGCTAGTGTAAGACCGAAATAGGTATTTTACTCGCTGTGCCATACAGGATTTAATGGGTTGAATAGTGCTACTTTTGGGCGAAATGAGCATGAAGATGAAGGGGGCATGTTGTAGATGTTCCACATTTCAAAAGGTTATAAAAGATTCCGCTTAAAAATCGCTTCAAAGTGAAGCATGCATTTTAAGTTATTAGAATAGGCAATTGATATGATGGCAGACCTATTAAAATGTATAAGCAAAATCATTTATACACCACTTGAACTGACCCAGTCAGTAATTTCATAGTGAAATTGTTTTCGCATGCATACATGGTACTCACCTATGGCGATTGTGCCAACGGACAGGGTGATACCCGTGCAGCCCTCGAAAAGGGCGATGAAGGAGAGACGCTCAGAGGCCATTGAGGACTGCACTGTCGTTACGGACTTCGGCTCACACTTCTCCAAAATAGATCTGGTTCGACGCCTCTCGAGAGGCGGAGGTGGAGTTTCGCTGTCTATGGGCTGTGGCACAACTGATAGCCGCCGTTCCATGATCTCCGCTTTCTGTTCCGTCAAATCCACAATGCATACGTAGAGCTGTAATTACATTTCATAGAAGGAGGGAGAGCAGTTACTACATGGTTCCTTACAGGTATCAGCATAGATCTGCATATTCCTGATTGGTCCATTTAGTGGAAGTTTGGGCAAACTTTGAACAATTGGTATTATTAAACTGTTTTATTTAAAAGCCTGACTTAGCATGCTTTGAGGGTGGAAGAAAGTCTTTCGAATTAAATGCAAGGATATTTATGACGAAATTTGAATCAAAAGAAATCAAGCTAATTTCGATTAATGCAGCATTGCCTGATTTCCTCATGTAATCCAAATCGAATTCGAATGACATTCTTAAGGTCCAAATAATTAGACAATTCTGGCCGAATTTACGAATTTGTGAGGGCTCAAAAAACAATTTTGGTGAATATTCAAATCACTAAAGTTAACACAACTTTGAAGAAATTTCGAGGCACTAATGTTATCCATGGTGAAATCCCATTACCAAGATAGAGTAAACCTTGTCACTGTAACGTGTGCGGAGCCAAATTACGTGTTGACTCTGTGAATATCAACTTATCCCTTTTTTGATAGTTTAAGTCTCCTCTCTACAACGATACGGCTATGTAACGATAAATATTTAAAAATTAATCCGTCCCTTCATTTTACATTTAGATTATTTTAGAATTCTTGGATGTCTAGGATAAAGTGGGAACTGGTAAAGCCTGGTAGGCATGAGAAAGTGCGGCTCTTTAGCTCACTTTAGTGAATACCAGGATGAATGACGTTACCACAAGTGCCCATCTCATGTCTTGGCATGCTTTTTGTCTTGCTTTATTCGTGGTGTCAGGCGCAGAATTGATAGCCCTTGACTAGAGAAGCACACCCTTAAATTCCCGACTTTATTTTCGCTTGCCAAATGTGAATCAGCTCATCACTTGATGACCCAATTCACACGAACTTACGACATCACTTTTGCCAAATTTTTAGTGAATAATGCGGGTAAATTTGCGACAAAATAAGTCCTGTAGTAACAACATGAGATACTGATGTACCCGCATTGTGTTACCTGAGTCATTATGCCGTAGAGACCGTTTCCTAGAATACTGGATGGAAGCGTTGCAAAGATCAGAATCCATAGAGGCAGATTGAGAAGCATAACAAGAGCTAAAAAAGAGGTAAGTTGATTTGTCTAAGTTCTTATTAGGCACACTACAGTCTACATGAAGCTACTGAAATCCTTTAGATAACTCTATCGAGCTCTCTATACCATTAATGAACCCATTTAAATAGCTATTTATCCGGAATATCGTTAGTACTTTTCGCCGCATTTATACGCCTAGACCTTGCATAACACTTCAATATGTAATTAAAAGTTAATAACCGAGAAAAATCCAAGAAATCGCAACGAAAGTGGTTAAGATTGAAGCTGAATCTTTCCTAAAACATGCTTAACTAAAACACCGCAAACTGTTTAATCACTATATTGGTGTAACGTATGATTCCCCTAGGAGTCTATCAACATTCCACAAGTGAGCTCCAGTTGTTAGGTGCTTTTAAAACATTGTTTTGATTGCCCTTTACCACCACAGTGAAAGTAAAATTATATGGGCTAATCCAATGGGAAATACGCATTTGCCTTATCCCGTATTATTGTCTAATTTGTTCAGGTTTACTCTGGTTGGGTGAAGTTGTTCAACGAAAAGTCCAGGAGCGGTAATGGTATGCAGGGAAGAAAATAATGCCAAGAGGAAGTAAGGATCACTGAAGCTTGATAGACGTATTTCGGATCTTCGCAAAGCCAAGCAACAAGTTAGTTTTACGAGCACCACTGTAAGTTAAGTGATTTACATGAATTTTTCTTGAAGTAGGTTTTCACAACATTCATGTTCCCTTCACTAAAATTAACTACTTTATAGGACAAAGCATGTATAACTACAGCAAAAGGCAAATAACTGCGACATCATTTCAAACAAACATTTCCGGTCCCCTTCTTTGAGACCTTATTTACCTTTCCAATATTTTGGAAGTCAAGTCCTTCATCGTAACTTTATTTAAATTCTACGCATTCCCCAAAATACCGTGTTTTCATCGCTTGAATAAGGTTAGTGTCTTGCACTTTATTGTCAGAATACGGGCAAAAAATGCTCGTTGCAACTTGTCATTGTCAATGAAAGTTGTTGATGCAAAATAAGGAGCTTTTTTAAAACCAAGCATTTTGACTTTGCTATTCTTGATTGTTGACTCCACTAAGACGGTATACCAAGTACAAAAAACTTAACGACTAATAATGGGTTTTGCCAGTTTAGCGCAGCACCTCCCATGGTGCTATTCAAACAATTTATTAGCGACTAATCTGTAGCATTTTCAGTGTTGTTGTTTAAGTGGAAAGAATTTAAAGTTGGATAGCATGTCTTTGATTTTTGCCAGGAGAGTTATAGGCGATAAAGACAGCCATTAAGTTGAAGGACAACAAAGAAGAAAGTTACCGCACTAAATCAGATAGGACAAACAATGTTTTCAGCACAAAGTCTTTATTTTGGTATCAACACGGTGTCCACCATCGAAAGTTTAAACTTATGAGCTTTATTTTCTGAATCCACTTTCAGTCGTGGGAAGTATTGGTGAGGTAAATAAGCAAACCCTTTTTATCGTCCAAGTTGAAAACATTCCTCAATCATTAATAAATACATACATATTAAAAAGATTTGTTCATGCGAGAATTAACTGGGAAATCCAATTGGGATAAAGAAAAGAGCAATAGAGTTGAATGACACCTTTACGCTGCCTCGGGACACCTTTTAGGTGTGTGCAATGAAATAATGAGGTCTCGTGACGTTACAGGCGGACTTTGGTTTTTTTTATTTCAGTCGACTCTACGCCGAGGCGCCACAACAGATCCGCAAATTACAAACAAATAGCCACTTGGTCATTGCGATTTTGGCTGATTGTCAAGGGTTAAAGATTTGTAAATGTGTCAACCATTGTAGTCAAAATAGGCATTTTTTTTAATAAACAATTTATAAGCAGACCCCTTGCCCCAGAGAGGCCTGTTTATCTGGTTTAAAGGGACAAAATTGCATTGAATCCACAGGTGGAATGCTGCATTCACTGCAGGGCGATTATCTAGGATAATTTTTTTGAGCTTATTGCTAAGCTACACCATCGTTCCTCGCTAAATTCTTATTTATCGAGAAATAATGCTGAATTAGCAGTAATGTTGCATTAAAAGCATAAGTGTGATTTATAAACACGTGTGGTATGTGACGTTTAAGTCAAAAATGCTTTCCTCAACTAGATCAGTTTGGTCTTGAAAAGCCGAGGTTGTTCCAACGGATTTGCTTATTCATCCACTAAACAAGCACTCTAAACTTGCTTCCAATTAATGATTCATTAATGAATGATTGAATTGAGATCATGGAGTTCATTAACTTTATTTCTCTTGACTCGCCTCCTTGTGAGTTTAACCGCTCTGTATCTCAACAAGAATAAAGAGCCGGAATCTACAAGTACAAACAACTTGTTTCATTAAGTGTGCCTTAGAAGAAGTTTATTAAATGACAGTGAGAAGTTAGTCAAAATAAGGAAATCAGCCCAGTTTTACTCAAGATGAGCATTGAAGTTACTTACCACCTGTTTTAAAAATGTAACCATTCTGGGCAAAGTGTCTGCCAAACCATGTGGCATTTACCCACTCCAAGGAAAGTTTTCACCACTTATGTTAATATTAGTTCATGCATCTTTTGATACTTATGCGATTTTATCTGTACAGTTCGCCCACAATTTTATAAAAGGTGCTACTTGTGGTTCTGAATCATTTGCTGCCGTGTAGAAAAAGAAATAACCTAAACAATTTCAAAGAATGACTGGAGGTAAAAATTACACATTACAGTCAGAGTGAAGGCGCTGATAAGGAGAAGGCCATTTTGAGAAAACAGTGCTAACTTCTACTTCTAAATACACTCCACCATCGGGTATTTGGTTTCATGTTTAAAAATGAACCCCTTTGCATTAGCAAGGCTTGATATTGTGGCGGAGGAATTACATTCTCTTTCTTGGATGATGACCATGCATATCGATTCATGTCAGTGAGTGGAGGCAAAAGCTGATACGCCTGAGCACTGGAGGGAAACAAGTTTTGTCGTGTCAAGCGCATATCCTACCGAGTGTAGAGCAAACTTTTATTTTTAGCACGATGTGCCTTCTTGAGATATTCGGTTAGTTTAAACCAGCTAGTTGGAAACGATTGTTCGAAATTCCGCATTAATTGCCCTCGATACAGTATGTCAGTGGCCTCACATTTACGTGCCTTATCTTCATCATTTTATCCAACCGCTCAGCACCGTGGAGGCGTGGTCATTACATTTTTGCTACTTCCTAGTGTGCCTCTAGTATCTGGTCGAATTAATATTGGTAATGAATGGTTTATTCTTCCAAACTAGTTTTTAATAGACAATAGTGACAATGATTTTATGAGTAAAGTAGTTTGGTAAGAAAAATCTTGAACGAATCCCGATCAACACATGCATATCAAGTCTTCATTCAATTTTAGCAGAGCACATGAATAGCCTACCATTCGCGGTGTCTCTTCAAGTGGAGGAATTATAAGAACAGAAGGTGTTTCTGTTGATTACTAATAATAGCTATCCAGCGCAACCTAGACTTATACACGGGAAAGAATTCCAAACCCATTTTCAGGTAGACAATTTAACGAATCTCTGTGATAGCACTAGAAAGTTCGCAACAAAATATGGAAAAATTCTGCTGATTGGGGGTTACAACATTGTTATAGTTAAGCTTATAAACTATTTCCAATGTCTAAACAGAGGATGTTTATTCATGAGTGTCAAATATGAATCGGATCTCCATCAAAGAGTCACATAAACGATTGGCGAAAATAAACTAGGAATTTTAAACCAAGCTTTTTGCTTTTTGAGACCGTGCTATGATTTGTTATAAAAATAGGGGTTATTTTGCTTTTAAGTGAATGTATCATTGTATCACAGACTGTGGAAGGTATATGAGATTTCAGTCTCGAAAAAGGCAGTTCGAAACCGCCAAAACCACCGTGTCACAGGCACAAGCTTAATGTGAAGAGAAGACCCATTCCTGACTAGTAAATCAGCTATTTGCAAATTTAAAGCAGCCAAATACTAGTTTAGGCGGATGAATTAAACCATATGTCGCCTTAACTTTTCCGCACCTCATCGAGTGATATTGAAGTGGGTTGGCAATCTTTAAAGCATTGCTGACTCGAAAGCATTTCCTAATCTAAACAACTGCAAATAATATTAAAAAAAAATCTGCAGTTGCATATTTTGATTTCTTAAAGAACAACTGCTTTCGGATAATGGTTTCAAGCGGCCACCTTCGCAATTATGTACCACTACTTGTAATGTGCACCATTCAAACTTTAAAGTTAGGGCGTAGCTACAAAAAGCACCATAGTGCTCACAAGATGGCATAAGTGAACTTGCCTGAAATGACTGATTCCGCGAATTGGACATAATGCAGTGCGTCTCAAGCACAGTGCAATTTTAGGCATCCGTTGGCGTAATGAATCAAGGCAACGAATCCTGAGCATAAGTCTTAATTGCGTGTGAAATTTAACATACCGCTTACATTGGACATACGAATTATTTTGTAACTCTTATGGAAGTGTTTGGCTGGGTCAAGTAACCTGTATTTTCATTTGCAAGTCAACAGCCTGGTTAGCCTAGGTATACGCCTTTCCCTCTTATCTCCCTGCTTGATCTATCCCAACTATGTGCATACTCTAAGCCACAAAAACTTGGGCTGGGTCTTAGTTGTTACAAATTAGCTTGATAAATTGTGCTCACCTACCCAAATCCCACTTATTTTGTCGAAAAATTACTTATTTGCTTATAGATAGGGGAAATTGTGGAATAACACTTATCCTTTAGTATCTTTGACTCACCAAACAGAGGAGGTTAGACACCCACTTCTGCGTGAGTTCAAGCGCTTTGGTTTTCCTATGAGGTGTCCGTAAATCTCGACTGCATGGGATAAATAACTTTGTCGTGACAAATTTTTCTATTCTTGCTGACGTAGGACCCATACATAACCCGAATCTTGTTTATTAGTAAGATCATCTACTTAAGAACACATTAACTTCAAAAATATCTTTGAGTTCAGGTATAGTTCAGTTTGTAATCAGTTGGAAAGTAAATCCAGTTATTTATAAAGTTTTACCTTTTGAAAGTTATATCCATCTCCTACCTTCTTACCTTACTGTAAAATACTGTAAAAAAGATAGAAATGACCCGGATCTACCATTATTTTCATTTAGAGCTTCAAATCAAATTAGGTGAGTGTGTCTGGCTTAAAGTGTAGGCCAAATTACGGCCGATGACTTAAATGCGTTTAGGTTAATTTCTAATTTGGATTCTACTTCTTAGTTAAGACGTTATATTTTTGAGGACCTACAATCTTTTTGGTAATATGGACTGGGTCCTGTGATTGCTGCAATTTCAAATTCATTCATCCTTTAACCAAATAAAGACAGATAGCGCATTTGGCTACCGGAGACTGGAACCAACGCCGGCCTTAGTCCAGCCCTGAACGTGTAGGAAAAAAGCGAACCTCCAGATGCTTTGCTTTGGGGCATATAAACGAGTTGTACGCCAGAAATTCACTATCCAGAACCCTAGAAATGTCATCATCAACTCTAGGTTATTTACGCAGTAAAACTTTAGATCAAGCTTTGGATCACACTTGGGATGCATTTTTTAGATTAGCTCATTAGGATCTTCTATTTTCGCAAAAATATGGGTCGAAATGGGGTGTAGAGAGACAAATAAATGCTTGCAATTATTTATGTTCCAATGATTCATATTTACCAAAAAGCAAAACAAATGTGTGATTATCCAAGGATACCAGCAACCCCAAAACCGCTCCATATTCTTTGTACGATTAGGACTTAATTGTTAGGTGAGTTTCAATTTCTTTAGACACCTCTTGGAAAACCGAATAGTTATGTCACTTATCCGGAATTCGCTCGAGACATTCCTTTACTCCTAGGGGGATGGTCATACTCATTCACTTGAATAAGCATTGAGATGTAGTCGCATAACCTCTCAATACTTATTTCTCTAGTGCTTACACGGTTGACTTTTGAACTGGCAGTACCTGATTACGACAATATGGTTGTAGAAGATATTCAAAGTGCAGTATTTTAGACTAGCTACGTCCACGTTGCCAGATGAAAGCTATCTAATAGATTCAAAGTTATTCGCTCTTAAAATATCCAAGGGACAATTATGGTTTGATGCTCACTGATGTGTATTCATTTTGCTTTTTGAATGTACGGAAATATTTGATATTGTAATACTTTTAAATTAATATCTTTTAAATCCGTAGCCATTTCCGTATTTATGCAGATGTTTTCAGCATGTCTTCGGACTTTTCTACTTTGGCTGATTTTAGCAGAGGGTGCTGAGAACATACAAAGGGAAAGTGAGGACATCTCAGCAGAGTACATTTTACTTCATTAAGTTCACTGGGTCGTGAAACCTGTTACGCCCCATGATTGTGAACTTGACATCTAATAGTGCATTTGAATATTGGTGGGCGATAAATAATTACTACCGATAACTGAAATATTGGATAAAGTCAACAATAAATCTTGGTAATTAATTTCCAAATCATGACAACATGTCAAGAAATTATGGATCTAGTTAACAGAATTTGACTGTATTTACGACAAAAAGAATATCATCTTGGGAACGAAATTTCGGTTGTCTAATGTTGGCTGGAATAGAATAAAAAAGCGGTTCTACAAAGTTTTATTTTCAAATAAGTTTAGTTTAAAAAATGTTAACCCTAAATTATTGTGCGACTTCACACAAGAATCCCAACAGATATAATCACACTTAGCACTGGATCACCAAAGACGTTTCACTCTGCTTTCGCCATTTTTGAGTGAAAGCACAAATCCATTAATATTTACCAGTCGCTGGAAAGTGAACATTCAATAAGAAGAAGGCCTTACAAGTGCACATTGAACTTACCGTTAAGCACCGCTTCGATGGCGAAGCCGGTATACGCAATGAGGAGGCCGCACTTGCGACCAAACCGATCCGAGATGAAGCCCAAGGGAACGATGGTGAAGAGGCCGACGATGCCACTGACGAAACTCATGGTCGTGGCGACGAATGCAGATTGCGACTGAACCCACTGCTCCCTCGCCGTCTTATCCATACCGTCGAATCGTGACCTGCAAGAGACCAAGCAATTTGGGGTGATCAGAATTTCGGTCTTATCAGTTGAGGACCTTCGCCTCTCCTGGGAATAGAGGGTAGGTAGTTTAGGTGCCGTATACGCACAAGTATGTCGAACATATCACTATTCATAAAGTGTCGTGGGTTTAAGCAAACGGTGATGCATCCTGATGGTCCGAAAAGTAAGCAATTACTGTACTTACGACGATTGAATGGTCTTTTATCCATCATTATAGCCCCAATGTAAAATATCAAGTAGCTGATCCCAAAGGTCTGGGAAATTCACATCGGATATCAAGTTACCTTAATGAATTCTCCACCAATTCAGAAACAGCAATGCCATACACCAGTGAAGTGAATCTGGGATTTCGCAAAAATTTAAGATGCAACTACAGCCGTTGTAAAGCATAATTTTGGCAAGGGGAGATTTAAAAAATGCTTAGTTTAGAAGGATTTTCCGGTTATGCCGTACTGAGCATGCGTTAAAACACGTTCCAACTCGATGATCTTAGAGTAATGCTCCAGAGTTTCAACTATCGTGAATTCAGGTAATGAACCATGCAAATGCATTTGGTCTCTTAATTTCGAGAATTACCAGCCCTATAAACCGAGTACTAACTTAGAACCATTTTACTTTGAAGAATAACGATTGTGACACCTTTTTGTCATACTTTAAGCCTCAAGAAACTGACTAGAATAAAGTGATAGATTTAGATTTCGGCATTCTTTATTTATCGGCATCAATGCAATAAGAAAATCATAATGAGAGCATAAAACCCATATATGGTGTGCGGAATCGACAGCTGTGCCCATAAACTGTACTAAGATTGGTACTTAAGTCATCTTTATGCTTCATCGGCATATATCGTCACGGGTAGATTTCAGGACAATGAACAAACAGCGATCTGTAATCCATCCAGCCTGGACTTGAAGTCGACTAAAAAACACTTGGCATAGTGGTGAGCGTACTCGGTAAACTATTGCATATTCCTAGATTGTGCGATACAGCAATGATAACTGATTTGCTATGGTGTCCTTCTAGCCCCAAGTTGCATAGTGACCCATTGAAGCAGAGACCTACAAACACATTTTTTTATTTCCACCTAGCTATTAAAATTACAGCATATATTTAAGGGATTTGTAAAATGTTTGCCTCCTAGTTCAAAGCGAATGTAAGTATGGTTTCGATAGCTTAACATCCTTTAATCCCTTCTCTTTTCTGCATACCGACGTGTGGCTATTGTCTTCAGAGTCGTTAAGACTAACACCATCTTCCGATTCGTTTCAGTTAAAATAATCGGAACGACGTTAAAACTTGGGAGGATGACGCTGTCACCAAATCCGAGTTTATACGCCCTTTTCTAACATGCGTGTACTTTGCGTCGCACCGGTCCTCACCCAAGGGCATGCATTTCGTCGGATTTTTGGTAGACGCCACCCACCCTACTGCTTACACTATTGTTGCATAATGTAGGGCATTTACCTCTTATCTTAATAAAAATACTAAAATATCACTATTCTGGTTAGAATATCACTGAAGTTGGATTCAGTAAAAGGAATTTTCGGCTTTATAATTTAACTCCGTGTCGATACTACAATCAAAATCTCACTTTTTAACCAATGCAGTCCAGCATTATTAATGATGTAGCTAGATGGAAAAAAGGGTGACATATTGCGTCATCAGTAAAAAAATTTGAAATATGATATTTTGAGGTCCCTTATTGTAAGACATGACGCGATCGTATGCAACTTAACCACTAGAAACTACAACGGTAAAATTGAAAGTCTGCTTGAAGCATCTGCATAGTTTAAATGAAAAACGTTGAAATTGCTACAGAAATAAAACGGAATCTATCGTTTATTATGCTGAGAGAAGTAAAAACAAAAGGTTCTTGTTGAATAACTATTAAGGTAATTTGCCCAAATATTTGTAGAAGGGAGAAACACTAATTTTGAGACTGGTGAATTCGTTACTTTTCCAAAGTGTTCTGTTTTGACTAACAGGGAAACGACAAATTTTTGGGCCTGAGCTAGGAAAAACTGATACCTCGGCGCTGTCAACAATTACACATTAACAAATTGCGATTATGATTTTCGGTGAGAATCACATGATCTGGGATATGTAGTCATAAAAGTGGACGAAGTGACGCTATGTGTAAAGCAATCGTATCGACTAAGACAGCAACCGTTTTAGCGCAAACAGTTGTTGACCACTTTTCAACCAACATGTTTAAGAGAGTAGAAAATAGTAGCTGATTTTGGTGATTAGAAGATAACTACTGGAGGCGTTTAAAGCCTTATGGAAGTCAGCATAATTTTAAAAAGTGAAAACAGTAAAGATAGTTTTTTAGTCACCGAAAGAGCAGGCTACTTTCACGACATCATTATCGCCGCCGTCAATTGCTTGAGTTGTGGTGTCGCCAGCACAATGCAAAATTCACATGCAACTAAAGTAGACAGGTGTTGAAACGTAGAAGGACGCAAGAACCTACTTCTAATTTATCAATGGAAGTTACATCGACTTAATATTTGATGTATACCAAGCTTCTAGTCACAGTTTAAACCAAAAAACGGAAACTCTACCAATTGCAGGAAAAACCAACTGGAATGGACTAGCCCCCGGTATTGATAAAGCCAAAGTATTAAGCACATACGGCCATCATTTATGTGAGTTACTGGTTAACATTGTTTTAGAGAACTTGGATTGATATGTATCGGGAAATTTGTTATCCAAAATGGGTGTTATGTGGCTGTAAGAGCTTTGTGTCTCGAGTACGAATTTTATGCATTTCAATCGCTCTCATCAAACCGTCACTGTTACGCAACACTTCGAAATCGAGAAAACTCGATCGTTTAGTTTACCTGCAACACTTCTGTTAACGTTATTGGTACTTTTCTTCAGACTCTACCTTCAGAAGTTTATTGTTCGCAATGGCATTGCTATTGAATAGGAGAGATTCTGGTTTGAGCTGCTAAGTAAATACTAAAGCAACCGGTATCACTGCGCATAGATCACGCTTTTGGCCTACATTACCACTTTTAAAATAGCATATATATGGTTCGGGTAATAAATTAAAAAACTCTTTAGAAGTGTGTTTAGCACATTCATCAATTTGAAACTTCTTAAAAAAACCAATATCTGTGATCTAGAATCTAAGTAAAGTTGCGCTGAAAAGGTTTGTAGTTTTCCATCCAGTATGAGCACTCATATACGGGCATTAAAAACCTTTCAAGGCCCTTATAGAATTATCAGGGCACGTGATGGAAGTGTTATTGGTTTTACTAACAAAAGGAAACCAAACAAAGTAAAACTAGATTTCATCATGGCAATGCTTACTATTTCCATTGGAGGTGATAGGAATCACTTAAAAAACTCTACTTGAGAACCAACTTGAAATGCACTTTAGGTGAGGAAATCAACCTCAATTACTAATACTTAGATTGCCTTGATACAAATAGCAAAAATGACGTATTCAAAATAGCCTAGGTGAGTGCTTTATTATCGGTACTCCAAGCCCATATTGTTCAAACAACATCATACACAACTACTAACCAACTAAACCAGCCTTTGATTTCGCGCAGTTAAACCGCTGACGATAATTTGCTGAATAGTTGTTAAGATACGCTTAATAGTTGGCCTTGCTTCTTAACCCCAGTGCCGTAGTAACCTATGCTTTGTCCAAATACAGGGTTTGTGTATAGCATTTCGTATAACTGTGTTTGCTCAATGAAATTCTACCAATAGTTAGCTTAAAATCCACTTCTTTAAAAAATCAGCTGCCTTTAACCCCAAAATACCTGAAACTTCCAGTAATTTAATAAGCTAATATTTTACTTATTGACAAGTTAACATATTTCCCAAGTATGTTGAATATACAGCAGCACGCTTTGCATGAAGTCAAAACTGTTTTAGAAACCAAAAAGCATTTTTGTAAATTAGTTGCGTTAGACGAGGCCCACTACTTTGGACATGTCTATATAATGGCATTTATTGTGCCTTATAGAATGTCAAAGAACCTTTGTATGTTCATTGGGAAATAGTTTTAAATAAAGTGGCTGTACATCCCGTTGTTTTTTCCCAAGATGATAAGAAATGGCCAGTTGGGACAACAAACAAGGGTAGAAGTCCAAATTCTGTAAGTCGAATATAATTACTACTATTAAAAACAATTTCATTACACTACTTAACCTTAAGGAGTGGAACTAAATAAACTTTCGGAACACAAAAGCACGCAATCGCCTTTAATTAATCTAAGTAAGATGGTTTAAATCTTCATTCAAAAGGGCTAAAAATTAAACTGATTGAGTGCTGTATTATGTGTGCAAAATAAGGAGAGATGGATGCGCTTTTATGAAACACTGGCAGGCAATTCTCGCAAACTTTCCTGAATATTGCTGTGCTCGGAGTCAAACGCTGCTGTGTATAACTTTCGTTAAAAGTACAGCAAAATCAGCGGCATACACCACATCACAAACTTACTGGTTTGCCGTGCCTTGACAGAAATCTTCCCCTTCACCACATGGTGTTATCCCAGAAACCTTATTCAACCTTCAGGATTAAATTGGAAAATTTAGGTAACATAACAAGAAACCAATATAGAAATGACACGCATTAAGTGTGAATATAGGTGGACTTGGGGGAAATTTATTTTAAATTTGACACTATTGTAAACAGACGTATATAAAGTAGACAACACCAATACCTATATACCAGGTATTGCATTCTTGAAAATAGAATGCACGTTGCTGTGGCTGCTGTAAGTATCCCAATTATGAAGACCAGAGCGTAAATCGCCGACCTCTCCATTTGGTTATTTCTTCGCCTAAGCAACCTTGAGTTTATAAATCCTCTTTTTAAGTGCCTCTATAAACAGCATTGTTAAGGCGTTAAAACAATTTTGGGGAATTTTACCCAAAATAAGTCCTACAATAATATTGTATAAACAACAAAATTAAGCCGACAACTATATAAAATGATTTTTAGTGTGTACTGAAGGGGTTGATTGATCCTATTTGAATTAGCTCATTGAGGTGTCACCTTTTGGTTTTTGCATAGATAGGTAACCACAAATCCTGATCAAAACCCAAAAGCGCAACGTTATATAAGACTAATTGTAAGCTATCTTTGCAAACAGTGATATAACTCTGGGTTGAGTTTCAGCGAAAGGTTATTCTTCCGTTCTGAAGAGTTTTTAGCGCCCATAGTCTTTTCTGAAATCATAATATGTCAAAATACCATAGAAACACGTATACTGGTACTACCGTTTGTATTTCTGACGGCTATGCTACAGAATGGAAGTGGGATCCGCGGCGCCTGAAGTGCCCGCGTAGCTAGGCACGCAGTTGACCAAAATACCAAATCAACACAGTTTACTGAATGCCATTTAAGTTCAATATTGCTTCACACTTAATTATGAAACCACGTTATTTGTGCTAAGTGAGTGAGACATCTAAAATTGCTTCCTTGTTTTTAAACTGTGAGGTAATGGGAGATTTTAGTAGATGGAATTCTCTTTATCCTCTTTACCTTTTATGTAAGCTTCCATCTCGTATCTTTTACTATAACGCTTTGTCTATCCAAGTAGTGTGTGGTAGCTATTTACTTGCTCAATAGGATTTGCGATAAGTGATATATCAATTTCCATGAGGTAGTGATTGAGCTTTACTGGCAGCCCTTGATTCTAACCATTTACGAGGTGTCGGCTGTAATTTCACTAAGGAGTGTAGCACATAGCTGATTTGTCTATAACAACCAGTTAATGCAATTTTTATGCAGGGATGCAGTCAAATAGTCAAAAGTCAAGAATCATTAACTGATTGCTCCTTACCTATAAAAAATAACCTCAACTCTGTACACTGCAGTTTCGCTCTTCTACATTCATCATGTCTGAACGGGATTTTGCATCGCTTTGAATATTTCAATGCGTTTTGGACTAATTTCTTAATCCCTAATTATTTCACCATGTCTGTACTTCTCCCAAATGCCACCTAAGTTTTACTGGATTTCAGCTTATCCTTTTGCTCGGTAAAGCTTGCATTAGATTGGTGAAAAAACGCATGTCTAAATTCATCATTTCCGCAAATTCTCCAAGAAGAAAGCTAAGTTTTAAAAAATTGTATCTAAATTTATTCACATACGTCTCATGGTTTTGGCTTGCCACGGATTGAGAAATGCTCGTTTCCTTGTCTTACAAAGCTGACACTCACGCGCTTTAGTTGCCTCCCTTCAACGCTTTTAAATCCCGATTTGCTATTCCCAACATGTTAACTGGACATCCATTGGGCGTGAAGGGGGTCGCAAAGACGCAACTTTTGGTTGATTTACAGTGCAATTCGCTATAATTCATTGCCTCTCCTTTACATTCTCGTTTTTTACCTCACACTAGGAAGTTGATGATTATGCCTAATTTATAATTTATTTTTTTTTATGAACGTCGAGTGTGTAAATAGATAACTCAAGGGAAATAGCTGATCATGGTTCTGATTTAATCTGAAACCAAATGTTAGGTAATACAATGAGACTACCTTTTATATTCACCACATTCATGTGCTTTTTTGCAGGTTTGTTTTCGTCATTTCTGACCCAAATAGAACGACGTCGAACGGAAACAGCGAGCACATGAGGTCTGCATTTTGGCCAATTTGTTTGTACAAAATTTTCCAAAAAGCGTGTTTGGTGAACTTTAAACGCTCTTGTGACACACAATGCACACCTATTGTGCGAGTTGACCCTGCTACTGTTTACTTTTTATACACACTCACTGATTTCACCGGTTCCGTCGGACTTACAAATCTGTCAAAATAATGATTAACACCTGTGCCAGCAAGGCACTCCTTTCCCTGCAATTGTTAATCACGTAAACCCCTATTGGCAATAAGCATCTCTACATAGCAATGATTAGTCCTACTTTTGTTTGTTTAGTTTTGAAAACCCTACTAGTCTCAGTCTTGGAGGTTAATGAATGTGGCTTAACTATTAATCGGAATGCCGCATAAGTGGGGCAACTGTTTATTCTTCTGGCTCACCTGACACTCATCGCACAAATCTGGCAGCGAATACTTTATGAAGTTTCCTCAAACTCTCACTTGGGTATTTTCCACATATCCTATCTTTCATTTATTTATAGAGCGTCAACTAAATTGAAGATCTCTATAATTAAAACACCCACCAATATGATTTAGATCTTATCCCAGACAGGACTGGATTGTGCGTCTTAGCGATTCGTTGATCCACAGTCAGCAAGTCAATTTGCGGAAAATACCCATCATTTTCACTTCTATAAAAGGCCTACGAGGAATGTAAAAGTCAACTTCTTAAACCTGTTGCCTAAGGATTGCCTAACTATGGCCCAAGTCTAATTACTAACATCCATTTCTCCCACTGAAGTTGGTGCTCAAGGCAAAGGGTTACCCTTGGATAATGCTCACCTACATATGCTGCAATATCTCAGATTATTTAACCCATTTCTCACAATCTAAAGTGTCACAACACAACCACGAGAGGCATCTAGCGTACTTCACGCATTCATAAGCTCAGAGATTACTTGGTGATAGCATTTTTTGAAAAGCATTTTGTAAAAGTTTTGTCTTAGACATCAGATGTTTTTGGGTCCACGGCAAAAAGAGTTCTGTGAGTATCACCATAGTGAGTGGGGCCTACTACGCTCACATATCTAGTTATGTGAGCGTACTTTATGTACAAAAATATGCATTTATAGAGACTTATGGGAATTAAGTCCAACAAGAAATAAATAATTTACTATAGACTCATTCGAGTGCCTCTTACATTGAGGAGTTTCAGAAGATTAAATTACACCGTAGAACAAAAGATCTACATCCCCGCCACGCATTCATCAGTCTGCACTTGAAACTTCAAATTTTCATTGTAACGGTTTTCCATTTCATGTTTGACGTTCAGCTGGGCTGCGCTGCGTGGGGTGAGAAAATTCGTGGTGGTGGGGGCATTGGTAGTAGTGGAGGTAACGGTGGCTATGGTGACATTGAGACCTGATTAAAAGCGAATAAATAATCCAAACCACCACCCTACTCTGATCCCGACACTCAGAGCCCCCCCCCTGCCCTCTTCCACCCCTTCACTGAATGGACCTATACCGCTTCCCGGGAAGCGGTTGCCAGGACGACCTGTCACCGCGGTAAACCGCCAAAGTGACTTGCTTGCATAAACAATGCCTGTATGGTGTGCAGACCACACGGTAGTAAATATAAGTTCATTCCAATTCCTGTCGTCTTGATGTGCGATTAATTTTAATGACCACATTGACTGACAACCTCACACTAGGATCGCCACGTCACTGTTTTACCTCGCGCCAGCGAATGATATCCACATTGTTTGCAATGTGGCCGTGGCATTGGTCGGTCAAGGAAAGGCAACATAAATAAATAGTGCGCACACATTTACTCATTCGTATTTATAAATAAATAAGGTATTTAGTAAAATCTGCCAATCTAAGTTAAGGGTTTTAATCACTTTTATTTCTGTGTTGGTCTAAAACTCAATAGGTTAGCCAGTTCTGTAGCATGACAACCTGTATTAACAATTGCAGTCAGGTTTCTAAAAGATCATAATTTGATGTCCAATGACTGAATGGGAGAATAGATAGACGTATAGTCGTAGAGATGTCGAATAATCTCGAAACGCCCTTAATGAACCTATCTATCACTGAATTTTTATAAAACAAGAAGGTATGAAGCAGATGTGCTCTGATCTTCCATTTAGTGAGGATGATCCATAGGTTGTCTCATCGTACCAGTGGGTATTGTGTGTGTGTGGTAGTCGTGTAGTGAAACCAAAACTATTCTGTCTGGTGGAACGCAGGTGCCAAAATGCAACGCGTCTCGATTTATGGAGAGAAGGGTAGGATGGAGATGGGTGAATGGGTGTGTATTGATACTTTGTTTTTCCATTTATTTGAACATGCACGCGTCTGGCAGGTACATACCGGTGGGTTGGACACAGGGCGTGTGTGTGTGTGTTGGAAGTCATCCCCTGTAACCTCAATACCGGCTGTTAATTGTCTGATACACACAAAAACCGCGACAAAATGAACAAGTTTTAGGAAACTTCAAACACAAACAAACTACTGGCTGCTTTAGTGCTAGGCAGCATTCATCACACGGCGACCACCAACTGCCACTACAGCAGCTTTACATGCACCGTTCAACTTTCTGGCTGTCACCGAGGGTTACAAGCAAATTCAGGCCTCTTTTTACCGGGTGCGTACTTCAGCATATCTAATAAACCCATGCATTTTGAGAATTTGGATGCTGTACAGCCAATAGTGAATAATCATGAGAATATCATTTGTGCCGTCTCATGGGAATCACAAATCTTGAAGCCTCTTGTTGTTAATCAAGAAGTATTTTGGCAGGCATATTCATAAAAAGGGGCAATCCATGTTGTGTTGCCACTTATATGATACTATTAAGTTCTGACATTCCATTTTGGTAATACAGTAACCAAAATCAAATCACACATTTTCTATCAAGGGAAAAGTAACGTAGACTATTTGGAGAATAAATAGTTAAAAGCGGTCGGTTTAAAAGCAGTCAATGTTTTCGGTCTGGATTGCATCATTTGCGACTGGTTATGGTAGCGGTGGTGCGACAGCGCCGAGATGCAAGTGGATGCGGGTGTGAGACCATAACTGCGTTCTCTCTCTCCTGGTTGCCACGGTAGTTCCATGACTTTGACAGGTGAAAGTCATGCAGTTCCCCCAATGAAGCGGTAAGACGAGAAGGCGAGCCATTAGGCAGCAACGGATGTTGACGGTGGTGGTGGTGGTGGGGATCACAGGAACCCGGACACCCTGATGATAGAATTTGCTGCAAGCTATCAAATATCATCCGCATGCGGGTGGGGGATGACCCGGTGGTGGGTCATAAAAACACCGCGACGATGAGAGAGAGAGAAAAGTCAAATAAAAGCGAAACAATGCGGGGCGCGAAAACCACTGAATTCTTGATTATTTGGTTTTGACCCCATAGAACGACGCTTAGGTTAACTAAACCTTCGGACTACATGCCGGTCACGCAGTGCTGAGACAAGGCGAAATGATTCTTTGGCTTTTACTTGATCAACTTAATTCAATACCGATTTGGAATTTGAATGGTGTCTGCCTGCAATGTTGTATTTGAGCATACTCATTGGTTTTCTTTTTCTCTTGTTAAGAAAAAGGTCGCTTGGATTGGCTCCCGGTCAGCAATGTTGTCGATTCGTTCAGGTTTGCTAAGAAATTGAGCAGTTGTAGTTTAAGTCTTAATCATTTTCACTAGCACTACGTAATGGAGTTAGATTATAAGTTGTATTATCACAGTCGTATCTTTGTTTAAGCACCAAATTTTTCAAGCTTTAGTGAGAGGAAAAGTGAACTCACCGTAACACGTCTTGCAACCGTTAAAGATAAAACCAAGACCAGGTGGAAAGGGCTTCTAACTGTAAAAAGCGTGTTAAACAAAAAGGATAATTTTACTGGTGGTTTCCGAAAAAAAAGCCGTCATTGCTATTGGTCCCATGTCTTATTACGCGCAGTAGGGATGAGAATTATTTATTGAGCCTTTTATACGCGTGCAGCTCCATCAATATTGTTCAAAAGAGTCCTTAATCCCCTTTGAAGAGGATAGAGGGGGGGGGTTAATTTAGAGGTGGGATCTTTTTAAGTTAGTCATTCAGCAAGGCAACCAGTTGTTCCTATATTTTGTCTTCGGATCGGAAGTATATGATAGTGACAACTTTTGAAGGCTTTATCACTTTGTCGAAATATTTTGATTGTCATGTGCCCTTATGACAGAGAATTTATCCCGAGACTACGTCCACGCTGTTAAAAAGATTCGAAATAATTTAGCTTCCGAACAGTTAATTATTGCGTAGAACCTTACATGGTTATCATATGTAAGAGAGTTAGCTTCAAATGGGAGTCCGTTTACCATTTCAGAGTTAAAGAACACAACTACGCTTGAATTCATCCTCATTCCATCAGCATTGTCTAATCTGTGCCAAAAATTCTAGTCAAGGGAAGGATTTGGAGTTGTCGCGTTTTCTAAATACCATGGCATGCTGATAGTTCGCTTATTAAGGAGAGGCAAAAGCCAATAGCATCGGAGTTTGTTAAGTTAGGCATTGCCATTAAAGCCACTCTAATGAGGATCCTCGGCTCTGACCACATTGTCAAATATGCAACATTATTCACTATATAAACGGCACATTTACAATTGTCAAAATTTCATAAACCCTTGTCCATTTATTGAGAGTCCACTGTCGTATAATGTTCAAGATATTACACGTCAGGGAAGTTGGATAGAGTATAGAGCAGCAAACATAAACAAATCCTATGATGATCAGCTAATGGGCTCCAAAACCCACCTACCAGTTCCTCTTTAATACCTTTCAAATCGATCTATTTAAAATGAATATATCAAATTCCATACAATAAAGCCCTGCTATGTTTGCATTTAAAAAACAGAAACGCTTGAGAGAATTTTTCAGTAAGATCAAGCTCACGGAACAAAGTGGTAGTATGACACTAATATTGTCTTTATTGCGTGGGTGTTTTGTATCCAAACTTGATCCACTCGAATTTTGGATCACAAACTTTCACTCAGGGTCTCACATAAGCAGTGGTGAATTTTTTGTAAATATCCTTACATTTAAGAATATGATCATTGGATTTAGATTGAATAAGAAGTGAATGCAGCACAAACTAATCCCGAATCGGTAAGCAGGATGTGGAAAAAGTTTCAGGATATGCATATTAGTTGGATTTTATGCTTGAACGAAAAAATATTTACTACTTTATTATTATAGCACACTTATCTTCAATCGAACTGAAGACTCCATGCTTTGGCAAAAAAGTAGGAAATTCGGTTTTTGGATCCCACCTGCCTCCTTCACAAAGCCATCCGGCAGTTAGTGCCATTCTCTGATTGGTCCAGCATCCTAACGCGCTCTGCGTGCCTGTGTGAAGACGAATGGCATGCATGAACTTGGGCGGCCTATCCCAGTGCAGGCGTCATTGCATAAACCAACCACGTGCTACCTGTGCCAACTGTCCTCTACCCCTACCTCGCGCACAACGCTTCTTTGCTATTCGCTAGTCGCACCCTTCTCCACGGATCAAAAAGGTAGTACTTTAAAAACGCGCCACAAAAGACTACTCAGCAAGGACAAACTGAGTGGTAAGTCCCGTGTCCACTATACTTTGATGGTTTCTTATTATATACATAGAATATGGGGGTGTGTGTGTAGGTGTGCCTACTCGATGATATTTTCGTGTCGGAGTCATATGTGGCTAGTACGCGCGCCACTTCTCCAAGATTCACTCGAGTTAGAGCCCATCTACTTATTGCACCACATCGATTAGTAGGTGCCGCTAGAAGACTCCTTGTATACTTTACACCACTGGTTGCTTTTATGTATTCATGCATTGATGCACACAAATACACAAATAGTGAGGTGAGCTCTCATTGCTTCCACTGCTTCATTGATGTGCCAGTTAGGCTGATCGGTACGATGTCACTCTGCCATGAGTGTCGATGCATTAATGATGCCAATTTTTTCTGCAAGAGGCATCAACATGCATGAATATCGCGTGACTCATTACCTTTCATAACTTGTGCACACAATATGACCTGCTACACTTAATTCTTTTCCACATAATCTCTATCAGAGCATCATTCTCCTCTGGTGGAGTTTATAAAGCCGTCACCAAATTACCTAAAGAATCCACAAGTTACTTAACAAAAGGAGGAAGATGTGATGCTTCTTTCGTAAAAAACCGCGTACAATTGTATTTAGCGGTAAGTGGAGTAGTCTTGGTACTCGACTTCTTCACTCAAGTAAATGTACCCCATTTCACTGCGTGGGAATTGGGAAAGGATTATGAGCGCATATGAGGCCTCCTGAAAGCTCGGCATTTTTCGTGTCATTACAACGGAAGTGAGTGTTTTGCTAACTTTCAAAAGCATCATAATGTGGATAGCATGTTTGCCCAAAAAGCCTCCATGCCGCTAATTAACTTCCGGTAGTTGAAAGGCGATAAAAATTACAACTCTCCCTCCCTCTTTTCCTCCCTCCCTTCCTCTCCTTTTCCATCGCCTTGCTCACCCCACTAGGAAATGCAGTTACTTTTCATGGGCGGAAGTTGGCACATGAGTCCAAAGGCCTAAGGTATAAGCAGCTGACAATCTGTTTTTTTTTTGATTAGATTTGTAATACTTTTTTAACGGCGACTTCATTTTCTCAATTATGCTCGGTTTAAATCCTAACCATTGCCTAAACTGAGTAATTTACGCACGTCGTGGGTGAATAATGTTGTCTTCGTAGAATAACTAACCACTGTGAGCGCATTGATTGAATTCTGATAATTCTCTCTGACTATGGCATCTTTAAGATGTCTCTGAAGATGACTACATTTTGTGCACAGTTGACTAGTGTTGCAATAAACAATGAAAATATTTAGCGGGGTCAATGATTTGGTTTTCCCACCGGCACAATTCAGTGTTAGGGAGAGGATGATAGACAATCCAATAGCCGCCTTTCAGTCTTCAACTTGCTCCATGCCATTCTGCAGTGTTCGTTGTATGCTCCATCTTTCCATATGGCTCCAATTTAGTGCGGAATGAAAACGTAGGCGCAAGTGATGGTACGGCAAAAATTATTCCTACTGAATGATGGTGTGCTAATTGACGTAAATTTACTTAACCTTATATCTTTAGATTTGGCTCGTGAAAAGAAAAGAAAAGTCGACTGCCGCATCAAGGTGTTTCAGTAATCCATGAGCACATACACTTGAAGCTTTTGACCCTTAAAATTCTTTTTGCTGTTAATGCATATTCTCCTCTTAAATTGATACAGCGATTGCTGAAAACACTCACTGCATAAATGGCTTGAAATTGATCCATTTTACCGTTGCAGATCAGTTCAGCAAAATGTTTGCACCGGATTCGTTTGGTCTGGTACGACCGAACCTCCACTCAAGCCCCATGGGTCTTCCACATCGGTCACAGGCACCGGCCATACGATTCCCTCCCCTCATTTTCCCCACGCTTGCTCACACCATCCCTACGACTACTAAAAGTGATGAAATGGAGAATGCTCACTTACCCAACCAAAAGTAAGTTGTATATTTTGGTAGAACAAATTTTTGGGTCTACCTATTGCTGAAATATTTACTAACTGTCTTGGGCTTAACTGCTTTAAAGGATTTCTTTTTGATAATTGAACTTATCGGTGATTTCTTGGTTCACCTGTAATCGCACATCAACCAGTCGAGATTCTATTTTCAATAACAGTCCTACTGTATTGAACACCATTTAGTTTCCAGTTTGCTTTAGTATTCGAAGCACTGTTGTGAATAGAGCACTCTACTGGATTCTACGGTAAGGCTGGTGATTCTGCAGCATGGACGCAGTATGAAAGTTATACAATCAGTCTTTATTATATTACTGTCATATTTGGATTTGAGCCTTAGAACTTACAATGCAAGAGAAGTCCAATAAGCTCAAACATTACCGTTTCCACCCCAATGGTGAATTTTTGTGAAATTTTCTAGCTTCAGTGGATGATGGGATTGCGATAACCGAAACCATTTGTCATTCACAACAACATAATGCTGCCTGTTATTCGATTACTGACTCGGAAATAATCGGCAACGGACTGAAATAGCGTTCACAAAGCTTTTCTATGGGTAGTGTAGGGAGATAGTAATTACTCTGCTCTTTTTCATCATTTTGATGTTCAATAGAATATACGGAACTGGTTATCACTTTGAATGAAAAGCATACTGAGGCATCTAGTTTATCTCCTATTAATTTGTTCATTAGTAGGTTTTTATGACCTAGAGGATACATTTTAATATAGATTACTCATAGGTAAATTAAGCTAAAAAATCATGTACAAGGTGCCAGCTATTTCGTTGTTTTGACCTCGCACACACACACGCGCGCAACTATTCATCTGTATTTGAACAGGCACAAACACGTAAAGAACATGTGAACTCGGTGTCTAAAAAAATTATTGGCTTGGTGTAAGTTCTGCTAAGGATTAACTCAGAAGTTAACTGAGCCACACACTGGTCTATTGCATTAGACACTGGAAACACTTTAAATTGTTTTTATCCCGTTTTATTAATCAGGTAAAATAACCCACTCATGAAAAGTTCGATGGTGTTTGCGGGAAAAATATCTTGGGCTCTCATTGTGATGGGGATCTGATAGTCTGTGATCTGCATCCCAAGCTACCGGTGTTTGTGTGCTGCATGCTGATTCAGGCTCGTACACTTTTGGTACAAATGTTTCTTAGGGTTAAAAATGCGTTTATACGTGTTTATATGTGTGCACATATCGTGGGACCAGACAAATTGACCCCTTTGCTAACTGATCGACAGTAAGCAGAAAGCCACTAAGCATTAGAGGTAGGGAAAAAGTCGCTCTCCCACATATTTACTGAAGCAACGATAAGTTCATTATGTTTGAAGCAGCATTGTCAAATCCAATCTAAAGATATATTTATTTCTCTAAAATTACCATCTACTATCCGTAGTTTCTTTCAGATCATCCAGACGATGCTGGGGAGCTGCGGAATAAAGAGCTGTGAGGAAATGGTGGATGAGAGCGTTCCAGTGGCCTGTCCATCGGGACCCGAAGTGACTAAGGAGGCTGTGGCGGGGCGTCAGCCCTCACTGGAACTGGTGTTGGACGCGCAGAACGTTATGGAGTCCTCCAGCAGCACTCCACCCTCCATAATAGATACAAAGAGGACCTCTCCTACCAGTCCTTCCTCTCACTCCTGGCCTTCCGTCTCCTCCCAGATCAGCAAGTCCAGTATGTTTGCTCGGTCTTAACCTTAATTGTGCTAAATAACGGCAAACATTACCCACTTTAACTATGCAAGAATCCGAAATATTTGGCCTCTTTGCTAATTAGCGTACCGCTGAATGGCGTCTACTTTCCCATGCATATTTTTTTCCATACCAGAGAGTGAAAAGTTGTTATAAATGAGGGTGAAAGAAAATTATAGATCACATCGATAGCGTAGTGAGAAATTTTATGAATCCCACATGATTTAAATGCACAGTGAATTCATTAACCTTGTATGACTGCCGAATGGGTGTTCCCTCCTTTTCCCCGTTAAGGCGCACAAAATCCCACACATGCACTTGATGAATCGGAGGAGCGACTGAACTCCAGTCAGATGGAAATTTTCACCGACTCCATTCAACCAGACACAGATGGCATCTACTTTTGTCACCTGTGTGAATACACTGGTAAGAGTTTGTTTTTTTTTTCTTTCACATCCACTCATTAAGTTAACCGCGCCTACTCCCACTCGCTTATGTGCTGTTAATTTGGAAAAACAATCATTCACCTTGAAGAATGATAATCAGCTTTTGTGGTTAGATAGTCTCTTGTTAATGAGTTTTTTGAAAGGCAGTACTTGCGAAGAAGAAATTCACCTTTTTTATTGATCTGGAGTCTTGGCGATTTAGAGATGCTATGAGAATTTCTGGCGATAAGTATCCGCCGCGGTGAGCAGGGTACAGTACAGGAAGGCGAATGAACATGAGCTGAGTGAAAATTAGTGGTACAATGGGACGTTTGTCTCGCGGCTCCAAATTACCTTTTTGAAGTTGAAAGCCGAGGAGTGATGGCCACAGACGCAGGTGGTCCATGGGGTACAAAGCGGGTGATCGTCGGGCGACATGCGTGCAAGAGACCGTGTCTCCGACGTCTAGACACTTTGCCTACCGCTCCCTCCCCTGCAGGCGAAAAAACGGCTTATGGTCACAACAAGTGCCCCTGCGGTAGCGCGAGTGTATGTATGTAGTGGAGTGGGTGGAGAGGGGTGAAATTTATCACCTGTCGGTCCGTAAAGAAAATCAAATGTCCGCCTTCTCCTACACATCATTTCGCCCAGACAGTATCATACTGAGGGTGGGGCGTGTATTGGCGTTGCATCCTTAGTTGACAAACATGTTCAGACTGGTAGGAGAGCCTGGGAACTTCCATGATTATCACTTTCTGAGATGTTTACTCCTCCTCATCCTCATTTTAATGCATTGAATTGCCACTATATCCTCCCATAGGGGGACTTTGTTTTCTACTGAATCACTTGACAAAGATCGGGCTAAAGAGGAACGTTTGCCTATAGTGCTGGACTTTCCCCCTATAAAATGAGTCCTCACTCTTTTTTACAAGTCATCGGAAATATTAGAAGTCAGTTTTATAAAAGATTTTAGGTTTGGTAATTTATTCACAAGCTAGGAATGAAACAAGGTATTCGGTACAGCATGAAATCCTGGGAATATATAAACGGGACTTATCTACAGGGCTATTTAAAGCTATCATTCTTAGTTATTTGCTTAAAATCGACCGAGAACTAGCAGCTGAAGGAGAAAGGTCGTGCTCACGAGACCACTAAGACTGCTTCCCTATTAGATGGGATTTTGCTATTTTGAATTGATTTTTGCCATTTACTTTAACTCCCAACTAAATTATTGCATATTTTAATGTACAAAACGACAAGTAATTCTAAGAGGAGTGAAAAATCTACAAATATGAGCAACTTATGTGCAAAAAGACAAAATCGACACAGTGAACCAAAAATGCACTCCAACGGAGATCAAAGGGAGATCGACTACAGAAGGGATCATTTCACTTAATCGTCCCCCCTATTAAAATACACATCAATTTATATACGAAATGAAGTCGTTAATTAATTTAAACCCATTACCCCCTCCTTTGGTAGGCAACACTAATGCACTGGTTGCAAAATGCACTTACAATTACGGTATTAGTGGTGAATTTGGCTCGTTTTTGGACAAAAATGATTTGTGCCGAGGTCAAATTCAAATCACTTCAGTTGTTTACTTGAAGCGCGTGGCGCAGCTGGCCGAAATGAGTCATGGCTTGGAGGTCCGACACCCCCCCTCTGGGCCAATCAGCCAGCATGTCGCTTGCGCAATCGACCGCGGGCATTTTAATGGAAGATGTTAATCTATTCCAAAAAGGGGGAAATTTAGATATTTGACCGCATCCTTTTATGCTGGTGAAAGTCATCAAGCCATTAACCGCTCCGTATGTAACATTAACATCGGACCCCTTCCACCAGTGCATCTGATACTTTTTATTAGTTAATTTTATTAACGGATTGATACTTTTAAAACAAGAGAAGTCTTATTAACTTTTCATGACGAACTATAGCTCTGCAGCTTCGTTTATCAAAGTAAGACTCCTTTTTGCCATTTCGGACCAAATTTATGGAACACAAGCTGTAGAGGTATGCTGCTTCGAAAGTCCCGATAATATGAAAGTGTCTTATCTACACATCGACCCTGTCCTATTCCACTAGACCACACCTGATGGGAGGCTGGAAGTAAATAAAGTAATTTACTATTTAATTTATTTTACAGGAAACAAAAGGCAAGAATTCCAAATCCATTTGAGGAGCCACTACGACTACCAGTGCCCGAAATGTGACTATACGTCGCGTACAGAGGGTCGTCTGCGGCGACACATGGAAGGATTTCACTCGGCCGTTCCTCCGGAAAATTTTTCGGGCAAGTCCTCTAGGCCCCCCAACAAATTGAAGCTTCAACGTTGCAAACAATGCGACTACGTGGCTGAAACAAAAGTATGTCAGAGCACAATTAGATGTCTTTGCATAAATCCAATTAGTGTAGCTTGGTCGAGGGGAGACGTTTATTTAGTTAAAAAATTCAGCGATAAATTTTAATTATCGAAGTCAGACCTCGCAATTTTAGTACATGGTTCAATTAGGCAAAAGAAATTCGAGCGTATAATCATATTTGCCGATCTAACTAGCCTATCCACATCAGTAATCATAGTTTAAAATGCCTTGCAGTGCTGAGAGTGGTTCAAGGGGAGTTAAGATTAATAAGGTGACCAGCTGTTTATTTTTACTTATTAACGTGGCTTCCCAGGGTTTTCGACCTATAATGCTGGGGGAGGAGTGGATTAGGGATATCCTGGCAACCAGGCGACGTGGGGGGAGAGAGGGGGAAGAGGAAGCATCGGGTGAAGGGGAGTAGAAGAGGAAGTGAAGGCTTGTGTCAGTTACCACGGCTAGGTTACGTAACGGGGGCAGGTGGCCGTTGATTTTTCCCATGAAATTAGTCATTTGGTCATATACGTCAAAGTAACCACTGGAATGACTCTCAACAAGAACTTGCTTTGATCCGATGTCAATTAGAACAATGATGTGGATAATATAAATAGATAATAAGTCACATTACATTGTCTTCACAGCTTACCTAACTGACCGATTTCAACTTAGTTACAGTCTGGTAGTACTGACCATTTTTTCTTTAAAAGCCGCAGAGCTCCTTAACATCCAAATATTTGAACACGATCCTAAATTATGGGGGGATGAGGTGCTGATGCAGTTATTTGGTGAATCTGTGGTGGATTGTGATTAAGCCACATCAATCATACTCATATACCACCAAAAAAGCACTTTGATAGGTTGGCAAGCAGAACGTAAGCTCCACTTGTTATCCACTAATTAGAACATAACTGAGTGCGTGAAGTATTTTTTGGAAGAAAATAACGCACTAAATTTCGTAACACTGGCACTATCGGCTATTTAAATCCAAAATATAATGCAAAAAATATTTTTCTTAAAATATACCCAGCATGTGTATAAGAAAAGGAGGTCGCAACTTAAAATACGCGGAGTAAGTAGGAAGAGCATATTTTTACTTGACTGGCTTATATCTTATCAATGCCTTCTAATATGGGTAATTTTACCGTCCTAATTACAGACAGACTATTGGCAGCACCAGCGAACTCACATAAAAGCGGACCGACAGTTGCAATGCACGCAGTGTCCGTTTGTCACGGAATACCGACATCACCTTGAATATCACATTCGCAATCATCTGGGTTCGAAGCCCTACAAATGCTCCAAGTGTAATTACGAGTGTGTCAACAAATCCATGCTCAATAGCCACATGAAATCGCATACTAATGTGTACCAGTACCGCTGCGCTGACTGCAACTACGCCACAAAGTATTTCCACAGTCTAAAAATTCATCTCACCAAGCACAAACACACGCAGGCTGTGGTTCTGAACGTGGATGGAAGTCTTCCGGAGAGAACAAATGCCCTACTGATTAAACCGGACCAAGTGGCCCCACCGATGAGTCAACCATCCCCTCTTCCTGTTACTCCTATGCTGCCCCTCTTTCCTCCTCCCCCAATCAACCTCCAACCTGAGATACCTTCAGATAGGTCTCAAGAAAACCTTGCATTAATGACTGCATTTGTGCTCTCCATGCAGCAGCAGGCTTTTCCCCAGACGCCACCACCCCCCTCAACATCCTTTCCACCACTTCTCAATTTACCATTTAAACCCGAAACACCAGCGCTGTATATGACAGAGGATGATGTACTGGATCTCTCAGCCCCGAAAACGGAAGCTAGAGTGCAGGAGGAAAATATGCACACTTCCTTGGCGAAATATGAATGCGGATATTGTGAAATCATATTTAAGAACGAAGCTCTCTTTGAACTGCACAAACAGTTCCATGACCCCAAAGATCCTTTCCGCTGTAAACGATGCGGTATTCGTTGCAAAGACTCAGTGGACTTCTTCAATCACATCAATGAGAAGGAACATGGTGGTGGTAGTGCTTGATTCGGTGTTTTTTTTTGTAAATCGTTTTATCTAGCTCCATGTTTTACGTACCTCAGAACAAAATAATTGCTGCCACCTACATCTACCCACACACCTCACCTCATTACTTTTGTATATATCTATGTAATGGTTAAATAAAAGGTGTCTTTTTAATAATGTAGTCGAAAAATGTAATGCGTTTAATCAAGTAGTTAAACAGACTTAGTGAGGATCAGAGATTTTTCTAATTGCTCAACGTCTAGATATGTCCCTTGTGGTTTGAATAAAATCATGATGTCTTGCGATGAAATTTGTTAAAAAGTTATTGGTACATAGCTATGAAACATATGGATTTCGCTTAAAAATGTAAAGAAACAAGCGTAGAAACTACAACGGGTATCAATGAGCAACAAACCAGGTACTAGATCAATGCGAAATGGTGTTATGGTAGCTACTGGCATGCAAATGTCTGAACTCTCCCTTCCGACAAGTTAAAGCCATGAAATTTGCTAATGTGAGTGTACTTATCAATAGCGCACAATCACAAATACTAGTTGGGTGAAGATGGAACCTGCAGATCATGCAAATTAAAAGATAATACTGACAAACAGCAACTGTGGATGGACTTGTTTATTTACTCATCTTAAAGACACATTCTCTGCTAACAGTTAATCAGTAGTGACATTATGCAGCATGATGGTGCTCCTACACTGATTTGCGAAATACTAGGGTTCCTTTTCACCGTATATCGAATTTTCTTTAAGTACTTCCAGCAAGACAGAGGTTTGTAACAAATGAAACTATTGGCTATTTGATTAACTGGTTTGATTAAAATAACTACTAATTGGTTACTACAATGAGATAGTTTACTATGCACTACAATGCACATTTGTCGAAATCTCGTAAAACCTGAAGTAAATCTAGAGCAATCTCTATGAAACTTTTTTGGGACTTGCAACAAGCTTCTTTAGCCATACTGATTAAGCGGCATCAAAAACAGTAAATTCACCCTTTTTTTGTACATGGCCGGGTCACGCCCCATTTCCAAATTACTAAGAATTGCAATCGCCTTTTGCACTAGCCTATGTAGTACAGTCTGTTACAATTTGCATGCTTATAAGTCCAAGGAGGTATCGCTGTTTCGACCTTTCTCGGCTTCGTTCTAACTAAACAAAAAGTCCATAGTGAATAGCAATCTCCTATAATGCTTAGTACCTTCAAAAGCGAATACTCTAATGGTAGGCTCCCCTTTTAAAATGCTATCTTACTGTCATGTTTCCCGGATTTCTTGAGTGTACCACCATTTTTATCCTATCGATGCCGCCAAAATTGATTTACCGTAATTTTTGACACCCTTTCACGGAAGCATCTCTTGATACATTGACAGAGGAGGTACACCTTTTGGCCATGATTAGTAGCATGACCAGCTCTTTTGGAGCGGGTGTCGTTTAACCAGCTTGATTCACTAAAAAATAGAACTTAAACCGCAAAATTTAAATATTTAACTTAGAAAACATTAGATAATTCCAGTCGAAAAAGTGCTTTCTGTCTGCATTTTTGGATGAAGAAATTTGAATAATGGCGGTAGGTGGATGAGGACGGTTAACAACGCTTCTAAGAGGGTATGAATTTAATATGAAATCATCAATATGAGCGTATGCAAGTTCGGATTATTGAATCAACTTACTAAAATCTGAGAGGCTAAGGATGACTCAACAAAAGTCCCTTTTTTTACACTCTCCCTCAATTACAAGTTCAAATTGCATGAAATAGAGAAATCTCAACCGAAAAATTCTCACACCATAAGAACAGAAATGCTGACACCATTGAAGAGCGTATGAAAATGTTTCAATTTGGAATATACAAAGTGCTTTGATGTAGAATTGATGAAAATATCATGTCTATTCTGCACATATTGTTGTGATCCATTTGTTCACTACCGATTTTTGACGTGTTTATGATTTCCTGTTCTTAATTAAAAATACTGGCATTGAACTGAGCTACGCCTGAAATTAAAACATTGAAAGAATTATCACTATTCCTTTTTTACAATTTAGGTAAAAATTTCAGCCCTAAACTTGCGCAAATTTAGCTTTTGTAATGAATAAAAGGCCACCAGACATCTTAACCAACTTATTTTAATTACTTATACAAAGTGGCTTGAGAAGTCGGTGGGATGGAACAGCTTTTTTTGTTTCAGAATCGGTGTCTAGGGGAATTTACGGTAAAACGAACTAACGGAGAAAATCAGCTGCACAAAGCATTGGTGTTTATGGATGAGGGCAACAGAAGCTGAAACCCCGTTCTTAATGGGTGATTGCAGACCTCCTTGAGGTCTATACTAGTGGAATGAATGGTAGTGTAACTACCTAGAGCAATTAAAAATTAAGCAAAGTTAATGCGAAGTTGCTCTTTTGGAAGGCGGATTCATAAAAAAAACTATCGTGAGCTGCAAATAAATTAACATTAGGGACTTTGAAAATACACATGCATTGGATTACATCCTCCAAAGCAGAATCTAACTGGGGCACAGGAGTTGTGGATGTTTTTCGCCTAAATACACGAAGAACATTAATGAGAAGTAGAGACGCTTAAGACAGTTTATTTTTTCAAGCAGCATATTGTGAGGAGGTATTTCTTTAGCCCTAAAAACTCTTTCTCCGTCAGTAATTAAATCCAGAGCTCACACTCACTTTGGCATCAGAACGAAGAAAACAAAAAAACGCCGAGAGTTTTGAAATTACAATAATTTTCACAATTTCTTCTTCACAATTTACCGCTCCTGAGCAATAGCTAGTCAAAATGTAACCTGCAACCGTGAAGTAGGTTTTAAAGAAAATTTTCAGGAAAAATCACTTCTCCAATAGGATAATCACGCTTAGAGATGTGCAATAACTGCCACTTCTTGTTAATCAAGCTGAAAGCCTTGGAGTAAAGGCAAAAAACCTCTGAATCACAGCGCTGGTGATGGCGATGCATTTCAAGTGCGCGCCACTAAGGTAAACAGCTATAAAACCAGAATAATATTTGCATTTTCGCATAGGCAGCATCCGACCATGATTGTCTTGAATGTGTGAGTTACTTGTGTTAGCCACTGTACTATTCACAGCCGTAACATCACGATCCCACCTAAAGTTTTACTACCGTCCGCTTGAGCACAACAATCCTTCCCCATTCAAATACACACCTAAGTCCACTAACTTGAAATACTTCGTAAATAAACCAGATTTATTCCGATAAATATCAAAGCTCAGATCAAACAATATGGAGATAAAAAAATAATATCATGGCATAAAACGTATTGTTTAGTAATGCCTCCGACGGAAAAGACTGTTACATTATTTGACAAATGAAGTGAATTTTAGGAGCTACCCGGGCGGGATGACCAAGATACAAATAGTATGTAAACAATTTAATAGGAAAAAGTAGAAAAATTTGTTCAGCTGAAACAGTGGGAGACGGCTATAACCTCTACATCAGCGCCCTCACTATTGTAAGGCAGCTTTGTAACGCTTTTGTGGTAAGGCTTTAATTTAGACTTTCGTAAAAATCACGCACTTTTGGCTTCTTACAAGAATGCCTCTTTTGGATCCAGTTGTACTTGCCTGTGAGGGTGTAGGTATGGTTACGGCTGGAAACTGTGCTGCACATTTACCACTAACTTTCGAAAATCTACATTCCAGGACTTTTTGGTATTATTGACTGTAGGGGGTCGCCTAAGCTCAAGAAGTTCATAAGGAAGACGTGATTCATTGCATCACGTTAAGAGTAGAACCACTGTCTTCTGTTTAAATTGTAAGAGTAGTCAATGAACGGATCTAATTGTAGGAAAACTGTACAAACTGCCACTAGTTTTGGTTTACAATGTAAAAAGGCAAGCCATGGAAGGACGTACCTCCACTTTTGCTTTGCTTTCCCCTCTTGTTTCATGCGAGCTCAAAAATTAATAGTAGTAAGGATTTTGTTAAGACTGAATTGCTTTATTTATTTTAACTAAGGTCAGTCAGAGTACAGTGGGAGATGAAAGGTGGGATGACGATAGGTACACATTTCAGCGACTTCGATGCATCTCAAATTCTAAATTACTTGCATAGACGGATTCAATGAAGGATACTGTTAAAATATACCAAACAGTTTTGAGCCTGCCTCACCCAGTTTTAAGGTGAAGCAGTGAGTGATTTCTTTAGGCGCTATCAATGGCGAGGAACTGAGGCATTACTTTATGATCGCTTCACTTTTGGAGTTATTTTTTGAGCATTTTTTGGATGTAGTAGTCTACTGCGACGATTCAATTGTATTAGTGGTGTCCTTACACCTGTGCAATTATTTCTATATTGGACAATTACTTAGAAGCACTCTTCTTGCTTAAAGTTTTCTCACAAAATGTGGCTAATAGCAGTATTGGAAAAATTTTAAAAAATGAGTTTCCAGTTTACCGCAGTAAATGTTGAAAGACAAGCATTAAAAATGAATTATCTAACATAATCCCGACAAAAGCAATGTGGAAGGTTCTTTCATCGTAAGATAACCATTGCTTCCAATTAACAATTTCTACATTTCATTTACGCCGCTAAATAACTGAGCAGTTGGGTATTATCTCTTGACACTATTGTAAATGCATATTAATAATGACTTCAATACTTTACAGAAAAATAAGGACTTTGAGAACAAGATATTCGCAAACGATACAAACCATTTTTAATGCTTTTTAATAGAATACGATGCTAAATTGTGTGGATGTAATTTGTGAAGTCATTCCATCGCTCGTAAGAGAGTTTACAGGCGAGGCCATGCAAAAGCGCGACCTTTCGTATTCGACATTCGGACGCGCTGAAGAACTCGACAACTCAACGCCCTTTCATGAAGTCATGAAACATTAAAGGCAGATTTAGTAAACTATAACTAATACATTTGGACCACCATTTGGCTACTTCAAATATCTAATTTTATTTATAAATTGGAAGAATTTTAGAACCTCAATCACTTTTACAGTAGGAAAATGATGAATCTGTCATCAATAAATTGCAACAAAGAAAATAAATTGGAATAAAATACCCTTATGGAGGGGTTTCTTATACTTACTGCATCACTTAAACAGGTTTTAGAAAGCATCTACGCTTAATAGATAAACGTGATGGGTGGACATGTGAAAAGGCCATTGAGGCCACTTCAGGCGGTCTAGCTTCGGTCTCGTTAAAAGGCAACTCTTTAAACTTCCCTTTTTCAATGGCATTATGAAAACACGCAGTGTAGTTTAAGTCTATCCAAATGTCATGTAATAGTAACCACATTTTGTACAAAATATCACTTTTTCTAGAGCAGAGGAATTTCGCTTTTTCACAGTCGTCCTAAATACTAACGAGAATACTTCAACCTGAACTAAAATAGGCATTAATTACGCTTTCAATGCTGCACTATACTATAACTTATAGTTACTTTTCAAATATAGGGGAGGCATTATGTTTTTCAATAGATATTGAGTCAAAATTATTGCATATTAATACTGCCTGCACACCTTAAGAGTGAATATTCACGTTTTGCTGATAAAGCGAAGCCTTGAAAGGCACATGCTTGTCCCCTATTACTGAGTTTGGCACATTGGGTAGTTTTGTGAAGTCTAACCATCTGAAAGACAGGCGACTAGAAAGTAAGGTTGCTCTCAACTTATGTTACAAATTAAGTTGCACAATCGCAGCCTTTGTGGGCATTGTCAGCTGCAGTTGATTCGACTTGGAGAAACAGAGAAAGCGAAGCGTTAAAAAGCCAAAAAATGTGGTATGAACCTCAAAGTAGCTCTATTTATTCAACTCGTAAGCAGTAGATGGAAAGTCGCAAAGACGAATGCTAAAGTGGGTAAATAACTCAATTTTGGAGGAAAATGCTCGGCAGAAAAATCCAGACAACCAGCAAACCAAAGCGCTCACGCCATGCAGAGCATTGCGCATAACTTTAAGATGGGAATTGTTTTTTCGTACCTACGTTGAATACGTAGTTTTATTCGCCTTACTAGGAAGTATCATATGTGATATAACGCTTGTTTTACTGGATTATGTGGAGTATGAGAAGGACACAGTAATTAACTTCGTACTTCACACTACGCTACCGCTACTTTCTGCAGAAGATTCTCTCAGTCATTCCTAACATAGCCTTGATAATAGTCCACTAACTGATATCCCTTAACTTATCTGTTGCTGATAAAGACATCATTATTACGATCAACTACAGCTTCTAATTTGAACAGAATGGAAGGTGGAACGGATGTGGTAAGCAGCTATTACGCTTCATGGTGACTTGTCCGACACTTGTGTATTTAAGGAGGCATCTGGGAGCACATTATAAACATTACCAACTTGCACTAATCAGTGATTAATGATGTGCACAGCAAGAATGTCATACTTTCTGTGATGTTTAGTTACTTGACAGTTGAAACGAAAGGCACTTTCATATTGAGTCACTTACTTGAAATAATCCCTCTATGGATTGTAATAACATCTTGTACTAGTAATCTGAGACTCGCTTTTTCAAACAGTTTAATTCCTTACTTGAAGTCATGGTACGAAAACAGAATTTGCTTCCACTTAGTTGAGTGCACAAGGTCCTGGTACTTGACATAAAATAATGGCAGCCTTAAGCGGCGTGTGCAGAACGTGACATTTCACTTATCGTTTCCTTTGCATAATCAGGAAGTGTAGGTCACTCTGCCAAAAGTAAATTTAAAAGGTAACGCTTAAATTATGAATAAATCACTTTAAGGGCAGTTGACACTGCTTGTATCGTAGATTTCCAAACACCCAGTAAATACGGAAAAAGTGGAAATGAAGGATTTCATTGTTGTCCCCTCACCACTTTTACCGCTCCTGTAAAGTGAAAAAGGATAGAGTAGGAAAGTGGTCCACCGATTTCCATGTAGACAAAGGAAAATTGTGCTCCACTAATGGTTGTTAAGCTGCATTTCATTAATGTTTTGAAGCAAATAGTTCCACGTTTCTTTTGGGAAAATCTGAGGGTAATCTGTTTTCCGTCCTACTAATTACCCTTAACGAAGGCCCCAAAAGCATTTCCTAGATGGTTTAACACCTTTAACTGGCGACTAAAATCAATCGACAGTAACAGTTTAATTACCCCAAAAATCTAAATGTAAAATGGGAATGTAATTTGATAGTCCAAAAACTTCTGGCATCAAATAATGCTTTGGAAGCAACTGTTCTTAGTCTGAACAATATACAGGCACAAATAATCTACTTCAACCAAAGCAAAATGTTGAGCCACTAACAGTTTTATTCGCACAAAGTATAGGAGGCATTATAGAGGTACAAAACAGTGTTTGAGGCGCCAAGCAAGTAGATCGACGTATTCTATATTCAGCTTTTGTACTGAGTATTCCTAAAGGATAGACTTCAAGAGAATAATTGTCATTAACTAGATAAGGTTTACTGTTTTAAACAAAATATTTATTTATAATAGGGTACTATTCCCAAATTCACCAAATCATTGATTTGCATAGACTTTACTTATATCATTCAACAAATCCTGCGTTATTTGGCTTCAAGATCATCTCAAATTACGATCTTGAACGCAGATGGCGAAAAGGTAAGCCGATTTTAACTTGAACATATTGTACTAGTTGATGCCTTTTCTATATCTAAATAAGTGATCATTTCGGCAAACTTGACATATATTTTTATTTTAACTTCTGGACTTTCTAAAAAATAATTAACCTAGTAATTTACTGCTTCTTTTGCTCTCTTAAGTTAAGTCTAATTTTACACAAAGGAAAATTCTAACACATTTTTTCTCTGTTTGATTTTTTCTATTTTGGAAAGGGAGGACAGTACTTGGTAAATTCACCTTGTGTCTACTAAAACTACTTATGTTTCACTTCACTCTGTCGCTTGTCTTCCGAGGCTGGTAATCACTAATGTGACTGTACCAGTAAAGCTATTAGCTTTCCAATCTTTTGTTAGGCTAGACAAAACATGCGTTTGTTTGAAAATGATAGTGCAGCAAAACTGTACTTCTAATTCACAAACGAGATTTTTATATTTAGGGAATCGACGGTTTTCTTAAAGTCGGAGAGTAATTTCGCATTAATCTCTAAATACATTTGGGCTGATGCAACTACCAAACGATATTTAGAGTGTTTACACTGGCACCGGTTACAAATATTTTGAACATCCTGATTTCCATCACCCGATACTCACCAGCTGATTGGCATTATAGACAAACTGCCTAAAGGAGATGTTTATTGGTGGGGTACCTTGAAAACTCGGATTCCCAAGTTGATGCAAGTTGTGCTTAATGTTCTCGCTCACTGTGCCTTCCTTTTTTTGAAGCGGAAAAGCAAACGAATTTAAATTAGCATCCAAAAAGTGGTGCAACTGGTCCAATGAAGCGTCTCTTCGGTATGTCGTATATGAGCTGGTCTCATTTCAGATGTCTTTGCTTTTGATTAGAAAATGCCTAGGTATTGTCGTTGAAAATAAAAGACCCTTTTAAAACCCACCGAAAATAAATGCAGTTATTAACTTAAAAAATAAATTGGACGATATTTCATGCAGTATAAACACACACAGTTTTTAACGTAATCAAAGATAAAGATAGTACCAAAAACAGGAAAGCAGTACAAATTGGTAAAACCGATGAGTGGACGTGACTAAATGGAGCTCAGGTTTTCTTACTTTCAGTCACGATATTTGAATATGCTGTGGATTTATAGGAAAGGATTTGGTTTCGGTCTCATGAATCTCTTGCATAAATAGCACTTGAATAAAAGTCATGCTACGCATATTCATCTGATGAGTCTGCTGAGGTTAATGTAAAGGTATTACAGGAAACAGAATACTACAGAATAGCCGAAATATTAGATCATTGTAATGTGGAGGTCAATAAGAAAATTGAAGCTACAAAAATAGACGTGAAATTAACTGATACAGATTAATTTCTCTTACGAAGTTCTCTGAGACGTCTTCGAAAGGCGGGTGAGACCCAAGAGTATATGAAAAAATTTACAGCGTTGTTGATATAGTAAAACTCGTGGTGAATGTACGCTACGCTTGGGTGCATATGCACATCCTTGGCCATGTCCTCTCGGGTTCCAGAGTCATTTGACCAGTTCCCAAAGTGAACTATTAACACGGGAAGTAGGGTCAGGTAAAACACGAGAGTTGCAATGAACAGAGTTAAAGCCGTTCTCCGTGACCTCGGCAGTCGAGCTGATCCATGGCTATGAAGGCGAGCTCTTTTCTTATCAAGGCTGCGTATGGCCAGAAAAATACAAACGTAAGGACCACAGACGAAAGGAAAAGTAACCAATGTTAAAATTAGGTATAGACGGTTCAAAAAGTATCTTAGCCTGGCAGCTGGAAGAGACTTATCCCCCGTCCTATGCTCTTGGATGTGCAAAACGAAGACAGCAGCCTCAAAGATCAACAAAATCGAAGTGGTTATAGTGATGGGCAGAAGAACGCACAATTGACGACGCAGCTTCGATGGAGTGCTCGGTACCAAGATAGATTGCGCCTGCCGTTCCGACCTCCGGGATAGTTCGAATTCATCTTGACGTGCGACAGCTTTTGAGGTGTAATTGGCTTCAGTGCCTGTGATATGAGGTGAAGTAGACTTATTCAGCATGTCGTGGCTCGATGTCTGACCCGACGAAAGCTCGCTGACACTGGAGGTGCATGTTCGCCATTTGCTGCTTATAATCCTCACATAGGGACACCCGATAACTATGAACCGGTCGATTGCAATTGATGTGAGAATGCTTCCCTCAAGTGCAAACATAACATTCCTTGCGTTATCTATAAGTCCATAAGCGAGGTTGCCCACGTTTAAGTCGCAGTAGATGCGAATGTTTAAGAGAATGAAAACTTTGTGCGCAATGTCACACGGAAGAACTATAGTTGCAGTGAGAAGATCCACAACGGCAAGGGCTATAAGGAGTTTTCTTTGGCTGTGCTGAAGACCCTTACGAAATCTGGAACTACACTGTGGGTGGACCATGCGACAACAGTGACAGCAACATAACAAAGGGCTCTGACAGTAGACCAGCAATACGAGTGCATTTCCCACAACACCCAGAATTCCTATGAGGGAGAGAAGACTGACAGAAACGAGAATATAGGTTTTGTCTGTGACTCTCTCTTGAAATACTCGACATGAAAGCCTTTCAATTGACAGCGTCGAATAATTCATTTGGCTTGAGAGGTCAGCATGTAGCGATGGGGGAGATGCAAGGGCAGTGACTGTTTAGTGCACTCCGAACAAATCACACTGCAGCATGTCAGACAAGCGGTTATTGGTCGGATTGTGACGAGGCACGAACGCAAAATTAAGGCCATTGACTCAAAGGTACAACATTTTACTTCACTTCCAAGTACCCTACCATGTCTCCGGCGATAGAAAGCAACACCACACTGTACTGCTTATCTTATCCACAGTCTGATTATTTTAAAACCTTTAAGGAGTGATGTCCAAACGAAACATCTTTTAACATAAACCTGTAAGATATTGAAAATCTCCTGACTGTCGTTTTACGGTTAGCAGCAGACATCTAATTGAACTGTACCACATCAGTACCTAAAAAGTGTTAGGTACTGTTCAGAACTTTGCTTTACTTGTAACAATCGGAATCATCTATGACGTCCCTTGTTATCACCTCCAAGTTATTGAATCAACTGTGGCATTTTAATTTTTGTTTAACTCGGGTTTGGCAGTGGGTCTCTGAGGGCTCCGCCATTGTACCTCGGTCGAGTGGCCTGACTTTTGGGCCATGCGCGTAGCCCTCAAGCCTTTATGAAGGCAGATTGCACATATTCTGCCCGAGTATTATATCTTCTTTCCTCTTCATGGAAGTCTCGGGGCGCTACACAACCTTCTGTGAGCATGCAAACCGCATTGAACTGGTATCGAGGTCACTCCTGATTTGTTCTAGGATACATCATAAACAGCGCAAAGGCCAGACACAGTGTGAATTGTCCGACAACATGTAGCTGTTTGTATTGTTTAACGTCCATTATGATGGGGAATTTTTCGCTAAAAGTGGGTGAAATACATCTTTGAATTAAAAGTAAAATAAAAATTGAAGGTAGCACTAGACTACTGTATCAAACTTTAGTGAAATCTGAAGAATGCTTAAACTAACCATAAAATACGCTGAGGAAAACCTACAGTTCTTACATCAAGTAGAAATTCTATTTGATGAATATGCAATTTATCCGCTTCCATCTGTAGCAGATGGGCTATCGTTCTGAAGCTTAAACAACATTCTCTCCTACGCATTCTGTGAATGGGACACAAGTGCGCATTTACTAGTGTGTTGGATGGCTTAAAAAGTTATCTACAGTAGAGTACTGGATCCGGTTTTACAGTGCAAAACTTGAATTAAAAGCATGCTAAATTGTTTTTACCGTACTCTGCGACAAAGGTGGTAATTTTTACGAAGAAGAGACGGTGGTGAAGAACGTCGACCAAATCACAAAAATCCCAATCTAAATTTTCAATTCGCCCTAATTGAACAAAAGTTGATCATTCCTTTTCGGTAATTTATTTTCTTTTTAGTAACAAACCGTGTTTTGATACCATTACCAAAAAGGGGTGCTAAAGAAAAAACTGAAGGTCACTTAGGGCAATGCAAATAGTGCTGAGATTTGAGGATTTACGAACCATTGGTACGACTATATAAATATTACCTAAGATCGTGCCTGGTATTGTGGATGGAAAATTTCATAGTGACACTTCCATTTTATTTCCTTAATTTGCACTGCAACTAATTCCACGAGATTCGTATACGAACGCAGATATGTCTAATGTTGCCGGTTTTGGGTAAAACAGTTCCTTGTAAACCTATTGCAAGTAGGTGCCTAAAGGTAATGCCAAGACGGTTTCGGTATTTTAATGGCAAGGGAAGTAAATTAAAGAGAAGCAGGTAAATAATGTCGAGTGGATTTGTAGCTATAGGTAAAATGTAACTTCTAACACAAAACTTTCCTCGATAAGTGTATGGCTATAGCTGTTGAGACAAGTATATAGCAGAAACTGCTTGTTCCAGATACATTTTATGTTTTAATAGGATCCTAAAGAATACACAAGATCACATCTCTTCTTTTTGAAGATGAATTTGCATAAATGAGTCTAATTAAAGCAAGGAGAGATTAATCTATGGGTACTGCGACCGCCGGACCGCTCGGGTACGGCTAACGTGGCGTTACAGCGGATCCGACACAAGGGTTCGTCGATATCACATAATTCGCGACACTGTATGGACTCAGAAAAATATTAGTAAATGAACATATGATAATTTTGAATATGCTTTTGATTTTTGTGTCAAGTAGATTGTATCAAAGGGTGTGTATTTTAGGTATCTACATCAACTATAGGAATACTATTTTAAACACATGAGTTGAGTCAATGAAAATAATCAAATATCGCCATATTCGCTGACATCTACTTCAGTTTGTTTAATTGTATCGCATATCAACATGCATAGACTAACATGGAAGATGGTAGTAGCATAGGCGAGAACTCTAAAGATGCACACCAGCGATTTTAGTATCCTAGTTGATGGCATCTTTAAAGTCGCCTATGAAATAACCTATTTGGACTTGATAGTGCAAAACGGGAGAGCTGTTGATGAGGCACCGGAAGTACTAAAGAAACCGGCTAAAATGCTCCTATTGCCGGAAGTCATCGAGCTTTAATTCGCTAGTCACATAGAAACGCACATCAAGAAATAATTTGCCATTCTTATACCACCTTGCTTCGACTTCTCTCGGCTGCCAGTCGAGGGCGGAGTTATATGGGAGGAATGAATCATCAAATCAGTTAAATATAATTAGGTCTTATTTAATCCGATACTGGGGTATTTATTATTTCTGCTTATCGGAATAGAGCTACACATGCTAGGACATTGGTGTGAGAAATGACGAAAGTGCAGGCATGGGTGTCTGCGTGTTTTGTTTAATGCTTAAAAGAGTGATTTCCTCCTTAAAACATGCTACAATTAAGACCTTTAGCGTGCAAATTAATTTCTTGAGGAGACCAAATCGAAAAAAATGATAAATAAATAAGTCGAGTTTAATGAACAAGAATAATGGCTAAGCCTTACCAAATTCCTACTTGTTAAAGTGGCAAAAATCATAAACCTCACAGTTTAAAATAACATTTAAGTCAAAGTTAAAGTTTAACCCGATTTATTGTAAAACAGGCTAAAAAGGTGCTGAATAAAATTTTGCTGGAGAAACGTTTCTGTAGTCTAATCCGAAAATCTCGCATAAAACGTCATCAATGCAATGAAAATTGCCTAAGTAAGACCCCTGGCACTGAACCAGGAATCACTCTCGACATGGAAACAATTCAATGGCATAATATAAGACATCGCTTAAGTTGAGGCAATGCTTAAAATATCAAAACAAGGTTGATGCACGGCAAAGCTACTTCATCTAAGTAACGGATATTAAGAGGTAGGAAAAGAGAGCACGAAACAACATATGATGATTTCGTTCGACGCCCCGCCTCTGGGACAAAACAACCATAATGAATAGGTCATGAATGCATCGTTTTTTACGGTTTTGTTTAAAGCAGCGATGAGACTAAAAGTAACCCTCTATATTTTTTCTCCTACTTGAAGAGGTAAACATCTGCAATCAAATAATTGTATGTACAGCGGTTTGTTGGGAGGTAGATGTTCAGCATTCTCTCTAAAGCAACTCAGAAGAAGACAACTATGCAAATTTTAGTGTTAGTTCATTTATTCCCCATTGAGTTTGATTGAAGCATTCATTTGTCCCAGATCTTGGAGCATTAATTCATGTGAGGTGTAAAGATACAACAATTGACCAAGAGCAGTATAGTAAAGTCCAGTCGCGTAAATACTCAAAGCGGCAGAAATTGCGCTGAACCTTGCCGAACAAAAACACCGAGTAGCTTCGGTTCCAATACAAAGAAAGAAAAACACACAAGATCAAAGGATTTTAACTTGAGACCACTTTTAAACCATTTACAAAGTTATTCCAAACAACATTCTGTCTGAACCAAATAGTTATGCAGGGAATTGTACAAGAGTGAATTATAAAACTAGTTATTGAATTACAACTAATCAGAAGTGTTCTCCAAATAATTTTCGAAAAGAAACAAAGTTATTTCTAGGGATGTGTGAAAACGCATTATTTATTTCTAGAATAACTCTCAGTGGAGATCAAAAATCCAGACATGCTTCCCTAACTCGGGACAGTATTTCTATTCGTCTCTGGAACGGTTCATGTTACATCCAGAATTCTGGAATAAACTAGGCGTGAAACATCATATACATAATTCAAATACAATTACTGCTATGTAACTGAGCCCTCCTTATGCATTCGAGGGTTGAATAAACAGGCATTCATGTGAAACGTTATCCTTCTCTAATGGAAACAGCGTTTTTACTGAAACTTAATAAGTAAAACTACAATATGGTTTGCTTGTGTCACTTTTCCAAAAATTTTGCAGAACTGATGATGGAGTCCTATAACCCTAAATAAACTATCGGGAAAAACGGCGTCTAAATTATGGTGCCGCGCAGTGCGGATTGTGTTAACTGGTGTGTTTGTAATAATCTTAAATAAGCCCGGAAGTAATCCAATTTCACTTCATGTCTGTAGCATTCGACTGACATTTTCACCAATCTTAAGTAAAAGTTAGACTACAACTAGAGAATGGCACTTTGATTGAAGCAGATTTCCATGTTACTCGTTAGCCAACCGAATTTAAACTATGCAAGACACATTTCTGAGGTATAAAAGCATTTAAATCAGAATATAATAGTATGACAGATTATTTACATTGGAATAAACTCCCGCAAATTGATCTTTTTAAGAGAACTTAACCATTTTAAAAAGCAGTAAGTAAGTCACAGCAAAGCATGATTTTTTGAAGGTTTTCGAACTTCTTCGTTATTTTAGTGCAAATGAATGGTGTAGAGGTCACACTACTTGAGTTTCCACAGTCCAGGGTACTGGCTGTGTACTGGTAAATGTACTAGGTGAAAGCACGCTGGAAGGGCGTCTGGTCGTTGCGCGGTTTATCTAGATATACAACTTATTAGAGCAATTTACTTTGCTTTGGTGCCCCGTAACATCAGAACAAGGCGATTTAAATTCATTTTGTTAATGTTTTTTGTAGCTATTTTTGCTGTTTTGTTTTGTTATGTGAACTCGAAAATACAAATTAGGCTTATGTTGTTCATTCAAACTCCTCCATTTTTTGCATGAATGTTGAAGTTAGAAGATTCTAATGCCAAACAACAGTGCCCGCACTTCCAAATTCTCCAGAATATCTGCAATGGCTCAAATATTTAGAAAAGCATACAATTTTGCAGGAATAATGAAGTATAATGTCATCTACGCCTTGATTTTTACCTTTGGTATATCAATAGATGTGACCATAGAAATAAGTATAAAGTACCAAACTTTATAATCTTCTAATAATAAGAAAACAGTGTAAATGATGCAAAGTCAACAAGACACAAAAACAACCACACCTATTGCTCCCTTCCAGCTATTCAAAGGATGATGCGTCAAAACGAACACGGGAGTGGTCGGCTCCCCTTAGTTGCATAACGCACTACCGAAGTTTCGCACGGCCAACAGACTTCTCCACAAAGGTCACGGCCTCTCTTCCTTAATCGCGGCACAGAAGATGCCATGTACAACTTCAACATATAAAGTTCGTCCTGACATTTGATTCGTGCTGGTCCAGTGGCTGACGTCGCCACTGACCCAGCTTGCACCACCCCTGAGCCTGATTAGCGATGGGGATCTCACTCACAACATTCCCCAAATGGGGTGATTTCTACCACTAAATGTGGGTAGTTCAAGACGAAATACTACGATGTTTAGTGTTGTATATTCGTCAGGATTTAAGTCACATTAATAAAAATAATTCTTTACGAGTTTTACGACACTTTTATCTATTTAAATTTGTCTACTGGGAAAAGAAATAATATTTCAAATTTCCGTTTAGAGCTTGAGTCAATTTTGCCGCGATCACTACAAACACCTTTTTTAATATAAATCTCATGTAACTTTTATCCATTCTAATGTAGAATAATCATGTTCTTACCATTTAGCGCAATGCCTTAAATTATTAATGGTTGGGAAGATAACTTTCCTAAGGAATTGTTACCTCCATGTCCATAATGGGGTCCGTATCCACTATACATAAGAATGTGTCAAGAACGCAACACAGAAGATGAGTCGAAAAGGTAATCCAATGGCAAATATAAGTGCAGAGTGGACACAGAGCAAAACGATTTCTACTCTAAGCAACTTAAGCAGTGAAATAATTTAAATTAAAAAATGGGCAAAACTAGATGACCCACAGGAACAACTCCAGAAAATGTAAAAGCAATTTTTTCAAAAAATTAAATCCTGTAAAAATACACATATCCTTTAAGCATTTTCTGACTGTTCGCCCATTTAAATACGGACTTTTCACGGTAACTTTGTAAATGCAAGCGCTATAATCTTATGTGGAAAAAATTGCGTAAGGATAAAGTTCTGCCTTAAAGACACATCCCAGTTGTCCAACATAATTGTGAAATGGAAACTGCCGTGGACTGCCTTCGTCCTGACAACTACACCAAGGCTGTTCATGCAAACATGGTAAAAATATGGCAGTACGGAAATGCTTAAATGATAAAGAAGATAATGGTTAAGGCTTCCATAGGTTTTGGCTAGCTTTTCCGAACTAACTTCTATTTCGATAAACTCAAACCGGGTTTAAATCATCGCACAACTAATGAAAGAGGGTTTTAAAACAAGTTTATCTAAAATGTCCACAATTAGATGCAAGCATAAATATCTATTAGGCACGTTTGATAGATTATCACACATTTACCCGTTCTGTATGCGTGAGAGGCATAATAAACTTTGCAATCAGAACTTTAAAATTATGCTCGATGCTTGGTAAGGTTACATTCCCGTGACGCATCTGCCTAGCGTCTTCCAAGTTGGCGAGTTGTTGGACAGCCATTTTGACTAAAAGTAACCTGCAGGAGGGCACCGACACAATTGAATCTTCTTTTGATTTTAAAAGGGAGATTTCTGAAACTAAGGTAGGTTATGAAACATCTTTGCAATAAAGGACCGCCCTCTTCAAAATAGCTGCTGGTATTCTCAACCAAACGGTAGAAGTAAGTAGATAAGCCCTTTGCAAGCTTAAGATTTTGTACGAAAGCAATCAACGCGAAGCTGGGAATATTTGCGTCAACTATCACCATTTCCATGGACCAAAATGTTGGGAAGGAGAGGTGTGAAAATTCCTCCACGGGAAATCAATGTGGCTAATGAGTTTGACAACCAGCTGTCTGTTGGTAGCCCCATTTCTAGACAGTCACACAAGCCGTAAGTCATAAAAAATCTTAGAGGTGAATATACTTTGCAAAATTTTGCAGTTGCAGTGTCAAAGGCATGAAAACAAAGAGCACCAAAACAGTTTAGGCGACACCACTAAAAGAAGAAACGCCCAAGAAATCCTATCATTGTGCTGCAGATTTTTTGCGGGTTCTATAATAATCATTTCTAGTATTTTTAGAACACAGTAGAAGGGTTTTGAAATTAACATTGTCGTCAAAGCCTCTGCAGCAAACTTTTAGAGCGATAGTGATGACCTCAGCATTGGAAAATCCACGCTGAAGCATAAGTCAATAAGTGAAATGTCAGGTTATGCCTTCACCGAAGTAAATCGGATGGCTGATGAATCAGCCAGCATGTGTATTGATATGCTGAAGACGTGGACGGCATTGATGCTGTGGACAACATACAGAAATGTGCACTCCTTGCGTACGTAACAAAAGCGGAATATCCGCTTGTAATAAGTTTGTACCGAGCTTTACATTTTTAAATTTAAGAACCCAATACAAAGGTTAATCATTTGCTCCCTTTTTTATTTTGGTCAGTATCGCGGCAAAAAATGCACTAATTGAAGAAGTTATAAAAATGAAATAGCCAAACCTTAAGATATTTCAAGATCTTCCCATCTGCTACAGAGATAGCTAAAGTGGGCTAGACATCTAGCTAGCGTTTCCGCCAAAATTCAGAAAGCATTTTATGTCAAGGAATAAATAGAAAGGACTTGACGTAATTCCGAAAAATGCCTTGAAATTAATTACATTCACACCTTGGCTATTATTGCCAGGAAATATTATACGGTTCCAACAAGTCCCGTCAATAAAATAGCATCTAGAAGAAAGGATATTTGAGCACACGTTAAGGTGATTTTTAACCTCTTTATTCTTTAACAACACGAGCTCTTATAAATCCACAAAAATTAGCACCCGACTTGCTTCCTTGCATTTTATAAAAAAGACAAAATACAGATGCACCTAGAGGATCTTTTCTTAATGAAAGGTAGGTCAAGAAATCAAAGTCAAAATCTTTCCTACGACTTTAACGGTTTGCAGTTATGTAGTTGGTTCAGGTGACGAGGCACCTAAAATATGTGGTCTTATTTACTGGGTCATCATTCCAGACCACGGCAGTGGATCCGAGTAAATAGATGTGCGCTTGAATAGGCTTAAGAGAAATTTCCACAATCCAAAGATTTCTTAATTACCTAAAACTTCATGTCAACCTGAATGCAAACGAAGGCGATTTATTTATTGCTATCTCTATCAAATGTGTCGGTTTGGTGCCTTTATCATCCAAGTTAATCCTAAAGGCGTTATAGGGCGCAGGAATTTGGAAGGTGGTTGGATCGAAAGCATACAGGAGGAACAGGAAACTAGTGGCGGCGTAAACAAATTCAATAGCCAGTCCCCTTCAACCGATTTCTCCATGGATTCCGTAGCTGTTGTTACATTAGACTTCATAACACACGCTTCGACTACCTTAAATATGTGCCTTGAACTACTATTGTTTTGAACAAAACATTGAATGTATATATTTTGTGGTGATGAAAATTTTGAAATTTGAAATTTTAGCTTTTTCTTTGATTTGGCTTGCGTCTGCCCTGGCTGAGAATAGCATAACGTTTGTGAGTTTTGCTGACTTATTTTAATATATATTAAATTATCACCTCTCAAAGGTTCGAATGGGAATCTCATCTGTTACCAAAATATTTTCTTAACTGTTCTTACAATTGGTATACCCAAAGCGCCTTTTCTACATAATTAACCAAGTGAGTGAAAAATGCGCAGTTCAATTATTTAGGCTCTACCTATGAGTGATTTGCATCACACCATGACGAAGGGTATGTGTAATTACTTACTGACTTGAGGCAGTTTGAACGCTGTCTGCCTGGACGCTTAAATACACTCAATAAAAGTCATTTCAATGGCAATGAACCGAGTGCAAGTGTTCCTGTTTCATTACCTGAATTCTTCACGATCAACAGTTAAACACTACAATTCAAACAAATAGTATCAATGCATTCTTACAAGCATAATGCGACGTTCCTACTCGAACTTTGTGCTATGAATAGCTAGGCTCAGGCACTAATAAACAAGTCGTTTTATATTTCAGGTTTATGAATTCCAGATTCCAAAAATAACTCAGACAGGTGGGTATTTGCGTGTTCCGCTTAACGCCTACGAGGTGAATCCCCTCAGAAAGAAGCGAAAGGAAATGTCAGATAACTTTTTTGTGTTTTAAATTGATGGGCAAGCATATTTGTTTTATTAAATTCAACGCTTCATTGGGGCACTTGCCTAGACACAAACGTTTAATTTTTGGTTTTCTTACGCCGTGGTGGACCTCCAAAAGGGCCTTGCTACGTGGCCTTAGAACACCCAGAGCCAGAGCCCTTCAACCTGGAGATATGCGAACACGGTGACGCGACGGCTTCAATGCGAGGCGAAAGTGCACACCTTTCTCACGCAAAACACGGCTGCTCCAAACCCTGTCCGCGCAATTAGGCGAGACGCGCGCACCTCGAAGCCACTGCTATCGATTACGCCCTTCAGCCAATCACCTAACGAGTTGTCTCGGACACTTCGTTGAGCTTTAACGCGGCCCTGTGATTGGGCATCTGTGCACGCGTGAAGGCAGCTGCTTCGGCAGTGGCTGAAATCACACCGCTTCTGAAAACCATTTCAAAAGGCGGTCACACCGCATGGCTTGGCTTGCATAAGATGGAGGCCCATTGAAACCACGTCGACGGTGGATTTGTATGTCTGTTTAAAGTAGGTTTGTCATTTTTATTTAGCATAGCTTTATTCGCTATGAATGAATAATCATATTGTTAATTGATGCATGACCAAGGCCTAGTTTTTTGTATTCAGCTATTCAAAGTGAGTATCCTTGTTAACAAAATTCAATGTGATAAAACAGCAATCTAAAACAGATTTTCTAGTAATATTAATAACTGAAGAGTTGGGGGAAATGGCCTAACGATTGCCGAGTGTTTTCATTCTTAAGTAATATTCATTGTGATTCAACATCGCCCTTCAAACGTCCGAAGGAATTTGCATAACCATGTATCGTTTCTACAAGTGACTAGACTTTGTACTCAGATTCACATTTCTATGGTGAATAGCCGTCACGGTCTGTTTTCTGCAAAACAACCATCAGAGTGGGTGGCATTTTGACGAGTATTTATAGCCTATGCACTGGATGAAAGCGATCACGCAGAACCATTGTTTATCAGGTGGCAGAAACTTTCGACGACGTCTGCATTTTCGTGGCACTGAGGCCAAAGTGATTCACATGAGGGTTCGGCGTGTGTGTGCGGGTGTGAAATAAGTGACTACCAGCTGTGATTGTGTGCGCGCCAAGTCAGGACCTTGGCTAGGCTAACAATGCGTTATGAGGCTAAAACGCGTGCCTTTTCTTTCTGCACGAGGCGGTGCAGAACCGCACCGTTAACATAGTGATTGTGGTTACTTTGGGAACGCTGTATTCGTTTGTGCGGTCGGAGTGTACAAAGTGCCAAATGCACTTCCTTGATTAATGCGTAGAAGTATTTTTAATAGGTTTTAAAATTCAACTCCCATTAATTATTACTTAAAGGAACTCGAATTTAAGTCAACGAATTCTCGCGAATTTCTTAAAATTCTCCTAGTAATCTTTATTTAAGGTGAAAAATTTCAATTTCGAGTTCACCTGGTTTATAACAGCTTGAGGTTTTCTTCAAATCCTAGTTTTAAATAAAATCATGCTGATGCCTAACATGCAAGATCAGTAAAATGCATCTCATAAGCTTGCAAGTAAGGTGGTCCAAACACAGAGCTCTTCTCAAGTTTGATTATTTTGGTAAAGGCGTTTCATTGAATGGCGGCTGAAGGTAAGAATTGTGTGGCATTTTTGCACCCATATTTCGAGGCGTTAATATCCCATCTCAACTTCCACATCGAGTTCGAGCAATCCCCACTCGAAACTTGTTTTTCTTCGGTATGCCTGCTGCCTTTGAGCAGACATGGAACTGAGTCAAACTGTAAGCTGTTTATTCACCGAAATTAATCATCCAGATGTAAAATGCCGTTAAATTCCTCATGATCAAAATAAACGATAAGATCCAAACCACTCGCTTGTCTTAAAATATTTCGGTGATAGGTAAATAAGGCTGGCTCCGCGAGTTAAGACAAATACACAGGACCGCAATTTGAATGCAACATATAAAATATATACGGGGTTCCAAATTGAAACAAGTCCTAGTATTTACTCTTCTATATTAACTAGACGATAACTCCTACCGCTTTTGTGTCCTGAAACAATCAATCCTATGATCGCAATATTTCCATTTAGCAGCCGCTGCTCCGCTGTTGTAAAGACGCCGACACCATCGCCGCAGCAAATGTCGTCGCCCCTGTACCTTGAAAGAGGACATGCTGTGGTGGGAGGCCACCTCTTCTCGCCTCTGCCACAAAAGCGGATTTTAGGCGACTCCCTGATGCAGGAATCGCGCATCTTGCCGTGTGACCGCGATGCTCACATTGGGAGCTCTTTTACTCGCAAAATGAAAGACGTCGAATCCACCTTAACCGTAGGTCGACGAAAGTAGAGGGTTTCTTGTGGTTTCCCACTTCCAGACTTGAGCGTAACGGTGTAGTTAAATTGATTCTGTGAATCTGTTTGAACTCCATTTCGTAAGAGATTGGTAATGGCACGCATCTAATCGCGATTTTATCTTATTTTCTGTAACCAATTTATAGGACTTGAGTGGTTATCTTCTGTTGGCTAAAACGAAACTCATTCAGAGTTATCAACAACTGCAACTCGTTATTCTTGTGCATATTCACCGCTATTTTATTTTGCGATGAGAGTGAAATATTAGAAGTAATCACATTTAGCGCAATTTAAAGTTCGTAATCACAGCGTGGATACACTTCATAGCGACTTTTTGAGACTTATTATAAGTTATAAACTTTTAGGGAAAAGTGCGTGCTGGAATAAGGCACACGAGTATTTTATTTTGCCTTACAGTCGTGTTTTAACACAGGCTGCATTTCCTAACTTAAATTTTGCTTTTTAAGGAAAATTTTGGTTAACATTGAGAATAATTTCCCATAGTTTGATGCCCAATGTACTCACTGCAACATTGTTTCCTTCCAAAGCATAGGACTACATAATTTTACTCCCTCTTTTTGATAATCTAAGGAAGTTATATTATGCAACTTCTTTAAGGCTAAACATATCCCGAGAATGGATTTTAAGGCAAGGAAAGAACCACAACCTAAAGTCGGGGTGATACACATACACATCTTGCATACGTGCAAAAAGTTGTGAATTGAAAGTGATAAGGGATGTACGCGCTGGGTGCTATCAACTTTTTCGCAGTGTCTGCTATAAGAGCTAAAAAATCACCCTGTCACGTACTTCCACACCGCATTTGCCAAACACCACATCCTGCTAGAATGATGGGAGGAGGGAATGCTTTTCTGATTATTTTGAAATGGATCTGAAATTCAGGCAGAACATAAAGGTGTGTGTAACCTCCTTAGGGTGACACTTGCATTGAGTGTCACCTCCGCATCATAAGGCCACTTTATAGTGCACTTTTCTGGCCAGATGATTCTCATTCCCACGAGGAAATGCCTCGATTACGTACTAGTGTGTTCAGGTGATTTAATTTCAAAGAAAGTTGTTACAATACCGGTAGCTAAGCTTTACATGCTAATGAATTTGCTATAGCTTGAGAGTCCTCCGAGTTTCAGCCACTATTCCCGTCTTATTCATATCTAGGTTTTTACGTCTCAATAAAGGAGAAAGAATGAGCTTCGAGATGGAAAAAAGCTATTTGCTCTTTGTACAAGTACCCAGTGATTAGCCGTTTCTTCCTCAGTTGTTTTACTTACCCCGGGTGGAACTGCACCAAAATTCCAAAGTTGCCTGTAACTGCTTGACCTTAGACAAAACTACCTCAAAGCCACTAAAAAGGTTGTCACCTGTGCGAGCAAGCTAGTTAAAGAAATACGTGTTTCTCGGTTACTTTCAAGACAATACTAAACAGGCGTACCGAGGATTTACGTGACATTAGCCACGGGAGTGCGAATAAGTTTATTGCTGTGGTCCATTTGGAATGAAATGCACAAGTCACAGCAGTTGTGGACTTAGTTAAGCTAGGATGGCTAGACAATGTTTCATTCTGGATTTCACTGGTAAAACCATACTTCGTCCGGCAAACCAGTCACATATTTTCACTGCATGCATTCGATAAGGTCATGTGTTTCTATAGGCTGAACCAGTCATGGCTTCATCGCATTTCTGACTTGCGACAGCAGAGGTGTGAAAACATATGCACTGTATGTGCTGTGGATGTTCAATCTGTGAAGTGTTTTTTTTTCAAAATGACCATCTGAACTCTATCTATTGTTGACTTTTTTACTCTCCTCTGTGAACCACACATGTTCCGTTAGTTTGTCTGAGTTTTAATTATAAGACCTACTTCAATATAATGAATTCGCCTGATCAAGCAGTTCAATTAGTTCATAGTATTCTTTGGTTTAAGTGGATGGTCATTTGTCAAGTACGCCTGACGCAAAGTCCTAAAACCTCAAGCCTTTTGGATTATAATGAAGGGAATCTGAGTGCGCATTGATGGATGAAAAATAAATAGAATTGCTAGCTTTGTATCGAGTAGCCAGGCAAATCAAGTGTAATTTAGTCCCAGCGCAACTCAACGATGAAGAATACTCAAAAAATACTGTCGGATGGACTGATCTGACAGGGCTCTTAACAGTCCACGACAAAATGTATACCAAAACTGGACACTTAGCATCAGTGCATGCTCATTAGCTCTTAAAGAACGAGACTATATAATACAATGTAGCTATTGTGCCGCGTTCATTTAGTTACACACTCAATGTTCGAAAGCAGAAAGACTTTTGGAAGCAAAAAACAAGGTTATAATTGAATTGCTGAGATTAACTATTCTTGGGGAATTTCCGGTGTAAAGACTACATAGGGGATAAGTATTTGCATCATCTCAACCGTCGCAATGCATTCAATGCCTGCGCAAACAATTTAGCTCCCTCGGTAGCGGTGCAGAAAAATCTGTCGTTGAAACGCATGTTTTTGTTCGTAGCCACGATGGACCGTTCACTCTTACAAACGATCACCAGCACCACGCAAAATATAGGCTCTAGATGTCCTCGTGCGTCCCTCGTCACGCTGAAAGCCCCCGCTTCCTTACGCAGCCGATCAGTGGGAGAGCCGTGTAATCAGCATCTACTTTACCTACACCGATGGGTATTGGTAAAGAAGATAATGTCAAAAGCTAAACTTTGGGCTGTTAGAGCCAAACCCACAAAGGTATGATATTTGTGGAGTCATAATGCCTCTCCCGAGTAGCGCGCGAACCCGTCAATGGAAATCGTGTGCATGTCACATTCTTAATCAAATACTGTCGAATTGGTTCTTGAAGTTTAAAGTCTATTTGTTACATGATGAAATTTCGCATTAAAAGTACGAATTACGTTGCCTTTCAGTCCCCGTTTCTATTTGGAAAATAATTGTCATATTCTGGCGAAAATTTCACTATCTTTGTGTGTCCTCCATGGAGAGGTTTGAGGTTCTCTAAATTCGGATGATATTAGCGTCAAAATAATTGGTCTCAAAAACTAACTTGAGCACAAAATACTTAAAAAATTATTTTATTAACGGTAAATGTTTGAAAATCGTCATGCAGCGTATGATTTAACCCGAAGGAATCAACAATTTTGCTGACGAGCTGGTTTCAGAAAGGATGGTAAACGTTTAGTTTCCGCTGATTGCAGGGAATAAGATTGCGCCTATTTTGGCTGGAATACATAATTGTTTTTGCTATTGTATCAAGACCTGAAATAGACCTATGATCGCAGTGTCACTTACCTTTCCGTTCTTTTCAGTCATCCTACGTCGAAACTGATAGTGTTATCTCATCATGCATGCTTACATCAGAGAGTTTTTACGGACAGACCGAAACGCCGATACATCGGTGCGGCGCAAACCCTAACAACGAGTCCTTTTTACTGGAGGGTGTGGAAGAAGCTGCTGGAGAAAAACTACCACAACTAAAGCCTGATAAAGCTCCAGTGAATGATTTGTCCCCGCCCAAGGTAACGTATTTCGACAATTGCTATTTCGCACTTCAAGGGGGTCGTTTTGCCTTTAATTCATAGTGAAAAATATTCTGAGTTAGGAGTTTATTTTATGCATAAAGAGTTGCTTTGTTTTACAAATAAGAAAATTCTGGCAGCATCATCATCGAACAAAGTTTAAATGGAACTGAGTAGTTAAAATATGCATGCAACTATCGGCGTCTGATTTCTGAAAAGACATGTGACCTACCAACTTATTTCTATTTTCCTTGATTAGCTGCGGAAGCACAATGTTAATTGGGGAGACAGGGATTCAATTAGATTTTCAATTGAATATCCTAAGTCAATGGCCGCAGAGCTCACCCCCAAAGTTATTGAGAAGGTGAGTTGATCCGTCCTTGGATTTTGTATTTATTGTGTACACTTAGTGTAGCTATTACGTAGATTATACAGGCAACAATTTCACAATAGCCGAAACTGAAGTGGCGTTGTCTTTGTCTTTTGTGTCCTCAACTACAATTCATTGCATTTGTGGAAAGGTATAGAACAAATGTTTGCTAGCTAATGCATGTTTCATCCATCGAAAAGGATTTTCTGTACCTGAAAATAATAACTTTTTGGTTGAGTTCTAACAGTAAGAAAAAATAGTAATGGCAAGTTGTTGACCGCGATTGAACTCTTTGAAAAATGACGTCAGAGGTATTTATCATGTCTCCTACTCATTTTTCACCCCACTAGGTCAAAACTTTAAGTTACTTTAAAATATGTTTTGGAACTGAATTCTCTGACGATGACGACGAGGAGGAAAGCGATGATCAGTCGCTGGAAGAAAGAAACACTGCCAACGCCGCTACGAAAATCAATGGAAATGATCTCACCTCTTCCATGACCAGCTTATCCATTGTGACGGTAAGTGAGAAAAATTTCGAAGAATAACATCGATGCTGCTAATCTGACATTTCAATCCTATCGCGAAAATGCCACTTACCTTGTTGCAATCGCTATGCACACGTGGCTACATGAACCGAGTCGTGTCATCTCACACAGCGTGGTAATCTCAGCCAAAACTGAAAACATTTGCATTTTCACAAGCTAGCGTAAGTAATGTTTGATATCTATTTAACAGTTAAGTGTCAATTTCAGTGCCACTTTAAAACCGTGGGAAACTCGGCCGCGTATTATAAAAAAGTACTATAATCTACAAATGCCGTTTACACTACTTCTGCAGATGTTAATCACGTCCGCTGAAACGAGCATACACCCTCAGCGGATAATCAATCATAAGTCATCCTTCCGTGGGCTATGCCGCCCACTCGCGCTTTGTTAGTCAGCTGTGCATAATCTAGACCACGAAAGTGGGCGAGAAAGCAAATACAAGACCCTAAAATCAAGAAATGTGCATGAAACACTTGACGCTACAAAATTGGTTCCTATTTTGTGCGAAGACATCATTCGTACGTATTCGGACGTTTGAAGGCACAATTTGAGGCAATTTGAATGCTATTAATTAATTATTCATTATCCATCTTTATAAGAAGAACGTCTCCACTTATGGTAGTTTTTGAGGTCTGCATAATGCCATTCAATTCGTGGTTGTAGGTCCCTTTCGGTTGTGCACAGTAATTTATCAACTCAACGCACAACTTTGTGTCCATGCTACGTAAATCAGCCTACACCACGCAACACGTCTTCGAGCGTAGAGGAAGTTAAACGGAGTTTGATTCAAAATTAAAATTTAGGCAGTTCATTTTTGGGGTTCGTACATAAAAATGCAATAGATAAAACTTTTTGAAACACTTATATGCAAAGTCAAGTCTGTTTTGCCGAATTAACGGTATGACAGTTTGCATTTTTAAACCCCTTGGATTGATCTCGTATTTTGTAGTGCAGAAAAGCAGTCTACTTTTTGATCCACCACCGCTTCGAACGAAATCTAGGACAAACCCCTCCCAGGTCAAGTCAAGCCATCACTTTGATCCCGTTGAAAGATAATGCTTATCGGGTGCCAAGTAGCTACGCTGCATCACTTAAAATACAGAAGAAAGCTTATTCATTTGCGCTTTTCATACATTTTAAAATCTAAAAGGAACGTCGTGGAACTCCGCATGAAGCTGCATGTATGGTAGTACTATTATTCAGAAGAAAAAAAAACGAAAAGAAGGAAATAAAAGATGGAGCAGGATAATGTGTCCAATTTGACAGTCGACGGATAAAATCATGTACATTTCGAAGTGGGACCTTCAGATCCCGGCTTTATTTAGCTGCCAATGGTAACTAGCTGTTGTTCTTTCGCATCATATTTATCCTTTCAGGGGTTTATTTCGTGTGTGATCTATGAACTTTAACCAAGTCCAAAGGAGTCCAAATTTTACTTGAAAACTACAAATTTTGTGTTAAAATAAATACTTAATGAAATGTGCATTGGTATTTTTGCTAGTTTTTGTTACCTTTAGCCAAAGAAGTCGCTGGTTAGGGTTTGCTTTCTTTCGGCTGCAACTTCAAAATTGGTATGTAGATATTTTTGCTTTTTACAAATAAATTTATTGACTTAAAATTGAATAAAGTGTGCCTTTAAATAAACTTATTAATTCGACTGTGGAATGCAGATTTGTTATTCAGTAGGACAACAGAAAGAGTAAAGTGGAACCTGACAATAGCCTGACTAACATAAGCTAAAATAGACTGATTTGTTTCAGTTTTTTTAACGATATAAGAAAAAGTTGTCGATACAAGAGCAAACGAAGGAAAATAGAGTTTAGACAAATTCTTTTCCCTCAAAAAATAATTATTTGGGGGCTTCCATTCAAATTAAATCAGGTAAGGCTCTATTCTCTTCAATTAAAGGCGATGAAGCAGTTGAATCGGAGTTTTTTCGAAGCAATAAAATGCGGGTGTACTACCAACTGTTCGACGTTTCAGTATGGTTTACATGGAGTAAATGTAGTACTTTATACGTCAAAAGTGACGCGCACAGCAGGCCCCTGTCAGTTGTAAATACGGTTTGCAATTGTAAAAATAAAAAAGTGGTGACAGGCTCAGTGTTTGCCTAAACTTTTTTATTTTCAAATTCAGATCGGTGGAATCGAAACTGAAGATGGCATGCTATCACCACGGTCCCTTGCAAACCTTTCACTTCCTCAGATTCAGCTTATTGTCAACGACTTGCACAACCGAATAAGTGGTAAGTGAAACTTGCATGTAAATAGTGTAACTAACATCACTTAATTCAAATGCATAAATTGCCTTCAATAAAAGCAACCGTTCGAAATGCGCAATTTAAGGAACATCGTTCAAAACTTGATGCTTTATTTCTATACACTTTCGAGTCTTTCGTTAGTATGCCATCAGTATATAACATGCTTATCTTCGGTATTTTGCCTCTGGACATTAATTATGGATATTTAAAATTGTTAATTAATTTAGTAATCTGAACAATGAAAGTGGAGAAACAGATAAACAAGGCTTTTCCTATAAGTCGGGAAAATCCAACGAAAAATTTAAAAATTGAAATTGGGTGTAAATATCCAAAAAAGTTCAAGGGTTAGCACTTTTAATTGTTTACCATAAGGCTTCTTCATATGGTCCGTTCAGCTTAATGATCTCGACGATTGGCAACTTTTCGGGGTCAAGAGAAGCGGTGGGCAGACGCGATCAAGCGCAACGAAATGGTGATTGAAGCACTGGAACCATACCTCATTAGTCTATGGGTTTTGGGTTAAAAAATAATGCCTGACAGCCAATTTATGAGACCCAAACAAAACAGCGGTACAGGCAGTAAAAAATGCAAGATAATAAAGCTTGAACGGGGAACCCGATACCCCTAGTGGGGTTCTAACCAGTCCAGCTTCGCTTCTGTTCATGGAATTTGGCTGAAGAGTGGACTGACTACGACTGCAAATATATGGCACCATCCCTGAGAAAATCTGCGCTTTTAATATCAATCCACATTTGTATGTGGTATTTCTACCATGATCGATATTGAGAGTAGTAGATGACGCATTGTTTACTTCCTCAATTATCAAATTGTTTGTTTATACCTGTTGAGTTGTGAGCGTCGATTCTTGCCGAATCTCGAGAAAGTAATGTTGACTTTGAAAGTGATTATCGTATGCAAAGTGAGTGCATTTTTGTTCAGCCAATAATACTACATATTAATAATGCCTAGTAGGTCTAGATTTAAAAAAGAATTCTTTTACTTGCATTTATTCCTTTAAAATCGGAGTGAGAAATAACACATTTGGAATTTCTCATGCTTAAACGTCTATTAAAACATTGCCTTTAAGTGCGTTTTGCCATTGAGGGCTCCGAAACCTGCAGAATTAAAATATTCGGGTGTATTCCAGAATGTGTGGAGATTGCTGCTTTACATCTTGTGGCTTTTGGAACGAAAGTTCATCTACTTGGATTAAGTTCGGTAGTCTGACAATGGGGTCACAAAATGCAGGAAGGCAATTTTATTGTAAAATCACCTACACGACAATAGCGCTCTACATGTTGGGAATCCAACAAGTGTTGTCGTCTAAGATATGAACTAATTAAAATGCCCTAAAAAGGAAAAGCATGTAAGCTCAAAAATCAATACCGGGATTAGCAGGTCGCCTGAGAGTTTCTGGCATTTTCGATAAGATGTCAGAAACGAAGCTGTCTTTTTCACTTGCTTTTCCTTTATGCAGGATTTAAAGAGAGGGTTTCAATTACCGATTAAAGTTGATTCCCACAGCTTCGGTCTTAATAAATTAGAAATTCCCTGCCATTGACTGCTTATTTGCTCTAAAAAAAACCAAGTACGCATGATTTTTACTTATTTTGACGATTAATTAAACACTTTTTAATCATTGTAATCGTAGCCTTGGCGGCAAAATGTTCGATTTTGAATTCGTGTTAAAACACGGAGCTAAAGCGTTTCAACAAGTAAGTCATAGGGGCAATTGTGATTTGCCATACGGTGCGCATACTGCGTGTAGCAAAACACTGGCATGTGTGGAATGCGTTGGTGTAAGAAAAGGACGGGTATGCTCGGAGTCAAACTGCACCTCTGCGAAAATTGAGGTATTGAATGCCATACCTCTTTGTTCTTCTTGCATCTTGGTCACTTCATTAGAGAAAAAGTAATTACCTCAGTTGGTTATTTCCATTTAGCTTGCAAAGGAAACATGTTGCTTTCTGTGACTAAATCTAATTTTCGATACTTTTCAAATAATTTCGCTTAACCTGGGTCTTCGTAGGATTAGGGTTTTGTACTTCTACTGTAAGTTAGCTTTTACTCTTGCCTATGGGCGAGCAGTAGCTTTCCAAACGCTAAACCACGACTGGTAGGGCTCAGTGATCAGCTCATTATAGAGCATAAAAATAGTTAGGAGCAGTCATCTCTTAGAAACTGGCATAAGTTCAGGCAGAATGGTCAAGAGTGTAATACAATTTTATAGACGCATAAAGCTGAGAGCAAAATTTAACTTCATTTCGTGTAAAATTACCAGTGGTATTTGGGCTTAATCCAAATATGATTGTCCACCACACATAACACCGCGGCTAAACAATGACGATCTACATAGGTTTTGGCCAGATAAGATGCTTTTGGGGATCACATGATCTCAAAGCAGGTCACACTGTGATGTCCCGTAAAATTTTACGCGATTCAAGCCAAGTTATCTATTTTCCCGATTTTCCCAACTAGATAATATGATTTCATTTTTTTATATGAGCCCCAAGATTCCAAGGGCCTTCCTCATAAGTGGGGCAAAGTTTACGATCCACAGTTAATTTTGACCTTACAAAAGCAACTGAAAGTAAAAATTTACATCCTTTTCCAGTATAATTTGCAGATTGTCGGCAGCATTCGGAGCTTATTATCGCCCTTTTGGGTATTTGAAAGTATAATTCTTTTTTTTGTTTCAAACCAAGCTAACATTGTTATTTGAGGTGACTAACAAAGACATTTATATCATAAAAAGGGAATCCTTAAATCATGTATAAGCCCACTGCCACTGCAGTTCATTTTAGATGATGATGCACTGCAGAGGGCCAAATAGCTAATTACTAATTTAATAGAAAGACATGTGGAGCTTGAGGGTGGGTGATCAGTCAGTTCTGGGCTCTTTAATTACCAATCTATTTATTAAAGTAAGGACACATTTATGATTGGTCACCCACCCTTGCATCTTACGCGTATGCCCGTAAGGGTCGAAATTTTGCCCAGGCATCTACTCTGCGTTGTGTATACGTCGTCTCTAAATGTGGACTGAAACGCATTGAATGTTTCCCTTATGATTCATGGGATTAAAATTCCTCTTTTATGAATCCTTTTATTGCTTATTCGGAAGGAGAATTTAGAACCTTTTCTCGTCCTTGAAATAGAAAATCTTGTCACTGTTTACAAAAAATGACCAGGATGTTCACCTAAAGTGGTGTCGTATAACATGATTTCATAACTGTACTTAATCTCCCTTCTAGAAAAAAACCTTGAACTTATGAAGGAACTGCCTATTCGTGACGATTTAAATCTCGAAAAGGAGGAGAAAAAGGCGTATCTGGACAGATGTGCTATGTAAGTTGCCCAACATTCTTGCCAACAGGCTGCCAACATTGAAACTGCTCACGTGAAACTTCATTACCAATAGGAGTTAAAATTCAAAATGAATATGTGTGAAATCCACATACATGAAGTGTAGTAACATTAAAAAGTGGAAGTCAACCTCTAAGACCTGTATCTCGTCCCTTTGCGCTTGGTCGATCGTCTTTAAATTGAACTACTTTGGCAGCTACTTAAGTATCTCATCACTAATGATGACTATGATTTAAAAATCCCACTGTTATTTTCCTTGTGTAAAATGTTAGTGCTTATGTTGTAGACATAAAAAGTGACCTGTATTACGTCACGTGGTTGAGATTTGCGAGTTTACCAAGCTGTTAATTAAATGTAATCAGGATGCAATAATTAGTTATGTTACAGATGGTAGGGTGAGTTGATAATGCAACAGAATTGGATCATTTTGGTGTTGCATTACAGCTTGAAGTGAAATCCTAATTTGAAACACTTGTGTTGAATCTGCTTAAATGTCTTAGATTGGACTAACAGTCTCATATTTACTATAAGGGTAAGTGAATCTCTCGTCTCGTTGCAAACGCATAGTAAAAAAGTTTCTGTTGTTTGATTGTACACATACTTCAGCTCATATGAGTCCTCTTTGTTAATATTGCTAAGATTTTCGCTCCTTTGCATAGCACGTGAAAATAATGGGCTCTTTTTAAAAGAGGAAATTTCATCGTTTGTTTGTTATTTAACGACGGCTTGCCGTGTGATAGAAGAAATAACCAATCTTGGGAGAATCAACACCATAGGTGCGGCCGGGTCGTGCAGTAAAAGGTTCCATGCACCTCGTTTCCCACTTCTTTTTGGCATGAAGAACTTTCCGCTAAACATTTTAGCGGCGTACTTGAATTTTCGCACAGGAGGCTTGGAACGCTGTTGTATTTTACGACGCGTAGACTGGGCATTAATTATATCTCATATAAGAAGCGAATTAGAAATACCTATTTTGAGAGGTATGCCATCGCTGGCAAGTCGTGCCCGCTTCGACGAGGCCATCCTGTCTTAGTTATTCCGAACAGGCGTTCCACTGAAATCTTATAAGTAGATAATGTTTTATCTCAACAGGCAATATCGTACGAGCAGTTATCATTCAGCGGAGCCCTACCACATTTCGCCCCTCCGCCCGAATAACTTGGCATTCGCAGACGCATTTAACCCCAATCCTGAGTACCGATATCCCTTCAATTCACCACCCCTACGCGCGTCCTTTGACAGCAGCCATTGCGTCATACCGAAAGCAGAAATCCCAATCACCACTCCCACGACTGTGGGCGCGCGTCTGAAAACATGCATCACTCGATTCTTTGGCTCTCGCCGCTCACACCAGCCCCAGTCCTCACCCTGTATTGATGTCAATCTAAAGTAATTGTCATTTTAATGCACTGCCAATAATTAAGTTGCAATATTTATTTTCATAAAAACATATGTGCTACAGAAATGTATTCCAGCATTAGTCTATTGTAAACGCTGCAACCACTTTAGCTTACAAAATTAATCTAATGTTTTGAAATCTCCTGATTCGACCTAAGTTCACGCCTAAGACGTAAATATGAACTACCACAACCTCGAAACTTCAGGTTTTACAAATCACTAAATATCACAGCGAATGAAATTTGGCTATAATTATGTCAGGATTTTCCCTGTGGATTGCCTTAGACTTCGTCTCAAATCGATGGACCTGACAGTTTGCTTGCAGTCATGATAGAAATATCTCTGAGATCAAAGACAAATAAATAGCTTATTTGCTACCAATTTTTAATTAAAATTGAAGTTTAGGCTCAAGAAAATTTAATTTTACATTAATGTCCCCTAATTTGCAAATGTACTAACAAAGAATCCATTCAGTCTAGTGAGACCACCAAATATGGTGGCAGTGAAAGTTCGTACTAAATATAAACTAAACATATAACAAATCACATTTATTCTGTTGAACACGCCTAAGATATTCCAAACTCATGAACATGAATGTGTAGCACTTTAATGGTTAAAATTCAGTAGGAACGGCACAAGTTGTTGAGTGCCAAAATTTTGACAGCCTCAGAAAAAGGCTTGATGCTATTATGTGACAAAGAAATCTAGCTGTTACTTTAATGCAAATACGTTTTTAACATTTGCAGTTTAAAGTAAGGGCAAGAAATGCTCCGTTGCTTCGATGCTCTGGCAGTGATCGGATTCTGCCATCAAACTTACCCCGCCGAAAGTTTGCTCGTTTAACTTTTAGCATCTAATACCCAAAATCCAACAAGCGGCTCCACAGAGTCTAGTTTTGTATTACAGGTACACGAGTCAGACAATGATTACTGTGGCAATCTAATGTTTATCTTCAAATTGCAAGTTGTGCCATCTCAATTCTGAGGAGAGCAAAATTAGAGAGGCTACCACGCATGTGGCGTCTTCTGAAAATCTTTTTGATCATTCAAACCGAGCGCATTGCAGGGTGAAATGGAGACCCCCTATTCAAATTACGATTGTTTTCTAATGCTTGTAGAGATAAACATTATAATGCCGTTTTAGTTGTAGATTTTTCAATAATCTCGCAAGAAATACATAATAGAACTTTAAGAGAACAAAAGGGGCGGGTAAGCGTTGAGCCGTATACTTAAAATCTCCCACAATATTTTACAAACTTCATTTTGCCATTCTAAATCCCTTCCCCAGGTTGATATAAACGACAGATTCAATGGCGTGTTCGATATTTCGCAGCATAAAGGCAAACCAACTCTAGAACTGGCATACCTTAGTTTATTTATTTGTGGCTAAGCATTAACCCTAGTTGGGACCTTAAACGTTCAAAAACAGACTACGGATGCCTTTAAAAAAATTGACAGAATAAAAGTGGTTTTTTATTTCAGTTCGCATTTGACGGGCATGTTTTGCTTCTTCATGAAGTACGTAAGGGCTCATTTCTCAATCGCACGCTTGACGTCAAATCAAAATACTTAGTTCCACATTAAAAGCAATTTCCCTTTTCGAACAATCATTTCTTCATGAGAAAGGCTTTAGGCTCTACTGTGAACAATTATTATAGGATCAAGAATTTATTATGATGGTATGCTCAGCGTAAACCACTTCTGTCCAACTTTTTATCCAAAAAAAGAACAGTTTAAACTCCGACAGTCAAACATGAAAGGGAATTTTTGTGTGGACATTATTTAGAATGAAAAATGGAATAAAATGATGTGCTACACTAACATTCCATAAAACAACCATAAAAATCTAATTTTTTGTTTCCTAAGTGTAACAAATTAGTCGAACTTTGCGGACGCACAACTACTATTCTGTTTTAATGAAAAATTAAGTTCTATTTTGCGTTATCTTGCCTAATTTTTGGGTTGCCGCGTATGAAGTCCCTGCTTCAAAGCAATTTATTTGTGTAATTATGAACATGTTTCATTAAAGATCTGGCTTTTCGACTAATGCACTGCCTTTTAGGCTCTGGCTAATTTTAGTGTCAAAACTTCTTACTCAAACTGGGAACTAGGATTGTGTTTTTACCACTGTTCATAGGCGTTTTGTTTAACCTTTCGCTGACAGGGTACTCGATGTTCCACTGAATGTTCCGCTATTTTAACATAAAACGGACTCTTTTATATTTCGTTCTCGATCAAATTCACTTCATTGTAATTAAATGCAATGGTTCTGGTAGTAAAATAGAGACTTTCTCATATATGACGGTGAAACTCAATAACTACTCAATACTGAAATTCTGGCGGCAATATTAGAATTGAATTATTCACAACGTTTATCATTCTTGCATTTCATGGAATTCACTAACCGCTTAAGTGTAGAAGAGAAGATCTAGCCATTGAAGGAACAAAGGTGTTTTCTGACAGACATTTTTGAAGAATTGTCTGCCAGCCTAAAGTTTCGATTCTAAATGATGATATATCTCGTACGAAGCCGGCTTCTTATCCCAGCTAGCCGTTGTTTTAGAATACGAAGGAAATCAGCCACGACGACTGCGTGGTATATGACTAGGTTGAATTGAGACGTGTTGATTTCTTCCGATGGTTATGTCGTCGAATCTCTAATCAAGCCGAAGATCGAACAACCTGGGGCGCCGTTTTCGCCTTTCGCTATATACATAGATTAGATTGCGCAGAGGTCTGGTTTTCTGTTCTCGAGTTTTACTGATAGAAACTTTATCGACTGAACCATGTCTCATGAACATTTAAGTAATGTATAAAATGGCATTTGATACACAGTGCCCTTAACTATTTTGCTGCATATTTTTTTTCATTGTGTACTTAAGGGAAACGGATCCATTTTGGGAACAAAATTACATTGATTCTTGAACTAATAAGTATTTAACCATTGGAAATAGTTAATTTTTTCCTTACTATGAATACAATTTGGACTAAATGCAAGTAAATATATTTAAGTAGATCCCAATTTAAAATCTCCTAGTGAATTCATTTAATAGCCAAATATGTTTACTCTATTCAGTTTAGTGAGCGGAATGCTAGCTCTTCATTGGACCAACCAATATTTGTCACTTGTGCAGACGCTAAATTTAACACAAAAATGATTAGTTTTGTCTTCAACTGTGCAATCCACGGACCATAGTGGATCTGGTCTCCGTACACTGAGTACTACAACAGCAGTTACAAATTAAAATGAATGATTCAAATTTATAAAAATGGTTACACATAATTTTGTGTCACTGAAAATTAGCTATTTGCTCTAGAATCTGACGTCCATTTAATCATATCTGTCCTTATAATAGTTCATCTGTGCTGGGTGGATATTGGTAGGTTCAAAAGACGAACGAGATGTTTTTGTAGGTTGTCACAATTTAAATGTAGATCAATTTATCCATGAGTGCAGCTTCAGGGACACAGCAATCGGTTGCGCCGAGTTCTGCGAAAGATTACAAGATAAAGGGTGAAAATATTGGGAATTTTATTGTGTGATCGCCTTGCGATGGAATAGCAGAAATAGACGGATTAAAAGAAGTTTGACTATAAACATTTTTTACTGGCATCGCCACCTGAACCATGTGGTGCATTTGCTCCGCAGCAAAACAACACTGGTTATCTGCAAACTATGGTTGGGTTCAAATACTGTATAAAATGTGTGAGGGACAATGATAGACCAGAACCGGTTTTTAAATTATTGATGATGTATCGTCACATGAAAAAACAGGTTAGACACTGTCTACATATAAATTTTCAGCACTTAAGGAAATATATAAAGTTAAGTTGGTAATAATTTGCATTTTCAAGCACCTAGTAGAAGTTATTCATCAAAGTCTAAAATGACTTTATAATGCCTTAGCTTAACTGCATTATTTCAGTTGGACGATGCATTTGATTCTCGTGGTCGCTGTAGTTAGGGGCACTTGCAATGAGTGGAGCAATGATATCACTAAAGCCGACTATTTCGCATCCCATTACCTAGTTCGTTTCAGCGAAGCCTGCCAGAAGCACCGTCGGTAGTTGTAATTTAATATCTTTGGAAATATTTATGATCAATGGCATCATCTTATCCATAGGAATGAATCATTACTAGAAGATATATTTTAAGGTATAAAACTAGGTTCTGCTTACTGGCTAGTTATACAATGGTGAACTGCAAGTTGAAGTTGAAGAAAGCAGATTATTCGGAGTATGTGGAAAGAATGGAGACACCTTTTCTTTAAGAGCAGACAATTTTAATCAAGACCCATTTGAAATGTTGATTTACCCTATGAAAAGCAAAACACAATAAAACACTAAGTGTTTATATGTAGACAGTTCCACCGACATGCATTATGCAATACTTGTTTAACAGAACTAAAAGAATGATTCAGCAATGAAATACGATCGCATCAAGTAATTAACTTCACTATGAAAAATTCTGAGAGAAGTTAATCACAATTCCTTAATGCACAATTTCATCAATTCTAAGACATTCACGTATACATTTTCGAGGTGATATAGTTAATTTCACGGGTACTCTTGCAACATCAAAGAGGTTAAGGCTAATGTCTGCGAGACCCATTGTTGCCAATGCATTCTACACTAAAGCTCGAGCCCAGAGTATCTCTGTTGAATGGCTGCGCCCTCGTTTTCTTGTCTGAAAAGTAGCACGCAACAAGGCGCTTTCACTTTTAGTGGCATTTGGACAAAGTCTTTAGTGGTAGGCTGCATTCGGTTCGAGGAAGTCTTTTGAGCACCACCAACAGAACAAATGACCAGTCCCTGTTAAAATAAACTAAAATTTTCCTTTGAATTTTCAACCAATGTAATTACGTTTTCATAAAATAAATATAATGGTCGACTGTTTGATCCAAGTACCTTTCAGTAACTATTTTCTAATAAGTGAAATTCAGAACTAGTACTTCTGATTTGTTCCGTTACAGACCTAGGCCCTTAAGTTTCGTGTAAGAATGTGAAATTCTTATGAGCATGGCAGATATGCTCTGCTTGGAATGGAAAAATCGGCCACATACAGGCGAATTTCTGGCTCAGATTGCCAGACAGGGTGTGATAGTGATTCGGCTTATTTTGGCACTTGGAAGCAGCTGTTCTATTTCAAAGATACATACCATTAAATCGGCAGTGATTCCCTCAGTGACTGTCACAAATTAAAATAAAAAAATTCGTTATGGTGTTTTTGATGGTGAGAACAAACTCACACTAAATAATTCAAAATAACTTCTCATTTATATAATGTGGGAACTTAGCGATGGAGCAATAGAATCACACTTCTGGAAACCTTTACAAGGCGTTAGAGAGATATTTTTCATTGAATAAAGTGTATGTTTAATCTGCATTTTTGGGTAAGTTCTGCTCCTTGAAAGAAAGGGGTTCTATAAAATACCCTTGTTGATGACGGTTTTACAAAGTTGAACAGTACATCAGTCGATGCTGATTTGGTTTCAGTGGAAACCGAGCCATAACTTCGTCCGTTTATTCCTCACATGCTGACGATACGCCGCCGAAACCACCTTTCTGGAGTATTATGGAATAAACTTAAGTAGAACTGGCTGATTTCGGGATGGATTTTTCAAGGTAAGATTTGAGATTCCTTTTAAAAGCATCAGTTAAAATGCATTAAATTCGGTGACACTATTTTCAAACCAGCTAAAAGGTGAGCATAAAATGTGTATTTTAACGAAAATATTTTATAATGCCTGCTTTTGTTGAACCTATTTCATATGCCGAAACTTTTAATATGTGTTTTAACCAAGTTAGAAAATCTTGACCTCTTTCGCTATAATCTACATCCTAACGGTGGAGACAAAGCGAGAGTCCTTAGGCCCCAGGAAGCGATAACCCATAAAAAGCGTTGTAAAATTGTTTTGTTTTTTAGATTTTTTTAGTTTTTAAATGCCTGATTGCATACAACTGCCAATTTATAGGCTTCTTCATCTGGAGGAAATGAAGGTGTAATGTCGTTTGATCGCATCCAATTGATATCTCTATTGGGTGGGCGTTATTAGGCAAGAGTGGAAGCCTGCGATCCAAGGAACTAATGTTGTTTCCTGGGCTGTTACTGTAAACAATTAAATACATCAAATAATGTCGTATTAATTCAAAGAAAGAAACTAAACATTACGTAATACCTGATGAAGTATGGTATAGCGTTCTATACTGTGGAACGCAACTACCACAGTTGGTATACACCACCATAAACTTATTTTCTAGTCTTGCCAATTATTTCCAACTCCTCTACGTCACCAACTATCAGCCTTATCATACTGACAATAAAACTAATTGCTTAAAAAATAGTACATAAAAGATATCAGCCTTTTTGATGGGGGTTCATTTTTATGGTTATAAAGCACTCCGAGATTTCCCTAAAGCCAAAGGAAGACATGACACTGGGGTGAAACATGTATTGTCGACGAACAGTAGGGCCGAGGCTAATGAAATTGGCCTAGAGATCAGATACATCGGCAAGGTAAAATGACGGTGCCCCTAAGCGTCCAGCTGCTAAAACCGGGAGTTAAACTGCCAAGTAAAGTATTAAAATTGCTTGTAAGAGTTGGGCGTTAGTGTTTGAAGTGGAGAAGATGGGTGGTGTCTAGTTTGAATTCGAGATTACTACAGTGCTTAATCTATGCTTTGAATTGCTACTTACTTTTACTACTGAGTATTTCCTGCATCAGCACTTCGAAAAATCGCAGGCACACGAAGCTTAAATCTCTGGGTGGGCCATGCTCAAAGCTACGACATAAACATCTGGCGTTTACCTTTATCTTCGTTCTCATTGATTCCGTGCCACACCTGAACTCTTACACTGCATCTATGCTAAAAAATGTCATTTATAAGTAGACACAACGATCAATAATTTCATCCTTTGTTTGGTTGAAACCTGGACCCCAAGTTTTAGTGGTGAATGTGAAGACCTGAATTTTATTTCAAGGCTAACTTACTTTGACCTAATTTTTATTACAGTAAAAGTTGGGAGGAGATATCATGAGGAAGTCAGCTAAAATCTTGCCACAAATGGATTAACGGCTGGTAATAAGCTGTCGATTTCTGGCAAAGGATTCCAACATCGCACCACTTTCCCTACCATGCGGATTGAATTTTAGAGCTAGGCCGAATTCCAATGAGTTTATGGAAATTGAGTTGAATGCTTCTAAAGGTCAGTAGCATTTAGAAATGTCATGCCGTCCTAATTTACTTATAATTCATTTTTTCTCAATACTTTAGTAAATTATTTAGGTTTACTGTTTATTTGGGCGGTTGAAGGTGTTTGAATTTGTTATTTGTGTTTCGGCAAGTCCTTAATCAAATTTACGAACTTCGTTGCGATGAATAATTTCATTTTACAAGGTTTAACAATAACAAGTCCAAATTCCAAATTGTACAGATACGCACTTGCTCATTCGCCTCTCATTGAAATCCACCACCTGTGACAACATTTGTGGTTGCTTTAAGCTAAAAGTGTAAGTTGCTTTGTTCTAATTATCCTGCAAATATTCATAACTGGCTGTAATTCTCTTCATTTGACACGATTGCTATAGACTCAAATAATTCCATAAGGAATATTGCTAAAGCAAGCACGTTTTTAGTTCCTCAGACAGTTCCGGTGAGATTAAAAGCATGTTCCAGTTTCAGTTAATACTGCTTCCATTTCGGGTATTCTTTTGCAATTTTGGCTTGCGCGCTTCCAACATCTCGTTATTTGACTATGTTATAAGTTTCCCCATGATGACAGCCTATAATTACCGTGGCATTTACACGCGATTTGGTCGTAAATTCTCTTTGAGAGAGGAAACCAAGTCACCTATAAGACAAAAGCAGAAAGTTTTTTAATGCATTGTTGACCAGAAGTAGGCAAGCAATCTGACCTTTAGAAAAATATAACCATGGGATTAAGTCAGCTATACTTTTCAAAGGGCGCCCCAGAAACCTTTGAATACGTCAGCCTAATTGACATCTCTGAAATCCTGGGAAGCGATGGCGCACCATACGAGACTATCCACAGCTATGGTTATGTTCAAAACACATTTGCCAAATGATGCACGGGGAGTGGCAGTTATTTATTTTTCACGCCATTAACTCCTTGTTTATCATTAAATTCAGTTTGTTTTTCATGGTTGGGATGGGAGAAATGTCCCTATGTGCAACGCTTACGATCTCTATCGTAATTGCTTTTTTAGCTAAAATTAATCTACTTACCGTATAGTACTTTCTTCCAAATTGTTTGCTTGTCACATTTTTTAGAGCAACAACATTCAGTTAATTGCGAAGATGTACCATTGTAATGACATTGGTAATCCTAGCATGCTAAATAATAATTCCATTATTACCGAAAATTAGTCGTTTCTGTACCATAAGGTAAATGTTTTCAGCTTTTTCTAGTACTAAGGCTTTGAGAAATTATTAAGGGAAATGCTTATTAGGATGGTAGAAAGAACAGAAGAAGCTATACTCCAATATCTGATGGATGTAACTTCGACGAATGTTCATCTTAAACAATTACCTTGTTACCAAAACGAAGGTAACAGATGTAATATTGGTATACATTCGCCATTCCCTTCCATTATGTTCGTTCTGCATTTAAAACTAAATCGTAGGGCTACTAAATATGGAGATTCTCGCCAAAAGTTTCAATCAAGGTACATGGAGAAATCTATGATTTGTTGTCGATCATGGACGATTTATGGTACCCTGCATTCGGAAACAGTGGAAAAGAAGGAAGATCCTTCTAAACTGCAGATAAAAATACGGTCCAGCTTGACAAGATTATTCAGCATTTGACCAAAAGCTTCTTCTCCTTGCCATTATTAATCAAACTTCAAAGGATTGTTCTACGTTTCCCCTGTGTCCAGAGGGTACATGCTACTTTCGGCACTTAAAACTGTAAAAAGCCTAAGTAATCACTTGGGCGTTAAAACCGGTGTTGCCTTAAAGATGAGTGAATCCATTTCACCTTTCCCCAAACCAATCGGTGTAGGTGGGTGAATGAATATTACATCGTGTCCATAAGGCTCTCCCCTATCCAGAATCTGGTTCGCACTCAAGGCCGCCTCATGCCATGGTGTGTCCATCTTTAGAATGACCTAAATGGTGTGGCCACGTAAGCAATGGTGCAATTAATTATGAAGTGTCTGTTTGTGATTCATCCCTATAAAACCGTTGGGAGCGGCAGTGCATTATAATACCCACTAAATTTCTCAAACTATAAAGGAGATTAAAAAATGCTTCACAAAATCCACTTTTACACGATAAGTATGTAGGCGAGGTATCAATGCCAACGTTATTGCAGGAAGGTGCCGCCAAACTCTCAAAAAGGTTATTAGGGAAAAACAAGTAAACCTTGTAATCTTTTAAAGATGCGCAAATTGTCCATTTTACTATCAAATAATTAAGGCATTATCCCTAAAGCTTTAAGATTCCTCTAAGTCTAGGTGGAGAAAATAATTCAAAAAGGTTAATCACTTCATTTCATAATTAATTTCCATGACTGCGTGTATCTATCTTTGTTGAATGGTTTTAAGAAGATGACTTGGAAATATTTGCGTATTATGGATGCAGAAATCATAGTGCATTTGTCTTTGTGACATTAGCCGATTCAAAAAGACATCAGAACGTCTCAGAACCCCTCTTAGATTCAGGTCAAGACCGAATACACAGAAATACCATAAACTCGATTCATTCCTTCCACGAAAAAAATACACTGGAAATTGGACTGCTTTAAAAGTAGCCTTGGGTTAACGACTAGCACTCATAATAATATTCCGCGTTGATATTTAAACCCGCTGACAGGACCTGTCTATGCAGGATACCATGACAGTTGACACAATCTTTCCGTGTGACCTTAGCTAATTTTTAGCACGCAAAAACAAATATTTATCCTGAGTAGAGAAGATATATAGAAGGGCATTTCAGTAAAGCATAGCAAACTCTTGTCCTCCTTTTTTTCTCAAAAGATTTGCACTGGGTTCTGTGCATTGAAAGTGATCACCTCAAATTAAAAATGTCACCAAGGTAAGCAAATAAGGCGGGAAACATGATAGTGAAATGCATGTTTCTAAGCAAGACATTTCAAACGCTTATTGACGTTAAAATTTACCGTTGTTTTTGAAGGATTACACTGCACGCACTATTTTATGCAGTGATGGATTTCATTCCACTAAAGGTCAAAATTCCTAGAATACTTAATGGTGTAAGTCAATCAGATTCGCTTAAATCTAAACTATTTCGATAGAAGGTAACCACTTTACCCTGCCTGTTAGAAATTTAGGACAGACAGTTTGAATGAAACTTGCCGTTTTCCTAGCAGCCTTTTCCTCCTTCGGCAGTTCAAAGGGGGAATAGTAACTACGTCTTCTCCCCGTCCAATAAGGTTTTGCTGCGGGAAATAAAAGAACGACATTTCGCAAAGGGATTGAAACAAAAAAGTTAGCTGCGAGGCAATCACTTTTTAGCAATGAGGTGATCTACCCTAAGGTCTGGCTAAATTGCATTTCATAGCAAGTGAACGAAATGACTTTCAACAAATGTGATGCTTAATGTTGCAGGTCGTATTGCACTACTAAACGAACGAGACACGACAGCTGAAGAATTAAGGCATTAAATTTGTCCTTCTGTTTATTCTACACAGATAAATCCAATTCCAGCCTCTTACTCATTGTAGCTAAACCTTAGTACATCCATGACTTTCACCTAAAAGAACTTTTATCTACTCACTTTTAGGAACGAATTAGGTTAATTATAAAAGACCGGTAAGGTATGAACTTCGAAGCATTGCATTTAACAGACTCAAGTTCCATCAAAGACTGAGAATGAAGTTTAAGTGAATAGCGATAATGATGCTTGGCTACTTCTGCCAGCTTATTTAAACAAAATCTTTCAGTTGGACCATTCAGTTTTACTAAAAAGAATATGAAAACTTCGAAAGAGTGACTCCTCTTGACCTGGAGCTGGCAAGATTTGCAGTTTTGTTTAATCGACCGAAGTGTTTTCTAACAAATGAAGCAACAATCCGATTTTCACATATTAATCTTGCGCCTGTGGTATGCACAAGTTGGGTCTTTTCGAACAAGATATCACGCAAGCAACTTTCTCCTTACAGGTTGCATGGATTCTGGTCATGCTAACCGTGTTTGTGTCTTTCGAACCCTAGTACTATTAGATATTAACACGTGTAATTTGGGTATTGCGATCATCGTAGATACCCGGGATTTGCTGAAAGCAGTAGTTTTAACAACAAATATCAGGTTGACTGTAGTTAGGGGAAGTGTAGTTTACTCTATTTTATGTTATTTATCATTTCCGTATAAATCGCCCTGCAAATTGTACTTTAGGTCTTTACCAAAGAAGTTTCATGAGCATACTTCCCTCAAACAAGTCGGAGCCAGAGGAGAAACAGACTGCAGAGCGGCATTTTTTTCCTAAGACACGACAATGGCCCAAGAGGTGGGCCGCAGACATACTCCTCACTGATTGGCCCCCATAGTCCAATAGCATCTTGGCCTGCATGAACCAATGGGCATGCTCCTGCCTCCCACGTGAACGTGGTCGAGCCGATTCAACTAGCATAAGCATAACTCGATACACGTTCACTTCATGTCTATGTAAAACAAAGGGGCATTTCTTCTACGATAACTTTGCAACCGCGATGACATCTTTCTTTCCACTATTCGGATTCTGCTTGCTGTTCAGCCTCTCCGAGTGTAAACTCAATGAAGTGCGGCCACATCGCGACGTGCTGAGGGAGTTTTTGATCGCTCAACCAACGCCCGAGAGTCAAGAGTTGGCAAAGGCGGTTTGCAAAGTAGAGTGTCTCAGGGATTGCCTCAATACTTTACAGGCCAAAACAAATAAGGACAATATGGTAAGTCGTTATATAACTGCTAATGCTTAGTAAACCATATTAAGGGCATAAAAGTTTCCCTTTGTCCTGAGATGGAAAATTAAAGTAATGCCGTGAAATACAATTTCATACCAAGTAAAGTTTTATGCATTTTTTCTTGTGTGAATGTTCCGGTTTCACTTACGCTACTATGTTAGTATTTAAACAAAGTGAAATGAGACCTTTTGATTAAATAATAGTAGGTTGAATAAAGTGCGGACTAAATGAGTACATTTGAACAAGAGGTTAATCAACTCCTTTGTAACGGTACCTATATTTCCATAATTATATGAACTTCTGGTGGATGTAACATCGAATGAAATACATAATACCAAGGATATGTACAATCGTGGGACCGAGGCAAGAGTAATAAAAGTTGACATATTTGCGACTTATGCAATGATAAATAGCCGTATGAGCATTGTTAACTGAATGTCAAGTAGTGCCATTCAACACACAGCTCAACAAATTTATTACATCTCACAGAAGCGTTGAAAGAAATCTGACTTATGGAAGTGAAGTAGTCACTGCATGAAACATCACAGGTCACTGAGAATAATCGGAAATCGTTTTTCATCGTGCTGTTTAAGTCACCTCGTCGTGACCATTTTTATTTGATCTTCGAAAATTGTCTGTGACTGATTTATGTATACCAAAACTCCAGGCTTCATGGTACTGGATTTGCAGGCATGTAGAAGGCAAGTGTAAGTGTTGTAGGACCTAAGTCACCAGGGTAATTGCGATATCACGTATGTGCACAGAGGATAGTCTTTGGAAAAACTTAGGGCCTAGTCAGAACGATGGACCAACTCCCCTTGGTAAAGAGGTGACACTTCCCCTCCCGGTTAATCACAAAAACCCCAACTGCAGGAATGTCTATTCGTATACAACGTGCCACTAAAGTAGAAAATTTCTCATCTATGCAAAACCCTAATTTCAGACACTTTGTGGGGGGCTGACTGTAATGTTTGTCAAAAATCCTACTTATTTTTAAAGTTTTTCTCTTCGAAATGAAAATTTGACAGAAGTTTTAAATAACAGAAGGTAATTTAGACTGATTTTTTATATTTGTCGATCGTCGCTTATTGTCTGATGCAGTAGTGACGCCTTACTAAAGGATTGATAACGACTAAGGTTGCATCATGAGCTGTCAGCACAAAAAAACCAGTCTCATCAGTTCCGTTATCGAGTAATTTAAAGTCTAACTTATCTCTCTTGATGGAACAGGAGACTACACGCAACTCAATTCTATGTGGAATGACTTTAGAACTATACGCTTTTGAGAATTTTGCTAAGAATTAGTGCCATCGATTTGATGTGGACGCGCTCTACTTCGGAAGTCGATGTTTTGGAAAAAGGATGGACAAACGAATGTTTCATTCATTTGTGCTAGGAGCTTCCATTCCAAACCAAAACAGTCTCTCATTTCTTCAACATACTCCATCTTAATGGCGGATGCCATTAATGTGTAAGCATGGATCTCCTCACCTTGCGATTATTTGCGTGGTCTGGGCGGCCTATCCGCGACTGAAGAAGCGTAAACCAAAGCATAGGGGGATTTCGAACTAAATTTTTTTTTGACAAAGAGCAAAGATTTTTCTTTCCCAAATCGAGTTGTTGTAAATTATAAGGAATGCTGCTTTTTATTCTTGAACTGGTTCAAAAGTCTGAAAAAGTGGTCTTTTTTGCGTACTTAGTGAGCATCGGGAAGTTACCTCTGGGAGCAGTTTTAACTGTGAGCAGAGTAATGGTATCGAGCGACCGTAATTTAACTACATCACCATTTACGCACATACATGTGTATCACAGGGCTTACAAACGTGTAATTTTTGAAGTTTACAAGAAATAAACCTGACAATGGCTGATTAGTTAGATCGATTGACACATACACGGTGGGGTGAGTGCTAACGCAGGAGTTAAGGAAGGGGCTATGAAACGTAAATAGTGGAACTGCACTTCTGTCTACGTTCTGGACATTGTTTAAGCCTCTGAAAGAACATTTTCCAGCCATTATATTTTTTGCTCACTGACATTCCATAAACCTATGCCTTGACACCGTAAATGGAACATAAGTGCGTAAATTACATGCATGCATTTAAAAAGGGATAAAAATGGAAGCTCTGCATTGAGGAAACCATTTGATATCCCAGTTTTACTAATTTAAAATATCGTTACGATTGAAAACTACGAAGATTACTACGAGGGCAAAATGTCATCGCAGAATAGTTGGACTTTAAACGGATCGCAGTGTGTGATCATAAATTTCAATATGGCATGAAATTACGCATTGACACTTTATCATCAACTTGTGCACATTTAAATGATCAAATAATAGAATTCCAACCTTTTTTTCCAAAATTGCGTGAAAGTAGCATACATGTTAGGATGCTTTATCCTTCTTTTAGAGCAGCAATTCTGCTACTTCGTTCGGAGTTGTTTGTCATAGATAAAACTTATAGTGATGCGGTGCGTGTGAAAATATCTAAAAGAAATTAGGAAAAGATCTGAAACTGTAGCACCTTCAGGATATGGCAAATCACTTCAATTGTCAGAGCAGTAAAAACTCTTACAAATCTTGCTAAGGTGACTCATTGACACCGGAATGAGGAATAGCCTCAAGGTTGACTTCTTGGATGAAATATCCAGGCTCCGCTGAGAACTACCGTCAATAAACCACACTTGCTAGGGGTTTGCATTGAAAGTTAACTTGATTTTAATGATTTTTAAATCAACTGCCATATAGTCAAGACTGAGTAGGCTATGGGATAAAATTTTTCGTATCTAAAAACTCCTGCCTCTGTGCTCCCCGCTTATTACTTTGCCGTATGACGTCAGAACGGCTGTCACCAAGTTCATGTGTAAGGGCTGTTCCTGTTGCCATCTTCAGATGTTGCTTCGCATTCAAATTCCAACACGTACTTTCAAATACCAAAATTAGCTCGCATCTTAAGGTACAATATTGATACTTATGTCACGGGAAGAGCATGAATTTGTTTCATGTTTACCAAGTTGAAATAGACACGGGTAACAAGTACTGCAGTTTTACTTGTCAGTAGAAACAGAAAGACCGAAGCAGAACGAACCGGACTATTGTGTAATTTCAACATCAAACTGTACGTTTGGCTTCGTGGTTATATGCTTTCCCTCAAGAGTAGTTATAATGAAAGTGAAAGAGTTCGCACATCGGCCAATCGCTACCACTATTAGGAAAACTGGCTATCACATACTTTCACCTAGCCATCAGGCAAGCATACATAGAATGCTTCGATTCCTATTGGGCCCTTTTTTCATAATTGTGAGAAGGAATTGCAGACATCTTGGTTCTTTTTTACCTTCTTACATGGCACACATCCACAGCAATGGATAACTAGTTCTTCATCTGCATCTGTGCCCAAAAGCCACAAGGTATATTTTTTGATGCGGTATCGCCTAGAGTGTTAGGCGACGCCTTTTCACAGGACTTGACGGATTGCACAATGCGCGGGCAAAGATAACTAGGCATAGTTGTTAGCGTTTCCTGCAAAGGCAGTAGGATTGCCCAATGTGCACTGGCCATTCCCTTTGTAAATGCTCCGAGAAGCTATTTAATAGTTTTAATTTTCGTGTTCTGATAGTATCAGTGTGAGGAAATCAACACGTTTATTTAGTGTCAATGCAAATGTTTGATGAAATAAGTATTTATTGGAACACTACAGAAGAATAAAAGCAGTATTCTCCTTAATCATACGTCTGGATTTGACAACAATCTAAGGCACTGGGAAACTGGAAGAGATTTTCACTTTTTTTGTTGACGAATCCACATTCAAACAACATGTTAGATTTGAACTTGACATTATAGGCTAGCATTACTGATAGCTTTCTCATTCGAATCAGGAAAAAGGTTTGTAGCAAGATTGTTGGTAGTGAGTACGCAGAACCTTCTTTTGGAAGTAGCAAAGTGGAGAAGTTCAAGCAGCCTTGACTGCGTTTCGCTTTGTTAAACTTAAGTAGTAAAATAAAATATCTAGCGGTTGATTTGAAGAAAAGTTGGACCTTTTTTATTTTTACTTGCTTGGTTGCTGCCTCCATACATCATTTAAAGCCTTTAGACGCGTACAAACAATCCGCATTAATCATCGTTAGAGTAATTTTATGTGAAAATTCAAAGTCTGCAATCTTTTCAAGGATATATAAACAGCTAATAATTTTAATATTTGCAAATCGTTTCTGCATCTGTGTTTACTATAGGACTTAAGGAACCTTTACAAAAGATGGTAAAAATTGGCATTTGCAAAAGTTTGAAGACTACGCGCTTGATGTTCATTTTAAATGCTGTGCCAATTGAATTCCTAAGTGGATCAAGCCCTCCCCACCCAAAAGTCAAGTGGTCCGCTGTTCTACCTTCCTCTGTAAATGCTTTTTTGATTTAAAAGGTCGTTATTGTGCCTTTACATTTACAGAATCAGATTATTCTCCATATATTTGACGGGAATTATATGACTTACGAAATATTGCCATTGCATTCGGGTTAGTAGTAGTAGTTAAATAAGTAATTTTTCAGTTATTATTGGCAAACACATTGAATTGTAGTTAGGGGTAGATACAAACCCCAAAAATTAGTCCACAAAATCATTGCTTGCAATACTGATGCGCATCAAATATCAAAGGATGGAGTTGTACTTGTTTTAATCTGTCTAGCCTCTCAAGCAACAGCAGTGTACTACACTTACTCGCTCAATCAGTTTATCTTAGACTGTTTTCAAATTTTGTGTCTGTAGCTTTCCACCGGCTATGCTGGCCTTCTATGTCGCCGATAGATGAACGCCTTCTAAAATTTGTTAGGTAACTGTTATGGTTTTCTGCTCATCATCTCTTCATATTACTTATCAGGAACTTATTATTATTTGGGAATACCCTATGCTGAAGTTATTTTGTCCTTTAACTAAACAAAAACCATCTTTAAAATAGGCAATCCATGTCTACGATGGATTTGAAATAGGCCTGTGCGGTAAAGCAGCACATAGTAGCAAAAGGAATCCTTTGTTACGGAGAACCTCAAGCCATAATAAGGATTAACTCTCCTTTGCAAAGTAATAAACGTTTTGTTAATTGGTTGCAAACGCTGAAGCCTCAGCACATAAAGTACTCAAAAAATCGCCTCATTTTGGCTTGAGGTGCTTCGCTATGAAAATGAGAATTTGTACTTTAAATTGGATTTTTTCTTCATTCACTTGGAATGACTGCAACTAACGTTATATTCAGAATTCATTTTAAAGCGAAGTGTAAGTATTCCCCTACCTAAAGTTCCTTCACTTCCTCGGGGAATACTGATGATTTCCCCGATTAATCAAGCAGTGCGTACTCCAGACAGCCGTGCGTCATTTAGGCACTGCATCCTTAACACACCTTTAGTCCACTTTTTAAAAATTTTACGTGTAGGTGAGTGGCAAAATGACACATTACATGCATTCCGCCCCTTGTATGTCCAGACACCACTGATTCAACTTATCCCCAAGGTCTAGTAGGTACTTTGTCATTTAACTTATTCAAACATCAAAAACAGCTACGAAGAAAGCAGGAAAGCTTTCCCATGCGAATTCATTTTGCACGGACTCCCCAAGTTACAAGTGGTAACAGGCGAGAAGCGAAACATTTTAGGAGCTTCCATAGATGTTGCAGTGGGAACATTCGGGGCTTTGCCAGTTTAAGGACAATAGTACTGTGATTTTATCGACCTAGAAGAACTAAATTTCGTTGAATGGTGTTACAGTTAGGTCTATTCTTTATCGACCCCTTTTGAATAAAGCGACAGTCCTTTAATAGATCGTAAAATGGAGTATCATTATAACGTAAATTGGTAGATGATTAGTTCGACCTTTTCGCTAACATGCAGTTCGCTAAGGAAAGTACACTTTATCACGACGCCGCATTTTTACTCTAAGGATGATCCGCAAGTGGCCGATGTTTATAAACAAGGGCTGTAATTTGTATCCTCCAAACGTAAACTCTTGAAAAGTGTTTTTCAAAGACTTCTTGTCTTCCAATGTAGAAATCACTTATTTGAATACTGAATAATTCCTATTTCTCTTCAGTGATTGGATGGACAAATGAAGGGGACGTTGAAGGGTCATCTACCCTCACTTTTATTTTTGTTCAGCTGCTTTTGAGAGATCTTTTTCAGTTACACTAAAAACTGTCACAGGAACCGTCACCCTAAAAACTGGCTTATAACAGGAGCTTTTTCGTGCCCCGATTGTTCACAAACCGGTAATTTATAAGAAGTAGATACCGTTCCACCTCAACTAACAAATGAGTTTCCCGCAGCGTCGTCTGTAATATCCCAATAGCCTGCTTTGCTTTGTTCTGCTAATCCGTAGGCCACTGCTGTAGATGATTTTAAACAAGGGCACATTTTATCCGCCCCTAACCCCAATTTTCCAGTCGTTTAGTCATCATGATACCTAGTGAATCGCAAACATTGCAATCATTATGGAAGTTTATGACAGTGAATATTAAAAGTTAGCAGATAGCAAAATTCCTTCACTAATGGTTATTTCCTTGAGATCTTAGCAGCAAATTCAAAATTCATAATTCAGACATTAGATTTAGTCGCCAAAATTGCCATTTAAAATGGCTACCCTTCCCAAGAAGTCCAAAGTTGTACAAGAATCTTATTTTTCTAATCTTTTTAAAAGATGGCATATTGTCCCAAATAGAGTAATTGATTGAATTCACGGTGCGTATACCTATCTGGTGGTGCCGTTGCTTTAATTTAACAAGTGACATCGGGTCGCCTTGTATTGCGATACCTCGCCACACTAAATTAAAAGATACTTGCTTACTTATAAAGAAAATAAGTACTATAGATTACCAGAAATGATTAGAGCTTGACGTCACATTCATCATTCATAGTTGTCTAAGTAAAATTATGATATGCAGATTTCTCAATTATAGATCACTTAGTTTAAATAATCTAAGCCATAGCTCATCACTTCTTTCAGATAAATGATTTCACCTCAAAAATATATTTGTATTACTTCATAAGTAGATGACAAGTGTTGACAATTCAGCGAATCAAATGTCTAATTTTGATCCCACATATGAGAAATGGAGCCAAAAAAGCTAATCGGAAGATCGTTATACTGCAGATTAAGGTACAACTCTTTTGAATTTCTAAACTAATCTTCAGAAAAACTCCTCGAGTCCAATTCAGTTTTGGAACTAAATTATTGGCAAAATGCACTCCTCGAAACTGTTTGTCTGTATTTTAGGCCAAAGCAGTCCTTGAAGAGCTTAGAAAAACGCCTGTCAATGTGCAGTCGGAGTGCCGTCGTCTTTCACCAGCTTACCTCTTTTACAACGAGGTGAGCAAGACGCATCTCCATTTTTACAGAGGTTAATTTGAGCGCCTACCGTTTGACGCCTTTTCAGCCATGTTTTCTGACCACTTATTGCCAATTAATCACCCCTGATTTTGCTCCTCCTCTTCCCTTTCTCCCATTTTTATCCCAACCCAATTAGTGGAAAGCGGGAACACGACGCTTAGCTAGAGCGGTTGCCGCCTCTCAATATCGTACTTACATGACAAGCCGTGCCAGCCCCCTCTCCTCTTGAGCCCGGAACTTAGCCCTGCACTCGGGTGACTCCCATCACAGGTTCGAGTAAAAAAAATCTTTTAAGCCCAGAGAAGATGTGCCTTAGCTTACATTTGCTCTGGAAAGTTGATGATGTATGGATGGGATGAGGCTTGTGAGAAACACACCTTATACCTAATACAAAACGGTCAAAATTTAGCTTCGAAATATGATGTATAGGAGGTGGCCACTAACACCATATTCAAAATGCGGAAAGTTCTTATTAAGTATATGACCGGAACGCAGTGAGATTTAGCGAGTTAAAAAAGCAGTTGAATTGGGCTCGGTCAGGAGGTGAGTGCATTATTTCTGAGCCTTGAACAATAAGGAATGCGCTAGCAAACGTCATTTACTATGGAAATGTATGTGTCATACCAATCCCATGATCCGCAGGATTTTTCTGAGTCCATATTATTGTTAAATGATGTAAAAGTTTGGAGAAGTATTCGACGCTGGTTTGGCTATTGCAATTCCGTTCTTATGTTTAACTGAAGATGATTTCACTACTGCGATAATATTCGAAATTCGCTTTAGAACCACAATTTCTTTTTATTCCATTTAGGTGTTACATTCCGTTAAACCATCTAAATCTGCGTACTTGGTGGAAGCCACTTGTGAGTAGGGGATATCTTTCTCCATCTTGGTAGCATTATTCTGTTTGAATTGTACTCTACCAGCAGAAGCAAAAATGCAGATGTATTTTCTTTTCCTCTTTAAACTCGATCTCGTACAAACTATCTTTAAAAAGTGTTTGCGTGGAGGGATGTAGGAGTAAGAGGTTTTTTTTTGCAAAAGACTACACTTGCTTCATTGGGATGCTTTAACGCAATTTCACCCTCCCCAAAAAAGCATCAACTTCAACTTTCATCATCCTACACGCGAACTCAATTTACCAGTGACGCTATGGTCGTTGACAATCATGTTTGGTTCAAGTGATTAACTTGAGTAATTTCTTTAGTTTTATTAAGAGTGGGATTCTCCACTTCAAAACCCCGATTTGTAACACTATTAACTCAATCTGTGTATTATTTACTAATAACTTTAGTCATCTTTGTGCGTGAGGCTGCAATGATTACTTAAGTATTTATAGTTGTAGAAATGTTCTTTTTTCCTTGATTCTTTAGTGTGAACGAGCCTGCGACACCGACTTGGCTTATAAGGAGTGTGCAAAGGGATGCGCGGTAAGACTCAGCATCAATGCTTTAGGTCTAGACTAACGTCGCATACATTCCGTTAGAGTAGTTGAACATACCCTTCATGCAAAAATGCACAAAACTGCACTTATTAGACACATGCCAATTCCCTGTAGCTGTTACTTGTTCGGTTCATATAGTCCGGTTTTAAGTCGCGAGTTATCATAACGAAATCCTAGCCATGTATCTTCAAAACTTACGTGGAATGAGTTGTCTGCAACCAAAATACGACGTGGCTAAACCAGACACATGCTTCACCAACTCATAAATGTGTTATTTACATTCTATTTCTTTCCGTAATGACAAAGGAAATGACCAACTTATGTGTCATTGATCAAAACGGCAATACTCTACACCAACTAGACATTTCTGATATTACCCAAAACATCGAATCTTTATAAATCAGTAAACACCGAAGTTCAAAATGAATTATTAACACGTTTTACTGATTCATGCTGACCGCAACCTTTGTATATTAACGCCTTTGGCCAAATAAACCAAAATTTTTGATTGATTTAATCTGCCCTAGTAAGATCCAACTTTTAGCTTTTAGAGAAAAAGCTCCACCTATCCATTGTGGTTTAAAATATTTTAGAATGGATCCTAACCTACTTACCAAAACAATGGTAAATTCCTCACCAATCATATTGGGTTCTGGAATCTTAAGCTTAAGTGAAGCTTTTACAAATATTGCATCTCCTTTGTAGTGGCACACAATACAAACCTACAGCCAGTCACAATCTAATCAAATTAACGGACTGGATACTAGGATGAGAGGTTTATGCGATTCTAAAAATTAACCGACCTTGTCCACGGGCAGCAGGATTTCCAACAAATCTAATGGAGATAGAGATCGAGACCGGCAAATTTTATCCACAGAAATGCCTTAAAACCAAATTGGCTATAAGCCGTGTAAATCTTGCAAATCTTCCATATTTAAGTTAAAAATGTAAGTATATGCGCAAAACTTTGCTGTTATTCATTTTCTTCCTCCTTTGCCCATCATAAATCAAAATACCGTCTCCAGTATAGGTTGGGGTGGTGTTTATAGTGGGATAAAATGCATGAGTTATATAATCGTCTGATTGAGTGAAAGTAGAAAAAAATTCGTAAGGATTCATGTTGATGGGAATTTTCCCTTCCATACTGTTAAAATGAACTGCTCTTGACATTTACTGCTATTTCAATTGCCTCCATTAGGTTGAACTAAATGTCAGCAGATAAAAGGCGACTAACATCATCAAAATCTAATAAGCACATAAAACTCTACGATTTAAAATGCACATTTCTCGACAACAGAAAATGGTTTTAGTGAAACATTCATTTAGTTCAATTTAACTTTGGGACCGTTTTACTATTTCATTGTATTATTATGTCAAGTTGTAGTAGACGCAAAAATCTGATCCAGTCCTTGAGAAGGTCGATAATGATCCAGTGTTTATAGAATGAGAAATCTTTTCCTCCTCAAGCTTCACCTATTTTGATGTTTTGGGTAGTTGCTAAAAAAGCGTTTGTATGGACAGTCTGAAATAATTAGTAGAGCTGACGTCAGTAATGCTGGCTTGTACCAAAACATTACTTTTGCAGCAAGACAGTTTTTAGCCTTGTGAGATACCTTCCAAATCTTTTTAAATTGGTGGCGATTTTCTGCATATGCTTCGCCATGTGAATGGAAAAATTGTACAAATTTTAGTCTGGGGAACTTCAGGAAGGCTGGGCCTGTCACATAGGGTGTAGAAAGCTGGACACAGCGATGAAACATCGCTTCGGCGACTGTCCATCCACTGGTGCGTTGGAACCTAAGGAGGGGAGTGAGCACTGGCTGTCTCTACGTGACGCGGGTGCCTCTGCGCCTCCCTGTATCTTGGATTTGGACTGCCCGGGGAACAAAAAATGCTGCTCCAGGATCTGCATGGTACCCACTTTTGGCGATGGTGAGAAGCACTGGGTTTTGAACTGACCACTTGACACTTTGGTCTTTTAGCTTCTCTCCATGAGGTTTGGGACCTTATAATGGTAGTGCCGTTCATTTGGTGGCAATCTATCGTCTGCTCTAAACAAGATGTCTTATTTGCTTGCCTATTTCATAAATGTGACGAAACTGATTCCAATCACATGTGCAAATGTGTTTGCTGGATCTTCTTCACGTTTGGCCGAAGTGTGTGGGGAAGCGTAGGCGTACGACGTGCATGCACCAGCCCGGTGGCTGGCTAATGGAGGCTATCGCAGGCTGTTGCTAAGCCTGAGTCTGTGTACTTCAGCGGTTCCATTTACACGCACCTTTAGCAGTACACTTAGGGTACATCTTTGCTTGATATGATCCAATCCGGAAGGAGTGAACGAGGCCACAGCTCTCCAAAACGCTTAGACATCAGCCGTATTAAGGCTTCTGGAAAGTCGAGCGGAAACGCTCTTCTGGGGCTGCAGGCACCCCAGAATACCACTTATTTGTTCATTCACACAAAACCCGATTCTTTGGATAGCTAAATCAGTTATTTAAATCTTTTACAACTATTTGTTCTTCAGTTACACAATGGAACCAATTAAAGAGCTTAAATATATACTATATGTCAAATATCATAAGTTTAACTTGAAACAGTGCGGTTTGGTTAAAACTGCTGGTCTGCTGCGCTTGACATTCGTTATTGCTTTTACTTTTACTTCCCATTGTAGGCCTTAGATTATGTTTAAAACGTTTTAGTTCAAAGAACATCCTTACCAGTAATAGGTCAGGCTATTTGCTGCCGCCTTGATTTGATGATAATTGTTTTTATATGAGCTAAGGATATTCACCATAGTCATCGAAGTGGGTACTTACCTCTCTAAAAGGGAGCAGCCGCACTCTTTAGACATACCAGAGCTTGTCCAACCTCCACAAATCACGGAGGGGAACAGGCCGCGATCATTCGAACTGACCTGGAATGTTGCTGGTGAAAACAAACCCTCGTTTGCGGAGCCAGTCATCTACGTTTTGCAAGTACGAACGTATTTTGGTCCAGAGTTTGATCCAATGGCTGCTAACGCCTGGAAGACTCTCACCATGGTGCGTCATTACCCTATTTTTGCCTAGTAAAGAGATGACGACTTCAAAGGTTGTTATAGAATTAATTTTACCAAATTAAAATTTCACGTTGATTTTCTTTCCGTTTTCTTTTGAGAGACAGGCCATGATATGTTCGTTAATAATTTCTGGTACTGTACCATGAAAAGTTGGTAAGCAAAGTCGTCCTTTTAGACAACCATCCCGGGAGCTCGGCTGAGTGAACCAGATGTAGGTTGGTGGTACCAGTATCGAATTGCAGCCGTGAATCGTTTTGGATCGAGGGGATTTGGTGATTCAACTACACCACCAGTTCACCTGACCAGTCAACTCCCACAGGCGGCATCGGCGCCCCGACAACTCGTGGATGGCGTATGGCGGTTCCAGGCAGACGGGGGAGTGCATGTCCGCATTGAGTGGAAAGCCCCGACAACTGCTGTCATCCCAGTCACAGAATATCGGGTAAAAAGTGTGCCAATTTACTCCTTCATTAATTCATTTTTCAGACGTATTCAACAGACACATGTTTAAATTGACCAAAACCTCAGGAATTACTTTTTACAAAAGAGTTTGCACGCATTCTAAGACAAGCTGTTAACTTTTTGCTAATAGATAGCTGTATTTGCAGGAGACTACCAACCTTTATGATGTACATAAAGGAAGTAGAGGGTGTCAGTATCCATTCATTGCATGATCGAAAACGCACGAAAGCAAAATGTTTATCTTGGTTCAAATTCAGTCTAGATCAAGGTAGTAATATGTTGCAATTTAATTTAGTTACATTCCTTGGGTGTGTGTATTTGCTTGCCTAAAGTAAAGCCATTGTTTTCGGCCACTATTTAATCGAATTAGCAGCTTGAATGGCTGAAATTGGTGTTTGTCAACCTCTGCGTTGTACCCGTTTCTGCAATAAATAATCTTTTTACTTGACTTAAATTATTTTTTATTACTTAAAAATTGTTTGGTTGAACTGATGATTTTGGTTCTAGATATCTTGGGCACCCGAGGATTCTTCGTCAGATAAACGCGCAGTGTTTGAGGATAAAATGTCAACATTCCTCCACATCGTGCCTGCTGTGAGTACATTAGTATTGGTCCTGCTGACCGCTATGGATGCGATTTCTGTGAAAGGCGATTAGGTCCTTCAATAGCTGCTGCCAGGTTTTTACTATCGATGGAGGGCTATTAATGAATTAGCCCTCGTTCTGAAAAGCTATTTACACTAGACAATCAACCACTTTTGCTCAAATAAAATTAATGCTTTTAAATGAGTCAGTCGCAATTAACAAACTCTTAGTTAAAGGGTCTAATTTTTTTCTTGAATCTTCCTTTCCATTCACTTTCCATCGATGCATTTAAAGTGCTTTTTTACAAATTTTAATTCATTTGTAAACCAAATGACACACTAAAAGCCCCATAAATTAGTTCTGGAAGTAGAGACATGTGATTAGCAATTTATTTTGTACTTATAAGACCCCTTTGAGAGAACATAGCAAATTCTTCGTTTATACATCATCAGAAATATTTAGGGCACAACATTTAAGGCTCTAAATGTTAGCTGTGAAATGGTTAAGCAGATTGCAACGAGATGGAGTCGTAGAGAATGGTGCATTATGAATTCCTAACTAAACTAATTTAGAGAGCAATGTTCAGTGCAGATTTTTGATTCACGATAAACAGCATAGTTCTCCGTGAAACAAGCGCTCATTCGCAAGAGATGCGATTTGGCTAACGTTTTAACAAGCATCAGCCCTTCCTCTCCTTCCAGTCACGCTTTTTTCGAATATCTTGCCCGATGGTGTGAATCATCTGATAGGATCTGGTGCATTCCCACCCCCAACTGTGTGTGTACGAAGCCATTATGGAGATACCCACACAAACCACGATAATACGTGGCGTTTTAAGGAGTATTTTGATTTTCGTAAGAACCACAAATTGTTTGTTGCACGCAAAACTAAATTCATGTAAAAATCAACCGCTATGTTTATTCCTGGCCTCTAGATAAAATCCAATTCGTTGAAAACATCAGCACACAAAATGGAGGCCCTTCTTGCTAACTGTTATTACTCACCTAATTGCCAAGTTGTCCGGTCTTTTTTAATCCTTGAACTTCAGAATTCAATACCCTGATGCTCGCATTCAGTCTTGACACAATTTATTACAAAAGCATTTTTTAATAACCTGTTTATATCAAAGTCGCTTACATTGTCACATTTTGAGAGGAGTCACTTTGACTAGGAATTTGTTGGAAATGGTGTAAGTTTTGTCGAGCATATTATTTATTTGTCTTCACTGCTGAATCAAAAGTTACTTTCTGACGCCCACTGCAATGATAATAATGGTGGGTCCACTGAATGTTCAATGCCGCAGTAGGAAACTTTGTACTTGCCAGTGCCTGTTGAGTGTTCTTCCTATTGTTCGCTACTAGTTGGACCTTCTTTAGGTTACTGGCAGTCATAACGGAACACTGCCTTGTACTAGTTTTGCCTGACAAGTGGCAAGTTTTAGTGACGTGCGGTTTGGATATTTTAGAGTCAGACGCACTATCTCCTTCGCAATCTCAAGGCAAACATGTCCTACCACATTCAAGTAAGTAACTGGCTGAAACAACGCGACCGTGAACCCCTGCAAAGCACATCAAATATAACGGCAAAAATTAGTTGGTTCCCGTTTGCCTAAGTCACTTTAGGTGCTCATGAAAATCACTGTTAAATCAAACTATGTTTAAAATTACTTGTATTAACTTTGAAACCCCCTTCATCCCTCTAACCATTCAACAATGAATTAGTAAAATTTCTAAAAATTTTTGACGGTAGGAGTGTGTGAAAGCCAAACAAAAATCAAAACTTCCTATCTTGATTTCACTTTACTAGCGGGGTTCATTTGGCTACGAGTAGCCTCGAAACTTTTCAGGTACAGGCAATTTCCTCGTGGGGATCAAAGACTTTTACCTCTGCGCCAGCGTCACATTTCATCATAACTCCTGAACTGCCAAAACGGGAGCCTTACTATCAACACCAAAGCTATCCTGGGCATGGTGTTAGCAATCTTGGTTACGGTAAATACTATCGGAGTTGAAACGGAATAAAAAGTATTTCCTTACTGTAGGGAAACATTTATAAAATAAAAATATTAAAATCCAACAATCGATATGCCTTACCAAGAGAGCAATTGCCATTTTTATACTGGTGATTTTTTATTGCATGTTTTTATAGGTGGTACCCAAGTGCCCTGCAGCTGTGATAATGTCAGGGAGCGAGGTGGTGCCAGTAAACTTCAAATATCATCAAACTTTCGCCCTTTGCGTTTTCCGCAATCTCCTGGTGGTTTTCTTACGGTTCGATTTGCCAACGATCCCGGTGTTTCGGATGGCCAGTTTCTGAAGACTATACTTACGGTCAATGAGTTCGCAGAGAGTTACAATGCTCAATTTTCTGAAGGTGCTCCCTCATTTCTCTTCAGCCTTGTTTTGGCAAAGATTCAAATGGCATAACGAATAACGTAACCATAATTAAGCATATCTTCAGCCAGTAGTGTTACCCTTTGTGCGATGATTTTTGATGATCCCTTTTGTCTCAAAATGTAATCGCTTTGAAAATTCAAGTACGGTGCCTAATTTGGTTGCAATAAAAACAGTAGCCATTCTTTTAGCAATAATTTTGGATTGAATTCTTTGTACAATGAGCATGGTATCTGCTAAATAATATGTATCAGGTTAACATGCAATACATCTATCCAAACTATCTAAACTGCAGACCTATGGTCGTACATCGTGCTGACTCACAACATAACCCGATACCCTGAGCTCGGTGGATCGCTTAAGCCACCTACGCAAATGAATGGCAATTTTTACAAAATGTACTTTATGTGTTTATGAAGTCCTTACCAATAGTGTCTGCGTTGAATTGCTTGCAATACAACCCTAAAACCCCTCCAACTGGGAAGTTTATAGCCTAAAAATCCTTTTTAAGGAATTAGTTATGGAGGAAAAAAACCAGTATTTACTACCAACGTAACGCGCAATTATGCCGTTAATATTTGCTTCATCCTTATATTAATAAGAAATAACATCTGATAAAGCTGTACACTTTCATTTTGCTAACATTTCTAGTACTTAAGAGCCTTTGATGTAATATCTCTTGGCTGTCAAAATCATTAAATTATAGGAGAAAATCTCTCACCGAAACTTCTCACAATTCAGTGGAAGCAGCAGGCTTGCATAGAAACCGGCGAGCAGATATCAAAAACATTCATGCCCCTCAAACCGCTGGATGAATTTGGTTCGGGGTCTGCGGGGAGTGAATACAGCCGGTTCCTGATGCTAGAACCAGTGGAGCATGGAGAGGAAGTCGGTTTATTACCAGAGGGTCAGTTAACTCGAACCGGACGAGTGGAAATATCATCGCTACAGCTTAACTGCCACTACGCAATATTCGTGGCACCAAACAAACGCAAATCAAATGGTGCTACTCTGCAACAGCACACGGATCAGCCTCCAATTCACATCGGATGCTTATGCACTCCAGCCTGCTTTGATGATCAGTCAATACCATGGGCTTCTCATTTCAGCTGTTCCACCAAAGGTTTGTGGTTACCTTGCAAATAGAAAACATTGAAATAGGCGAAGAACAAATATTCTTGTCCATCGAGTGACCAAATTAGCTGTCAAAATATTGTACTTCCGATGTTTTGTTTTAGAAGCTGATTTGACACTCTGTAGTAGAATTCGACTAACGTCAACATATAATTATTTGCAAATGTATACGACAGGCTATTTGACCATTTCCTATCAGAATCGGACGCCTTACTCCCTCCAACCAATCTGCGCTCTCAGTTAGTCTCCGACACCTCCTTCATTTACAACATGTCTTGGCGGCCGCCCACAACTATGCGGCATCTGCGAAGCCCTCGACCCGACATTGGCCCTGAGCTCAATCTATCCGAAATTTTCTACAGGTGGGTCAAGCGATCTGCGGTCGGAAGTTTAAAACCGCGCATGCTGATCACGCGCCACTTTAATCCATGGTGAACTGTTTCGTACCTAACAGCCTAAAATCTAGATTGCCTTCATCCTCATGCAAAGCATTGCAGTGTAGCATTGCCTTTTAGTATTTAAATTCCAGTCAGGTGATTTACACAGCTGTGGCATTTCAAATTTGATATTGGTACGTCTTGCTAGAAGGCCACATCTGCGAATAACTCAATGAAGCGTATTTTAGCCTAAAACAGGTCACGAAAATCTAAACTCTTATCCAAATTATGAATACCTTTTTTGTGTCTCAGAAGTAAAATGTTTCTTGAACTCCGTTTTACGATGACTAAATGGGTGGCGGATTTGGAGGGCAAAATTAATTAACTTGGGTTGCAAACCACTTTCTTGAAGTAGCAATATACTCCAAATGCCAAACTTGGTTGTTTAAATGCGGCAAGCATTACATGTCTTCGACCAGATTGACTAAAATCTGTTTTGTTCATTTGAAAGTAAAGATCTTAAAGTCGTCTCTATGACACACAGCTGCAGATTTTTCCGATTTGGGTCAAATTTAGTTCCATTTTTGCTGTGATGCAAAGTTCCATTTGTATAAGTGTTATTTGATTTAGATAAAACCGTCGATAAGTTGATGGTTGATTGATTTAATGGAGCTAAAGTTATTTCTAAACCTCTTTTTCTCTTTCGTACCCAGTGAAATCACTTTTTTTCGTTTTTTGAATTGTTTAAAATGAAAAACACCCGGTTCTATGGCCATGTCTTTTAAGAAGAGAAGCTTTGTTTTAACTGGCGTTTTAAGTGATAAACATTGTCTTTGAACGACTTTAATTGGTATGCTTTACTGCTCTGGAACTTGTATGTTTCAAATAGTCTCATGTTCTTGCTTGTTGGTTATGTCAGAGTTGCTTACTGTGGTTTATGCTTGTATTTTATGGATCTACGATTTACCACATATGGGCACTTGTGATTCACACGCCATAAATCACAATTAGAGTAACCTGGGGCCCTGCTATGGACAGACATTTGACCCCTCACACACTGCGGCTGATGGCCGACCCTTACCCCCGGCTCAGTCCAACTGAATCTCAGACAAAGGTCCTTCCTAGCGTAGGTTCATGATCTCTCCTTATCATTCTACTGTTTTATTATGTACAAAAGTGGCGCTAACTATGTTTGTGTATGGCACTTCAAACTGTAATTTTGTTTGGTTCGGTAGGTTGTTCAGACTTTAAAGAGGAGGTTGGGAGGGGGTTGGTATGTTGTTTAAACTGCACTATTTTGCAGACCACTCGTCTGTTACATGAACTTATTTTCATACTTCTGGTAGGTCCTGGTAGATGTGGTTTGGGGTGTAAAGAAGTCCAGTAAAACTCCTCAACATTTTACCTCTCAAACGAGGATAAGTTATGAGAGAGTTAATCATATTCGAATAGAAGTGGGATTGAATGGAAGTAGACTCGATTGACGTGCTGTCGGTTTTGACTTTGAGATTTAAATTTGAGGCTGGTCACATAATCTCTGTGTGGGTTTGCATTTGCATTTTAGACTAAGACCTCGATCCTATTAAATTCTCTTCAACCAAACAGTGTGTATGTCTTCAAAATCCAATTGATTCATCTCAGATCATCAGAGCACCTGGGTAGTCAACAAGAGGAAAGTCTCTCAAAAATTATTCAAGCAAGTCGTGAAGTATTTCTTTACGTTCAAACACCCCTCCAAGGCATCAAAGATGATTCCTTTAGAAGCGTTGGAGGTGCAATCAGGAAAGTGAATACGAGATTTCTCATGAGTAAGTCTCTGCAAAGTCCATTGTTAAGCAAGTAGTCGGATGGACCGATTAAAAACTTACCACTTTAATTGGATGAATTGGATGGGCGAAGTTATGCACATGAGCTAAAGACTCTTCACATGAGGGCAGCATAGGGGTTGGAATAGACAGGATAATATGTCCTAAATGTAATTGTAGTTGACAGATGCCAATTCTTTTTTCTTAAACTTTGCCATGGATGTTTGTCAATTTTTAATACTTCTGACAGTACGTTATACTAAATAGCCCAACAGGCGCCCTTACTTTTCTACTTCCCACTTCTTTGTTAATATATATTTTTTAGAATCCATGAGTAGGCTTTTATAAATTATTTAAGTTACAGCAGAGCCATTGGGTATGAATAATTACTTCCATAGACACCTAACATTTAGTAAAATTGCATACACGAAGCAAATGGAATAGACAGGAGATAGGTTGAGCAAAGCGGGCTTTAAAATGGTACAGCAGGCTTCTACTCACGCATTTATCACTAACTTGCCCTCGCCAAGTCATGAGCACTGCAAATTTAGAATGGTACATTTCAGATTGCTTGTAGGCATTGTTCCAACCAGTTGATAAAAGTTTTAACTTCGGAATGTTTTTCTTCTATTCTTCCAATCTTTGCTTTTTGCGCAAGGTGTCAAGTCTTGCGAACAGACTAGTAAATTAGTTTTAGACATCGTAGCATATATTCTTTTACCTTTCATTAACCTTAAAATTTGAGTTGAACTAAATATCTCAAGTTAGCACGAATTTGTGCATACTATTCAATAAATATAAGGCACTTTCATGATTTAGTGAGGAGGATTTCTTAAGCAACAACAATTTTACTCTAAGTAGTGGCAAACTAGTTTATTTTTTAGACCAGAGAATTAAACTGCAGATGGATTTTACTACAAATAGTTGCCTTGGATCAAATCAGACAATGACGAGTTAAGACGAATAAAAGGCTTGGAGAATTCGATTTTTTGCCTAATTTAATCCTTCATTAGTCAAACTCCTTACATAAACACGTTTCTGTCATTTCAGCCTTATTGCTGTTCTGGACGTTTCTTTATCTCACCTCGCCTCGGTAACCCCGCTGCGTATCTCGTCAGATTATTCATTTAAAAGTAACACTATCAGCTCATCCATCCTCTACAGTGCATCTGCTTGTACAGTACTTCATTCCTAAGGCTCAAGTTTTTGTACATATTCTGTTTTCTTAATTGTACTGTGTTTCGTGATATCGGTCATGCCACTTCAATCAGAAACGGTTTGTACCAGCACCAACGCTGGTATGAGTTACGCAAACGGAAAAGCCAAATGAAACGCCCAGACCTGGTTCTGTGCCACTGCGGTACTCATCGCCAATAAATACGTGCAAAGGAATTGCACATTTTAAGAACGCAAAACTAGAAGCGAAACTTGTGAATTATTTCATTATTTTCGCAAAAATGCTCACTTGAATTGATAGTTCGCACGGAGTCTTGATATTTTCAAGTTATTGTGAAATAAATATAATATGAGCCAATTTTTTTAGAAATTATCGTAACAAAGCCGCAAATCTCATCCATTTGTTATATTTAAAATTAGGATCCCAAATAATATTAAAAAGCGGTCCGCCTGGGGGAGAATGCGGATGTCGTAGGCACGATCAGTATCCACACTTATACGCATCAACCTCTAGGCCATTTATCTCTTTCTCACCACGCTGGAAGTCGTGAGAATTGTTACCTACCACATTCCCTGTAGACAGCATCAGGCAGAGCTTTTCTTGTTGGAAACTTAAGGTGGGTATACGGTCTTACCGCGGAAGTCTTGATTTGGGCCCTAATACGACAACCATCAATGCTGCCATGGCAACAACATTTTGCTCACTTTGCCAATCGTTAAAATGCCAAATTTTTATAGAACTGTATCTCTACCTGAAGTTTACAACCACTCCTCCTATACGTCTTCCACTTTTAAAGCATGATTCGTCCAAAATCCATGTGCTACGTACGGTGCTTCACTACCCGTTATCCACCACTTATTAAATCCATGAAATTTTCTATTTTAAAATAAATAGGGCTAGTATTCTTAACCCTGAATCAGATGACCCTGATTTGCGCAATTTTGACGAGGTAGTAGTAATGTTCTGTAGTGTTGAAGATGGTAGGCAAAATAACAAGGAAGCAGATTTGTCGAGGCATCACCAAGAACTGATTCACCAGCTCCTCAGTACCAATACGAAGTGTGCTTGTTCACTAATGTACATGAATTTGAGACTAATTTTTTGTCCATGGGAACTGCAGAGACATTTAGAGGAGAATTTATTGTGAGTAGTATTACACCAGAAAGCAAAATATTAAAAGGAGAATCCCACCAGAGTTATGTGGCGTACAAACAGGGACTTAAGCGACACTTGTTTTCAAAATAAGAAGTTCGTAGAACATTAACAACATCTGCTGTCTCTCGTGAAAATGACCTGTGCATCATTTTTCGTCTCCTTTCTTCCCCAGTAGGAAAACTAGTTTCAACTTACTATATTGACCAGACCCCGTACTGGGTCTACTGCAATTAGGTGTCCGCATACATTGCACGGCCTGCAATCTATCACTAGTAGTGCGTCCCTCCACGAAGCATTCCTTTACTTCTGGCCTGGTGTGCAAGTTCTGGTACTCCCTTGGTTGGGGCTCTCCAAATAACTAGCCTTGTGTTGTCTACCTTTAGTAAATAAGTAGAAATCGGCAATAGGCCTACTTTAGTTGAGATTGTTAGAAATATCAAGCAAACTGTTTTGAATGCAAGCAAATGTTGCAGGAGTTGTTTTAAAAAGAGCAACATGAGCCTTCATTGTGCCTTAAGACAAGGAACAATTTGATCTCCAACGTGGCTCGTCTTTAAGTTACGATAAATACCGTGTACAGGCATTGAGAGTCAACTTTTTTTATTTTAGCATGATGCATTCTATGCCACGTAGGTTTACTGTGTTCATCGTTGTGTAAGTAGCGAAGCACTGCCCCCACTAAATACTCTACACATAATAGCCCTTATCCAATCATCCAGTAGCAAAGCAAGCGAGAGATATGTGGTCAGCCGAGGAAATAATTTGTTAAATTATTTAAAACAAATTATTTTACTGCAGCAAACTGAGTGCTCTTGCTTATAACTCCGGCCTTTTGCTCTCATCTAGCCATAAGAGTTGAGTTTCTACACCAATGTCTTTATGTAATTGAATAACAATTTTATCAGTGACGAGGAATGCTATCCGTGCAGGGCAGGGGATACGCGTGCTGACGGGCTACATCACGGACATTCGGTAATTTGACCTTTCCCTTCACTATCTATTTTATTAACACATAATTCTCATGTTCTGCTATTTTTTCGTGCCATCCTAAAACTGGGAAGCTCACTTCAATGTTCGGCAAAGAAATCGTCATTTGTGTTCCGATCTTGCGAAATGGGTAAAAACGCATTGAGATCCGAAAAAAATCAGTCATTACTGGTCAGTATATATTTAATAAAATTTATCACAATAATAAATATTACCAAACTCGTTGGTTGATGTTGTTGTTTTTACTGTTCCAGTCATTATTAACTCTATTACGGTTAGAAATAGGCATGAGTAAAGGCACAGTGGCTTCCATAGGGGCATTGTCTCTCTCTTTCAAAGTAAATACAGTGCTCGGTTCTATACTTTGGGTGGCTTGAGATACATCTAAGTTCTTCTATTCCATGTGCAAATTGGCAGTAGATTCCCATAGGACAGTAACCTCGCCTTTTGTAGTGTTTGCAGAGCTCCGTTTTATATCTAATATTTTTCATCGCTGCTTCTACAAGCTCTGCCATTCCATCGGGTTGTTGAAATTCCTAGAAAAGTATCATTTTATTTATAAGCGCTATTTCAAACCAGGAATTTGATCAAAGTAAGCAGATCATTTTTGAATTTATCTTCTGCATTTAAGGTGTATTTAATTTTAAAAACTCTTCAGCAAGGATAGCAGCATGAACTGTATAGAATAATTCTATGAAGTTATTAATGAACGTTAGATATCAAGATAAGAGCATCAAATATTAGCATGGAAGTGCTTATTTACGTAGTTCTAATCACAATGGCAATATGAACTATGCGCATCTTCGACTCAAGTGATTGCTTACATCTTGATTGAAGTTGATCGGATTGGACTGCAATGGCTGCGCTCTGATCAAACGAAGAACTTCAGGAACATTGGGAATAGGTGGCGCGAATGTGTCAGTATCTAACCTATTTAAATTCGTAGGATAAGTATTATTGACTTGAGAAGTTGAGAGTACTTTAAAACCTCCAAAAGCACCACCGAGAATTGGACGTCCCACCTTTGCAGGATGGTGCTGTTCCTGATCCCTATGGGGACTCCAGACGCACACTTGCAATCCTTCCTTGCGTGGTTTCATCGAATGCTCCTGGGAATTCATGCATGAATTTATTGACGAACTATCTGAACCTTTGTAACCACCGCCTAGGATTGGGCGTCCGAAAATCAAAGTGTCGAGTTGTTGATCCCGGTGATGTTTGAGACTCACTGAGTAGTCAAGCATGACGGATTGATCAATGGTGCAGTTACGTAGTGAATGTGATGGCACTGAAACTTATCGGCTGCTGGCTATCTTTCACTACTGACAGGTGTGAATGATTTATCGACATTTTATAATCTGTGGTTAGTGTCAATGCGCCGACAGTTGGTTCTTGCATAGAAGAAGACTGATTGGCCATCCGCTTAGGTGGTTTCACCTCACACAGTGGCCGCATGTGCACGTGTGCTGGTGATGTCATGCTGGTGAATCTATGGTTTGGCAACCTGCATGAGCGAATTCATGAGCTGGTGGGTGCATATTGCAAGCAATTGCTTAAATGTCATTGACAGTTTCTCTCCGTTCTGAGTTAATCAATGGATCTGACAGGCGAAAATTTTTAGGAAAAGTGAAATGAATTGCTGCGTCTTGATTCCTCCACTAGAAGAGTTAAATTTTGAGCGCTTGTAAAAGTGATGGCAGTCAGATCTTTGGATTCACTTTTTCCTTGGTAAGTTAAGCTAGAATGGTAATTTTTTTATGTCTTGTCCAAATACCGTCATTAAATTAAACACATTTTCTCCGGGTTTGCCCAACTTTGAAAATGCAGTGATATCTAGGACCATGGAGAATATTACCTGAAACGAGGAAAGGGTAAATATATTAAAATATGGCAAATAATTCACTTACAATCCATTTGTTGTTTGTATAAATTAATTCAATGTACAACAACTACGTTTGTTAACACGTGAATCTCCCTCTTAACAATCATTGTTGCAGACGTGCTCAAAAGACATTTTGCCATTTATTTGCTGTAGGCTTAAAGACAAAAGGCGGTATTTTGTGGAACAATGACCCAATCTTTCCTTTCGGCATGAGACTGAAATCATTGCAGCAGGGAAAACTCAATGAACTCCTTAGCAGAATCTATGCCTAGTACATGATTTTGTAATATGATGATATCTGCTTTCAACATGCTACTGTACTGATACTTCCGTCTCTAACGCAGTTGATGGGGACGTCTTGCTGATGATTCTATATTACTAGCCTCTTAGCTCTTTCACCTTCTTACACTGAGGTCAATTTAATATCGGTAGACTTTAAGTCAACCTCAAGGGTAACTTAAACCCGAAACTGTCCATATGATCTCGTTTTCATTTTGCCGGTGATGAACTCTCTTCATTCCTTGAAATACCGACATATCAAAAATATTATCCGGATAAAAAACTACTTAAACGGGGAAGAAAGGGAAAAAGAGGTGAAAGGACGCGGTCCCCTTCATTTAACCCGATTTCAAGCAGCGTCCTGCGTATTTATTGAGGAATACTTTGCGCACCCCCGTAGAAGTTTGGGTTTATCCTAGTGGATCAGCTATTCGAATAAGGAAAGAAAGAGGTTATTCGTTTTGATATTGTCGACAATGTGTTGAACATTAATGGCCATAACAAATAGATTGGGTGTGAATCATTTACATATTAATTTTTGGGCCAAACAATTTCTTTCAACCTGTTCATTCATCCCGCCTCGAAATATTCGCTTTTTTTTCCCATCAATGGGCACTTTGCCAGTGTGATTTAGTCGTTTTGCATTTATGGAATTAATACCAACTTCTTTTATCCATAAACTAAGTTCAAAAATATCTGAGAAATATCTTAGTAAAGTAGGGACTCTAGAGGTGTGGTTCTGATTTTGCACAAAGCAAATAATGTTGTTGCATTAAACACATTAATTAAGCTGGAAAATTGCGGTTATAAATATTCACCTTTGATATTTAAACATGAGATTTAAGGGAAAACGGGCTTTTGGTGTTTTATATACACGCAAAAATTTGGTAGACATGTTGTGGAGAATAGTCACGCCGTTTGGTCGCTTACCTTACAGTTCATGGCTTTGGACATGAACGCGCAATCGTTACCATGGTATGAAAGGGTGATGATGGCATTTGGCAAGTGTAAAGCCTAAAAATAAAGATAAATACGCTGTGCACAGAATTAAACCCACAAGCAAATTTTCAGAGACTTACGTAGCTGAATAAAACAAGTACTGCATAAAAGTTGCGCTGCACTGTCTAATTATTACTGGATCCATTGTGCGGTGTTATAACGGAATGAATTTAGTTTCCATTCCTCTCAGGTTTCGGTCATCATCCAAGCGGTATGGAGCTCCGTTCGTGCCAATTCTTTTAGCAACCCATCAGCTCTTCTTTTCATTCGTAAAGAAGACTCGTACAATTTATAACTTCCATAGAAAGGTCTGTGGTAAGCGAACTCATCCCAGGTGGGCAACGATCCAGATTTTATTGACTAGATGCTAAACATAAACATCTGAGGAAGGCATATCTTGTGGGCATACGAATCTGCAGAGATCCACAACAGAAAGTATATTAACGTCAAGTTGGATTCTGCCAATTAAATAACCTTATGATCTATAATGAAGTAAAAAAACAATGATATCAGGAGATCTGATTATGTCTACTATTGAGGTGTTTACGATACTTATGTAAAGTTCTGAAAGTTACCCATGGAAGTGCCCCTGCTGATAGCAACTCCAAATGATCGCCACCCATTGTAGGGCTCCGTATCATAAAGATACTATAACTCTGATTTAATCGGAATCTGCGATACACCTCAATTGTGTTAAAATCGCGCTTCCAATGGGTTTAATGTTAATTGAACATATGCAATACGTTGGTGGTGTGTTTAAATCTCGGTTGTGGGAACGGCCATTTACGGGCATGCTAGTAGCTCCAATCCCTTCTGTATATTGACGATACATATTCCACTCCTGTACCATGTCCTTACTTGTTTTTAGCAAGGTCTTGGGGCGATGAAATATGCCATCGATCCTGTCTCGTGAGTGGTGTGTAAAATGCAGAAGACCAATACCAAGGACGGTTAAGCATGACTTTTAAAGTTTGTCGAATCATGTAATAAAGCAGTGTTTGTTCTACTTTTGCATATAATGGGATAAGATTATAGAACGTTGGTTGTTTGTTGAACTCCTGATTTTGGTAAAAGGAGCCACTTAGCCGCACAGCCATAGAAACTCAGCCGAGTGGACTAGCATCTGGATCATAACAGCAGCTTAACCTCTTTTTCATGGCAAAAATACACATTCTGCCCTAGTATTATGGCTTCTTTCTTTCCCAGGGGAGTCTCGATGTGTCACTGGGATTTTACTCCTCTGTAGGTTTTTGTCATCTTGTTGGTAGGGCATTAATTTCATGTCACTTATGTTGGGAACCATTAAACAATTTCATGCAATTATACTGAGGCCTCACTCATAGCTTAAAATCCTTTATTGCCTCCGTAGAGAACAACATACACCGGTGTCGCACGTTTACTTACTGTAGTATAACTTATTGACAAATAACAAGTAGATGCACAAAATCTTGCAAATCTGCTTGTGGTTTCGGCCAACTTTCAGCGGTTATATAACTTGCTTTATTGTAGTAAACTATAGCAAACTAAATATTCTTTAAAATATTAAGGCTGATATTAAATCATACTTAGATGTCATTGGATAACTTGATGGCTGAGTGGTTCCACTCAATCTGTGGTCACACAAGTAAGCGTCGTGATATGTTATCGTGGGCATAATTTTAAGTCCAAACTCTCGGTTCTTCCATAGTCGAATTTTGTAAGTAGCTGTACTTATATGATTAGCATTCGCATAGTTACATGCATCCACATATCTGACAAATATACCTGGATTATACCTGCATGCAAATGTTTTTATTTCTATTAAGGCATACCATGTTATTATAACTACAACAAGTATTTTAGGTGTTCTAAACGTGTAAAAATAGCTTATGTGGCACTAAATAGTGTAAAGTTCTTAGTGCACTCTTAATTTCCATCGGTATTATTGACATAGTAGTTTTACTAGGCTTCCTCCATTCCACACTAATAGATCATCTGTTTGTGATGTTTTATTTGCTGGTATTGCTTTAAAATGCTTTTTAAAAATGATGCTGATAGAAATGGCCTTGAATAGCAGCGCGAACACTCATCCTTCCAAATTCATTGAAAGCCTTACATATGAATCGAAGCTTTTAAAATCTGGTAATGGAACAGCACCAGAAAATAGTATGATGAACCTCGCTAACTCAGATCGTCGGCTCCTGGAAATGCGAAAGAAGTTCCGCGTATGGACAATTTCTCTAGTTCTATACTTTGTTTTCACTTCCCTATCCTATGAGGTGGTTGGTAGAGTTTATGCTTTCAAATTGATTACATCCTGCGAATTACACCTAATTTAATTTCCCATTGAATCCGTCTATAATACACGTATTACATAAGAGCTAATTTGAACCAACGAGCTACTCGGTCGAAATGTTCACATCAGAATACAAAGCGTCGCAGCCGCAAACTTTTCTTTAGCCAGCATGTGGTAAATGCTCATTAGCTTCGCTTAAACAATCGCTAGTCATTCAGTACCTTTTCTCCTCAATCTTTGTGTGAAATTTTTACTAGCATCAGTTGTTCAGTCAGACCTAACATTGCATGTAAGCCCATCTGCCTTATAAATTCCACTTTGCTCTAACATTTAGAGCGAAATCGCTGAAAGCAAAAAGAAACGTGAAGACCTTGCGGTGAGACAGGAAGATTTGCGCTACCAAATGAAACGCTTTGAAGGTTTTATTCGCGATAATGAAGCAAAGCGCATTCGGGCCGTCAAAAAGTACTTGACTGAGCGACAGATAATCGAGGAAAAGACCAAAGAAGGCGTTGAGCTCAGGGTGGAATTTGGGAAAGCCAAAATCGCGTAAGACGAAGGTGGTATATGCGAAACCATTCCGATTCCTCACCGCAATACCTTGCTGAGCGTTGGTAAATTCGATTGTTTTCATTTTCAGATACGAGGATATGAGGCGGAAGGTGGAGGAATACAAGAAGTACGAATCATACCTTTTAGACGTCATTGACCTCCTTCCACCGGGTATGGTTGCGCCCCTGATGCCTTTGGCTATGTCCACTTATGTCTACTAGCAATACTTAGGTACCATGCAATAGTAGTGAAAATCCGATCATATGCTTTAGTCTTTGCTATTTATAATTCGAAATAATAATGCACTAAAAATGTTCATCCTGGGAATTCTTTCCATGTCACGTAAGTTTTGGAAATGGAAGGTATTTAGTGGAGGTGTAAGGCGCAAACTTTCCAGTATATTAATAACAAATCAATCATTTTGACAGATAATCATGCTTTGTATTTAGTAGTCCATCTTGATCTATTTCTAAAAGTAAAACTGTTATCACTACTTTTTTATGTCTATGCGTCTTTATTTTCAATAGTTCTTTTCGTAAAATTGAATGCAACAGTTTATGCATTTTAGTGGCTTTAGCTTGATCTGTTATTGTTGAATATGCATTTTTGTGCATAAGTATTTTGAAACTAAGGCAGTTTGTTTCATATGCTTATATTATATAGGAATAGGCCTCACCTCTCATACCTGAATAAAAAACTGTAATTAGTGATTTAAAAATCCGAAGCTAGTCTCATGTTGCTGCGCCGGTCCAGTGCCTGACACATTCAACCTATCCTCATGATTTCGTAATGCTTAATGAAGTGGTACTCTACTATTTATTCCTATTGAGTTTCCTAATTTAAGGGAAAAATTACGATACATAAAATGGCAAAACAGATGATAAACCGACATATTAAAATAATCTAACTGTATCAGATTTGTTATTTTGATTTAGACTACATAAAAATAGCAGACAACGTTCTTGTTGGCTTAATAATGCGCTACAACACTCTTTACGGAACTTACCAATCACTCCTGGCTGAGATGAATACAAAATCTAAGAATGTAAGTTGTGTTTGCGTTTTTAGCGAGAAGGAAAGAGAAGAGGGGTAGGAACACTAAGTTACAGCAGCTAGACCTGCAAAACTGACTTTGTTCAAAATACGATGATGAAGGGTCGTATTTTGCAAAAGGAAAAAGTTTTCATTGGTAAATAGCGCACACGGACACTTTGCGGCGTTCGCACTTTCATACGCACCGCACCAACTAGGTCAAGCAATCGCTTTGCGCTTATCCGTTCTCCGAGTATTTGCCCGTACTGGCATCTGCGCTTGACTGCCTGAACCGGCTCTCGGGAAATAAGCAGCTATCCTCCACTCCCCTGTACTGAACGGCAAGGAAATAAGTTAGGACAACTTGTGGATGTTGAGCTGATGCAGATGGTTTTTTTGTAAAAATAGGAAAATACATAAAAGGGGGGATCGGTCACATGACTTTAAAAACGAGGTACTGGAAAATATCAATAGCTTCCATATTTTTGAATTTTGCAAATGTCTTTTTTGTGTCCGATGCTCTGCGCTTATACTGAAATATGAGCATTTTTCAACTGCGTTTGTTTAGTTACTGGGGTCAAAAATGGCTGAACTACTGAAGGTTCCATAGAGTATAGACATCTGCAATTAGCTTTGTTGCACTAATGTTAAGGAATTTGAAGGGGTAGTCAAAACTAAATAAAATTCAGTCAGTATTTGCTCTTCTCAGATTCGTGAGGCACACACTCATCTACAGGCGCTTCGCGAGGAGCACGCCAGCCGAATTCTCACTCTCAACTCCAAACTTGCCGACCTCTATAAGGAGCGAGCTGCCAACAACGAGCAGCTTCAACAGCTTGTTCAAAAATTCGACCAGGGCCACAAGGATCTGCGAAAACAGGTGATTGGGGAGGGGATTGGCACTGAATGGCGAAAATAGGGTAGCGAATTTTGCAAAATGAGAGATCCATGCCATTTACCTTATAGTGGCTACGAAAAATTTTTTAAATTTACTTATTTATTCCGTTCCTTTAACTTCCTTACCCGTCTCTTTACCAGCGAAAGCTGTATTTATCATTGGATGAGGCTCTTTTTGTTTTCACTGCTTGTTGTTGCACATGCCACTATCCTCGCACTTTTTACACATTTATCAACAGTGCTTTTGGCTGTCTTCAGTTCACCAGCGCAATGCATATACTGGTCCATGCTGACTTTTCCCATAGCAGATATGGAGGATATTGACGAACTTACCTTGGAAGTGTGGTTAGAGCAAATTATGTGAAAATATTATTGCTTTTTTGATTTTAGTTGGAACTGTTCGGAACAGTGATTCGGTCAGTCGATAACCTCGTGGATAAATGCGGCTGGCCTTACACTACTGCAGTAGAGGAAAATGAAACCTTGTGCACCAAATTGGTTCGCATAACGGTAAGAATTCACACTATAAATTTTCCTATTAGTCAATTTCACGATATCGTCTCGCGGAACGTAATGAGGCATTAGGGATCTTTGTTGTGAAACAAAGTATTTGCCTATACAAAACCTGCGCTCTACCAAAATTCACCTTAGTGCAATCATTCAACATTAATTTTCTGTGCAGCCTTTGTTGCTAACCTATTTACGTCTCGTTGTCATGACTAATTATTCCATGATAGAATTACAGTTGTCCTTAAGTTAGGTTGTAAAACAGCGTAAATTGAAACAGCATATTCAATTGATCATAACTCACCCTTAGTTAAGCTGCATCATTGAGGTCAGGCAATCTTTCCCAAATTGCTGTACCACTTCGATTGCATTAGTTTGTCATGGTCAGAGATTTCATCCTCCCCCGATGTCTGTAGTTAACAGTGTTCTCTTATAAACATGATAATTCCTATCCGGTGTTGAAAACTGAACAGCCGTCGTATCAAGGCCATTCAAAAGGTGTAATTTCATTTCTGGTAGTCTGAGATTACGAGTTCTTCGCTTCATTCACTTTCGGAATACTTAATTCACATTATCTTCTTGTAAAAATAAGAATCGGAATAATGCATCATCTTTGTTCACAATTCCGCCTTTTTAGATTGAAAATTTCAGTTTTTTTCGAGTCTCTCTGCATCCGTGGGAAGATACCCATAACTAGTGGCTTTTTTCCCGCATATCTGTAGTTAAAACCATTCGTGGCGATGGCAGGTTGGTGTTTGCCAATTCTAAGTGCTTTTGGGGCACAATTTTTGACAAGTTCGAAAAAATATCTTTTATATGGTGTAGGTAGACAAGTAAAAAACGGCATGACTACCCAAGCGTCTAAACGTGAGCCTTTGTAATTCCCGTTTCGCAAGTGCAAAATATGTGTCCTATTGCTATTTTCATTCTTGAATAACCCATCTAAAATGATCTTAAAAGCATTGAACTTTTCATTGGAGTGAAAAACTCTTAAGTATATTTGATTTCATGATTCTGATTTCTGATCTGCAATAGGGGAAGGCGACAAGAACTTCTAGCTTAGGGATCGGGTTTCATTAAATCCATTGAATTGTGGCATAAAACCTAAGCACGAAAATTAAAGACCCCCAAACATCTACGTAAATGGTTGAAATGGCGTAGTCTTAATGAATCATGGGAGAAAATATGAAGTATAGTTAAAATCACGCTAGCGCTTGCGGCCCTGTCTCATTTCCTCTGTCATAAACTCTTCCATAAATTTTGATGGCTGAGAGTTAGCCTCACGTGAACTCAGTTAAGTTTTATTTTAATTCTTTTTGAGTAGCGTGGTCGCTATGGGATTCATTGGTAATTATAAACTGGTTACCTTCAAGATTACCTAGATCGATCCACTACCTAATTTCATCTTAAATGCAAATTTGGTAATTTCTATCTTCTGTACGCCGAGAAACACAGTGTTTCAATATCCCGAACGCTAGTGAAATACTGCAGCTATCCACACCTAGTGAACCGAACAAGTCAACCAATGTAAACAGATGGTGAAAAACACTTTTTAAGGTATTCTTTTGTGTAGTGTTTAGGTTATGCAAAATCGGCAACAGACTTTTTATGTGGGCTGAGGTTTACGCCATGGCAGCTTGCACAACAGTCGTCGGAGCTTCCATTTGCCTTCCAGTATTCAAATCGCCTAAGTGGTTACGTTTGTAACCAAGGCGCGAAAATAAGTAGCCTTCAGCCCATGTTAAGTTGGCCTCCCATTCCGCTTATGCGTTATGAATTGCACGCATTGTATCGCCACGAGACGTATTCGGTAATTCAACTGCCACTGCAACTAATTCTTAGCAAAACTAATTCCGCCTTTTTGCAGGTCCACAAAGAAGCTTCTATTCATATTTGCGAAACAAATCCACTTGAGACAACTAAAATAATACAGTGTAGATTGTATCTTACCCTAGTTGCCAAGATCTAGGGCACTTTTTCCATTTGGTTAGTTTATTGTCGTACATAATGACTCAACTTTTTGGCTTGGCTAAAAAATTGTCTGTTAAACTCTAAGTGACATTCTTTACGCGAAATCTAAATACCACCATCTCTCATCTGGCGCGAATAACCGTTACGGCGTCATGGCATACTTTTTAGCTCTTTATTAACTTAAGTGTGTATAAGCATCGAACACAGACCATTGAAACCATGTTCTCTTCGCCGTCAGGTCACGGGTTCTGTGAGTGATCTATAAGTGAAGATTTTCTAAACCTTTCCTTAGCTAAATTCTCTACCTCCACCTAACGGCTTCCGATGAATAACTAATTACATGGAAGAGGTGGAGGGATGCCTTGGTTTTCTAATGACCTCGAGACTGCTCTAAGTGGGGTTTGTTTTTCGTTTAGGAGTACATTGTCACTGTGCGGATGATCCTCGCGGCGATCAATGCGAACAGCGGTAAAGCCGAACGTAAACAACCACCGAAGAATCGCGGTGCCACCCCCGAATGACACGACGACTTCACAGCATTCACAGTATTACGCGTATGAGTTTACTGTATGCGGGCTCCGAAGTATCATGCACAAGTAGACCTTGTGGATCCTGAGAGTAAAAAAACAACACACAAATTGGCCCGCCTTTTGAGTACATCTGGATCTCAGGCTTACATGAAAAACCACATATTTTCGTTTTGAGCGGTGAATCGCTTCAGGCCTATTGCACGTGACCAGCACTACACGGCGCCCAATTCCTTTGCGGTCGCAAATGCTTCAATCTTCGGTTACTTGCAGTAACTAGTAAATACTTCAACTAATAGTGTAGTAACGGGCATGCAAATGACAATAACTTAGCTTCATATTATTCGACTGCCATGTACGTCCTGCAGTTTAAGATCAAAGTAACATCCAAGAACACGAATAGTGATAATCGCCCGCATTTGTGATACCATAGGCGTTGAACTGGGATATTAAGGGAGTACCACACACTGGCGATGGGGAAAATGGGGGCAAGCTTTACCTTGTATTGCAAAAGAAGCGGTAGGTGGGTAAATAAATGTCTTTCTTAAATACTGTGATAAAAGGAATAAGACAGAGATGTCACTAGACAACAGTATTGGGGAAATGTGCGGTTGGTTGGGTGAACAGGGACAAAGTAACAAAGACGTAGCAAGCTTGCAGCCCGTGAACGATAGCAAATATAGACACGAGGTTTCACAGGAATGTAGGCTTCTGTACTCAATCCAGGAAGTGAATACTCATCTTGTTTTCAATATCCACGCTCTCAACGGCCTGGAAGGGAAGAAGGTACATTATTACCTATTCTAAGGGAATAGTAAAGGGATTTACTGCCACAAATGACGCAGTATTTAAAGTGGTCCAGCTAAACCATGAATTTACTACACTCAAGAAACTGGTTACTGGGTTCTGCGAGACACTACTTCTCCCTTTTTTACCTTGCGAACCTCAGCAAGGTGCTCCACGTTTAAATACCCGAACTCAGCTTTCAATTGAAACACTGGATGCCAGTCACAGCAACTCGCGTAATGCGTTTCAAATGTTCCCAAATATTACACTAATCCCCTTTCCAAACCCAAGATCGCAACAGTGCAGCCCAAACGAATGGGGAATTCCATTAATGATATGGTAATTAGACTGGAGGAGGGGGAGAACGCGTTTAAGTCTCTCTCTGATATGGTCATCCCACTTTTTAAAGCAACAAGGTACGTCAATTGACACTTGTGTTACAGTACCTAAGCGTGCGTTACTTGACGACGCAGGTAGTAAGCTGATATACCAACTGCGTCACTTAATGGAGCGCAGCTTTAGCACTATCATAGCAGATCACCCACAAATGAACTCTGTGGGACATGTGTGCAAGGCTAATTTACTTTCGATTACCAGCCCCAATCAATAAATTCTGGGAATGACTTCCATTAACCCCTAGGCTAATGGCAAGAAACTCAGTTTGGTTTTTTGCTTATTTTGATACGCTGAAGGCCAAACTTACTAACTCTTCCGTTACATCACAAAGTCCCTGTGACCCCTACCCGCTTTGACCGACTTTTTCTGCGTACAGTATCGTGACTAGTAGCCTCGTCTCTCGCTTGTTTTTTTCTAAGCCCTCCCCATGCAAGACGCTACTTTGTTAGTTTCAATGTATTTATGGTGTTACCAAAGTAACACTTCATATTATCAGAGCAGTTAAAAATACCACTTCACGGCTAAAGTAGAAAGAGCCACCATCGATAACTTCCTTTCGGCCATTTGGAAATATAATGTAGAAAACGACTTCGACATTGTAAAGCTACTCTAAACAACAAACAACTTCATCCGTTGATTTTACTAACATTAAAGTCACTGGACGAGCTGGGTGCATAAAACAAAGTAAGCATACAAAAGCAAATACTTACCGCTTTGAATTCGTCATAGGTGATATATCCGTCACCATCAACGTCTGCTTCAGCCATTGTTCGCTCACCAATCCGATTAATCTAAAAGGTTGAATGCACGTCGATGAAACGAATTTTGAGAGGCTGATAAGGAAGAGTTTGATTATCGTTTCTTTTTTGCAATCTGACTCAACCAATTAGAACTCCCAAAGAAACTCAGACTAGGGGAGAGAAGTTGTCGATTTCATCCATTCAAAGTGTTGATACGACGATTGTAAGCAGGGACTTCAGTTGCAGCATTTAACAACTCGCGCATGAGACTAATGGGAGCTAAAGAATATGTGACGTCAGAACGGTAGCTCTGAATATGTCAAGCAAGCAATTTTATCCACAAAAATATGCTGACAGTTTGGCGTATTCAAGTGCAAAGTGTGTGATCGTCGTTACAAGTAAACGAGTGAGATTTACTTCGCGTGTTATAGCGTGAACATCTAATTTAAGCACATTGTTAATACAGATAAAAAATCTTTACGGAGTGAAAAAGGTACCCCTTTCATATGGGTGAAGATACATTAAACATAAGTTGAAATGGCTTAAATATAGATGCAAACAGCGTTACCTGTTCCATTGTGACGCTAGCTCCAACCATCATTTGCAGAACACTTAGTAGCTCACTTCGGGATATTCGGTTGTCGACATCGAGATCGTACATGCCAAAGAGGAACCGCAGTTTGGCCTCGCGATTATTATACTCAGTCACACCGCTAGAATTTGGCTTTCGAAAGCGTGCAACCTTTTGCATAAATTCCCGGAAATTCAGCTCCTCCCTAAAGAAAGCAATTAGACGGCATTTTGTCGATACCAATAACTCTGAAGCACAGTTTAGACGAAATATCAAGACACAAAAAATGCAAACTAGACTGACGTGAAAAACAAAATTTATCGCAATTAGAGTCCATCGACGGGAGAAACACTACCACCAAGGAGGATTCCTCATTTTCAAAGACATATTTAAGCTTGTACAAAGGATGTAAAAAGTGAGACGGACTTACCCGCCTTTGAAAAATTCGTTTATAATACGGTCGCCCAGAGGGTTTATGGCTAATTCAGGTATGAGGAGAAAGTCTTGACGCCTAAAAACTATGCGTGATCGCAAAATTTACTTCAAATATCCTGCCTTAGATCGATCAAGTGTAGTATAACGATTGTAAAGCCTGTGTATTTGCTTCGCAGAAACTGCTCAGTAACCGCAATTCATATTTACTTACATCCAGTCTCAGCTGATATCTCAGCCACTTCTTCTGGGTCCAAAATCTTTGAAGAACCACCTCCCATCGCGAGCCCAAAAAAATAGGGTAACTACGATCCCAACGCTGCTATACACCATCATTTAAAACGAAGACCGTATTTCATAATCAAAATACATGATAATAAAATAATAGCAGTTAAAAAAATCAAAACTTGGTTTTTTTTGTTTTAAGTCCTTTTTAAAACGGCAACATTATACTCATACACTAAGGAGTACTACTCAATTGATCTGGGCACTTTTCGATATTTTATCCGGTGAAGTAACGTATCTTACAAGTTATTTCCATATATCTCACCATATTACATTTATCTATTAACAACATCTTGTATTCTTAAATACAGGGGTTCAGCAATTATCAAAGTCTTACGGCAGATCACTGTTCAGTCTGCAAATCGTTGACATCTGCCCAGTCGGAAGGCTGGCGCAGTCTGATTGCTTGTCACCTGAGAAGCATATTACAGGTTGAGAGGTTTCGTTGACCTCCAAACACAAACGTGAAGTCGAAAAGGCTGAGAGGAAGAAAACACTGTATATTGTGCAGGGGATAAATGGAGTGCAGAAATATGGTCATAGTCTTCAGCGAATCTATGGTTTCTTGCTCCTTTAGGAAGGGTGAGTCAACGAGCACGGCGTTAGGCTTTATGGCCTAGAGGGTGTAGTCGCAAAAACATGCATTACGGTACATCATGTTTCTCAGGAGCGGTCGAAAAAGCGAGTAGATGCAGTTTTACCTTCAAATACGACGCAGCTGTCATTTAAGATCCGCTCAGTCGAACCCGAGTCTCACTGCTACTTGTAAAGTTACCAAATATTTTCATACATTGTGTCCTAGCTACAAATAAATAACCACAAAACCACTTCTTGGAATAATTCTTGCTAAAATGATCATTATCTTTCTTCATTCCCATTCTAATGTGGCATAAGCTTATGAGCTTCACCTTTACAAAGCTTTTGCCTGTAGAAGTCAAAGGAGAACTTATTCGCAGTTCTTCTTAGTCATCTTAGAAATATCAAGCTTGCCTGCGATTAGTTAAATTCCCAGAAAGAGTGTTATTACGTGGAGGAAGATCTGATGAATATTGGGGGAGAGAATAGGGATGAGGTAGTGCCTCCCATTTAACCTAAAATGGCAGTCTTCTCACAGGTCACTTTTGCCAAAAGAGGTCGCCTATTGTCCTATAAGAACAGTGCTTTCTTCCGGCTGCTTATCCATTATAGCTGTTTCTGAAGGTTTTTTGCACGCACTTGAATAGCATTATGTTTCACCTGTAGTCGCTTGCCCTTCGGCGAGGCAGCTATGGTGAATACACATCCACAGCCTAGCCTTCTTGGGAAAGATAGGGTGTATCGGAGGTATGAGGTGGTATGTGAGCCGTTTGCGACAATCACTGATATACTGGCTCGGTAAATAGCGGCAAACAGGGGTACTTTCTTACCTCATGTCAGCTAGTCCATCTTTCTTAGAACATAAAGGAAGTGGAATGCACATTAATAGGCTTTAAGTTTACTATCACCCGGTGGTGCATTTGAGACGCATCAGATTTGGCAGTTTCTACGACTGTTTCTTCCCAATTGAAGTAGGCGTGAAAGTATCGCCCTACCAATCACATTTAACGAAATCGAAAGTTACCGACAGGTAAGTCTTCAAATATTCATGTCAAAATTTGCACGCAATTATTTACTTTCAAACACAAAGAGGCTTCATGAATGCGGCGCATTCTTAAGCGTTTCATCACAAGAAGCAAATTTGTAAACCACTTCGTGACTGTAGACTCCCCCACTCTACCTTTTCTTAAATGTCTCATGGACGTTATGAAAAGCTTCTACGGCTTTGGAATTCAGTTTAGCACAAGGCACTTTGGCAAGCCATCACAAAATTCGTAATGTCTTTCGATCATTTAACAGCAAAGGTGATCACTAGCTCCTAAGAGTGAACAACCCACTAAAAGTTTAAATTCCAAGATGTTATACTTATATGAATCATGACATGTAATTGCAAAATGACAAGTGTCCTATGTTCACCCAACAGCTCATGCCATATTTTTAATCAAACAAATAGACAATCTTTTAACGAGCATAAAATCACGAACGTGCTCAAAAATTGTTCAACAAAGAAGCCCCATCACGCACCTTCAGGACTCAGTCATCCCTAAAAAACTCACTCTTGGGGCATGCGACTCTTTAAGTAGCCCGAAAAAAAATAATGAGTAAGGAACTGTCGTCAAAAATAATGTATTCACTTAATAAACGTAAAAATCTCAATCAACATTTATGAGAAGGTGAAATAAACTAAAAGGCATGAACAATGCATTGCCTGACAGCATAGCCTATTTGGAGCCAAGGGTAGGAAGACCCATCATTTCCATTAGAGCTTCGAATGTAAGGTAAGTGATGGTGACAGAGGGGAGAGTTTTGGAGAGACTGGTTAAGAAGCCCCGGTAGAGGCCGGAGAGGCCGTCCGCTTTGAGAATGGCTTGGAACATGTTGAGGATGCTGGGTGGTATAAAGTTGGTGTTGGCCTGGAAGCGGGTGCGCATTAGGTTTGCAGGATAAACAATGAGCAGTGGAATGGAGGAGGAACAGATGATAAGGCTTATCGCTACTGGCTTTGCGAGATGAGGCATTGGCTCACCTGGACGGTAGCCATGGAAGTATTCCACATAGCTACGTTTGAAAAGCTAAAAATGAGGCAACTTTAATGAGAAGAACGCGCATTTAAAGGGACAGTTAGACATCATTTTACCTCGAAAAACGATAGTTCCAATCCGGCGTAGGGAACATAACTGAGCATGCTAATCGCATAACCACGGTAGAAACTGCGCAGACCACCTTGACTATAGACTGTCTTCATACAGGCGATGATCGAGTTTGAATCATCCGTCTTACGCAACGCCATGCGAGTCTTCATCACCTATAGGAAAAATGAATGAGATCTAAGTAACCTTTCTACATCGAAAGCAATATTGGATGGAGCATTAAAATACGCTTGAACAGGATAGGTCCGACTCGAACTATACCTCCATGGGATATGTGAGAGTGAGGGACCAAGCGCCAGCCAAGCTAGCGACGAAAAGTCGTTGTGAGGGATGCAACTCTTTTGCCTCTGGAAAGAGGATATCCTTTAGTTTGCCATGAAAACCGAAGCGCAAGGCGGTTTCGGGTCCATTCTTCAGCACATTTACACCGTTGCCCCGCCACAGTGAGAACAAGCCTCCGTCTGCTATTAATGCTCTAAAACCTTAAAACCGGAGACATACTAACTTTAAGACGTGCCGCCTATACTAAAACTACATTATGACTTCACCGCCCGCACTGAACTCAAACTAGTTACGATAGCTAACACACTACATAACCTGCACCGATCGCAATAAAACCGAGTAATAACAAAAACCGAACGTGACGACTACTTCTAAAGTAGCATAATTATGTGAAGGAAATGGGCCTACTTTTATACATATTTAGGCCAGCGATTTCGGGTGTCGCGGCTTGGCGTAGAACCTTGAGCCTGTCGATGGGCGCAGTGCATGTGCGTGAGACACAGCCGGCCAGGAAGCCGGCAAAGTAGCGCCTCCTGTCAACGGACTTGCGGGAGAGGACGGTGCCCGAGGGAGTAACAAAAGTGTTGGAAGAGCGAGCTGCGATCACGATGGGCGAGAGGCCTCTGTAGTGGCCACCCACCTTTTCCGTACATTTTTCGAGCTCACCCATGAAACCTAATGAGGATTCAAAAGGGCATAAAGAAGTCGGAAATAAAACGAAAACTTGATTCCCGTGAATTATGCAGTGTGTTAGAAGTTAAACCAACCTTAGCATGCAGGATAAGCACGATAGTAGAAAACATGAAAAAGAATTACGTCGCTTATGCTTGTATGCGATTGATTGGTTTGAGACATAGGCTTTTGATTCTTCGACGGGATTTTGAACTAACTACTACAAATGGAAGCGGGAACAACTCAAACAGCATATTAACTGAAAATTCAATAACTTGCCTAACAAACTGCAATTTCAATAAAGACCGCACCAGTGGGTTAAATATCAACCAAATAAGTGGGGGGAAGTCAATAGACATGGAGTGAATGAGAAGCAAGCAAGTTCCTTACCATGGACCAAAGGAGAACCAACCAGCAGGCGGCACAAAAGGATCATTATGTGAATAAAATTTGGGGAAAACATACAAGACATTGCGAAAATTATTACAATAATAAAAATAACGACCCAATTATAGTCAGAAACGTACAAATGTCAACAGGTGAATAATATCAGGCGATAGCAAGCAAACCGCCGACAAAACAAGCTCCAATTTCCATACTAAAAGGATATACGACTTCCTGAGACACTTAAAAGCATAGTTCAGATAAGACGCTCGACAGCCTGTTTGAAACGGCCCACCCCCTCGTCTTATGCGGTTACTCGAATCATGAACAAGCAACTGCACCCAGAATGTGCGGCATTGGATCTTAAAGGTCAAATTCAAGAACCGGTAAGTTCACAGTTCCCTGGCATATCATATTGTCCTCATAACCTGCGTCTATGACCTTTGTTTAAAAAATATTTATTCGGGATAATTGTCTTTTTTAGTAGCCGCACTGGTCAGTGAGGATTACTGCATTACGCAAACATGGAGTTGGTGTGGAGCCGAGATCCTGCCCCATTGTATTGCAGTTTTTAGGACATGAGTCAACGAGCACTGGCTAATAATGATTATAGTCACGGTGGGTACTGTTATGCCAGTAATAATTTAAGTTGTGTCTACTATGATTCGCCAGAGTTCTATTCTTACCAACATCCTGAGGAGAAGTACACCGACCCCATCAGTTTATCAAACGTTCACCGAAGCCAGTTTCACGTTGTTGAGGCGCAAAGTGATGAGGACGCCAACTATTCCAGTTCCCTATTTGCGGACTCGATTTTTCAGAACTGTGACAGCACGGTTGATGACTCTACACGCCCTTTTGCTGATTCTGCTTTTAATTCGGCACTTCCCTTCCCTGAACACAGCCAGTCCTATGATAATAACCAGACTGACTATACTGTGTATGAGTTGTCGACTCCAAGTGACTTCACCACATCGAAGATTAAACACGTAGACCATGCTAATGAGTTTACCATTTATCAAGACGATGCCTTTTTGGATTCTGGACAGCCCCTTTATTCTGCGCCACAAAATGCGACTTCCTTGAGCAACATCCCATGTAATAGGGACCACTCAACATATCAGACCTATTCGTATTCTTCTTATCAGTTTGATGACACCTTTAATTACGCTTCGGAACAAGTGGTTTCGTCATCTGGTCCCTACACTAATGGGTTTAGTTCGGCTTCCGGAGGTGGGGCACGTTGTGCCGCTGATTCTCAGATTAACTATCAGGTTACTGTTAATAGCCAGGAGTCAATGTTTACATCTGGTGAGAACTTTCCCCAGACCCAGTTAAATCAGCAGCCTTATGCATATTCCACTCCATACACAAATAATCAACCGGCGATACCCACCCCTTATAACCACTCTGCGTGCTATGTCACGCATCACGGTACATTTTCATCACGCTATCAGGAGCCACAAGAAGTCTGCCAGGATTCTCAACCAAATATTTATCAACAGAATCAGAATATCCATTACACTGACCTCTACACCGAGCCCGTTCAACCTGTTTGGCAGGAGCAGCCTTGCGGCAGTCATAATTCACAATGGCATTCCCAAGCATCGAACACCTGTGATCACAGAGAGGATTACAGCCGAATGCAGATCTATAATGGCAGTAGGTCATGTTCATACGAGTCGCAACAGCAGCATCCTTTTGGCTTCGCTGAAAATTACCCACCAAATGCACAAAGTGATACCCAAAGACTTCAATCACTGTCGAAGCCTATTCAATCTTTCGAAAAGGTAGGTTCTATGCTACTTATTTTCAGTCCATACTGGAAGGCGGTGTCTCATATTTTCCCTTCAATTTCAGTCAGATATCACGAATAAGGTTACGGACTCTGCGTTGCAGGAAGCCCGTCAGGAACAACGGCTTGATCCAGATATGGATGGGGAGGAGGAAGAGGAAGATGATAGTATTCCTTCCCTGTCTCATCCTGGATCACCATGCGAACCAGTTCATGAATATGCCTGCTCTCAGTGCGCCAAACGGTTTGATAGGCCAAGTCACCTGGAAATTCACTTTCGCACTCACACAGGCGAGCGTCCTTTCCGTTGCTGTATTTGCTCAAAGGCCTTTTCACAGGCCTCAAATCTACAGCGGCATATGAAATCGCACAAAACCTGGCCGCAGTTGCGTTCAGTCGGTGGCACCGTGTCCTCCAGCAACCTCCTGATGAAACCCTCCCGCTCAATCTTATCAGTTGCACGGAGGGTGCAGGTTTTATCTGCTTCCGAGATGCTGAACTATAGCCTTGTGAACAATCAGTTTGAGTGCAGGTTCTGCGGGATGCGAGTGAATGGATTTCAAAATATGCGCTCTCATATGGTGGAGCATAATGATGAAAAGGTCTACCAGTGTGTCGTGTCTTCTTGTTTGAAGACCTTTACGGAACTGGAAGCCTTTACAGATCATTTAAACGTAGCGCATGACTTGGCCAATTCCAAGTGGCTTCGATGTAATAAGTGTGAAAAGCAATTTGAAAGTATGTATACTTCCGCTGCCATACCCCATCTTGTGTTTCGTGTGCTTTCGTACCTATTTCGTATTGCTAGATGTTTCTGACTTACTTGGGCATTACACGACAAAACGTGGCTTGATTTCGCACTGTTCTTACAAGTCTGCTGTGAAAACAATGCACAAGTGTTCAGATTCCCAGCAAAGCAGGCGTCCACATTCGACTCAGTTAAGGTACTTTATCATTGTTTTCTAAACTGCTAATGCCTACATGAAGTAAAAACCTTTTATGAACGTTTCGCTGGTTTGTAGATGTCCGATCTGTCGGAACCGGCGCTTTGCTCGGTATGGATTACTGCGCTTGCATCTGCTCAATGATCATGCTGTTACGAGCGTATCTGAGGCTTCTTTATTTAGATCTGCGAGGATTAAACATCCGCAAGTTATTTTGAGAATTTTTTAAGAGCCAAATAATCTTACTGTTCCACTGAGCTTGTTTATACCAACCTAGAATTGGTTTCCCTTCAACCGAACTGTTACTTATTTTCGTACTGATGCGCACATTTTGCTACTCAATGTTCTTTTTTATTTCAATCGACTGTGCTTGATTTATTGCTTGACTGCATTTTAGTTTTACAACTGGTAGCGTCAACCTTCCTGTCGATGCTAGCTGCATTTGCGTTACCGATAGGGCCAACCGGTTCCTGTAAATCAAATAAAATGTACTGACTTATGATGGTCGTATATCGCCGATCTTGTACCATGTGACGCTGAATTATTGAAGTTGGTTCAACCAATTGACTTTTTGGTGTCTATTTTCTATATGTATCACAAACAGCGACACTAAATAATATTTCTGCCATTTATGCTTCAGGGGCAAATTGGGTAACCTAACGCCACTGGCACAACCAGCCATTTCTGTGTCACAAGACACCCTCTTGACGGTTGCGAGTGAACCCACACAACCACTTGAGGACTGTGGCGGTAATAACGACGTAAGCGGCAGTGGCAGCATCAGTGTGGAGGCGTCGCAAACACAGCTCCCAAAAGACTCGCATGTTCCACTTCGGCTCGCCAATGTCCACCTCGTTGTCGATCGACGTGCCGCCAACGATGTTACTGCCAAACGGCGCGTCAGGCAGCACACCGACGTGCCCCCTCTTGCCTGTCCACTGTGTGGCCGTGTGTTTAAAAAGAGGAAATTTTTCGATGACCACTGCATCTTCTGCCAGCAGGTAAGGGTGCATATGATATCTATCTTCATCAATTAAGCGTATGGAGATAGTCGGTTCGACCTACTCGTAGTAAATCGTGTCTGACTGACTTATTTTGGCTTTGGTGTCCCTAAGGAATCAATAAATTTCTCCAAAATCAAAGCATACACTTCAAGTGCTTTTAGTGTTGAGACTGAAGTTCTTTTGTTATGCTTGTATGAGAGTTGGTAAGTTGATTGTCCTTGATTTCTCTTTACCAGAAACAGATTGAGGCGGAGCGTCGTCAGCGTTGGCGTAACAGTCGACGACAATCGGGCAATCCGGTGGGGTTGGAAGACTCCGCGACCGCAGTTACCTCAGAGACGCCTCTTCTGACAGAACCAGTCATGAGACGACCGCATCGCTCCCATCGCAGCGTTCACGCCCCTCCTCCGCCACCACCACTACCACCAAAACACTCCATCCCCGCTTCCTGATTGATTGGGGGTAGGCTTCCTCCCTCCACCCCCATTCTGCGTGTCTTTCATCACTTCTTTCATGGTTATCTACTGCTCTTCTTATGTAAAACTTGTTACTTTTTTTCATTTACAATATATTCCTAGTCTTTATAATCCTCTTTGATGAGTTCCTCGCATCCCTCGTTTGCTGTCTGCCTATCAATGGAAAGAGGCACTTTATTTCGCTATTTTCTTATATTATGGGGTCCTAAAAGACAAGCAATCATTGCCATTTGAACGAACTGTTTGCAATTTCAACTTCAGGCGTCACCGACACTTGTAGACACTCAACCTCCAATCAGCAAAGGTACATCAGAAGAGACTAATGAAATGCATGGCAGAGCGCCATTGCTCTCGATTTGGACTGGACCGTCTCTTCGTTTTGATCTGGTATTTGAGTGCTCGACGACCCGAGCTCGCGTGTGTCGTCTCTTCTTTCCCTCCCACTGCCCCGTGGGTCCGGTGGAGACGCCGGTCTACATGCCTGTGGGCACCCAAGGCACTATAAAGGGGGTGACGGTGGGGCAGCTGGAGGTGATCGACTGTCGCCTGCTGCTAGGTAATGCCTACCACCTCGGTCATCGACCGGGCCCTGAGACACTGACCCGTGCCGGCGGACTGCACGCCTTCATGTCTTGGCCACGTGGCATTCTCACTGATTCGGGGGGTTTTCAGATGGTTTCCCTTTCCAAGCTTTCCTCTACTGACGAGCAGGGCACCCACTTCTGCTCGCCTCACGACGCTTCCGAGATGCTTCTCACGCCCGAGGAGTCGGTGGGTCGGATTCAAGCCTCCATTGGGTCTGACATCGTGATGCAGCTAGACCATGTACTACATGTTAAGACTGTGGGCAAGGAGGTGTACGAGGCTACGCGACGCTCGGTTAGGTGGTTGGACAGGTGTATTGAAGCGCATAAACCTCAACTTCAACGACAAAACCTCTTCGCCATCACTCAGGGTGCCCTGTACGAGGACCTCCGCGATGAGTGTATCAGGGAGATGACGAAACGCAAGGATAAGGTACTTTGACGGACCACTAAAATCTGTTACCGTTGCTTTCTCACGTCCTTGAGATTCCATTATTGTTAAATTCATTCGGACTGTTTTCAGCACCAAATCTAGCCAACTATTGAGGGATCGATGTATTTTCCAGTTCGATGTTTAACTCGTTGCAGGTGCAAGGATTTGCCGTCGGTGGTTTGAGTGGGGGCGAGGCAAAGTCTGACTTTTGTCGCACCGTCTATCAGTCTACAGGTTTGCTGCCCCGTGACAGACCCCGCTACTTAATGGGTGTCGGCTTTCCCCTTGATCTGGTCGTTTGTGTTGCCTTGGGTTATGACATGTTTGACTGCGTCTACCCCACACGAACAGCTCGATTTGGCCAAGCTCTTGTCGATTGGGGGCTGGTAAGTACTCCTCCTTTGCAAAGAGAGAATTTTTTACTAGATAAGAGTACCCCGTTATCGCATATCCGACCTGTGCTTGTGGTTTTTCTTTGAAGGTGAATCTCCGTTTGACAGACTACACGTATGACTTTCGTCCAATTGAGCCTGGGTGTCCGTGCCCCGCATGTTCTGGCAACGTCTCCCGCTCCTGGCTCCACGCTGCTTTTGGCGCTCACCAGTCGAATGCCGCCTCTTATGTCAGTCTGCATAACCTGACATATCTGCTCAATCTCATGCGTCGGATTAGGGAAGCCATTCTAGCTGACGCCTTCCCTAGGTTCGTTCATGAGTTTTTCCGACGACGCTGCAAATCGTCAAGGGATAGTTCTCAAGATGGCGAATCCCACATTGATGTAGAGTACGAATTCAACGAAGTGCCGTCTTGGTGTGTCGAGGCTCTGAAGAAAGTTAACATTGATTTGTAGTGCATGGAGTGATTTGTGTAAAATATACGCATGATTTTCTATCTGATGCTCTGTTATGGTTCTGCTGTTTTCTGAGCTAGCTGACTGCATCTCAAATTACCGGTTTGTCTGTTTTAAGGGAAAATAGTTAAGCTGCAGTACTCGGTGCAGTTTATGGTCCCCAAAACGTTTTAAATTACACGATGTTTAGGGGTATTAGCACAGCTTTACTTGTTTTAGCTAGGTTTGAGTACAGGGTATGTGTGAGTTGAATGCCGTGTAAAACACTTGAAAATCACAACCGGATCGGTTCGCGTTAGTACCCAGGGGGTAGTATTTTGCTAGTGTATAGGCGGATGCATGGTAAGCTTATAATGTCCGATCCATTTTCCAAACAAAAAGCAGGTTATTTGACACAGGCATCCCATAATTGTGGTCACTAATTCATTAGGTAATCTGACGCATTCCATCACAGAGTAGGTAATTCAAATAACAATGAGCATACCTCAAAACAAAGTCGTATGTAATCAAGGAAAAATATTGTAAATGTAAAATGCAATTCCTCCTTAATATTTTGCCTGTTGTGTGATTACCTTTTTCAAAGCTGACACTTCTAGTACCGATTATTCAAATATATCGAGTAGATTTAGTCCAGTCACTATGCACCATTGATGTCCTCCCCGCTGTCAGGTTACGCGAATTGCATTTTCATTTCTGTTTAATTCTTCATCACCAGTGTTTGCCCTTTAGTAGGGTCTTCAAAATAGATGAAAGCTAGTCAGCGCAAATCTACAGTACAACACTCGAAATCGGTGGTGGAGTCACCACGGCAACACGACAGAACTCTAGACAGACGACACACACGTTCCGCTAAGCAAGGAGAGAACGGTGGAGACAAGACTAGCATCGGTGGCTCGAGGCTTTTGTTTCTGGGCCTCATCGCCTTTCGTTTGGTCAATGCTCTGATGATACAGACAACTTTTGTGCCGGATGAGGTATGGCAGTCGGTCGAAGTGGCGCATCGTTGGGCCTACGGGTAAGCGTTCATATCACACCAATCCTCACTTGCATTAATAAACGAGCGTGTATGTGCTACTGATACTTTGAAAGTAGCATGTCATATCCATTCTAGATCACTTTAATAAAAGAATTTCGTGCTTTTGATGCCTTTTTCGACTTCTGAGTTGGAATACTAGCTTTGATTTTTCGGTGGACAGCCTAAATATCGATGAATAATTTATTTAAGCCACTTCAATGTACCAGGATGTTTTTCTTGCCTCTTCCCCATTAAAATCTGGTCAGCTACTAGGAGCCGGTGATCGGTCCCAACGAGGCAATCTGATAAATGCACTTATTATTGCTGGAGAGTTCCTTACACATACAATCGCCTGGCCGTAGATTTGGCACCTTGACATGGGAGTGGACTCCCACAGTGGCAATCCGCTCCCCGCTCTACCCGCTCTTCTTCGCTGGAATCTACAAGGCATTAGCCTTCTTTGGTGTAGACTCCCGTAACGCAATCGTTCTTCTGCCTCGGCTCTTTCACGGTCTTCTCACCGGTGTAACCGATTACATAATCTACTTGATGGCCGTCCGATTGAGTGGAAAATTATCTGCAAGGGTATGAGTGACTTTACAAGCAAAAGTTGACGTATGATGTCCACCTTTAACATTTTTAAAATTTCTGCTTTCGCCCTGGTCTATTTGTGTAAATGTGGAAGTTCACATTAAGCTATGAGAAAAAATGTTTTGGTCTTTGTTTTCTATATTTGTCTCATTCACACCTGTTTTTCAAATCACAAATAACAGGGTAATTTCATTTCTTAATTGCATTTCACAATCACAAGGGAAAGGGGGAGAAAAATGTTGGCTTCTTTCTACTGTACTGTGTTGCTGGTTGAATCATCTGATCGGCTGACACAACGTCCATAAGTCAGTGTTTGCGTTGCTGTCGTCTATTTTTACTGCGAGAGATGGTAACTATTTTTACTAGGCTGAGGGTGATGGTATCGAAAATAAGATTTTTTTCTGGTACAGTGGGTGCTGCTGGCAGAGATAACGAGCTGGTTCACCGCCTACTGTGCGCCACGCAGCCTCAGCAACAATCTCGAGTGGGCGCTGCACGCGGTGGCCTTTCGCTACTACCCTTGGCCCCCGAGTCTTGGTCTGGGTCCTGCCTCTACCACCGCCGTTCCCTTTCTGCTCCACGTCTGCCTCTGTATTTTGCTCCGTCCAACTGCCGCTATACTCTGGATCCCCGTCTGTCTCCACTACCTCCTTCGGATTTGGTAAATTGATCGCAGTCCATTTCCAATGTCATTTAAATATTTATCAAGCAATTACTCGTTGTTGCCTCTCTGAGAGGTCCACGTTCATTGCTTTGCTTTTTAGGAAGGAGTACTCTTTCCAAGATTTTCAACACACCCTCCGTCTCGCTTTGATGATTGGTGTCCCTTGTGCTACTGTATCACTCGGTGTTGACCGGCTCGTTTTCGGTCGTTGGACGGTGAACCAGTTCAACTTTTTGCTTTTTAATTTCTTTTCGAACGGGGCAAACTTTTACGGCGTGCAACCTTGGTACTGGTATCTCACAAGTGGCCTTCCCTCTATCCTCATCCTTCACCTACCCTTAGCACTCATCGGTTGGTTGTTTGATGTCACCAATGGTCGCCGTTGGCTCATAAAGTGGTGCAGTTTGCTGAAGAGCCGTCCTCAAACAAGGGAAAAGGTTGTCGCAAAGTACTTTGGTGCCTGGACTGCGTGGACTATCTTCGCTTACAGGCACGATCCATTGATATTTTATGTTGCTCCTTTTGCTAATTAAGAGTGTCAAGAGAAGTGGTGCCATTGTGTGAATAAATGGGATACTCTGTCACGGCTGTTATTTAAAATTCACTGAGATAAGTAGTATCCTTTAGAAGGACTGATGGAATCTTACAGACTATGACACTGGGACCATTTCCATCCATGCGGCATCAATTTTGATATGTTGCAATTAATCCGACACCAATCGCGCCAGTCACTTTATGAAACGCCCTGGTCGATTTCGTATTATCTCTTCATCACTTTCTTCCTTGTACTCTATACAAATGTTGATTGAATTGCACTAAAATGATCTTTAAAATAAGATTTTTACGAATGAAATGCCGATCTATGGCTGATTTTATTTTGGCGGTTTTGAAGACTTGAAAACCAGAAGGGGGATTGGCACTAGGCGTGAAGATCTTACCATAAAATTAAGAGTATTACTAAACCACTATTCAACTGAAAAGTACGTTCTAGGGAAGTGTGACCAAAAACCCCTCCTTTCATTTCAGCTGTCTAGCACATAAGGAATTTCGCTTCCTCTTCCCACTGTTCCCTCTGTTCATGTACTACGCCGGTCGAGGATTGTTCCTCCTCCATTGCAGTATGAGCAAATCTCGGTGGTCTCAGTCCTTCTGTTCCCCTCTAGGGTTGCTTGTTATCCTTCTGGTTGCAGTTAACTTCGCTGTGGCCGGTTACACCTGCCTTGTCCACCAGCAAGGACCAGACGCCTTGATGTCGAAGCTAGCCAGACAGGCTAATGCTGCCAACTGGGCTGACATGTCTCCAGGGCCCAGTATCCTTGTTCTCATGCCATGTCACAGCACACCTCACCTGAGGTAAGCCAAATTGCCTCCAGCACTGCGACAACGAGTTTGCTCCAATAATCTTAATGCGTGACGAGCATTTAATAGAAAAACCAGCTGCGTTATCAAACGATGTTGATTTTTGGAAGAAGATACTAGTATTGAGAATAATCTAGTCGTGCGCCGGCACTTTTAATCTGTATGACTTCGGACTCTGCTTATATTATTGAATAACCTACTTTCATCTTTATGTGATCCCAAGTACAGAGTGCGTTGTAGTAATGACTCCTACAAATAAGGAAAATCTTTTCAGGATTAAATTACATCACGAGGCTTTTGCTGAAAATTGTCTTGGAGAAATACCCTGCTCGCTAAATATTTACAAATCAAACAAAATATTAACTGTACTTTGTTAATACTCCATGTGTTTGCGTGTATTTAAGTGTATTTTGGTTGAAAATTCCATTCAATTGCGTAGTGCCTTCTTGAATAGGTGTAAAGGTGCGTAAATTGCGGTTTACCGCTTTGTATTACGTAATCTGTAAATTCGGATGCATATGTAATCTGACTGACTCTTTTATACTTTTTTCTCTTAATTGAACAGCTTCGAGACCCATGACAATATAAGTAGTGAAGCAAATATACGTGTGTAGAATATTTAATTACGTGGATCATCAAGGTGGGTAGTCTGGGATGGATACCTGAGAGGAAAAATCAGCCCTCACATTTTCTCTACTCCCATAGTTATCTCCATGTGAATGTGAGTCTACGACTACTCTCTTGCGACCCAGATCTTTCGGCATGGCACAACACAGATCCCCGAGCTTATGTCGACGAGGCGGATAAGTTCTACGAGGACCCAACTCACTGGCTCAACTCCAACTATCCCAGCGGCCACACACTGCCGCAGTACATAGCCATGTTCACCGAACTTACACAGAATGCAGACTATGGTCAGGGTGTAACGCAATGGCTTCAAGCTAGGAACTATTCCACCTGTACGGAAATATTCCACTCCCATGTCGTCTCACATCGCAGACACAGCGGGCATATCTCCGTATGGTGCGCCGAAGGCTGGAATCTCGATTTATCTGGGAGATATTCTTTCCTGTGATGTTCTCTGCTCACACTATTTTCTGTTTATTTTATAAATATCTATAGTTTACATTCCCTTTAATATTAGAAATAACGCTAGGAACTTGTTACTTTTTTATCCAGTGGTTACCTGAGTAAGTTTCTCTAATGAACCGAGGTCCCCCGACTGTTTTTCGCTGCATGATCTTTTTAGATGTGTTCGATTGTTGTATTAATTAAATGCATAATTCATCCCTCTTATTTTACCAGTAGATGAACACCTTTGTAGTTAGTTTTGCTAAAATAATTGTTTGTCCTTGGGCGACAATAGTCCGATACGCGTGGAAGATTCTGGAGTGTGAATGTAGCTAAATAACTCATTTAGTCGATTCGTGAACCAAATGTCCCATGCCTCACTTTGCATTCTACACCTTGATTATGTCTTCCACGCTTCTCTCAAGTCAGTTCTACTGATATTCACAATACGCAACGGTAAGATGAGTCGGTTAATTTTGCCATCGCGCTTGTTTCAGGCTTGTCAGAACTTCGGCGATTTGTCACTTTAAGACCTCTCTGTTCAGCATCATTATCAATTTCATCAGACTGCGTGTTTTGGCTCGTTGATTCTTTTCGAACCCCCTTAAAGGGTAAGATACTGGTAGCTTACTGGAGAGCTTTGGGCGTAAGAAATACGAATAATCAAAGCTCTAATTATCCATTGATCACTTCATTATGTGCTTCAACATTATTAAAATAACAATATTCGAAACGTATGAAAGCTACTTCGGATCTCCATTTCTCTCTGGCAAAGTCAGTATTTAGTAGGAATGGGACTGAGGAGAAATTGTGACACCTAACGCGAGGATGTGATCCATGGTATCGTTATTTGATGTATACGGAAAGACTGTCAAATTCTACATGAGGTGATGCACGCAGTGGAAGCATAACGCGACCGCTCTCGTCTTATGAATTCACAGTTTCCAGCCTCATTGAATAAATATTGTGGAATCCTTTTTGCGGCATTGTTATTTGTGTGAGTGCATTGCACATAATCAGGCGTCTCCGCACGTTATAACTTTAGAGGAAAAGAATAACTTGCATGGGCTATAGAAGCTAAAAGAACTAAAAGCCTCTTCTATGACTTTTTTCAATACCAGGAGTTTGTTTGATATTTTCTTTGAAAACTTTCTGTAGGTGTGACATTCATTTATTTGCCTTCTCTGAAAAGTGGTAGCAAATCGGAATTATGATGCGTTTCTGGGTGATCATTTCCACATTTTTATTAGACAAATTAAGTCTCTATTATCTCTTAATTGTGAAGCAGTACCAAAAGTTACTCCTTAACATAAAATTGTCATGATAAGGGTAGTATATAAATTGTGTTTTATGCGTAGTACGCAAGAATGTCATTAAAAATGACCATCTGAGTAGCTGGTGGGTGTGCGCGGAAAAACATCAGCGTGCCATTTCACTTGAGAAGAGAACGCTATCGGTGTATAGAAGTAAAATTCAGGAACGAAAGAGGGAGAAAAGTTAAACAAAGATTTGGTTGAATGGTTCGTCTTCTGAGTGCAGACTTTGACAAGCCCGAATAACTGGAGCCAAGAACCCAGGGCGGCACTTACAGTCCTACTCACCACACACCCATCCATTCACCACCAGAGTCATCAGCACCATCAGTGCCCCCTATGACTATCTCAGTCCCCCGAGGAGTGGCGAGGGTATTTCACGCACCACCGAGTGGTTACTTCAGCATCCGCGTGGCTTTGCCCTATTCTCCCTCATCCTCGCGGACCTCTTGTATGCGTGCTTGAGTCTGTCTATTAAGAATTCAACAGTTGGCCACGCTCCATGTGACGCCTCATCTTTGCCCACATTTGAGTTGCAAAACGTCTTGGCTGAACCATTGGCAATGGTTTTTCTGTTCTTTCTTTCAGTAGGATTGCACAAGAGGTGACGTTTTTTTGCTATTTTACTTCTATTACCTGAAATCTAATCGCCCTGGTGAAATGAAGTGGTATTTCGTTATTTTCAATGCTCATATCACGATCAAAGGGTTTTATCACCACTGATTACTTTGGAAACGAAAACACTTAAGTGGTCACGAATCTGGCTATGCGAACTAATTCCTCGTGTATCAGAAGGTCTCTCATAATGACAAATAAATGAGAGCCAACATATAATGCGCTTTAATTAAGATCTCGGGCTTATTGAGTCACAAACAACTATGCGATATTATGCGATTTGAGCGGAAGATTTCATAGTTTTCCTTCCTTTCTACTTTTACAACAATAACGCGTTTGCCACATGCCCATGAAAGCATATTTGTTGCTATCGTCTTTTAGAGGGTGTAACATTATTTGAAAAGAGTGGGTAGGTCGGTGTAAATTTTTCTTTAAAGAAATGTAAAATACTTTCAAATATTTCAGTTTTAGGTATTTTGTAGCTAGTTCCGCTATTTACCTACGTCGTTATCTTCCAAAAGTGAATAAGGAAGTTAAGTTGCGTGTCTTTTTCCCATAAATGGTGAATCTATGTGGAATGGTTCCAAGTCTCGACAGACTAGTTACCTTCGGTCAAATCAGCTTCGTCATAGGCAGCAATACCTTTATTGAAGAGAAAGGGTAATCGGAATACCACCGTTGGTACTTATTTGCAGTTTGTCAGTGGATAAATTGACTTTTGAGGTGTTATGTTCGATGTCAAATGCTTTCCAAAAGCGAAAACATTTCTGTTAAGTATAGGCATAACTCCGAATCGTAGAACACCTAATGGTGGTAGATAACTGGAATAATAGCAAAGCGGATAGCGGTTTCCATAAAGCAGAACTTTGTTGTCATCAGGGGAGTTGATGGGCCTTGTCTTATGACAACGTCGATTGGCAAACCTTACCTATGACGCCATTAAAATGCTTAAATGCCTCCTCCAAATAATGCAATGTGTACAGGATTCCAAACGCCTCACCTTCAAGAATCTAAAGAATTTTGTGACTTTTGTTGACGTAACAATGCTAAAAGTACCGTGAGATAAGGCGCTTATGAAAATTGTCTCATTATGAAAATGTGGTCGTTTTAGGTCCTACGTATGGTATGTTTAACGCAATTAATAAATCGGTCGAATCATACGCGATATGTGTGGATTTTAGATTTAATTTGAAGTCTGAAGGGACGTGGAGCATGGCTCATGCTCGCGCACGCCATTTGATTGAATGAATAATAATGTTGAGCAACTTTATTCAACAGTATCGCGTGACACCCATTAAACCAAAAAATTGTCACAAATTTACTTGTGGATAATGATAATAATAATGCGATTTTCATTTCCATTTTAAGTGTTTTATTGCAGGACCGTTTCGTCAACTCCTCAATGCAAAGATGAATTGGTAGAGGCTTAGTTCAAGAAAACATCAAGTTGATACAACATAACGAAATCAATCAGACGTCTAGTCCTTGGGGTGTTTGACGTCTCAGGCAGCATAAACTTCATTTGGATTTTGGAGATAATTACCTACTTGACTCTAATGCGGCAAGATCTCTTTACCATAAAATAGTTTTGTCATTTTGCTTTTGCAGATAAAATTGCTGTTTAAGACGTCTTAGAGCCAAACTTTTCCTTTATAACGTAACAATTCTCATTTGATCTCATTACTCTTAATCACAGGCATATTTTTGATTGGGGGAAATGACTTCAAGAAGGTAATTCTGTTTATTTGGTTTGGGGTATGTGAATGAATTATGACTGGTAGTGTTTAAGACCAAAATACTTCCCAATGGAAGAATGCAGGTAGATAGAATTGATGAAGTGAAGATACTTGACGAAATAACAATCTCTAAATTTAGGTATTTACCATGTAGTTCAACGATGTTTGGGAATCTTGCCTATTTGTGAGTGTGACTGTCACGTGCAGAAAACGTAACGCTACATCCTGCGCTATATGGCAAGTGATACTGGAGAAATTCGTACTCCTGAAGTAAGATTTTAGAAATCCCCCTTACCAAACATTGAGACAGTGCTCGATTTCGACTGATTTTGGTTAAATGTGTTTTTATGCAAATCAAATGAATTTGTTTGAAATATTCATGTGATTTGAAAAGTAGTATTAAACTTAAAATTCTTGCGGGTGGGTTCCAAAATCGCATCTTCTTATTAAATTGCACTAGATGAGCTGGAACCTCTTTCAAGACTATTGGATGACTCCAAATTAGAATTCTGAAAGACTGTTTTATTTCTCATGGTTATCCTAGTTTTTCCAAGTCTGATCAGTACTGCAGTTAAACTGCTCATCAATGCGCCGGTAATACATGGCTCCACGCCCGAAACCACCGCGTTGAATTTCCATAATAATATTTTGGCGACATACATGCTGTTATTCGGTTGTCTTGGCATTGATTAGAGCAAATGATTGGGCTAGTCTTGTTAAAATCAGATATAATGGTTCCAAGGCATCATTTATTGTTGAGGTAGTAAAGAACCTATTTGTATAATTAGTCCCAGTAAATTTTCTGCACATTTCTGTTCATTTTGACTGCGTGGGAATAAGAGGTGGTATGTTGACGCGGGAAATTTAGACTTGTCCTCCGTCACCATAAATCGACGTTCAATCCAGTTCCCTACCCAAAATTATCATTCACGTGATGCGTAAATGCAACAGTTGCGTTGGCAAATATTTGCATGCCATGCGTGAATTCGCGGTCTCATTCAGCACTGAAGGTCACGGAAACTTCCTTCCGGCTATGCATAGACGAGTGACTGCGTCATAGATGGTGTAAAATGTATGTGCAATGCTATTTAATTCCGAAATAGTGGTTATGGGATGATTAAACGAATTCAAGGAGCGCGATCAAGTAACACAGCAACGATGGGTTCACTCCTCTTGATCACGCCATTCCGACTGTGAGTAAGACTAAGAAGACTACCTCAAATCCAGTTCAGATCGTATTTCTAGTTTTGTTCGATTTGTGGAATTACCAACATTGTAAAAACCTGATTTATAGCCAAGGGAAAGTTTGAGCCTCCCACTTGCTTTGCTCGAAGCTATTTGTACCAACTGATTCCACTTGTGTAATAGTTATGACCATAAAATTAAAAACTAGTTCCCGTAAATTCTGGATCCACATGATGCAGCGCTTGGGGACTTTATGCGTCTGCTCGATTGGAATCGCTGTTTCAAAGCCAACTACATGAGCAAACCGATGCCTCTACAACGGAAGTGAATGTGATAACAGACAAGTTTCAGCAAAGTTGTCTTCCCAGTACGTTTTGAAGTGTGAATCAGCAGGAAGGTAAAATCTTACCGAATCATTAAATTTAGTTTGATTTAACGTATAATGCATCCCGATATAAGAAGTGTTCCTAATAATTGTCCTTTCATCGAGAAAGTTGAAAATTTAATCCCCTTACTGCAGAGGGCATAAGTGTGCAGTTTGTGTCCTTGAGGCTATCTAGATATTGTAGCTTAATAGTGCAAGGTTCACCTTCAAGAAAGTTGTGTACTTACGATTTCAAGGCCAAAGAAAATTTACTTAATGTTAAATTAACTGCGTAAGCCTTGATTAATACCTCGTAAATTTGCCCTACAACTTAGTGGTTAGTAAACCGGTCGCTCAGTAATAAATTAAATCGAATGAGAAAATCATGCATGTACTCATTTCTTCTTTGATAAACACAATATCCTGAAACTGATTAAAACATGCAGATAACATGAGGATCCAATACAACACCCTTAATTACAGTATGTTCAACCTATCGGACAGGAGCAACTTTGGTGTCTCTGATCGCCAGTGTTCTGTGTAGAGAGCTAAGATGAGGTAATGGCCAATGGAGAAGCGGAGGGAAATAGAATACAATAATACCATATAACGCTCTCTGGGAGGAATCAAGCAGGATACTTCTATGGGCAGCTCAAACCAAAGTAAAATTGCAGGAGCAAATTTGTGCTTCCTTCACTGGAAGGAGGCGTATGATTGACGTTTGTTTCTATGGCATGTGGGTATCATGATTAACATTTAAGGCATCGTTGATTATAAATGACCAAAGGATGATGATGAGATTTAACTTGACTACCAAATATGCGAGCTCTCTATCCCTAACTTCCATCAAAACACCACTTTTAATGTTTACTTTTCCGCCTATTAAATGAGTTACCTTAATTTTCCATAATTGGTATTGCATTTTTCTTCGAAGGTTGTTGGATCTTGCAACACGCACTGGCAAGTGAGCAGGCATTAGTAAGCAGTGACCTCACTCTAGTCGGGGGATTGACAGGCGCGCACCGCTACTACTACAATTAAGCTAGCCCTCTCCCTTGTGCGACGCCACATCACAAAGCCATCATACCTATACGCACACCTGTCTTCTTCAATTGTTCCTCGATTGAGGATGACCTATAATAAATTTCTCTTAGTATATGCAAGTGCACTATTTACCTTTTGGTTTACTCTCGTCTGTGACACTGCTATTGACTCAGAGGGAAAGAAGTGGCAATTGTTCTACTTAACAGGACGTGCTGGCTATTCGGTGGGTTTATTCTTCCAAGACTGTTTGCCCCAAGTTTTGAACGTTTTAGGCGTTCAGTACATCCAAGCCGATCGTTCATCAAATTATGTGCCATGTTCAGAATACCATTCGTTATGGTAAAGGCTGCCGAAGTCGGAGGTTTGTTAGTTATGTTTTCTGTACTTTTTTTACTTAATACTCTTGAAATCACTACAAGAATGTTATTGTTAAAGAATATGGCAATGAGATCATTGATAAAACCTCATTGGCTGATCGTAGCGACTGATTTGATGCTGATACCGGACTTTCTGATGTGTTTGCTTCCTGCATAGATGATATAGTCATTTACAATATTGGCACAAATGCTGACAGCTTGCTATTTACATGGGGTTCTGTATCTCCAAACAACGGTACAGAAAATGAAAATCAATTAGACCCACTAAAAAGCTTTAATAGTCTTAATTAAATCCTATGCAATAACCATAAGTCCCCGACGATTTGAGCACTTGAACAGGTTTGGCCTCAAATGAGTTAAAATTGTTCTTAGTACATCTGCAGTAAATAAGTAATTTTTCCGGAAATAGTTAATAATTTAATGAATTGCATCAACAATTATCCGTGTGCATAATCGTTTGACCAAACACTAACTTGAGTGAAACTTTGAGCTTACCTGAAAACATGGCTCTAATTTCCTGAGGAATGAGAATGCCAGTAAAAGAAAACATCTTTTACCTTCTTAACAGATCATGCTTAAGAACTCATCGACGCGCTCCCAAGTACACAGCAGCGCGCAAACTCCGTCAAGGCCTTAAGCGGGGACAGCCTGCAGCCCTAGGGTAATGCCATATAAAGACGCGCTTTTACACACTTGTGCATGCAGGTGTATGCAACTCTCTGTGTGTACATGCGTGTGTGTAAACACGCCAGTGCACATGAGTAACCACGAGGAAGTCTTGGAAGAGAACACTCCCATCGTGTCTCACGAGGATCCCTTCTACCAGCCTCGAGCAAGTAAGTCCCTTCTTCTCCTTCTTCATTTCCTCAATCTCCTCGACTCCTTTATTGGTACATTTTAGGTGAGGCAATTATGCTTCCATCCCTTTTTACTTATCAATTGGTAGTTAATTCGTACAGTGCATCACTAAATTTTGAAATATTATTTCTTTAATTTAGAATTAATGAGAACAAATTGCTTATGCTACACTATTATTTCTTGTAAACCATATACCAAAATTCAAAAAGTCATCTGTCAACTGCATTTGCATATCCATTGTCAATTGACTCAATGTTAAAACATTGATTAGAAAGTAGACGTTAGAGTAACTTCATAGCAAGTCTACTATTACACTACGGCTGTCAACTTATAAATCTGCTTTTAGTGGAATTTTTGAAGGCTGTTTAAGTTGGCATCAAGACCCCCACCAAAATAATCACCAAGTGCAGAACAAAATATTCCTATAAAGTAGTGAATTATCCTTCCCACTAACATGACTCACTTCAGGGAATCAAAGCTTAAAGTGTAACAAGTGTCCAAGAAATTAATTGAACTTCTTTCAGTGACGTGCCAATACGGTGCTGTGTTTACTCTAAGCATATTGTTAATAGCTTACTCTTATTGAATCCTTCATTTTTAAATTACTGGATGCCAAATATCGCTTTCAGTGTTACCCAGTGCAAGAATACTTTAAATAATGCAATCACCATGGCTACGGTCGATCATTTGGGAATAATCATGGGTGTAGCCTTGGCTATGCGGCGTGGCTGAGACTGGCTCAGAATAGGCCTTCGGAAGCGTGGCCGTACGAGCCAATCCCATGTACCGCGTGGTCACGGATGGTTGCGCATCTGCGCGCAACCAAATTGTCCAATCAGGAATGGGAAAATCCCCATTCCTGGGGAGATAATTCCAGTCTCATTCTGTGATCAAGCAGCACTGTTCACAGATCAGTAAGCATAGAGTCGAAATCCCTCCAAAGTCTATCATTTCTTAATGAATTGCAAATTTCTTAAAATGATCGATTTGGGAAGTCATGATTTAATGGGTACAGGTGTACCTTACACTAATAAGTGGCAGGATCTTAATTGTAGTCAGTAAAGTGTTGTGTCTGAATGGGTCTGTTAGGTGCGTGGATGATGATATTTTGTGCCAGTGGAAGATGAGCAATAGTGGGTATGAATGCTACGAGCCAATCCCATGCCAATCCCTGTCACGGTTCGTTGCACATGTGTGAGCAGCTCAGTTGTCCAATCAGGAGAAAAGAGAGCCGGACGAACTTTGATCTTCTCAGTTCATATGTCCCCTTTGGTGAAGACTTTATTTTACAGCGAACTGATACCAGTCGTTGATTACTGAATAGCACCTATCGTAAACAAAAAATGAATACGGATTTGTTTCTTATAAAATAACTCCACCTTTACTGCGCTTTTACTTCATAAGAAACACTATTATCGAAATTAGGACTATAAATTGTTCCAAAAATTTCCAAAGTATGCCACCTTAGAAATGTGTTACACAAATGAGTCATGTAACCTCACATCAGCATATGAATTTATTTAATAAAATTATGCCGCACGGTGAATAATCTGATGAATTGCCGAAAATTTGCCAGTGATACGCGCAAATCTATTTTGATTGGAACTTTGTTTAACGTTTTATTTTGATGTGGAGTTTAATATGGAAGTTAAACGAATTGAGGCTGCCGGGTTTCACGTCGGGAAATTGGCTTGTCATGCGAGGAACAGCCGCCAGTAAAACTACCGCTTGTAACGTGCATTCGCAAAGCGCCATTTAAAGTGCTCCCGCCTCCAAGATGGGAATTTTGTGCTATTTAGCCCCAAAAAGAGGTAGATGGATCAGGACCGACATGGGTTGATAGAGATGATAGTAGAAGCGCAGACGAAGGATTGCTCAGACTCACGTGCGCGCCATTGGTCAGTGGGCTTAGACGTTGATTGGCGTAGCTCTCCCACACCCGCGTACTCCTCTGCGTGTAAGCCGAGGTGTCAGTGCGCTCGCAAGTGCCCTCCTCCTCCCCACCCGCAACTCTCGCCCCCTCGCCTTCTTTGTCGCCACTGTCACCAACTTCCTGAGTGTTCCATTTGACTAAACAGACGTCGTTGTGTACTGCTGTAATGTGTCTAAGTAGCATGAGTCTGTGGGATCAGCACCGAGGTCATGAGAGAGCCTCGCACCACCACCATCACCAACACCAGCAACAACAGGCTCAATCTGAATTCGGTGTTTCCACCTCCGCCGACTCTATGTCTGACAGCACAAGTACGAGTACCAACCAACTGCCCTGGCAGGTGTCCACCTTTAAAGACGCCGCGTACATCCAAGCCGCCACAGCTGCGCCCTTCATTTATCCTTACTCACGCCACGCCAGTTCCCCTGGTGAGGTATTCGGCTTTAGTGACGGTAATCATGATCACGACCATACGCGTTATGGCAGTCCAGCAGGAGAGGGAGTTGGCTTTTGTGGGGGAATGAATGGATTCGAGACATCATGGCAACACAATTACCAAGCCAAGTGCGAGCCACCCGACTATGCAACTGTTGCGGCGACCATGGCGGCGGCGGCTGTGTGCCGACAGGCTCAATACTTTGAGGATTTTTACTCAAGAAAACGATCGGGAAAGAGTAAGGGTAGGCTTCGCTAATTTGTTTACGCCACTTGCTAGCCCTGTGAATGTTTACCAACTGCATACGAGGTTTACCGAGTCAAGTAAATATACGACTGATTGATTATCAAAACCCAAGCGTTTGATTAATAATATGTATGGTTACAAGTAGGAGCATTTAGTTTTGTTGAAATCATTGAGATATTAGGTTTTAGAGCAGTGTTTTTTCCACAAAACCCAACCAATATGCATTTATTTAAACGGAATTTTAATGATCTTTTCAATGAAGTTAAATGCTGGGTAATATAGAACAGACACAGTCGGTAACTGTCTACTTGATAAGAAGTTTGAAATTGTGCTATTACATTCATTCATCATTCAACCACTTCTTTAAAGTTATTTGTTAGTTTAAAAGTCACTATCGACCAAAGTAAGGGTGTATTTGTGTGTTGGTAGTAAGTGGAAAATAGGCCACATCCTTAGGTGCGCAGATATTTGCTATTAGGTCTGAACGGAAGTCGAGCATACAGCCTGTTTTGTCCCTTGGTCCACTTCAATTAGTATCTACCTGCACGAATTTGGCCGCGCTTCCTACTCTCCTCGAGATAAAACATTGGTAATCGCAGCCATTAAACACTTAAATGTAAACACCAGAGGATGTTACCCATGAAATATGGTTGCATGCCCTCGTGCATTCGAGCCCATTAACTAGTTCATGGAGATTGCGCTATTGTGGACTGAAGAGAATGCCAAAACTATGAAGTCCTTCTAAACCGCGTTTTCACCAGCATTTATATCCCACAACTTCAATCATCTGCAATTTCAGCTGTTATTCTCAAATAGGAACGTGGGTCACCAGCACGTGTCTTCCATTCAACCTGCCAGCGGACAGGGGTGGCTATTTTACTTCCTGGTATTTTATGAATCATGTCGCCCCTCCATTGGATGCACACGGATGCGTGTGCCGTAGTTGTAACAAGTTTGGCTGACAGAAATTTTGCAGAGTCGAGGAGGGGGAGACAGAGTACCAGAATCATTTCGTTACTTCACGAGGCGATGGTGAACCGTTGGCGTTTATCTTTCGATGGGATTCGAGAATTTGCCCACCAGCAGGAAACACAACGGGAGGGTTTCTCTTCTCCTTTGTCCATGCGAGTTTGGGGAAAGGAAGAAGTGTTGAAAAGGGCTTTAAGTATATTGTGATAGCACTAATATATCGAAAATACATTAAACCGTACAAAATATTTATGGAAGAGAACAGTTGCATTACCAGTTGTAGCAGCATATTTTGACGAAGTGAATTTGAAATCTGTTTTTCACAAAAATGTTTTGATGATTGACACGGGCAAGGTACGGAAGTAAATCGTTCTTTTTCTCGTCACATGTTAACAGAGCTAATCTAAAAGAGATCATTTACGTTGATTCATGCTAACTGTTATACCATAGAAACCGTTCATCATTATGATTAGTTTCCTAGGAATACATTCAATCATTGTTATTTTGATATCTAAGCTAGGCAATCTCACAAGCTAACTTTACCCAGGAAAATCCATACTGTAGCAATAGAGTTGATCATTTTATTTTCTACCATCAATCTGAAAATTTATTTGGCTTTTTTAACATAGACTCTAAGCTGTGATATCTTATTTACCTCCGAAATGCTGCCCACTAGATCCAAACCGTCCCATCACTCACGACAATTATGTTTATTGCACGCAGTCGCAAGTCAGCATGTGCGTTGGCCCCATACGCTTGCAATGCATATTCACAAATTTGAAGAATAAAAAGTGCCTGCTTAAGGTTGCTAATTTTACCCACCTGTGTACTCCCACGGGTGATTAAAAATCCACCCAATAATTTTTTTGCACGCTGTGGTGGCTTAATCAAAGTGGTCTTTGTGATTGCTGTTGTTTTCTGTGTGTACAACCGCCATGTTTTCCTCGCCATCAACTGACTTCCCTCCTTGTGGTATACAAACAAACAGGCTGTGCAGTTTTAATTAAAACTGCGCCAAAATCATACATGCATGTATTTATAATCCAGATTTCCCTTGTGAGTTTCTTACAAAAGCAATACATCAGCAGGGCAGCATCTATTCCTCTGTTAAGTAAGTCATATTACCTACTAGGAAAGGAATGTCGGAAGTACCCATATTTAAGGCTTTGCTGTTTTGGAAAACAAGCGGTACTTTCTTGAGAGATTCCTGATCAACTACGAATGTTAGATAACCCGGTTCCATCTTCCACGCGGTCTAAGGCTCCAGCGCATCGGACTGGAGTCAGCAAGTTTTTACTCTAAAACTAAAAAAAACTAGAATGAGTAACATTTTTCTGCATTTTAAGTCATTCGGAAAAATAATCATTATTTTATTAGTAATTTCCTTTTTAAAAATTAAACTATTAGTTCTCATAAAAATAATAAACCGCAAATATGCAGCATTAAATCTGTCCTTATTTTAAAGGTGTCGATTTCTTAATGCAAAATATGCACATTTTTACCCCATAGGGACTTTAGAACAGATGTGATGTCGTAAATTTACTTAAATTCAGGTAGCACAATATGCCTTGATAAGCGAAATTGCTTTTTTGCTTTAAAACGTTATGAATATGAGTTGGTATACGAAGGGTGTCTTCTTTAGTTTAATCGGCGAGGCAAATGGAAACAGGGGAGTGAAGGACTTTGTTTTAAATTTACCAAAACCTGATCTAATTTACCTATGAGTGGCCGCGAAATGGATCGCAATGACAGTTAAATTGTTAAATGCGGAAGCTAGGAATTAAAAAGTGTTTACTTCTAAACCATTAACGCTACATTCTTTGGGAACACGTCAGAGCTTAAGCCATCAAATTTACTCATAATCATGAGCTATCTCAAGCACTAGATTAAAGATAATTTTCCATACATATAAAGATTTTGGTATCTTAAAAACGAGCAAAATACCGCTAGCTTGCTCCTCCTCCTCTTTCTTCCCTCTATTTTTTAACATGCGAAGATTCACTTACCTGGTTTTACCCCATTCCGATCTTCGGTCTCTCTTAAGGGGGTTATTTCCGAAGGGAGTGAGAAAGGAAAAGTGGAAAAAAACCTTTACCGCCTGCCCTACCTCCGTGATTGCGTGTCATTCCCCCTTACCCTCGGGAATATTAAACTATTCCACAGAAGAATTTGAATAATCAATTTATACTGCGAAACTGGAATATCGCAAATATTACCTTAGGTATATCTTTGGACGATCTTTCTGAATGCACTTAGAAATATCACTGTTCCCCAGAAGAGCAAAGTCATACATATCATAATCAAGTGATTTAAAACAAAAACACTTATATTGTTATCTTACATTTTCTCTTACAGCCCACGGAAACGTAAATCAGTTAGGAGGGAGCTTCGTGAACGGACGTCCTCTACCTGATGAGATCCGCCAGCGTATCGTCGAGATGGCCCACTCCAACATTCGTCCCTGCGACATTAGTCGTCGTCTCCGCGTTTCGCACGGCTGTGTCAGCAAAATTCTGTGCAGGTCAGGCAGAAGTGACTTAGATGTATCACTCATTCATTTAGTGATATGAGAGCTAAAATATCAGTACTCGCCATTAATTAATTAAATATGCCATCATTAAGGTAATTTGCACCCTAGCGGAAGATAATAATGAATCCAATTTCTTTGGCTCTACAACTACTTACACGAATCGCAGAAACTACCCGTAGAAGAATGCGTATGCGCCTAAAATATGTTTTAATATTCTTCATAAGTTGATACATAAAACATCACGTTATGGTGTAGGCATTGTAGAACTGGAGGATGTCTAAACTTATCTGAAAATCCAAATTTGCAGATGGGTAAATCTCCATCTTAGAGTATCATACGAAATATCGCTTCCTATAAAGAAAGGTTGGAAGTAATGAGGTATACTACTCACATCCACGGCGCTGCCTCCGATGCAACTAGTCCTCTGGGAGACAAGATCAGCGAGATATTCTGGAGGCGCGTGTGCCCATGAATGTAGAGATTAATGCGCACACATCAGTCGAGTAATGGTTACATTGGTCTTTTGCTGCCGCAGCAGCAGCACCAGTAGCAGTAGCCCCAGTTTCGGTCCCAAGAAATGTTGTTTGTTGAAAGCAGAAGCAGGGGGCGGTAGCGGTGGTGATGTGAAGCTAGCGATGATAGACAGTCTCAAGACTAGGTCAGACCAAGCTGCTCTGAGGTGGCGTATTAAATGCTGGTAGTAGCTATAGTGCAAAGCGAAGAATCCACCCAGGCATGGTCATGCTTAAAACGCGCACAGATGCGGCGAGTTTCGCCTCACTGGGCTCCAATCGACTCTTAATGTGTTTAGAAGCCACTCATTAAGCTGTATGCCGATCACTCATCGGAACTGCAAAAAGAAAGCCACAAGTAGGCTGTTTGCTTGACAGAATTTGCTGTGACTGGTTTAAGTTTGATTCACTTATACAAAGCAATAGATTACCATGTTAGATTCAGATTTCAACAATTCGTTTCATCTTTTATCAATAGTATAAGGGCTAAGTGCACATTGGTAGTGACTGCTAGTCAACCTTCCCTACACTTCCATTTCCACCTTACTTTGTTCTTCTAATGGTACTTTGAAAAAAGAAAACAAAGCTACAATTAAAATGCAAACTTCTCATCACTTCACAATGTATCATCGTGATTAACAAGGATAAAAATCATTATCTTCTTACTATCTGGCTCCCATTCTTTCGCCCCACCACCTGCACTACCACCACCACCACCACTCCACCCGACATTGTTTCGCTAGACTGCCTGTTAACAATACCCGCTCTCCTCTTAATAAATTTAACGGAGCATATCAACGCGGGGTTGGCGGTGGTGACAGTAGTGGAATAAATACCAGGAGCCTTCGAGCTACCGTCATGGGGTATGGTGGGACGGAGTGGGCTGGTGCAGAATCGTTACATCAGAGAGGGGAGGTGTGCGCCGTTGGAAAGGAGGAGGGAAAGGCGGTCAGATACGTCAATTACATATACTCACACACACGCAAAATTATGACTGGTCAGGTCGGCGCCAGGCCATAAAATTGTTACTCTTCAGGCATTCTTCTCCTCCTCGTCTCCTTCGACGAGGCGGGTATTTAAGTGTATTTGGTAAAAGTGTTTACACACGTACGTCTACACAACATTGCGCTTCCCTTATATGGGTTGTTTTATTCAGCGCAGGATCTAAATTTAATCGACATACTCACACACACACCTGCATACACAAGGAATAAAAGTAAATTAAAAGAACAAATTTTTCCAGCCTTCATTTGTCAAGCTGATTTTATGATACATTTCCTCGAGGTCGTGCACCAGATTTTTGGTAGATTGCATGATAGACGTCACCCATAGCGGCTTGCATTCACGTCGAGCCTCCATAATTCGACATTGACCTTTCAATGATCAACTCCAATCGCTAGGTCTAATGAGTTTATATAATTCTCGGTTTTCTATCCATAAGAAATAAGTGTTTCCAGTTGGATTGATTCCCGCACTTCAAAGTAAAAATAGCGATGTAGTGTTGGGAAGTGTAAAGATGCGCTAGGATGCAGATTGTTTTATTATGAAGGATAGCTTTTTAACAACAATACGATGGTTCCATTCTGACTCAAAAAAAGTGGATTGGTGCAAGAGACCGTCCTTAAACTTTGAGTAAACCAAACATCAAAATGCTTTCCCCAAGTGAATATAGGAAATATATAGTTTAGTGGAAACCAAAGGAGTGTATGAAGTAATTCTAAACGTTACACTACAGCCATTTTAGAGATGCTGCAGTTCCGCTTCCCCTCCTCAATGGGGATTTTGTGGACACAAATAAGGGAAGTAGATACAAATGTTACGATCAAATCTCATTGAAAGATGATGAGCCTTAGCAGTTTTATATTCTTTCTGACTTCTAAGGTATAAAGCAAGTTACATTGCCTTTATAATGCCCCAGATGGCATTGTGAATACCACCACCTTGTTGAGATGCTGCCAAAATGCTAAGCCACCATTGAATGAAATCTACTGCCGATCAGTACGAGAAATTCTACTAATGGCCTAAAAATATGGTAGTTGTGCAACAGAATTTCGATTGCTACAACCCTGCAAAGGCAATTGATGCTTTAAAACACGTACATAAGGAACAGAATACTAGGAACTTATGTTTCACTGCCAGAAAGAATGCATAATGACTGGGTAGAGTATTTCCGTTTATTTTTATGCTAATTTAGAACTCCGAAAATTTTTAGACTGCAAAAAAACAGAAAAAATTCCTCTTTTTCTTTTCAAATTTGAAAAGTAAGGATGGAAATGCAAAAAATTGTGATGGCAAAAATTTCAATCAGATAAACGGACCAAAGCGCAAAAAAATTAGAATGGAATTGATGGTGGTAACGAATGTTAACAGCAACTATAACAAATTTGAATTTTTGTTTGGTATAAATGTCAAGACTTGAACCTAAGTGTAGGGCGATGTAAGTGAGCGCAGGAATCTCTGGCCATTTGCAGATACAACGAGACCGGCAGCATTCGGCCGGGAGTGATTGGAGGATCGAAGCCAAAAGTAGCGACCCCCCAGGTGGTGGAAGCCATTCACCGATATAAGGCTGAGGCACCCACCATGTTCGCCTGGGAGATCAGAGATCGTCTGGAGAAAGACGGCATCTGCACCCAGGAAACTCTACCATCTGTGTCTTCTATCAATCGAATAGTCAGGAACAAAGTATTGGTAAGTTTCGTTTACTGTCTTATAAGCCATACTAACAACCCCTTAGAAAGAAAGCTAAAAAGTAAGGGTTGCGCATTTTTACAGGTAAAAACCAAGTTATAATTATTTCCATTTTTGAAGAAGCAAATTACAAACAGTTAATACGGTATCAACTTTCTGCCTCTTTAGCTTGAGTGGGAAATGTTTAGTAGAAAAGGAATAGTCGTGAGATTTCACTTGCTGCGAATGTTATATATTAGACCCTCCTACGAAAAACACGTTTTTTGTTTGAAGCAGAGTTATTCTAAGACATTAATGGCCAGATTTAAGCAATGCTAAATGCTAATATTTCTAATATGATGGAATAGATCTTTTGTTCTAAAAAAATACAAAATCGCCATTGATTACGATGATGAAGAAGCTAATTATTCAACCTAGTGCAACTACATACCCCAGGAATGCTGAATCGTCAAGCCAAAGCAGAAGGGCATGTGCACAGAGGCGGCACAAGTACAAACAAGAAATTTGTTAAAGTCTGTAACCACCTGATACGAAAGACAGAATCAGAGGCCAAGGTTGAATAAATAGATCGACCTTACAGTTTGAACTTTACGGCAATTACAAATTACTGCGGTGAACTTTCATCGTGCTCCTCAAACGGAAGATTTTTTGCCGTAGAATGCTCCAGATACGCACTTATTCGCATTAAACTTAAGTATTTAGAGTGCACGTGGTTGAACTGCATTAAAAACTCTTTGTAAGGACACGAGACTTACGTTAATATGCAATAATATTAGGCCTCATTTATTATGGTGAAATCGATGTAAACCATCGGACACTTTCCTGAAATTCAATGATAACTTTTTTGTCTCTGTTTGCCTTTAACCCTTCTCGGCTTTAGGAAAAGATGTCATACTTTAACTTACGGTGTATAGCTCATAGTTTAGATTGGACTAAGGCAAATTTTGATAGCATGCTAAGTCAAAAAATATGAACTGTTGGGGGACAACTATCCTGTGTAGAAGATCAAAGATGACAGGGCGGCGTGCTCGCGATCAAGCGCTAAACCGAATTTCCACTAAAACACGAAGGCCCTGCTGACGTTATCTCTTGGTCAAAGAAAATGAAGGTATTGAGAGGGATTTCAAAGGTAAAAACTATTTATGTATTATGATCATGGAAAATACAAATGACCCGTGACTTTGGATTCCAAACAACGTAGCAGGCCAGAGGTCATCACGGAATAGCGTCATAGGTTATTCTAACAAAACTTTCTGAGGACTTGCTCTTTTACATTTTCTGTTGTAACATTGTGAAGTTGAATTTGCTCATAAGACCTATTTTATATAACACAACTTTATGCCACTGCTGTGATTTTCACATCATTCATGGCCCCATGCATTTATGAAGCCCTGAAAATGAATTTCAAGCCTCGTTGTTACTTTAGGATACGCGCTACTCCGTTCGTGACCAAAGCTCTTCCAACCGAGAACAATCACAGAATTCAACATTGCGAGAACCTCTTCAACCACCACATTCCCAGTGTACGCCTCCAGCTCTAATCCCCCCGCCGTCGCTGCCGCCACCACCACCACCACAACCACAACTGCAGGCACCACCGCCCCCACAGGCATTTTCGCCGGTGGACACCAAATACATGGATCGAATTCATCTTCTCCACGGTCTTCCCCCACCAAACTCGGAGCTCGAGTTCCATGGTCAGAGGTCCATGTTCGGCACCTGCGCCTCGACGTCATCTTCGTCGACGGAGTTTCCAGCATTTAGACGGCAAGAGGACGTCTGGTACCCCGAGTACATGACTTCAGCGGCACTGGTGGAGGAGGTGGGAGGACCTCCGCCCGATAGCACGGCCACTGTCACTCCTCCTTCCGCAGCCGCCTCCCTGCCACGAGACCTGTTGCTCCAACAAGCGCTAATGCACATCCCGCCCTCTATTGCCCCAGCACCTCCCGGCACTTTTAGCATCACAGAGCTGATCCGACAGAACCACCAACAACAGCAGAACCTCTTTTCACGAGCCATTTCTCCTGGAGAGGTGGGAGAACCTCCGCGACATCAAAACTTTGACGGTATGACTTACAATCGTAGAGATGGGACTGCTGAAGACGGCTATAGATTCGAACATAGTAAGTATAACAGCTATCGTAACATCCAGGCGTATCAGAGTCTTTGCACGTAATGTGAATACTTGCTCATGGCAATGCTAGTGTCTAATTAGAGACTGAAAACACCTGGACTATCAGTTGATACAGAGAGAATAGCGAGAAACTTTGAGTAATAATAGGGTAACGTACAAATCCAGGACAAAATTCATTAACACTTGGGCAATAAAGGAAACGAAACGGCAGAAACTATACCATATCCTTGATTACGTGTGAAGTCAAAAATGAACAGATTACTGGTTGCAAAGCATGAACTTTTAATGACAGTTTTAGCCACTTTAAAAGCAGTGTTTTTGATCGGAACGTCACAAAAAAGTACTGTGAGCATTTGTATTTTAATCTCTTATCACTCCGATTTGGGAGGGCTAAAAGCTACATGAAATACTTTTATCTGGTATGATCATGCTTCAGAAGTACTTCATTGACAACTGCTACGAAGAAATATAGCATAAAATTTAAAACGTCTGTTCGATATCCAAGATACACCTGAACTGAATAATCATCCAATGGTTATCAAGGATCCATAGAAATGGCAAACAGCTACATAGCTTTATGTATATTCTTTTACAAGGCAGTCGGTATTCAAAAGTGTCCCTCTATGGTCGGAATAACGGCTTTACATGATAAAACTTTGTGCTTGGCACGGTAGTGCCATTCAGAAATATCTTGTGAGATGGTGAGCACCGATTAATTTACCAAGGGCTAAAAATAGCTGAACAACATGAAACTTAGAAAATGAGAACAAGAGTTGCAAAAGGCAAGAAAATGCACAAACAACCTTGCAAACTACTACACCCAGGGTTTTGACTGGCATGTCTCACTTTCGCTAAAATGTGGGTGCTAGCACTCCCCTAACTCGCATTTCCTGTTTCAGTGTTACTCAGCTAACTATTAAAAATGAAATAGCCCTTGCATGTGTCACGTAAACAACCAACGAATGGCTGCCTGCAAATTTCACGCCTCTCTCTCATACTTTAAAGTTAACATGAAAACGCCCTGGTTTATACAATGTTAAGTTTTTCTGCCCAAAATCGTCTTCTTTAAAGTGAAGATTTCTACGAAATCACCGCGGTTGGCAAAATAAGATTAGAAAATCAGCACTTATATCATTTGCTGAAAAACTAACACAGCTCTCTTAGAATACGTTCCTTTATCAGTTGAGCCTTTGACGGGACATTTAAGCACTCAAGGCTTTACAAACTTTTCTACCGTACACCGTTTGTTCGACTCAACAGCTGGGAACACGTTTCATTTCCTGAGTGACCACAATACACTCTGCGGTTTTTTGGACTAAATAGGAAACGATGAAATTGCTTAAAACAGTAAATTATTAGATAGAATATCTATTTGAGACAAGCAGTCACCGAAGTTTGAAGGCAAAACTTCGGTTACGTCGAGTGGGCATAACAAGTGTGTTCGTTAGCGTCAAGGATGGATTGGGCACACACATTAATACACATGCATTCTCTTAATTTTTTACCTGCTCGCTCAACTTAGGTTATCCTCAGCGTTTTAATTGGATGAAAATTAGCAAAATCTCTTACCATAGAAACTAGGCATATTTTCAACAGTGAGATTTCACTTCCTCATCAGGACTTGCCCAATAGTAGGGAGCAAATTTATGCGACGTGTTTTTGGTGCACTTCGAGCAGTGGCCACGTACGAAGTGACCAGTTAATTTCCGGTGATGGCGTGTTCCCCGTTCCCAAGAGGGAAGCAAGAGGGGCAAAGGTGTGGGTGGTGAGATGGGGTGGGAAGGGTCACAAAGACGTTCTCCCGGGGGATAGGAAGCTGCTACTGCTAGTGATGTGTGCGTGTGTGTAGGCACGCGTGCATTTACTTGTCTTCGCTGACTAGCCGGACTGTACCCATGCTGGCAACTCGGCCGGCCCGCTGATCAAAGGCGGCGCGAGATAGATGCAGTGGAAGTGATTAGCTATTCTACAATCCTCATGAGTCGTTTTTTGTATTAACAATTCAGACTCCTTGGAGGAATGTCTGAACCCTGAAAGAACATAGTAACTACGTTTGTGTGTGTGTTGCCTGTCACTGGCATAAAGCGGAAATTGGTCTAAGACGTGCCACAGCAACGTCTATAACGACTCGCAAAATTACCCCTTCTCTGTCCGTTAATGTCGACAAATCACAGAATTTCACAAACCGTATCCCAAGCTTTTATTAGGCAGGCTAGCCAGTTAAATAAAGGCTCGTTGATTTTATATTTCTGGGAAAGAGAATAAGGAAGAGTAAAGCTGAAGTCACACGGTTCTACTCATGACTACTCAAGGTTTATGCTTGCTTCAGAAGCGCCGAGGTTGGATGTGAAATATCACATGCCCCTAAAGGAGCCGGTTTCCAAAGCAAATTCCGACGATACAAGCCACCGTTTGCTTCAATTCTGTCCCAATATAGCAGGGGTTCTCAATAACGGTGACGGCGTCCTTAAAACCGACCCAACTGAGTTGTACTCACCGCCCAGCACGATGCCTATATGTGCCCTTGAGATGAACCAATCACACTTACAGACCCCATTGGGGAGATACGAGATGCCTCCACACTCCTCACCCGAAGCTACATGTCATTATGGCGCTTACACGAGCAATGGAACTGCTGGCACAAACCACAGATACGGTCATCTCCAGACCCCAACGCACCTTCTGCCTGCGGAGGAGACAAACACTTTTACGACAATCTGATGCGGTGCGACTCTTCCCCCTCTGTTTTCAGATATCAATGCTGCTCCTGTGTGAATTTCCTCCCCTACCTCTCGTCACTTCTGCCACTGCCGCTCCAGTCATCCACATGAAACTCTCCCTTGATTTTGTGTCTTTGTGAATCAGGATGAAGTGTACATTAAATTACAAACTACTGACAATGACGATATTTTACGACTGGTTTCAGAAAATGCATAAAATAAGTGCATCACAATGAGAAATTGTCAGTTTGGGTTCAGTAAACCAAATGAGTGGCATAAGTTAGACCCGTCAGACACTACCTCCTACTCGTTGTAAGCGCACAGATTTGTACCTCTTTTTTCCGTTTGGCCAACCCTAAAAATAATTCAAAAGATTAATATCAGAGCTTGCCTCAAAAGTAGAGTGCACACAAACAGCCTTCTACTAGGAAATCAACAGAATAGGAGCGCAAGAATGCACATCTAATCCAATTTGTTTATTCAATGCAAGTTAACCGTTCTAGAAAAGGCTATATATATAGTTAAAAACAGTGCTTACTACAACTTAAAATACGCAACTTACTAGTTTCTTTTTTTAGAAATATGGACCCTTTCGGAGTCCCAAATCTTAAACAGCCATGTTACAACTTTCTTATTTGCACCTCCGAGAAGGAAGGTGACACAGCTAGCCCAACAGATCTCATCAACATTAATGTGGCAAAAGGAGGTAGTTCTGTCCTCGAAGATCTGATCGGTTTAATGCTACGTAGGTCTAAGACCTCTGCTTCAAGTGGGTTTAAACCTAGTAGTCCTCCCCCTTCAAGACGACAATTAATTAATCTAAGCCAATTTACTAATTTTATCACTGCAAACGGACTTAAGTCCGTTGATGTGTAGAATAGACGAGACGCCATGAGCTTAATCGCTCGTAGGCTACAGATTCTTTATACCTTCCGTGACCCAAACCTGAAAATTTTCTCACAATCCACAAATCTCACGTTATGTAGACAGCGAAAATTTTATAGGAAACCAGAAAGCCCCAGTACAGCAATAAATTCAGACTTCGAAATCAAGTAAAATATCCCTTGTGAAATATACAAGGCCTAGAGGCTGTACAGAGGCGCTTGATAAGAATACAGCAGCGAGAGGCACCAATATGAATGACCAAAACAAGAGACTAGAAGACAAATGATGCTAATTTCTATACAGAGAAGGCGTGTCACCCGGAACGAAAAGAAAAATACTAGGTCTTGGGCAGTCTTTCCTGGTTTTACCAGAGGGCGTAGAAATGTTGCAGCTGATGGAAGACCGTGAAACTGATACCGGCTGCGATCGGACCTTTGATCCAATTCATAGTTACGCCCTTGTAGAGCCCATGAAGCAGACCCTCCTGTTGATAGACAATTTGCATCGTGCCCAGAATGCTCCGCGTGTACTCCGGATGACCTTAGTGCAAAACATCAGACCACGAATGGCAAATGACTTGCTACTTATTTTTAATAGTAGAAATAAACGCCTATAAACAGGTGCATTTGAAATTTCGTTTAAACATTTTTACTGAACGGTACTTATGAGCATATTTTAATGAAAATCAGTTCCGACACTTCTCGACCTATTAGGCTCACCGATCAAGCTGTACCAGCAATAAGAAATTGAGGATGCCGCTAAGGTAACAGAACTGATAAGCGGTTACTATAACATCAACGGAAAATCAGCTCAAAATTGCGGAGCCTGTTCACGGAGAACAAATAAACGATAGTACGCAATGGGTTCTATGTAATCAAAGGGTAAGTGGTGCCATTGTTGTTTGTACTACTCAATCAGGTAAATCACACGACTGCGCGCAGACACCAATATCCGTAAGGGAACACAAACTCTGACTTACGAGTAGAAGCGAGTTAATGGAATCAACCCAGTTAACAGCTGGCAATATTTATGATCTGCTTTTGGAAAAAAAACGCATCGCCGATAAGCATTCCACGATTTGCAAATTGCAAAGCATCAAAAACCGTCGATTTGCCCGGTGCTAACTCAAGCATCTCAATAGACGAATTATCTCGAGTTAATAATTCATGATGGAATTAAAGGTTTCAAGTTGTAAGACCCAAAAAGTCAGAAAATCTAGCGCATGAGCAGTAAAATGCTGGGTTAATTTTGAAACTTTATTACAAACATAGGTCTTGAAATAGTGAAATTAGAGTTCGGTAGATTAAATGTTTCGGCCCTGAAAAAGTCTGCGACACGAAATACCCTTTTCAAATAGAACCACAGTAAGAGATTAGACATAATGAGAACCTTCGCTGAAAGTCCGAATCACTAGTGGGTGTTGGTGCCTGAGGCCAGCATCAATACAACCTTCATAGCGCGTATTCACCAAAAGGAATACCAAATGCCAAAGTGTGAGTTAATTGGGATTAAATGACTGCTCACGGTAAGGTGGCATCTTACAAATGCGATTTTCAGATATAGATGTTCTCTTTCACAAATTTTCAACGTGAGATTATAAAATACTCGGAAAGTGCTTAAAGAACAGTAAGCAAACACATAAAGGCATTGAATGCATGCTCCATTTACAGCCTATTTTGGCTGTAAGATGATTAACGAACTAACACACCAGTGACACCCGCCGTCTGCATTCGTCTTCGAACAATGTCGAGAGGATAGGAAGCAGTCTGACCCAGAACGCCCGCAAAGGCTCCACAAGAAAGATTTTCAAGAGGCCTCAGGCTCCGTGGAGATCGACCATCTGAGGTTATTCTTTTTTCTTTAGAAAAAAAAGCACGTGGTTATAAAATCCCGACGACATTCATTGCACATGATTGTGTTGAACTCACTAGTACAAGTTGCTCAAGATCAAGGAATGTTAGTGATAGGATAATTAAGAATCTCGTAAAGGACACTAAATAGAAAAAATAATGAAATACTCTGCTTTTGCCGAAGTACATGAAAGGACATCATGCACACATCAGAAAGACACAAACCGTCTCCACAATTAATGGGTACAGAGAACTAACTGAGTCGCCATTCCTTGAGTGTTTCGAAGGTGTAAAAGGCAATGCCAGAATATGGAAGTATGCCCAAAAGAGCAGGAGTAAAGCCATGGTAGAGGGTTCGCAGACCCCCTTCCCGATAGGTCAGCTGAACAACATCAACTAGGTTGGCATACCTAAGTGAAACGTTAGAATAGCGCGAGTCGAAGCAAAAAGCTTATAGGCTCAAATTGCAGTTCACACTAAAATATAATGCCAACTTAAAGAAAAGAGCTCAAAAGAACCTTTCTAACATCTGTTAGAAATTAAAGTAGTTCAAGCCATATGTCACAACTGATGACGCCTCTTTAAAGACATTTTTAACAGAATTAATACCATTGATTCTATAACTAGATATTTTCCTTAAACTTCAGAAATAATTCCCATTCAAGATTAACTACACTAATTTAATCGCGTACTTTACGCGTTCCGTGACGGCCATACGAGCTCGTACCAGGTCTAGAGGATAAGTGAAAGAAACAGAGGCACCTCCAGCAATGCAGCCCGCCAAAAATCGTCTTATTTGAACCTGGCTTTTCGATCTAAAATGCGTTGCGCGAAATCGGGAAAATCAAACAAATACAGTGCAAAATAACACAGATTCCAGAACATCTCAACAATTTAACAGGACCAGTAAAACAATGATAAATAAAAGCAAATGCAGTGGTAAGAAACGGCTGATTACAAAGACGCTTAAATACCCGTGCATGTACAAATGCACGAAGTAGGGGTGATACAAATAAGTAAGCTTACAGACAGTGGTGCGTTAAATCACTAATACCAAGATAGTGTTTGGCACGCTCATGAACTCCGTACTGAACTGCAGCGTAGGGAAATATCCTCGTTAGTGTAGCGGAATTTCCTCGCCACAGACTACGAACACCGGCAGTCACATATGAATGCCTCAAGAACTTAATCAGGGCCTTTACATTAAAGTACATTTCCGAGGCTGCAACATTAGATTTGATTAAATAAAAATACTTTGAAAATTAATTTTTGCTCGATCTAGGGGAGCAATAGCAGTCTTTGCGCAGCAACCAGCAAGACCTCCAATAATGAAATCCGCGAAAGAGGGAGCAAAATCCCGGGAAAAACTCTACGAAAAATAAAAAGGAAACGTGAGTCCTGTCTAACCTTGTTGGAAGCAGGTGTTGAAGGCAGCCTCAGCAGCTTCATAAAATCAAAGTGCCCAGATAACTGGTCAACGCCCCAGACATTTGCTTACGCACTTTTGGTGGATGAATTTTTAAACAAAACTGCTGTTACACAGTGTATGCAGCGTATATCACCTAAACTTTTAAAACACTTTAGCTCCTCAAACTTTACGCTTTTAAAAACGCAGTACTTTTGCTCTTTTATGATCAAATTTACCTGATCTGAATGCCACAAACATCATCGGCTTTACCCGTATCGAACCTATTATTAGTGAGTTTTTAACCAAACGGACAAGCTCATGTTAATCTATAAACACGTTTAGGCCTAAAATATAGCATTTAGCATTTGGTACAAGGTTATTAACAATAAAACCCATGCTTCATCGCAACCTTTATGATATTTTAAGAAAAAATGATGTCACTGGACCTTTGTAACAATAACGTTTCAATTTTACGGCAACTTAAAATTTTTTTTTGGTGCAAATTTCATTTTAATGACAAATTAAAGCCTGTTTAATGTACTTTTCTTCATTTTATTATCCTGTCATCCACATATCGGTCGTTATTTTCAAACCGGAAACTAGACCATGGAGAACGTAATAGTTCGTAGTGCCGTTCCCTGAATCTTTCTTGAAGTTGCAAAATATTATCTTACTATCGTAGAAAATGTATTGATGAGCGGGTGGAGCTACACTGCGAAGATCTAAGTATCCGGGCAACCAAATACAGAGTTATGCAAACTCTCAAAGCATCACACGTGGTTCTTACGAGGGTTGGAATTTTGCGATGCATCTGCGGTGTCTTTATTGAGAAGGCTATCATGCTTGTAGAAAATAGTACAGAATAGGGAATGGTTTTTTATAATGTCAAGATGTTTTAAAGTCGTCAACCGAGAGCGTTTTGATTCTGATGATTATATCATGGAATAGCAACTTATTCATTGAAACTTCAAATGAAATAAAAAAAAAACCACCAGCTGCGTTGATCTTACACCTGATCGTCAATTCGTTCAGCGACTGGGGCTTCTAGTTTGATGAACTTTCGTGCCAGGTAGGATTTTTCATTGCAAAAAGGCACGCTATTTTTGTTCCTGGTACGCTTTGGTGAATCTTCTTAAGTTGTGATTGATAAGCTTCCAGGTATGCATTCTCAACAAAGCACTCTCCATATTGTGCCTTCTTTTATTGCAGGCATTGGGACCAATAAAACAACAGGAAATTCCGGGAATTAGTCTAAGATTAGTTTGAAAAGGAAAATTAGACTGGCTTTTTTAAGCAGTGGTAGCATTGCTTTCACAAACTCATTCCTTAGTTGATTAACAACATCAAGCTTTGAGCGTTGATTGGTTGTAAACAACGATACTAATTTCTAAGGCAAATTTAATAACGGAAATCCTTTTTTAAGAACGATGTGCCGTGGCCGACGCACATTCAAATCCAACTACAAACATTGTCAAATGGTACAAATATTGGCCTTATCGAAATGGTCTTAGTATGTAATCCTCTTGTTTAATGTCAAGAATACCAACTACGAATAAGTTAAAGACGACGTCCTTCGGTGCCTTTGCATCTCAAAGGCGGTGTAAGATTGTTTAGGCGGTTGTTAGGCCACTATTTGAAGTAGCCAATACGACGACAGGTCTATTGTTGTAGGTGTTACCTCTGGGATTGCTTTGCTACCAACATCACTACATCCTCTTGCGCAATGTAGCATTGGAGCCGCTTAAGCGGTATAAATAGTAGCTTTTAAGTTAGTGACGAGATGTAATTTATCTCCTGATGGCCAAAATTCGCACTATAAGGTAATCTACCATCACATTGCGCCATGAAGAATCAGTTATCATAAAACTAACTAGACGTTTACTGATTCATAATATATATATTTGTCACTACAAGGGTCACAGCTCAAATAACCAGGAAATTTGTTAAAACTCTAGGTAGATCCTTCTTGGATCCCCATAGTTAGGCAATCAGAATAGCAAGTGACTCATAGTCAACCTGGCAAACACTTCCTGGAGTCGTTTTGAATGGTTTAATAAGGGCAGCTTCAAATGTAGTGGAGTCTTCATCATAGTGAGAGCTACTATCAATTTCCACTTTCCCCGTCTTCTATCAATGAAGCAGTGCTAAAGTTGTAAATCCAAAATACGCTGGACCTGACCTATCAAGCACCTTCATTTCTTAGGGGTTTTCAAAGCTAGGGTGTTCAAAAAGGCGCCTTGTGTTCGTTCTTTATTCTCCTACTTCATTTCTGAGCCAATTCTTTCAGCAGATCTCCGACTAGCATACTCTCCAGTTTGAATTTTCCTTGTCGATGTCTAGGTTGAAATGCGCGTCTCACCAAAGCACAATATCGCATAACAATCGCACTAAGCAAAAGGTTAGGATAACTGCTTGATTTTGTACCTTGCATGGTAGACCACTTGCGTAAAGCCAAATCCAAGGGGCTCAAAAATCAACATCTGGTAAGGGTAGCACTTGCTTTTCCATCTCCGCCGTCGCTTTATCTTCTCAAAGTGGGTTTTACCTGTACATACTAATTTGGAAAAATACATGGAGATGGTTTCTTGAGGCCTGTCGGACCTTCATAAGATAGGGAAAGATACGATTATTGGGACTGTCATCTTGATCTTACAGTTTGGTTCTGACATCTAAGTCTTCTCTAATGACTGCAGTTTTCTCGAATGATATTTGCTAATATCTTTTCGCTAGGCAGTGAGTAAGGAGACACCACTGGATCTGGAGCAAATGGTTACATTTAAACAAATAAAGCTTAGCAAGTGTATGGACGAGGTCGACAGAAAGGAATTTTGTCCATTTTATGCCTGAAATTGAAATATCAAAGCAAAGTGGTCGTTTTGCAGTAGATCAAGGGGATTATTGTCACCACTTCACAATCAAACAAGCAGATAAGAAAAAGGTGCCGTAAAATATGCAAATAAGTTAGGTCAAACTCAGCCAAAACTTCTGAATAACAATAAAGGACGAACCACTATCAAAAGTACATTAGCTATTGAATAAGTTGCAAATTTTGACTGACACCACCAGAAGATTCGATTTCAAGTGGTTCCGTTGTTTGAAGAGGCTTGTAGCCATCTACCGCCTCTATGTTGACTGGTTCATTCTGTCCACTTTGTTTGTTTCCCCGAAAGTGGTGCCTTGGAGCTTTGAGTCCCTGCCCTCCGAACAATTTCTCAACGGTCACAGCGAAGAATGTCTGGAAGAGCACCACACCGCACATATCCCAGGCAAAAGCAATGGTGATGAACATCAGGTTGCCATGGTCATCCTCCACCCAACGTCCTGCGAATGGCGAATCCAACACGACACCAGCCTGCCAAAACCAAACACCCTGAAGCATTACAGCTCCAGTTCGGATGAACTGAAGCATTTGAGAATGTGGTCTGTGGAGCTCCAAAACGAGTGCCAGCGTCACCGAAATTGCCACATAGGAGGTGAGCATACGGGTCGCGACAGTTAAGTGTAAGTGGCCCCAAGCCTGAGATCTGGCCAGTATTCCAAGATTTGCAAAAGCCACTGCATGAGCCAGAAAATCAATACCCTCGGGAAGAACAATACGCAGACCACCGAAGATGTCAACCACAGCAGCAAGCATGAAGCTTGCGTAGATTGTGTCATAGGTGTAGTTTGCAGGACGCCCCAAGGTCTTTACTGTGATCGCCTCGACAACGACGCCCACAATGCAGGCGACCAACTTCACTAGACCTTCTATCAGTTTCCTAGAGCAGGAGTTGCACTTTCCGGGATAGGTGAGAGCTACCTCGGTGCGCCTGTCTAGTCGGTACCGAGCCCGGAGAATGGCGATGAACCACCAAGTGCCGAGGACGAAGAAGCAGCTTCCGAAGTAGACGTGGCTTGGTAGAAGCCCACTGTGGGATAGGTGAGTAGCCAGTGTGGCGCTCTGGTTTGAACCATGCTGGTCGTGTTCTCCCCCCATATCGCGCTGACAACTGCAATGGCAATATCGTCTCTGCTGCACCCAAACGTGGTAGCCATGGTGCACGCACTCACATGCGCACCAATCGGCGTGCGCTGCGAATGGGGACCAATGGGCAGCGCACTGTTAGTCTTATCGGATGAAAGCACAAAAGCGGAAGCAGAAGGCGATCAATAATCCCGGCGATGAAGGCGTTGCCAGTGCCACTCATTCCTTGACGACTACTAATCATCCACAATGAGTAGTGCGTAGTCTGTTTTCAAGCCCTCTTTGCAGATCATAAGTTGTTTCGTAGCATTTGATGACCATTACTGTAAGATCGGAAAGTGGAATTTTTATTCTAATTTTTTTTATTACAAAAATTTGACAAACTAAAGTAGTTTACGCGCACTTTCGGTCCAAAGAGGTGGAAAGACATTTCAGGCTAAAACTTTAGTCGACAGGTATGCTTTTCCCCTGGGGGGCGGGTTGGGGGCACAATAGCTTTATTGGAATGGGAGTCAATGGGGCAGTCTGTTTTTATACACATCACAATAACCGACACGAGAAATTACATGCTATAAAGTTTTTACTGCTTATCTCTCAAAAATATTCAGGTGTTTAGTTTATTTTTAAAACTGTAAATTTGACCTGCTGCAGTTTAAATTGAAGTCTTTTGGATAGCTTCCTTTAATGTTAGATAACTTGAGACCTCCCACTTTGCACAAATCCACACTGACGTGCTTAGGGTGATAGATGGTAGAGCCAGTGCTCTTCAGTTTCATGCGATGGCACAGTTGCGCAGTATGTCATCACATTGGATTTGCATAGCTTCGTTTGAGCTTGCGCCATTTGACGTGAAACAAAATGATTTTTAAGTGGATATGTTTTTGCTGCGGTGCAAAATTGTTAATTTGTGCTAACAAGCCTGATTACTCTACCATAGCTGTAAAGAGTGCGATTGAGAATGCAGAGAAAATGATCACAAACGATGTTGGAATTTGCGGATTTAATCTACCCTCCTGACTAGTAATCGTGGAACAAAATAGCCCTTTTATGCTAAATTTAATGTTAAATTATTTCTTTATGGCACAATATTTTTTGATTCCTATCTCAAACGTAGGAGAATAATGATTGGGGTCCACCCATGCCACCCATACCATTCCATGGATTTATAATAAAAATACCTGCATCCAGGCTCGCACGCCGTACGACTTCGCTGGGAGTGACTCAAATACTACATCTATCAGTTGAAGTGTCAGTCAAGTTAATGACGAAAATTTCAACCCTATTTAACAGATTGTAGTATAGAACGAAAAACTTTTTTCCATTGCGAATCCAATGGAGCATGAATGTCCACAAGAGGATCTTGCAAAAAAGCTGTGAAAATGTGATCGAAAATTAGGCGTTTTGTCTCATTGTGTAATGCCTTGTCTTGAATACACGCGATTGCCTCATGGTTATTCCAGCTAAGATTGAGTCTATTATATGGTGCATCTTGTTTTTACTCATGTTGTCAAATTTCTTACAGAAATTTCCAAAATATTGCTGCAAGGTGTGCACTATGGCGGCGCACTATGCATCGGATCTTCTTATAATTAGACCTTATGCTAATGTGTACAAGTGATTTTGTGAGCAAGAACACGATGAATATGTGATCATAACTACTCACACAACACGCAGAGCATGAAAAAGGTACCCTATTTATGTCCATAGTTATTGCTCTGCAACCCCAAAAGGGCGTGGCTATAAGTTTATCCTTGAGTAAAGCGATAAAGTTTTCCAACATAAGCATGGAGTTTCCTTAAAAGCCTGAACACAAGGCTTTCTAAATCGTACAAGGAAAGTACTATAAATGATGTCATCGCTTTAATTTTACATACCTCGAAGTGGAAGGAAGGGTTTGAAAGAGATTGGAAAGTAGAGTGTGCATTTCGGGTTTTGTACGAGCAACAATCCCCGCCACTTGCTGGAGTAGTTCGGCAGAAAGGAAGTAAATGAGATGTGGCCCAAGGGCTAGCCCACCTGGCTAATGCACAATGGTGGATACCCTAAGTGGCCCCTTTTACAGAAATTGAGAGTTAAACAAACCGCGTATCACACAGCCCCTCTCCACCTTTGAGCGTCACCGTCGGTACTCCCCTTGGTCAACCTCCCCCGTTAGACATCATAACGTAATCAGTGCTGTAAGGAAGCACACGCGAGCCAAACGCATTAGTCATCGAAGTTATATGCATTTGAGGCGATATTTGACCAAGACGTCACTGATCTCTCTTAGCAATTCTACTGGATATGTATGGGAACTGGATTCGAGGATGGGAAGGGGTTGGCAATCACGCATATTCATAGCTAGTGGTAGGAACACTGGCCCAAAAGTAGTCAGGCATCAAAGGTGAAGGTTGAAAGTAGTTCAGTGGGGATAGGGCTTCGTTCCTATTTCTCCTTGTCACTTCAGAGCTGGGCAACCATACCCCATTATCTAACTTCTTTCTAGCTAGCAGAGAAGTAGAGAAGGTATTGGGTTTCCGCATATTTGTCATATTTATCAAAGTATGGTAAGCAGCTTCATAACACAATTGTTCATAATGGTTCATGTCTAGTGTTGCTTGAATTGTTAGTATCCTTCCTGCAGAACACGAAAATGGGTAGGTGCCGGAAATAGACGTCATTTTCAACGATTCTATTAAGGAACGGTGCTGATTCTCCCACACGCTCTTCTCCTACCTCACTAAGATTTATCACCCAGCAGTACAAATCAGGTTAGATGGCCTTTAAGAGAGGGTACTCTCAAAGCTGCCAACAATGCAGCAACCCGAGATTCGCTGGAAGATGAAAGAAGACATAGTACTTAGGCGAAATATAAATCCTTAAACACAGTAGGGATTGGGACTACTGGCATAGTCCAGGGGTCAGCCGAACCGGTGAAGTTACAATGAAGGGGACACTAAGTGACCTTTTCCACAATCCAAGAGTTAAACAGCCAACTCATTACAAACTCAACTAAAAATCAAGCCCCTTGTACAAAATATACGTCTGTAAATACAAGTTACAAGTTATTTTAAGGGCTGGTGGGTGAAATTTTTGAATAGTCACAAATTAAATATTTTAGATAAAACAAACCAACCTTTTTTATTACTACTTAGGCCTAACGTCTAAGTGCAAAATTGTGAAAGTGTAAAATGCTAAGGATTGCGTAAAAACATGTGCGAAATTAGTTCAAACTGTCGTTCTATTGCATGTTTATATCAACCAAAATATGACCTTGACGCCGACGGAGAAGTTAAAGTGGAAGCGTTTGTTGCATCTGAATTGTAAACCAGAATTGTATTACTAAAAAACTGTCTAATCTAGGAGTACGAAAATGGATGAAACACTAAGACCTAAGGTAATTTAAAAAGTGTAATGAGTTTTCTTACTGAACAACTAAAAAGGTTTTCACAGGACCAGTTTTTTCATTATGTCTTTCATTTTAAAAAGTGGTTTGGCAAAAGCAAAAGCCCTGGCGTTAACTCTCTTTTTCGTAAAGTAAGTATAAGCTGTTGATTTCATGTTACCGAAAAGACTTGTTTGCGATGAGGTCTTAGCATAATTGAGAATTTCAGATATTAAAAATTTTGTATATATGTGACGTGTTGAAGTTGTTTTAGAAAAAGACATCATCCCTTATTGCATGTTTAATCTTGGTACTACATAGACTGGCTAATTTGCCAAAAATAGGTTGGTTGGAGGCTTACAAATCATTCGAATCCTGAAATGTAATTTTTCATTACTAAATTAGTTTGAGTGTCAATTTTTTATGAGGACTAAGATTTCGAATAAGAGCAGTGTTTATGACTTTTAACAACTATTGAAAAACCAATCCAAGCTGTTTTTGTGCCTTGGAATGTCAAATGAATTTTATTAAAAATTTTCTCGACTAGCTAAGTCCCAAAGTGATCATTTGTTATAGTGTGATGTTGCTTAGTCCAAAAGATTTATACGTTTCAATTTGCTAGTGTATATGCAACCTATTTGGTAAGAAAATCAGAAATCACTATTATGACTTATTATTGGAATAAGTTTGTCAAATTCGTTTGAGTTCATTGGCGCTTTGCTACATTTATACAGTTCCATTCAAAATAGTATACACCTATTTAGCTTTTAAGTTTATACTTTTTATGCATGAAATGTATCATATTTAACTTTTTGCCTAACTCATGCCTAATAGAATGGTACCATGTTTCAAAGCAAGGCCACCCTTCCAGACGGAACAATAGAAATAACAGATACGTTGCCAAAACAGGATTACTACAAAAGCCTTCGGCGAAATAGTGTCAGCTCACCTGGTTCTCAGTTTACGATCAACAATAGCACCAACGTGTACGATGCAACAAGTGGCTATAGAAAGTCAAAAGCAATTGAATACAAACCATCTGGAAAGCAAGTTCAATGTTCAGTTCTCATGCTGGAGGGTATCGAACAAATATACACCATTGACGTACGTTCATTTGTTCCTATGCTATTCAGTGCCTTCGGTATTTCCGTAAGCCTAAAGCAACTTTAGTTTTAGTTTTAAGTTGCCTTAGTTATTTTAGGACTAGTATTTTGACTTTCATATCTTCAGTACAGATGCTATCTATTTTAGCAATGCATTTTATTATGAAACAGGAAACTGCTCATCCATTTTAAATGAACGTGTAAGGCAAACTTAAGAATGCGCTCACGCTACAAAACATTAAACAAAGATTTGTCACAAAAAAGACCTGATAAATGAATTAGCTCATTGCGGTTAAATACACACCCTTAAGAAATTAGTATTCTTGGGATTTGCAATCACTTGCTTTTATTTTCATTTAGGAAGCATGTAATTGCTTTCTTATGACCACCATACAAGAACCCTGTCCCTTACAAAATTGTGAAGAAGCTTAAATTTTTCATATTAAAATAACTAGTGGAAAAATTAAAATCGTGTGCGCAAAAGCATTTTTTATTGCCAAATTTCCTATTTTCGATCAAAAACCGGGTTACAGTCATTACAATACCATGTTATTATCAAATATTAATGATAACGCTTGAATAAATAGTATTTGGATTCATTCATTACAGTTTATTAATGTCATTTTATAATCTGCCATTCTCTCACTTTTCATCCGCGAATCAAATGCGCTTCCATTTAGCTTCTCTGGTTTTTTACCATGAGGTTTCTCTCATTACTACTACTTAATCGTTTTGTGGTTCGTTAATTGCGACGGCAGAATTTAGGTGTGGCTGGATTATTATTTATTTGGGCTTGCATATCCTTAGATAACGTTTGAAACAAGAACTCTGACCTATTAGTTACATCTGTTTTTAAGTAAATGCTTGGCTATGATTTGAAAGCTTTTTGTAATTTTGACTGCTTTATTTATTTATTGTGACGTTCACAGCATGGGACGCTAGTGACCAAATAGCTAGCAGTCTATAATATTTTTTGCGGTTTCTCTCGTGTCTAATTTAAAAGGGCCATTCGTTCTGGATTTTGATCTAATTACACTTACAATATGTTTGGAAAATATCCTAAAATGGCTTAACAAACTCCTCAACCGTTTAACATTCCTTTGACCTCTAAACGACACTTCATTTGCTCGTTACCCTATCTGGTCGGTCATTTCCCTAATTCATAGATACTTTCAATCTATCTTGAAAGAGTATCCCAACTAGGACTTTATTTCCTGCTTCCATTGTTTTAAAAATATTTAATTGAAGCACATTTCAGAGGGGGAGAATGTAGATTTCGCTAAATGATTTCAAATTTTCCTTTTCACTGAATTGCACAAACTTGCAACGGGTTTTGCCTGCAGAAAAGTCCTATTTTAAGATGCACCAAAACAAATGCAACTCAAAACCTTGAAATTTGTTCACGTTGCATTTCCTTTTAGTCTGGTAAAATTTTCTGACTGGTTTTTCCACATAACTGTCATGCGTTAATGCTGCGTTTGCAGATTATACTCTGCAGGGAAGTAGTATAGTCGAGCAGCAAAGAAAGGCAGTACTTAACGACCTCAAGAAAGTTGAAGTTTGAGAGCACTAAAGACTACCAAGCTCCAGGGTATTTGCAGCGGGTGCGCTGCCGTGTATTGAAGAACCTCAGTCAGTACGTGTTTTTGTAGGTTCCTCAAAAGGGTACAGCGGTGCCAGCGTCACAGGAAGCCTTTGGGGTGCACTGCTGCCTTTTTTATTAAATGCAGCCAGCGCTCTTTCGTAGGATGTCACAAGACTTCTATTAGCATAATGAACCATAAAATGAGCACAATAAATTGGGGAGCCCTGTATCCGTCAGAGCTGAATGCACTCATTTTTTATTGTAAGGTTCTGCCTGCTCCTATTCACTTTACTGTGTCAGGTGATGCGGTCTTTTTTGCTCTGAATAAATACTCGTTTTAAAGACAATCTCTTGTATGTTTGACTCCGGCTCATTGCCTGAGTTATTCAGATTTATTAATCATTTTTTTAAAAGCGGTAGTCTTCGAGGCCGAAATAAGTTCATTCCTGATATTATATATAATATATATACATATATATATTATATGTATAATATATATTATATATATCTTTTCGCAAAATCAGAATGATTGCGCTGTTTGCGAGCGATGTCCACTCCGGTTGCATGAGTTGTTTCGTCAGCATCGTCTCAAACGAGGCCGAGCTGTACCTCCACCTTCTAGGTGCTGCAACACAGCACATGCACACATTTACGAGGGCGGAAGTCGTGAGCTATCTTGTGACCTGGTTTCCTTGAGTCTGCTTGCAGGTGCAGCGAGCAAAAAAAATTGGGAGGCTGATCATTCACCTCGAGTTAGCGCACCGCTAAGCATCACCTTTTACCTGCGGGCGGGCACGCAAATGTGCGTACGTGCGTGCGTGCGTGGGCACCCGCCTGCGTGCCTGTTCGTAGACTAGCAAGCATCTCAGATGAGTCATCAATGTCGTGTTCTCCAAGGGGGGCTTCCTCTGCCTCCACTGCTCTCGCAGACACTCAAATCACCTCTGTGCTTCTCGCTACGTGCCTATGTACACCCAACAGATTGTGAAACGAAATTTGTGCGCCGCCGCGTTAATTCACTGCCAACCTGCTGCCAGAGGCACCACTAGACGCATTTTAGCATTTTAGCCAAAACAACCTAAATAAGCGATGGGATTGCCCAAATTCCAGCATCCACGTTTAAGCATGAAAAGTGCCTTAAGTAATGTGCAGACTACTCTGGACTTGGTTCCCTACCTGCAATTTTTAGAAATGCAGTAATTTACAAATTACCCGACGATGTCCTAGTTTGTAGGGTGTGCTATTGTTCAGTCTATTAAGTAGTATTTTACAATTTGAACATGAGGCTTCAGATCTGTATCACCTTCATCCTTTGATGCACTTTGAGTTTAAACTAGCCTCTCTACTTTGCGGTTTTGGCGACCAGTCCGCTTTTGGAATCCGCCGTAATAGCACTTTTCTTCATCGTAAAGCCAGTGGCAAGGCACGTAGTTTTTACACGGATTCTTCAACTATAAATTCAATCAAAATTACTAGGGGTAATTTTCTCACTCAGCATATTTTTTAATACAAAAAAATAACAAATTTATTTGTTCTGGCATTCGTCGTGGTAAGTTTTAAGCATGAATGGGAAAATTTTCTGGCAAATCTACAGTCGATTGTGCCAATTACTTTTTTAGCATCTTTAACCTTACTGTTGCTATGGCCTACACCAAACAGCCATTTTGTGTCCTGCTAAAGTGACTCCCAATTAGATAAACATGAGTGCACTCAAAATGACATAATTTGGCAATCTACGTTACAACTTTTTAAGAACATGGATTGAGTTAGCTTCTAGCATATACTTTCAGGATGCTTGTCATGCATCTTATAATTGGTTGCAATGGGCATTGTGTGATTTAGCATTTTATAGGAAAAAATCCATAGAACATTGTTGTATATATCGCCGTCATGGTAACTAGAAGCTTTTCAAAATAGGCGTAATTACACTCCAAAGCTGCAAGTAGAAAGCAGTGTTGTAGAGCTAGTTTAGATTGCCAGATAAATCTCATACGGTCCAAAGCCGTTCTCTGGAAACATCTTAGAGGCTTCATGCTGTCCAACTGGCTGATATGCATTTCAGAAAGCCAGAATTGCAAGAAGAAGCAAGTGTTGTGGACTAGTAAAAGACATTATTTGTATGGTCTGGATCACTTCAGTCTTTCATTCGAAAATCATTGAAGCAGTGTGTCAAAAATTGCGAGAACTATCAAAATTTGAATGCATACTAATTCAAGCAGAACGTCTTATGAGGGCTTACTATTATTTACTGATAACGCTACGGGCCCTCTTTCTTGCTTAAAACCTCGTCCACATCTCTACGGTGTAATAACATTTGATGCTTTCAAGATTGTAATAGGTTGCTCTATTTTTACGAAAACTTCAAACACATGTATGTCTGCAAAGTTAAGAATATCATTGGCAATGCAAATGTTGAGCCTCTTCTTCTCACTCATCTTAACAAGATTCCTTAGAAACCTTTTTATCAAAAAATTAGGACCTAGTATTCGATATTTGCCTGTTTATAATTAAAATAGATGGGCATGAAATTACTCCTCTTCTAATAGCACGTATTTATCAAAGTGTTCATTGGCGCAGTTTGTTTGCTAAAGCCCCTCTCTCAGAATAACTTCAACCGACCGTATAAAGTGCTATCATTGCACCTCATGTTGATTTTTTTTTTTTTTGGTTTTAGAAACATTTTTATGGTATTCACCTCTTCAAATTGATATGCGAGAAATTGGAGCTAACGGAAACCGAGTATTTCGGCCTCACTTATCGCGGAAACCAAAATGTAGACGTAAGTCTGCCTAGTTTTGTAAGTCTTACAACGGCCCTTTGCAAGGCTCATCTAGTGGCCCACAGGAATAAGTGAAGTCACTGTTCTCAAAGCAGAATCCCTTCATTTCATGATTCGGTTTTCGGGATTTCGTGTGTGTGAGTGCCGAATGGATAGTTCGATACTTAGGAATCTTGAGAGGCCGTAAAACTGCTACAATCAGTTTCGCAAATGCCTACTTTTTATAACTTCTCTACAGATTATTTCAAAAAACCTATGGTCCTTAAATGAAATATTTTAAAAGTAATAATTGGTTAAGTTACTGAGTTGCTGTTTGGTATATGTGCCTTCTCATCACACTTTATTAAAACGGCTTTGATGGAAGATTTACAATCATCTCGTGAAAGATGGTGTCCAGGGTGGTTATCGTAACCATTTATAGCAGTGAATTGAATATTTATAACTGTTGTTTGTATTCGTCAAAATTAGGCGTGGCATCCCATTTCTCCATCTTTCCTGATTGGTTTCTGCGCCTTAAGGCAGGATGAAACCAGTGATATTGGCTTCCCAACTTTAACATTTTGTCAAAACCCGCTCTCTTTCGACTCATACAGCTTAGATCATTTAGGATGCCCCAAAGTAAATCTATTAAAGGCAAATTGCCCGTAATGAAACTCCTATACAGGCTAGTGAAGCTAGAGTGCGTCTTATTCACCAAATGATGTGATTAAAAAATTATACATTCGGCAAAAAAGAAGTTTCCTAAGCCAAAGATTATCTTGTAACTTGAAAAACCACTGATTTGGGTACATTAGACAGGGTAAGTTCTTCGCACAGAAGTCACGTGGGGTCGCACAGGCGATGGCAAGTAGTCTACTTTTTCTTACATCTTAAATGAATCTCTCCGGCACTCATAACTCTCGAGGAACAGATTCGAAAATGCTTTGCAACTATTTAATGCTCCACCCTTTCCTGAACAGGCCCGGACTTTGTCACTCCTTTGGTTACTTCCAGTGATAAAATTTCTGCCAATGAGGGGTCTTCACCGCTTAGTATACATGCTTTTTTTGGTTAAAATGTCTAAATGCAAGCACAAACCTTAGGAATGTTGCTCAAGATAAAATTTTGTCGCAAAGCATTAAATTAAATTTCGTTTTAAGATTTAGGCTCGATTTGAAAAATGTAATTAATATTTCTTAATGTATGCATAATTTGCCGTTCAGTAGTGATTTGAAATGGTTTCCATTAAAGTAGGCTTTTTTGTCAACTTAGGCAAGGCAAAAATGTGTGCCGCACAGGTCTCACTGAAACCCTAAGACTCACTTTCAGTAAGGCTGATGGTGTTCTTCTTTCCACTGGGTGTGCCGCAAGCGAAACTGCTCCATGCTTACCATGAACCCACAAGAAGGCCGGTGCAAAATAAATCTGCTTCACTAATCTCATCCTCTTTGGAAACCAATAAGACGTTTTTGGCTATAAGGCTAAAATTCCGAATTCACTATCGAAAGCAAATATTTTAAATTAAGTGGCAATTTTTATGGGACCAATGTGAAGTAAAGATTAGTGAAACTGTTCTCCTGTCAATAACATTAAGAACCAGTTGTCGCCCATTCTGATTTCTTGTAAAAACATCATCCAAATCAGATTGTCAGAATGTCATCTGATATTTTGGGAATAATTTGTGCGCCACACGGAGTTTGACCTGCTTGTGAGGTGGTGTCCCTTAGACGATAGCTGTTAGAGCTTCGTCCACATTTCTGTTTGCGATGCTGTTCTCCTCAAGCCATCAAAATTGACTTAAATTTCTCACAGTTCTGCCATATGTGACTCCTGTATGCTAGCTTACGTGCTGCCAAGCTAAACTTTTTCTTCACTTTTGCCAGTAGGGCCTTTAACCCGCGTGTGCTTTGCGTCATATTCTATTGCACAGATTTCATTTTCATTCACTTCTTTGATAGAGTTTAGTTACTGGATTGTTGATTCTTTCCTTCTGTTCACCCGAAGTTGTGCAACCTTCCCTATTTCATAAATACTTGTTAAAACCAATTCTTTCATTTGTAAGTTGCTCTAAACACTTTCTAGAAATATACTGAAAACCTTGCGCATGCTTAATTCATTTTTTATTGCAAGATACTGGGTGTCCAATCTGAAACCACCATGGTAAAGGATAATTTATGTTAAGTCAAATCTATATTTGGCCCATTCTATTTGCTTTTTGTTGTTTTGACCTAATTTAGCTTTGTCACTAAACTACAGTTTCATTTCTTACATATGCTCAGTAAAAGCGATAGGTCATTTCCCATACATAATAATGTTCAAGCAATTCATTTGGTTATGGTACTGAAAAGTCCACTACCAAACTATAAAACTGTAGTTTTGATTAAGAGCAATATTTTGTTATGTACTAGATTGGGATCTCAATATGCTAGTGTCAAATTTACCTCACTAGGCAATGCTGTTTATTAAACCGCTTCTGCCACATTTCAGTGTGCCTTCAGTCTCAAAAGCGGCAGTTGTTTTGTAACTATATGAATACTTTCGCGGGCCCACCATCTGGTTGTGAGTTAGATGAATTGATGGTGAATCTCCGAAAAATATGGGTTACACAAACTGCTTGCCTGGAAGTGCACCCTTTTTTTATGAGCATCCTTGGCTCAACACCAAATACTTGTTGCCATAGAAATAACAATAGGTGTCAGGATACTCATTTGTTTCAACCGTCTCTTCGTAAAATGCTGCAGAAAGGAAATTGAATGGATTTTTCTCATTAATAGATGTGGCTGAAAATGGATGAAAAGATTACGAAACAGCTTGAAAGTACGTTTTTGCTTATCTTTTATTGTATATCACTGTAAATACAAGCGGACTGTGTAATGGGGGTGACACTATGTTCTAGCCAGCTGATGAGTGGAATATCAGGGTGTTTCTTCGGAAGACTGCGTTGACCCATCTAGGAATGATGTAGATGCGTAGATATTTATGATTGGTTAAGAAGAGAACTTGCAATGAGGAGTAAAATGTTGGGCAAATTCAAGTAACTCAGTTGTGGTATGCAACAGTGAATGGTAAATTTGATGATAATTTTTTCAGATATGTAAGTGATTGCTACTCTAAAAAACCATAATACTGTTCCACAATTACTAAGTCTACTAAAATAAGTTGAATTGGAAACATAATCGGTCACAATTACTTTAATTAAAAGAGGAAATTTTCATCCTTAAATGTGGAGAACATCTAATAAATTTGAAACATGAGATAATCTATCACTTTCATGGTAAGGATTCACATAGGTAAACTACTGCCATTTTCACAGGGCTCGTGTGTTCCAATGTTATGGAAATTAAAATAAACCTTTGTTGCTGTGATTTTAAATATTGGGTGAAACGGGCAACATCCCAACTAATAATTTAATACCAATTTGTAATTTGCATTCTAGGAAACCCATGGAAATTCGAATTCCGGTTCAAATTCTATCCGGCTCATCCTGAATATCTGAAAGATGATCTCACGCGGTACTTCCTGTGTCTGCAAATTAGGCAAGACATCATATGTGGCCAGTAGGTCAAAATACCTTCTGTTTTTTACAACCATTTGATTATAAAATCATCTCTTGTACTTGTTTGAATGTGTGGAAGCCACTACCACTTTCCTTTTCACTGTTAAAGTCATGATTTTTACTATCCTGGAATTACAAATCAATTAGGTCTTCCGATCCCTTTGTGGTTGACTCGGACAAGGTGTAACTCCTCGCCTAAGGCCGAATAAATGCACCATAGATTTCGTCAAAACAACACGTCCGTGTCACATATTTGCTGGAACAAGTAGCCCACCCGATAACTACCATCGCCCCGACTGTGCAGCCTGAGGAGGCTCTCGTGCGACTGTTCCTGGCGAAGAAGAGTGGGTCTATAGGAAAACATTACCTTGCAAGGTCACTCACTACACCCCTATCAATTATGTGAGAAAACATAGCCTAATTTATCACCGCTTTACCATTCTCAGTACTCCACGATTGCATAATGCAAACCTGTGAGTGATGTAAATTTTGTCTTACACAAAAGGCTTTTCTCGCGTTTTTCAGCATAAGCACCCGCTACCTATCGACGTGAGGTCATTAGGATTGTAGAGCACCTTCAAACAACTTTTTGTGCTTGCAAGAAAGAACTTAAATTCCTTGGCTTTAGCGGTGGGATAATATAGCCATTCCTTGGGTACGACAAAATAATCCTCAACCATCAACTAGATTTTAGGAATTGACATTCTGGGCTCAATACCACGCAGACGCCTCACTCCTTGTATGAGTAAACGTCGCTAAATCACGCGATAGCGAGTCGTGTCAAGAGTCGGCAGTCTTTTAGCAGTTGCAATAGCCGAAGGCGCAACATCGGTGATACATCTCGACGAGCACTGATAAACATCGCATGGTCTTAAAAAGGTCCTCTTTAGGGTTTATTTTCTTTTCTGTGCTTGAATGTGCGACTGTAATTGAGATAAAGGTCCACATTATGCCCGAATCAGTATGTTGTTTGTAGACAATTCCACAAATTATTTGATGTTAGTTTTAAACATGATTGACCTCTTGTCCACTCAGTAAAATATTATAACGACAACTCTGTATATCCGCATGTCTGTTTTACCACCTCATGATCAGAAAGTCTTCTTCATCATGTTTTACGGCTTAGTACGCCTTTAAATTCTCATTTTTCTCTAAAAACTTATTCCTATTTTATCAGAAAAATAAATTGGTTCTTTGTAGTTTAAAAAGACCTGTCGATCTTTCTGCCTCTAACCTGCACAATGCCTCCTTACAAGCACTCTGGTTCCATAATTACTTAGTCAAAAATAATCCACGCCAGTGCTGTGATGCAGAGGTACATTTAACCAGTTATTAGTATTGTTTTTAAAATTAGGTTGTTTGTGAATGATCCGGAGGCGGCAATGCATAACACCCAGGACCTTTTTTCCTTAGTACATCTCTTGGACGGTTCTCACAATGCATGATGGTTTAATTAATTCATTGCCTTTAAAGAGATGCAAATGAATTTTCTTGTGCTTCAGTGAGTTCAGCATGGCGGCTGCGAAACACTTTCCTAAAAAGGTGCCTTAGATTCCGATGGTGGAGACCTCTGGAGGTAGAAGAATAGATGTGACCAGTAATTCCATACTGGGATGTAATGGTTAAAAGGTTTAAAAGCTATTGGTCATCATCTCCTCACCTCCTGAAAGTATCCATTGCTGCCCTGGTTTTAACGCATTCTATAGCATCGACTACTTTTGGGAGATTTACAGGGTATTTCGTATGTGATCACTATATAAGGAAAGTTCAGTCTTAACAGGAGCTGGTAATGGATGTATTTTAAATTTATGAAAGAAATTGGCGCCATTAAATGCTTATTTTAATGTCTCACACACTTTTAGGTTTTATTATGTGGGAAAAATGATGCAAGCGAGTCAGGGGGTCGCCTTTACTAGACAGAAATTTCGAGAAACGCTCAAAACCTGAGTGTGTATTTCTTTGCCTGAATGTCCGGAGTAAAAATTATTCGAATATCCTAATTAAACTTTTTCTTTTCGTTTTAGACTACCATGCTCTTTCAACACCTACGTGATTCTTGGTGCCTATGTTATTCAATCAGAGGCAGGTGATTGGGACTCCGAGGTCCATGAAGGCATCGAATACCTCTATAATGTGCCCTTTGCACCCAAAAATCTTCAAACACCTGAAATGCTTATACGGATAGCCGAACTTCACCAAAAACTAAAGTAAACAGCCTATTTGACCTTTTCGGGGATGATTAGATTACCTTGATGGTATCTTAACAAAACTTGCTGAGCAAAATACATCACTGCTTAAAGCACTCCATCAATTCCAGGCATATTCTAGTCTACAAAATATCGCTTACTCAAATCCTGAAGGCTAACCTTACGTCAATAAAGCCTATTTTACGACACATGGTGTCTGATTGAAATACAACCAGAAGGAAAAGGTAAAGTCCCTCAATGCGTCACATGACTTGCATGGAGCTGGTGAGAAGTTCCCAAAACTGAGGTTTTATTTGAGCCTGGCTTCCAAATGCGTTTACAGCCGTAGGTACTCCTCAGATGGAGAAGCACGTTTAGTCACTTTGAGTAAACTTGATTTGAGCATAAATGTGCCAATGCTTCATTGTTGGATTGAGGGTATGTAGTTTACCATGGTGTTTAGAAATCACTGACGGTGATTATCCATTAGCTAGGTGATTACTTTAAATAGAAGTGATATTTTAGATTCTTACATAACTTTACAAAGATTTTGACGTTTTTTTCTTTATCTTATGGTGAACTTTCACACTAATTAGGGTTAACACAAAAGCTTGAATGACGGAGGAAGGTAATTTTTATTTTTAAAATGTAGAAAGTGCATCGTTTGTGAACTCATGATTCTCCACTCTTTAAATGATAGCAACCAAAAAAATAATTGGTGTTTTATTTGCTGGTTCCACTATATACTTGATATCTTTTGATATTTTTCAAATTACTTGCAGAAAATTTTTGCTCTCAAAGTTACTTTATAAATATGCGTTGGGTAAATAGGAGCATCATTCTTTAAAAAATATTCCGTGTATTGTGCAGTGAATGTCACTTTGACGAGTGATTTAGAAATTGGAATAGAAAAAATAGCACTGTTAGGGCCCCAGACTAACACAACAAAAAGTAGTGCGCGTTGAAACTTATGTTGACCTTGCTGACTAGATTCTATCCACACTTTCCGCTAACCAGGCAGCGCAAGGCGCAGTCGAAACATAACACCGCCTCGGTTTCTGGCAGGCATGCATGTGCGCTGCGGTTTCGGTGTTGAAATTTCCCTAAGCCATCCGACGTTAAGCCAGAAGGCGAATGCACACTTCCGCCCCGTCCTAAATCATCGTAGCTAAAGGGCAACTGGTGAAGGCTAGAGATGTAAGAGTATCGAGCAATTAAAAGGTTTCTTAAATACGACTTGGGTGGTGGCAATATGAAGCGAATGACTCCGTTGTAAACACATAAATTGGAGTGTCATATACTTTCATTATAATAAGTGACTCTCAGTTTATTTTAATACCTTAAAAAGCGGATAAACGGCTGCTGCTTAAATTCGAAAATAGCGGTTTACGGCAACTTCTATGAGGTTGTAAATGTAGACTTATAGTAGCTAAATGCGCAATCGAGGTGTCTGGGTAGTAAAGATGCCCGAACAAATGCTTCGCATAAAAGTTGGTTATTTGGGTAGCTCCTGTTCATGTAAAAGCACTGACGAAACGTCCCCTGACATCACTGCTACCCAAATGTGCCAAGTTAACTTTCCCATTTATTGGCATTTCCAATGCTTTTAATTGATCACATAAAAAACGCGTTGGTAATCTTTAAACACCTTCTCATATGACATCGTTTCCATCCATAATCAATATGACTCAAATATTCAGCTAAGAGGAAAAGGAAAGTCAATTTTAATATGAAAGAATGCTTTGTAAGTGATCCGATGTACAGATTAAAACATAACTCCCCTCCCAGAATAGCAACTGTGATATTCTTCTAAATACTTTTAAAACAATTATCCATCAACACATGACTAAAGATATGGTGTATTTTATTTTTCCTTTCAGAGGTCGAACACCCGAGCAGGCAGACCGCATGTTCCTTGAAAACGCTCGACGTATGGCTCTTTACGGGGTTCATCTTCACCGTGTCAAGGCATGAAAAACGTGTTTATTTTGCTTTTTGTAGTTTGCCACTTATGCTTTATTAACCTTTACGTTCCAGGTGGATCCTACGACATGCACTGCAAGTGGTAACTTTGCATTAGCACTAAGATAACTGACAATCACAGTCTGGAGTGAACCGTAGGGCCTGCATTAGAAAGTGTTCAACTTCAAGCACTCTCTACAAGTGTCACTTGTCATGGTACCCGCATTCAAACCCCCCCCCCCCATTTTCCGCCTTTGAATAGTCTTAGAAGTATTCATTGGTAGAGGTACATGCCATTACGAATAATAGTGGGTGTGAACGCTTAATTTGCACTAAAATTTGAACTGATTTTAGCATTGAATTTTATGAAAAGTCTTACTTATTAGAGAGTGGTGAAAATGCTTAGCACACATTACAGTAGACACCGACATGAGTTCAAGGTTTTATGTCATACTTAAATGCACCATTTTCTAGGTATTTGGATTGGTATTTTATGGCTCCTCCCGACAGTTTAAGACACACTGACATATCAAAGCAATTGCGACAAAGGATTCAGGTCTATTCTTCAAGAAATACACCTTGTCTCTACCAGTTAACGATACTTTCTTTTCACTTCAATCAAATTTTAAAGCCGTGTTCGTGTATTACACAAATCTGCGCACAAATTTTAAGTCAGTTTTAAATTTATTCTTTTGTCCTACTGGTTTATCTTCAATAGAAACCATATAACAATTCTGCATCCCCTGATCTGTAATGTATTTTCTGTGTTTTGGTTCCAAGCAATGGCACTAATATCTGAAAGCTCTTTTCAACGTATGAGTACCTTAATGGTTGACACATGTCATCTATTTGCTGGCGCAGATTTGGTAACAGACAAATAAACCGCCAAACATTAGTTGTGGGCAAATATTACGAGAAAAGGAGTGATCTCAAATAGATCTTCTCTTCTTTGATGACAAGTAAAGTGCGACTGCGCAAGCCACATTTCAAGTGAGCAAAGGCAAAGGTCAGAATATGTGGCCTTCGTTTAAATTCGATCTCTCCCTCAAGGTGCAGTGTATTTTAGTCAAGCATTCTGTTCCCAATGCTCGCAATTTGCTCAAAGTTTAGTTTTTTGAAACGATTATGGGGACTTGCATCCGATATTCTTTTGTCAACATTAAGAAAATAAGGTAGATATATTTCACCTGAGTCACCTACAAAAATGGCGTTGTTGGATAGTCTCAGATCTGAGTGACTTTTGTCAAGATCTAACATCACACTTCTATCTTCCTGTGGAGGCTTGGCTATTCTGCACGTTTTTATCTCCTTAATTGCTTGCACAGGGTGTATAAGTCTTATTTCGATGAACACAAGAACAGCAACAGCAGCTTGGATATGGACGTTTCCGCACGGTCCATTAGACTGCGATCACAGTAGCCTACCCAAGCGACGTATTATCATTCGGCATTGTAATCAGTAACAAGTGTCCAATTTCAACTAAATTTGTTCAAAATAATTTGGAAGTGCAGGAGAAATAGTGAGCAATTCGTACACCATTTAGAGCGTCACCGGTGATGACCTTTCCCTGGGAGTGTACCATGCGGGAGTGCTGGTATATCGCGGTCGCCTCCGCATGCAGCGGTACACGTGGGCGCGCATCGTGGAGCTCTCCTACAGGGGCAAGGACTTCATCATGGTGGTGCGCCCCGTGATCTTTGACGAATACATTGAGTCGCCAAGCGGTGGCGCGAGACGCAGAACCAGCGTTTCTTCAATTAAGGGAAGCCTTAGCGGCAACGAAATCTCCTCCATTGAGCGTGGCACCGCCAAACAACGCTCCCGCTCCGCCAAGCCCGCGTCAGTTGCGCAGCGTAACAAGACCCTCACCTTCAAGTGTCTCAACGGTGAACTCGCCAAGCGACTCTATAATGTCGTCATCGACCACCACACCTTCTTTAGGTGAGCACACAATCAAGGCGTGATCCGTTAGCCTACGTCTCTTTTAACAAGAAAGCTACGATAAAGTTTAGTATAGCTATTTTTATGCAGATGTTGAAAGTACTGACGAGACTGGGGCGTGAGTCTACATCCAATCTATTCAATGCATTTACTAAATTAAACATTGATTTCGTTGAGCACTTATAAGTGCATATGCACTCGTTGTTTTCGCAACCTAGACCTTACTTTTGCTCATTCTAAATGAACTTTTGCTAGGAAAATATTTCTCTATTCCGCCTTATTGACTAACGGCAGCTAGGAGTAGGCCGCTTTTGGATAAACTTAGAGTTTTATCCCTTAACGGCCTTCCATCGAAATTCACAATTAAATGTGTATTTTAGGGTCCTTCAGAACGGTTTCGGAGTTGATGCTTTTTGCCAATACTATTGAATTATCCTAGTCACTTTTTAGCTTTAAATCATCAAGGTTTAAAGTTGGACCCAAGTTTTGGTTTTTAGATTTTGGCACCCTCGATAGTAGATAACAAGTCTGTATTTACTCAATCTTTATAATTTATTACGTAGGTACGAGTGAGCATAGTACTTATTTTTAGTGTCGATCTTTTAAGGTGTTTATTTGGTGCGTAACAGCGACATGGGACCGTAAATAACTTTTACTGCATAGACTTCGAGAAGGTGGCAATTCAAGACGGCTAAATTTGCAGCCCGGTTTCGGCACCAGAAAGTATCACTATAACAGTCGACCCCAGATCTTCGAAGACAACGAATCGGGAGTTTGGACGCTTAACAGGGACGGAGGGCTTCCTCCCACTGGCAGCATTCGTCGTGTCGCCGCTCAGCGAAGGCCGGAGCAGTATGGTCAGCCTTTGTTGTTGTATCGAAAAAACTTTCGCCCCCTCAGTTACTTGGGTCCAGTGCATCACTTTCAAGGGCCGGGTTACGAGTGCATTAAGAACCGACTGTAAACGTTAGCAATACCTTACGAAATCTCCCTTAGTTCAATTAATTCAAAAGGTCATTGTTTGATCAGTTGAGTTATTTCTGCCTGTTGGATGGATAGACATCTGGACAGATAGTTTAGAAGTCTTGTCTACAACAATCTTTCAATGCTTTGAATGCCCTCATGAGCATTTCATTTTTTCAACGTAAGCATTTTAAGTCTAAAACAACTTTTCCCTTGCCATCGAAGGGATCTATTATAACTATCTTTAAAAAGTCATCATAGGATTAGGAATGGTATAATCTGACTGAATAAAGCCGTGGATAGTACTTTGGGCCCGTGTTACTGGAGAGAGAATTTTCCCCCAAAAAACTACTCACTTAGGACCCCTATCACGAAGGGGAGGGCTTTCCATCTTTATATAATGGCTGAACGCACAATTTCGGTGATTAGTATAAATTTTGTGGCATATTTCAACCATTCTATGCGCGTTAGGTGATTTTTGAGTCAAATACGTGCCTGGAGGAAAGCATACGTGCAATATCTGAGAGCTTTTGAACTGCTTCAATCTGAAACCGACCTTATAAGTAAGTAATTAACATTTTTCATTCTTTTAGCCAAATCCCTTGTCACTTTGATGACTCCAGTTGCATCTAGAAAAGGTGGGTTATTATTATCTATCGCGTTTTTAGCTTTCCGTATCATGAGCCAATCTTAGCAAACCCGTTAAAACTACTCACAGGCTTTAATAAGTCGTAATACTTTGCCTTGAAAATTTTCTGTACTCTGTAACAACCTCATTAGTCTACATCGGCCACAATCTTATTATGCAAATCACTCAATAAATGCAAATATAAGCACGGGCGGCATGTCTTAAATGTCACGCCTTCACCCCTATCAAGACTGACACCTTTCTGTGGGTAATCAATAGCACTGACTCTTTGAAATACCTCTCAAACAATTTGAATCATACCAAAAGGCATTTAGGTAGTATTAACCGTGTTTTTTGAGAAGGAACAGGTTTCCGAGCGCCCTGTGCGAGCATAGAAGACGCTGATAGCATAAGGAATGGCTATCAGGGTGGCGCGAACACAATTGGACCCCACGAGTCGTCAGTGTTGATGGAGGAGTCCTACGCACCGGTCAAGTCATCCCACCCCGCTCCCGGCAGCTCTGTCAAGGCGCCTGCGGACTGGACGCTTTCGTCGGAACGCCCGCCCCAGCAGTTCCGTCAGATGGCCCGGCCACCGAATGTGACTCCACGGATGCCGCGACCCGAACTCAGCCGCCAGCACTGGCAGATGTCGCCCGCTGATTGCACACAGGGTCTCGGCATGGACTTCTACGGCACTGACGTGGCTACCATGATGGACGCTGGATGGCAGGTGAGCCATCATGCTATTTGAATTTCCCCTTTGTAACGCAAAATTACCTCCTGATTTCCTGAATATGCCTCGAATTTATATGGCACAACTATTGAAGAACAAAATTCACAGTTGTCTCCTGCAATTTGATTGAACTACCAGAATTAAGCACCTTATTATACACACATATTTGTTGACACCTATAAAAGCTGGATGTTTTCATTTTTATAATTTTTGTTGGGCTTGACAGCTTTCAAATAACCACCAATTTACTCAACTAACGAATACACATGTCATTAAAAGCATGCGAACTAGAGTGGAACGGAAGTTATTGGGAGTCCATATCATCAAGAAGTACTGACTCCAATGAATATGATTCCTGATTAATTGGGAACAAGTAGCGCTCTTTCCGTGAACTAAGTGACAGTGTACCTGTGGGAAAGTGTCGCCGCAGGGCTGACACCACATAAAAAACAGGTCTTTCGTAGGTGCACAACCCTATAGCTAATCCTTTCTGCACATGTTTAGTTATAATTTTGAAATAATTCAATTTCAGTTATTTTTCGAAACTTAAAGTTCATTTTCCTTGCTGAGAGAATTTTGAAAGGCATTAGCCTTCTTTTTATATCGCTGTTTATTTGGCCAGCAAAATGGTTAGATTTAACACGTCTATCATACCTTTTTCCATGTTATTGATTCAGTCACCTTGCTGTTCTTACTCTATGGGTCTCTTTTGCCACCAGTACACTCAGCCTGCTGAATTTTCAGAGTGACCTTGGGTAATGCCATTTCTTCTCTTTTCAGGGAAGTCGTACAAATAGAGGGATCAAGGGACCAGGCGCCTATTACTACGAAGTGAGTGTTCTTGAAGATGGCGATGTTCGTGTTGGCTGGTCGACAAATGACGCTTCCCTGATGCTTGGAATGGACTCACACGGATACGGTTATGGTGCTGCCGAAAATGGTAATCACTCCCTTAATAGGTTATTCCTTTGAATTCGCCTAATTATGCTATCTAATGAGGTTTGTATGTGTGCGAGACTTGGCTTCTTTTGAGGTTTCAACCGGAAAATCTGTAGAAAGACTTCGGATCAGACCTCTTTATTGCTGAAATGTTTGGGCGAGCACAGAAATACGGCATATAAATAAGATCCTGAAGGCTAGTCAGTAAAAACCGCCTAAGTCCACGTCGCTCAGTTGTGTTAATCACTCATATTCATACTAATTGTTGGCCGTGATCCAATTGTGAGTATTAGTTCACTTAACGTGTATCGAAACTTAATCTGTAGCAACCAGGAAGGAGTACGTAAGACTGCAATTTCTGGAATGCACAGAAAGTTGCAACAAAAATGAAGGCTTTTAAAAAATCAAAAAAGACCGTTTTATAAGGTTTAGGCCTTCCAGCCGAAACGCTTTAGTCTAAGCCAATGATGTGTGAATGATATCAATTTTCAGTATCTTTAATGAGAAGTAAAAAATATTTTTTTTAACACTGGGCTATTGCTTCTGCATGAACTTCTTGGGATGCAGGCACGACTACTATAGCAGTTGAAAAGGGTCTAGGTTTAGAGGCATAAACCGTGGCTTAAAATTGCAGTCATTATCTTAAAGAGTTGCTCTAAACGCGTTGGCTTTAACCTGAATCGGTATTTTGTCCTGCCCTAGGGGAAGGCTCTTCCGTAAAGCAGTCGGCAATGGGGAGACTCGTGCATAACGGGAAGGTGCATGAGATGGGTTTTCCGGCCTCCGTCTCTGACGTGATTGGTTGCTTCCTCCAACTGCAGAAGAATCCCAACGGAGACGGTTTGGAGGGCAATGTGATGTGGTCGCACAACGGCCAACTGGTCACCTCTCCTCACGCCAATATTGTGTGCATTCCTCCCGAAATCGCCACTGATTCGGCCTTTTTCCCAAGCAAGTGAATTTCTCCTGCCCTCCATTCAGCTACAAAACCCATAAGGTCGACTAATCGCCATCGATGACTCTGTGTACCTTGTAGGCGTGAGAACACCGTCATTTACAACTAAGATCTAGCTGAGCCAAAAGCATGACTCAAAGCTCATATTAGTTTGATTATTGCCTACGGAGAGGTTCTGTATGAATTTAAATAACCCATGTAGAGAATGTATGGGGTGGTGAAGTCCTGCATAAAACTCTAAGGAGACATAAGGTTTAGCTTTTTCCACCGCTCCTTCGCCCATACATCGAACAACTGTAAGTAAAGCACTTTACTGCACTTTTAATAGAGGTCAGTTCTTTAAAGCTCTCCCTCAATTGAATCGTGGTAAAAATTAAAGTCCCCTTTGCACTAGCAACTAAAGGCAGACTAATGCTCCAGTTTTGTGAGACATAATCATTTTGAATAGGTGAATTGCTAAACCATAGTTGGATATTAATTTCGGCACAAGCGCAGCCTGTTAGGTCAACAGTCAGTGATTGTACATTCAATGAATCACATCCTAAATAAACCTCAAAATGAACGCTTGACCGTTTTGTTAAAGTTATTTTAGGTTGAATTGGTATATAAGATTACAGGTACTTGAATGTATCCCAATATGCTTCTACCAATGCAGGACCCAAAACCACTTTCGGACTGCGTTAGCGCAAGGCACAGGTGCTATTAAAGCAGTTATTTGAGCATTCAATTTACTCTTGAAAATGGGAAAATTTTGGTGGGCGTTAATAAAAGAATTTGCGCATGATTGGAGAGATGGAAGGTTAGAACTCAGAAGTCATAGCGGTCTGCATGAAGTCTGGAATATAGCTGACTGAATTGCGGAAGTGGAATGGAAATAAACAAATTATTATTTGGTGCCTAATTTGTTCGTCCTTCCCTCTCCTTTTAGCGGTATCCTTGCGTGATGCTCGCGTTTCGTTGAACTTCGGCGAGAAGCCATTTGTACACTCTCCTGAGCAGATCTCGGGCGGGCGGGTGAAGTGGATAGCGCCTGTAGAGGTGCCTGCCGAGCGGATGGTACAGAATGTCAACTCTGGCTGGCGCATCAACCAATTCGACACCACATCCACTCTTAATCTCATCGTCTCGGAAGATGGACGTATGGTCCAGGCCAAAGAGAACGAGTGGCAAGGCTTCCGTGCTAACAAGGTAAAAATCGGCTGGTTCCATTTGATTTATAACAAAATTACTATTGTTCAGTCAATCCTCGAATGCAAATAATTAAAATTCAGGCAACAAATTTGATTTTTGTAGTAAATTTGGCAATTGTATGAATTGGTTCTGCAAATTTATTGAATACTGGACTCCTAACATCATCCTTTAGTATATTACTTTCAAAACAAAAATGTGTTAAATCTCCTAACTTCTTACCATTTCTGTAAAATGATAATGCAGAAGGAATAAGACAAAAGCATTTTCCATCAATTAATTGCTTTTTCTTGAGCTATCATTCTCCATAATTGAATGACATTTCATCGTCAATGCACATTTTTTTCTCTCACACAGGGAGTCTTTGAGGCAGGTAAGTACTACTACGAGGTGGAGATGGTGGAGGACTGTGGATACGCGAGGGTCGGCTGGTCCCTTCCCACCGGCGACCTTCAACTGGGAGCGGATAATCTCGGCTACGGCTTTGGTTTCGCTCCGGATGGTAGCCCTGCGAAGAAGGTCTTCAATGGTGAAGTCGAAGATTACGGTGTAGTAAGTGACAATACTGCGTCATCGTTTAAGCTATTGCTAAGCGCGGTGGTGTGCAACTCTGCCTGATTTTGGTCTGATGCCGTTGAGGGTGGCTAAATAATTTTGTGAGATTTTTTAAGTATAAATGTGTTAAAATCAAAAACTTCTCAGAATATTTCACCATTACGATTCGTAGTTTTTTTGCAAAAAAGATATGAGCTTGCGCCTTACACTTTACTAAATTTTTTGTCTCTAGAAGCGAAAAACAGCTCACTATTATGCTTTCATCTCTCAACTCCCTAATTCTTCTCGTACATGATTGCCTGACGCCAAGAGAAGGTGATAATCACTAAAAGTAAGAGGATGGAACAATATCTACCTCACTTCATTTTACTTCAAGCCTAAATTTTCCCTTGAGTAAGTATCGTAGTAGGTCTTGCGTCGTCTTCTACAAATAGGACATGCGACTAACACGCTATTTTTGAGTGTTTCTGAGACGGTTCTTCTTATACACCTGCAGGTTGTATCGAGCAGGCAGATACCGGACGTAACTCTCTGACCTTTGGTAAAGTTATGTTAAATAATTTCTTCTACAATCCACCACACACGACAGTCTTTAAAGGATGAAGAAGTACGTAGATTTTCTAGGGGCAATCAGTGAACTATTTTTTCCTCAAATGAATGTTGGAATACAAAAGTCATTTCTCATCAAAAGTCAGTTGGCAAACGATCTGGCAAAGGCGCGTCTTCGTAATGTGTAAGAAGTTAAAAACAATTTGATAGTCTTTGAAGCTCAACATCGCAGCTGATGCATGTGTAGACAAACTATTTTTCTACTCACGTTGTAGAGTGCGTATCATTCTTGACAAGTTAATCTCAAGTTAGCACATCAAGCAGTGGCAATGCTTCACTATCAAGAACGGATAATCTTCCTTAACTTAATACATTAACCTTTGAGTAATGAATTACTTAAAATCAAATTCGTTAATCCATTTTTGGAGGACATATACTGCTTTTGCACCTCATCCAAATGCCGTGTAGATGCCTCAGGAAGCTTCTACAGCGTTGGAACCAGTTTAAATTTGAGGCAAGCAAGTTTGATTCAAGTCTATCTTAAGCATTTTATGTACATACTTGATAATGCACACTTACGTTTACAAGTTGCAACAAGTCTTGAGTTATACCGAAATCACACGAACTTTTTCCGGCACTTAATAAGTTGGCATTTCAAGGCCGTGCTGTGGTCCAAATGGCGTCACCTTGTGACTGTGCTCAGTTGTTGAGTGCCTAAACTTTGTGCACAGGGGCTCTACTACGACTTGGTTGACAATCAAACAAGCACACGTCTAGGGTGTTAGCAGAGTGTGTTGGCATTTTTACCGTCGAGCATAGTGTCTGTTTTCATTTGAAAGCGTTTGTATTGGTTAGAAAATTAATTTGTAGGTTGGAAAGTTCGATGCGATTCTGAAATACTCTTCGTCCAGCATAACGCATAACTAGTTAAATTTTACCCGAAAATTCCAGCCTGGAAAAATCAAGTGGGTTGAAATAGTTTTACGGAAGTGCAGTTACTGGTGTTGCTTGCTTAGCATCAAGTACATGTCTCCACCAGTAGACTTGTATTTGCTTATAAAAATGTTTCATTAGGATATAATGTAAAACTATGGCCAGCAACCACTCAGGTATTATATCTTTTTCTTTACTCTTATGGCTAAAATGCTACTTCTCATTTTGCTTATTTAAATAAATTGGTTCATTTCAAACGACTACTGATATTTTTGAACCAGCTGCTGATGGTTTACTAGTTACAATACTTTGGCTGCCAAAAATAAATAAAAGCTCAAATTACGTCCATAAAATTTAATTTTAATGATTGGAATGTTTCACCTCTACATTAAACACCACAGAAAGTAAAGGTTGGTGACGTGGTGGGCTGTTTCTTGGACCTCGACAATGGCTCGATCCAGTGGTCAGTAAACGGAGAGGTGCTGCCTCCAGCCTATTACGTGGACTCCTCCTTCATTACCCACGACAAGACTATCTTTTACCCCACCGCCTCCCTCTTCTGCACCACCCTTGAAGTCAACTACGGCGATCGACCCTTCAAATATCAGCCCTCGGTAGTGCTCCTTTTCAAATACTTGTATGCTTAGATTGGGTGGATTTTGCTCCTCTGTTCAGAAGGTTTGCGCCTCATATTACAGAATTATGTTTAATTTAAAACTACTACTGTCTGGACTTCGCCGTGGCTCTCCTTATATGTGATATTATTTAACGGATTTTGTGCATTTTGCTTCCCAACTTTGTAACTGTAATGATGTACAACTACAGCTTTGTTCCTATTCTTGCCTCCTATTATCATCTTCAACAACCTATACTTTTTACCTTTGGAGATCTGGTACAGCTTATTCATAAAAGCAGATGAGTAAGCAATCAAATGATTCCTTTTACAGGAGGAATGGTATCCACTCTTCGCAGCTGCGGATGAATTCGTGAAAGATTCTCCAAAGTGGCCTATCGACATCAACACAGTCCGCCAGCCACATGTAAGATATGCGAAAATATTTTCTACCTACAGCCTTTTCGCTGTCATGCGTAGTTAATGTGTTTATTTTTCTCTGTCAGTTATTCATCTCTCGTTTCTACATCGAAGATTGGTCACTGGATGAAATTGTTCTCACTTATAACAACACGCATGTTGTTGACTTTGTTTACCACTGACAATTTGCTCATTGTATTTTCCTTGTCAAGTGTCAATTACAGTTTCTCCATCTGAAGTTTTGCGACTAACTGATGAATTAAGAGTCATGATGTTGAAAGACCTATTTGCAAGAAAACTGGCAATCTTGAGCTTGCTGATTAGTATCGCCTCTGGAATACGGTGGAGCATTTGGACTTAAGTAGGATTTCCTTTTTAGCTTTGCACCATACCTGCTTTTAGGCCCAACTCATCATTGATTTGGGATGATGAATATTTAAATGAGCTATTTGCTGCTCAAGTGCAACTTCCCGCGATATAGTCTGGTAGAGGATTTAAAGTAATACAGAGTATGCGGCCTTCAATAAATGATTGTATCCCTACGTGCTTCAAGCAGGCAGATGCGAAACGGGTCCTAGAGTCACAACAGAAGGGTACAAGTTGGATATCTTGACTCGTTTTGTTTCTGGACTAAAAATTCTTTCAAATGCTGAGGCAGCTATATGATTCTGGCAGAAACCAGAATCCTGCTGTTTATCGTGACTTTTCACTCAAAATCTGCTCTCTTGCCGTTCAGCAAATAAGCGACCTTTTGCTAACTCTTCCCAGATTGTTTCAAAAATCTTGATACTAATAAATTCAAGAAATGCTCACCTTAAGCGTGTATGAAAAACTATTTAAGAATCGCTTTTATTAATGCTAGATGAGAAATACAACGAAACAATTCGTTCCAAAACCCCACATTCCTGGGCAGTTTCTCCTTCAATCGCACTACATCAATTCATTTTGGACACGAAAACGCTCATAATTTTAAAAGAATTGTTAAAATACTCTAACAAACATCTTTTAAATACAACTTCAGCCGACTAGAATTTCCATGTAGCTGCATTCCCTGAAGTAACTTCCTATTTTTGAGGAATGGCAATTGGAAATTGTATGCTTTGCAATGATGTGAGGTGAATTTTTCTTACATCTAACAAGTTGTCAGTATGCTTTACTCCTATCGCAATTATGAGGCCATGGTTAATGATGCGATGGATTAGATTGCTGTGTTCTCACGGTCATGTCCAATCTAACCCATTTAACCATTTCTATTCTACTGAAGTTGCAACTTATCTTATCGCTTACTAACCAAAGGCGACAACGGAACGTGTGGAGAGCGATATCCTCTACCCCGGGGTGACAATAACGGTGACAACGCGCGAAAACCAGGCCCAAGCATCCGACACCTCGCCAGTCAGCAGTCAGCGCCGTACGAGTGGTCACACCAGCACGGAGGGGGAGGATCAGGAGGATGAGGATACCGTGATAGACGTCCAAGATGAGCAGGACAGAGGTGTCACAAGTACCCCCTCCCGGGCTATGCCGCAGCAGTCAGCTACGGACACTCCTCTCACCTATACCTCCACCGACGCCCAGAGGGTCGTGAGTCTCTATCCTTCTTTTCTTCCATGCTTTTTTCTCCTAAACAGTAGCAATGAGACAAATACAATTTCCCTTTATTCTGTTAGAGCCATTTTGTTTCCATTGACAGACTTAAATCACTGACAAGGAAATTGATAATTATGACTTGGTGAATTCGATATGTTTAAGGAATGATTTTCAATTAGTATGCTTAAATCATATTATCAGCTGAATTTCTCGAAGATACTTAAACATAATCAAACAATGAATCGAGTTTTTTGCGTTAAAATTTGGAAAATGACTTCCACTTTTATGTAGATTTTTTATTACCCTAAAATGTCTGACTCCCATAAGTCGAGATGAACCTTATTCCCGTCTAAACTGCAAATATGGATAGGCGAGGATCGACTCACATTTTTGGTAAATCTATATGATATCCGGTAGCTTTTTCGGTTGACCTTAGCTTGTTAAGGACCATTCAGATTCCTACTATTCCCTTAGAAGCAACTACGGTTGGATTGTTAAGCTATATGTGTTTTAGACGTTTGATCAGATTGGCACTGAGAACTTTCTTACCGCGTAAGAAAGTGATCACACGTCAAAATGGTTAAAGTTTTTGCAAGAGCTTTGCTTTGAAGTTGCGACTAGGAAGGCTTGGAGATCCGATTGCATACACTGCTGTGCTGACACAAGGGTGAGATTTGTCAACCTTCCTGGCAAGCATCCTATGGCAAGGTAGACCTTTGTAATCCATTATTTGTCGGTGATTCCCTTAGGGTGTCCGCAAATTCTAATATTTTTATTTTTACCACTTAATTAGATCATCAAAAGATGATAAAAAATGAAACAAAAAATATAACTTTATGTAAAAAAGACGTCATCCTAATTTCTCACGAATATGTGTATAACTTTCTGAACTACCCCTGGTTCCTTCTTTTGGTGTTTTAACGAATATTAATAAGCAGCTCTAAGAAATTTGCAGCTTTTAAAAGTGAACTTTTATTGACTAATTTAACATTTTTTCGGAATTCAATCCTGCACAGATACTCGAAGCGATACATTGTTACTTCAAACAAACGCATTATCTTGATCCCCTAGAGGTATGGATAATCTGTGGCTTGAAATAGTCCCTATGGTTTACCTAATAAAGCACAACTTAGTCTTTCAAACAGATTAAATAAATCAAACACTATAGGCTATGTTTCTGTGACTATTTTACTAGATGAGTTAACTGTATGATACAAAATAAACCGTTTATTTTCAACTTTGGGAGCATGAAAAATTCTCCATGCGCTTAGGGAATTAATTTGGGCTTAAGGCAGTAAAATTTTGCCGGGGTTGTGGAGGACCATCTCATCCACGTAGGCGGTCGACTGTAATGTCTGTCTTGCTCTGACGTAAATTTGTCTTGAAACAGACGGAGGAAGATGATCCAGAGGTGACTGTGGAGTACTACACGAATGAAGAGGGTCAGCGAGTGAAGAAAATCATCCAGAAGCAGCGGAAAGTGGTCACCACTATCCACAAAGAGTCTGTTGAACGGTTTGAAACTACGGTAATTGGATGGTTAATTTTAATAATTATAAGAAATTGATTCTACTACCTGAAGTAAGCTCCTTATAAGAAATATGGAGCATTTTCAAAATTTATTTCACCACTTAGACTTAATGTGTTATTGCATACTTTAGCGCATTCACCACAGCAGTAGTGCCGATCAGAGTGGGTGGCAGAACCCAGCTGACAACTCTACTGTGAACGAAGACGAGGCAAGATTAGCTATTTATTAAATGGCAGTACAATGGTTTTATTATGGGATCGTCATTTCCGTTGCCTTTAATGCAGGCAATGAATAAGGCCATTCACCAGGCCACGAAATTGGATTCTGACACCTTCGTAGTAAACGGTTCAAGCAATATCCGGTCTGATGTCATCCCAACTACCCTTACCACCACAACCGTCACCACTACCACCACCAAAAGCGAGTATACTGCCAATTAAACGGCCGAATCAAGTGTCATCAGTGATGACGCTGCCCTGCTTCTTTAAACGGATTCTCTGATTCTGAACATTTTTTTCCTCTTTATCTGTTCTTCCACTGACCGTTGCTCAACTCTACCATTCCACGCCTCTTCGCCTACTTCGCAATATAGATAAATCAAAATACTGCTTTTAGTATTTTAAAGAACTCCCAGTCCCCACTCAGTTTTGTGCAATTTGAGTATCATTTGTTCATTTAAACCAAAAGCAGTATACAAGTGGTTACTTTATGTGTTTTGCAAGCGTCGTAAGTTTTGGACAGGCAGTGGGTTTACGCAATGGTTTGTGTGGTTAGGGATTGGGGTATATGAAGGCATTTGCGACAGGATCTGCAACCACGATATCTGCTGTCGTGTTCATTACTCACCGTGAAACTATTGCGTCACTGGATTGTGGTAGGCAGTACTTTATTACACCCGCATATTTTTAGAATTTTCTGTATTGTGCAAATATCAATGTAGTTTAATCATTGATTGAGAGTAATCAACATTACTGGGGTCGGAGCATTCTTCCACGCAAATCATTCCACATAAGTGAAGCTATCAAGGTAATGGACAGAGCTTTTTACAGTGAAAACATTTTTAAATTCTTAGGTAACCGGTATTCCAGGTGTTTTTACACAAATTTCTCAATCTAGGAGTTATTGTTTACTATCGAAAATGAAGCGCTGAAAATTAAGCTTGACAATAAAAGCAGAAGGTTGGCCAGCTAAGGTTAGTTCATCTATGCAACCATGCGATATTAAGGCGCCCCTTCTAATATGACTTCCAGTCCGCTCTTAGAAGACCGCACCTTGGGGAGTGAATTGCCTGTCTTCTGTTCGTGGTGTTGTAGATAGGCAAGTATGCCAATCACCCTGCTCCGCGCAGCTGTCTGCGTTTGTCAGGCGATGGTGATAGATACGAGCCAAAGTTATTTGCATGGTATTAAATATTTTTTGTCCATTCAATAGCATATTTATGTTTAATGTCCTTGCCTTCATTGCCGTTGTCAGTCTGTTATATCGAAATCATCCGCTGCTTAATGGTGTATCCAGATAAAACTGTTGAAAAGAGAGTTATTTGATTGGTTACGGATTTCGGCGATTGCTTGAAAAGATAAAGGAGATAATGTGGCATACAACGAATCAACTTCCTTCCCAATAGCGCTATTCGTTACGGCGCTGATTGCTTTTGGAGCGGAAGTAATGTTGCCATCAGGCTCTACGTAATACTTTGTTGAATGGCTGAAAGCAATGTCCCGGTCCGGTTCCCATTTACTAAGACAATAAAAAATCATTTCCGTTGCTTAATTTCCAATTAAAAATATGTGTGTCTTTAACCTGGCTAGGTTTTTCAAGCTTATCCAGACTCGACTGTAATCTTGAAGGCTTTATCTGCCAAAATTACAATGGTTATTAGCATTCACCGTTTTGACAATTTGTGTATAAAAGAAGTTGAAACTGATTTCTTTGGTGTAGTCCTGAAAAAGCTGCTTCTCTTTCACATTGTTCCACCCAAGATAAAATTACAAGGAATGGGTCAAACCAAGTGGTAAATGTCAAATTTTACTACAATCCGGGATGAAAACAAAATTTCCTGGTGCGTTTGTTGACTCAACAGTATCCTTACCACGTTCCCTCATGGTGTGGTTAAGTGGCATTCAAATCTAGGACTAAATTTGTCACAACCTGAATTGCTTACATCAAAGCGTAGCACGGGCGTGCATCAACAGAGTTGAAAATCAGACTAAATTACCTCGCGGCGTCTTGATAAACAATAGAATTTTTTCAGGCAAACACGCGTTGTGCTAGTTTTTAACACAACATGTGACTTAACCTCGATTTTAGTGAGTTAAATTCTTTTAACTGCGTGGGAAAGTAAACTTCGCGATAATACACCAATCAACTACTTGTAAAGGAAAAGGAGCAGTACAATTTCGTTGAAATTGGCAACACATTCTTGAGGTATTGTAGTGGAAACTCTTCAGACATCAATCAATGAGCAATTAAGATGGTCTAACAACCGGAGTTTAGGTTGGTGGATTACGCACTCCTACGAGTGACCATTTACTCCATTTACACTACTGTATCTTCTGTTGAAACATATCTATAACTCCTCTCTTGGTGTTACTGCACTCTGAGCCAATCCAGATGGAGACGAAGATGCACCAGTTTTACACAACAATAGCTATGCAAGCTACCTATAAAAAAGCTTTGCATAGTCTTTTATATTTCTTCCCTCGTAGGATTTTTTCGCATGGACTAATTTTGCGTGTGCTGTTTTACATTCGAGAGCTCAGTTAAGGACACTAGCTATTGGGTGGCATTTCATTATGGCTAAGACCCTCGTCCCCAAACAGTTTCCCATAAATGAACAAATTCACGCTGTTTGTTTGTGAGAAAAAGATTTTGACGTCAATCACTGATGATGCATTTCTGAAGCACTGCCACAAGAAGGCAAAAGAGATATCAGGCTTTCTAGATAAGTCATGCTCTTCCATAATGCACCAACATGGCAATCCCATAGATCTAGATTTAGCCGGTTTTACACCCAAATAATCATACAGATTCAGCATTTCTTTAGAAATCATAAACTCATTTTAAGATATCTCAATTGTTTTAGCACTTAATTACTACCAGCTTTGCAATTGAAGTTAGTCTCGTCAATTAGAAAAAAGCAAAGACTAGTTCATAATGCAGTTGCCTGGCATTCAATGACAGTTCTATGGTTCCACGGAATGCATTGTGTTTGCAGTTAAAAAAATAAGTAATACTTGTCAGAAAATCTGCGTTCAAATAATTGGTCCAAAAAAATACCACGCTCAGCTTCATAGGATATCAGAAACTATCTTTTTATTTTGGCAATCATCTAACCACTTCAAATGGACAATCAAGGCCTCTTCACATTTGTGATGCATTTCATTTCATGTTCCAATTGTCTTTAGTTTTGCGGCTTTGGGTCACATTTCTAAAGCGCTTAAATGTGAGCATTACGGGTAGTGAAATTAATTTAATATGCCTTCGCGTAAAACTCTACTATTCTAAAAGAGTTCTCCAATAAATCGCCATGCCTTGTTTGCACAGACGAAATCCAAGCTGTACGTGACCTAAAACATCTCCATATGTATCACTCTACTGCAAGCCGGTATCCATCTTACGACGGGGAAATTTGTGAGAGACCCCGATATCCAGGAGGCAAATAAATTTGTTCTACCAGATGCTCATCACCCCGTGCACATTTGAGTGCCAAGACCCAGAAGTTCGTTACATTCGCTCACTCATTTCGTTCAGGTGCTAGAAAATGAAAAATTTAGCTTACCTCTGCTGTGTGTCGCTGGTATTTAAGTAGGCGAGTTCGCCAAGCATGAACGCGGAGGCCATCGTAAGTGACTATGAATTTCTTAGACACCAGTGTGCATAATCGACAATGGACTAGATGGCATGGGGTGACATCGGAAATTACCCCAGTGTGACACATGATCTTACCGATAGTGAGTGGCTTTGTGCAGAAATCCATTGTTTGTTACAGCGGAGTGATGCAAGTACTTCTGATTTTAGGCCATTCCCCTCAATCACATTCTTAAATCCAAATGAGCTGAAAAGCTTCTTCCCTTTCCAAAACATTATTCGCAACAAGGTAACAACATTTTCGTTTACAAGCGTCAGTCCCAATACTGTATTTAAATGTTTAATGGAGGCACGGGCTTATTTTCTAGTGCCCCTTAGAGCATTCAAATACAAACTGAGTGGTCTGACCCATTGCGCCACTCATTTACGGCTTCAAGTAAGCCCTTGTTTCATCGCATCTTTGTAACTAGCCTTCACCTGCAATCAAGCCTGGAGTCACCTTTAATCCTGCTCCTCTCCTACTTTCAGCTACCTAAAACACAAAAAAGCATCAGCACCTAACTATTTGCTTTTAAAGCATTAACTTTAACTGTAGGAATACCAGATTTCTTTCAATTTTACCTCCAAAAGAGTACTATTGGGACCGGTTGTTTGACTTATAATGAACCGGTTGTAGTTCAGTGATGCATTTTCATGATAGTTAACCTAACACAGATTCAGACCTTGGAAGTAAGGGGAGGAAAGGAGAAACAGTGCAGATGGAATCTATTATTAATCAAAAAAACGTTACCTAGTTTAGTGGGTGATAAATTAAACTTTGTCCGGTGGTCTCTCATTCAGAATCACGAATGCCGTTTGCGAGCAAAGGCTCATTTGCAATAGCAACTATCGGTACTTGTTACTAGTGACAATTCGTTGAATTTGAATTTGGACTTATGTTTACAAACCAATAAAAGTGGTTGCAGTGTCTTGATTCTTTGTCATTAGTCATTTGAATTAGGTTTTTAGAAGTCAGTTCCACCGCACTACAATTTCGCACTATTTTGTTTCAAGGTCATAAATAGTTGATCTATTTAGGTTTCTGTATGAAATGTAGATCATTTGTAAAATGATACCCAGTGGGAAAATGTCGAAATAATATTATAATTTAACACACTTTGCTTACTGAAAGAATGCAACAAAACAGAGCTGCCCAAAAGTCTTTATACGACTCTACAGAATAGTTTCTGCTCCTTCAAAACAGATTTAGTAGTGATTTAAAGGGTGGAAATTTCTCCTTTATTTACTTTTTTGGAATGCTTTTAAATGACAAATTTTTGCCTATATTTAAAAGTGTCAAATTCCCCCACCTGTTTGAAGGACAGGCTACGGCGATTGATACAATGCATATCAATAGAAGTGCTTTACTACGACGGTGTTCCATTGTTGATTCACTCAGGTGCCCTCATGAATTGCAAACTGTGGCAATAATAAAACCACCACAATACTGGCCATAGAGACCAGAAGTACCATAAAAGAAGCGTTAGCACTTCAGGTTCTGCTTGTTGCTATGCTGCAAAAATGGACCATATGTTAATATCAGTCATGGTATTTGTAGAGCTCTTTTACTGTTGAAATAACGTCCTTTAGAGTAGTTATATGGCAGGAACGGGAGTCTCTCAGTTGACCTAAATTACCACTTCTTCCTCAGCTGGATCTAAAAGAAGGAGAGGTGATTCTAATTTCTGCCTGTGAATATTATCCATTTTACTTCCATTTATTGCGACAGAAATTTTGTGAAACACTTGAACCAACGTCGTAGGACTTACTTGTATTTTTGTCAAAGTTTGGCAAAATCACTCTCACTCTTAGCTGACAAGACGGTCGGCGTAATTCCCACTTGTCTTTATACTTTCAGGAATTCTCTTAGCCCAATAAATAATGAAAAATATGGAATAGTTTATAGAATAACCTCCGTTAATGCAGATGTGTTGTTGTTTAAAATCCCTTCGTGTTCTAAGCTGTGGCAAAAACTTAGGCGCTCACCCATCGCAGTATTCAAGTTTCAAAAGAAATACGACTTTGACGAAATTTTCTGCATTAAGCCTGTCTTCTTGTAAAATTCCGGTGATTGGTAGTGGATTCGGTAGGACCACCAATTTACCCCATGTCTTGAGGAACTCAAAGTTGGTTATTTGCATTCCATTACGCCATCCGCACCACAGTAAACGGCGTACAAGTCATCTGAGACAGGCATTCATATTTGGGCTACTACCGTTTAAGCGCAGCAATCAACTGACTTTGTTCAGGTGCTCGCGATTTCTTATTTTTGGATCTTTATGCGATCGCATCATCATAAGCATTAAACGCTTCCTTTTTTAATGCATCGAAGGAGCTACGTACTACCAAATGACTGATCATTTATGGGTAAATTTCCACTCTCCGTGTTTTCAACTCAACAAGTCAATAAACACTTCTACATTCGTTACACGTGTCAAAAATTCAAGCAGATTATTTAAGAAAGAAAATAAACTAAAAAAACTTTGCTCAAATTTGCTCACTTGTCTTCCTTAAACAAATTCTCTTTTTGATGAGAGCCTGTTTGTTCCACAGGGATAACCATGTCCCCGTCTTGTATATCCGCCACCCGTGTCCTTTTATCCCACTAAAAGTTCTTTGTGTAGCATTTGAGCATAGTGCTCGGGTGAGGGGCGTTACAGAAACGAAGGATCTACTTAGCAAACCGTCTTCAAGGCTGGTGTGCTGTGTAAGCGCCAACTGAGTACACTGAAGGTGTGGCAGCTCGCGTGATCCCTGTGTTTTGTTACCTCAAGAATTTCTGACTATACGTTAGTTGAGATTCATTTCTACAACTAGGAAATAGTCGCATGGGCCTTTTGAGTCGCCATTCAAGTTCAAACGCATACCACTCTTAGTTTTCATAGCTTAACCATCTACCAGTATTTTTTAGGCTGCTCCGATGAACTATACTTCGGCGTCTAGGTGGTACCACTTAGTGTTGCAAACTCACTATTCTTTACATAATACTAAAGTTTAGACCGATATAAATAATTGTAGTACTTTGGTTTATTTAATGTGCCAAGGTTTGTTACCTAATGGAAGGTGCAAACTTGGACTCAGGAATATCTTACGTGTTGAAGTATTGTTTGCTATCAACGACTTATTTCTGTGTGTGCTCCCGCTTGTGATAGGTGGTGCTGAATGTGTTTCCATTCAGTAATTTGCACTCTCCATCCTGATTTCTAACTTTGCCTCAACAAATTCATTCATGCCCTTAATTATGACTAAAGAATTCAGCTTATTCATTCCTTGCAGTCACTTTGGGCCTTTGTGTTGAAAACTCTTCATTTGTCTATTCCGTTAAAGTAAAAATGTTCATGGTTTCCACATTGAAGACTAAGTAAATAACCATTTGAACTGTTTTCAAATCGAAACAACGGTCTAAAATAATACACTTCTTTTATGTTAAAGGCTTGAGATTGGATTATCCTGCTATTCTAAAAGTTTATTAGTTTTTAAGGTCCGTGTGGCCGTTATGACATCGCCCTGGGGTGACCAGTAGGGGTCATGCAAATGTCTTCTCCTTGAAATGGACACCTCGAATCGGTTCACAGGCTGCTTGATTGCACAAACAGATACATGACCTCACTCGCGTGTGGATTTTAATGTTTCAAAGAGTTGATTATCGAGACCATTAAATAATTGGTCACCAGGTCCCTTAATGACAAGTCATGATGGGAACTTCAGGAAACCAAATCGTTTGCATTTCAATAATAACCGAAATTTGTGAATAAGAGCAACAAATACGACTAAAAAATTGATGAAATTTAGAAATGCAATATAGCCTTTAATTTATACGGCAGCATAAGACAATTTGCCACCAGTTTTAAGGAGATGTTCCTTTAACGAGTAAAATTAGCATCATTTACGGTGATGAATTGTAGTACGGATCACGGCTACAGTGGAATAACGAGAACAAAAGCAAAAGGTGAACTTGGCTGATAGGTCCAAGTGCCAGCACGCCCCATAAGCAATGGTTAGTGAGCCATATAAGTTTCAAAAATAAGGAATCGAAATCATTTGCGGATTTTTTTAGCTAGTAAGCACAATTCATACAACCTAGTTGTGAGTTTTTCTTTAGGACTCAATTTGGTCCTAGAGATGTTTACTTTCAACCTTGCCTCATTATTTGTGTTTTACAGGTTTCACTTCAGTGCTCCCTAGATTAAATTAATGTGATCCATTCAAGTCAGTTTCTCTGGACTCATTTCACTCAACTCCTAACACCCTCGTATAGGATTTCTCGCGTTCAAATGTTGCTTATTTCTGTTGCATTCATTCGCGTTGCCGATTTGTATGTGAGTTTGCTGCGTTTCGCCTTGACGATATCGCCAAAACTGGAAGAGAGGTGCCATCTTACTAAGTGACACTGATGTCTGCATGGCATACATTACTTTGATTTTACCATTAATGTAGATCAAACAAATGAAGTTAAAGTTATGTCATCATATTTACCTATATTCATTTATCATCTAACCTGAAACACAACCTAATACGATTTTATGTGTAAATTTGGTCCAGGTCAGATGCCATTTCCCACGATGAGAATGCTTACACATTTAACACAACTTGTGAGACTCGAAGGGATACTATCGAGTAGTAAAAACTGGACTTTAGGTTTTTATTCGTATTTTTAAAGCAGCAAATGCAGAAAGTCCAATCCTCGAACTATGAATCATCCGAAACCGTAGGTGATGGTTATCAGTCGTGCTTGAGATCATAGACACATCAATTAAAAGGTGGGTTTGATAAGCATCAATTTACCCAGTTGATTTTGTCTAATTTCTCATATATCTGAACGCAGTATATGCTAGGCTGCTAGAATCTAAAGCATAAATCTTAAGAAGCAGTTATCAGGCCTCACTGTTTATCTGTCCACGCGTCTTGAGGTGCATAGAAGACAGTGCAATGCATGTAAAAGGAATTAATATCCAGCGATGACCTGATTCGTTTATCTTAAACGAATGCGCCTATCATCACAAATGAAACGGAAGACCGCGGACGGCACCGCTCAGGAAGTCATGATGCACATGCGCCTTGTTTTTGTGAGCTTACGACAATAACAATGACCCACTAAGGTAAACACTCACAACTCGAAGGACGCCTTATCTACGGCCTGGTAGACACTTTCAGGACTCGCTTGTTAGTCCGTATTATCGTTTTTCTCTGATGGCAAATGGCTTAAGACTGGTTATACTTTTTTTCACTATCCAGTAGACACGACTCCCAGCTTTCGATGGGAGGACAAGTAAGAAGACTATGTGGAAAAGTAGTGTAGAATTACAAGGGTGGGCGCGATGGAAGAAGTAGCAATGAGCGCAAGAGGTCTCTTCTACATACATGTGCATGAAATGGATTAATAATATAATTTCAGAAAATCACTTAGATAAGTGACACTACGATATTTGAAGCGACTCATAAAAGGGCACAGTGATCTCGATAACCCTCTAAAACCGGGATCTTCAATCATTCTGCTTTTCATTACATCGTGCACCCATAGATCAACTCCATTTTCCCCCTGTTCTCCAGATAGTTTGTTTGTGTAAAATTGGTTGACCATGGTCAGTCATTCAAGCAAGAATAATGTGTTGCTGTTTTATTTTCCTTGTGTGTTGTTCTTGCATCGGTGTATTCATCTCTTTTTGAAATTCAAATGTCAGATCTAAGACACTTATTTACACAGAAGTCAAACAAGGCCGTTTGTGGTTGACTGTTGTTGACAGAGCATTTATGCACAACAAGAGTATGGTATATAATGCCTTTGGAAAAGTATGAATCCTGACTTGCATCCTCTGTGACCAAAAGTGGACACAATTTCAAAATCTTTAGCTTTCATGGTAGAACCTTGTGATTAACAAAGACAATTTATTCGCAATTAGGTTATTATGATTGTTTTGTCGATTTACACATCTAAATAACGAAGTGGAATTATACTCTCTTTGTACTTGGGGTTTGTTTTCCTTGATGCATCTTTTTGCTGAGTGGTTTTATATCGAGTTGGTTCCTTAGGTTACTGTGGCTTCAGGTAGAAGGAAAGTTCCAAGTTAAATTATATGTAAATAATTGAAAATATCAAATTCTGTATCAAGTCGGTGAAATGCAAAGGATTGGCATTCTCATCAAATTAAATTCCAGTGTACAAACTACTAAGGATAATCAAACAATGCTCGAACAACAAGAACGGATAAAACTTAGAGGCCATGCATAAGTGACGCTACCAGCCTACCTAAGAGTCTAATTAAAGACATTTTGAATGTAGGACTTATCAGCTTCATACAATGTAAGAAAGGCACGTAACACTTAAACACTTCAAAAAGAAATCCAATTTATGATGACTTTACTCGATTCACTTGTACAAAGAGCTTAGAACAATTATAAAATTAGGGTGATGTCAATGCTTGTAATCCATCATGCACACAGGCATCATCGCCTCAATTCCCTTGCTCTCTCGGCCATGTGGTCATAATATCTATGGCCATTTCATGTATGCTAAAGATTTCAAACAATTTATTGAGCATAAAAAGACAAAACAAAGTCTTCAGTAACTGGCCCTTCAAGCCTAAGAGTAAAAAAAATAATGCACATTTGTACAGCCTAATCAATTGAACTACATTATGTTGGAAGGTCCGAGTATCCAGTCAATACTGAAGGAGAGAGAGGATGCGGAGGTTTGTGTAGTTGTCGAGCGTAGACTAGTGACCGTCTTCACAACTGAAGAAGGATCGGACTCCATGGCGGATGGATAGAAGATGGTAGGGAAGAGACTCCTCTGTTCTGCATCTACAGCCCATGGTCTTGTCTCATCAGGGTTAACTTGGGATTGGGGATATTGCATGGGAGTGCCGAATGCCATAGGCATGGCTGGTGATGAGCTTTCGCTTCTACTTCCTACTCCACATAGAGAACGTTGGTGGTGCCTTTTATACCGCTTTTTGCGTCGCAGAAAGCTCCCGTGCTCAAACATCCCCTTTGAATTAGGATCGAGAGTCCAGTAATTACCCTTGCCGTTGTTACCGGGTTCTCGGGGGACTTTGACGAAGCAGTCGTTGAGGGAAAGATTGTGCCTGATTGAATTTTGCCATGCAGGAAAGCGCTCTCTATAGTATGGAAATCTACGCATTATGAAGTCACAAATGCCTGACAATGTGAGGCGCTGATTCGGTGATTGCATTATTGCCATTGTGATTAGAGCTATGTACGAATAGGGTGGCTTTATGGAAGCAGAATCGTCTGAGCTTGATTTGTACATCACCCCTTCCTCAGTCAAATCCGTGATTGAATCAGAAGGCAGATTTAGAGCAGTACTCGTCTGGGGGAATAATTGAGGCATCACATGTCTGTTTGATAAAATATTGCTCACGTAGAGACCATCAAAGTTCTGATTAAAGTTGACGTTTCGAACAATTTGCTTTAACATTAAGGTGGAGAAAATGTCATTTGTCACCATTGCGTGGGACAGAGCTTAGATTGGAGAAGGGTTCAAAATACAATAAATGTCAAACGTGCTCCTGAATATTTATAACACCGTGACCCCCCCCCCCCCCCCCCCCCAACTTGTGCATGTGCGTCCATATGCACGAAACTACTTTTGCCACTTCTGATTGGCTGAATCATGACAACCAATTGCCGTGGCACTTATGCGTGCACCGCACGATTACTGGAATTAAATTAATGCGTAAAAAATTCTTACAGAGGGGGAGACCTGCATAATCATTGTGCTGTCGTTCTTCCAAGCGAAGATTATTCCACAAATGGTCAGTTAGATCAATCGAAGTAACGGCACTGAAGCATAAACAATTTCTGGTAGAGATTACTGTTACACTTCTTTCGGTGCTGGCGATACGGTGGGTCATTTTTACAGTGAAAACGTGTTTTGCTAGTGAATTCAAGCGATAATTAAATTTTTGGTCTACAACCGCCATTAACCGCAAAATAAGCAATGGTACCAGTCCCATATGCACTTTACACAATAGAAAAAAGTGTTTCAGATGGTTTCTTAGCATTTTTGACGCTGTGCCGTGTTGACTTTAATGATTTCAAATCCAATTCAAATGAACAGGCCATGTTTTGCCAAAATAAAGGTCACCTGCCAAGTCAACCATATTCGCTTGCATAAATGGACACCCGACCCAGGTGGCAGTTGTCTAGCTAACACTCCAGCTCAAGATGTCATTAAATCCACAATAAGCGATTTTCCAAGGGAACTTTGAAGTTGGTGTGGTTTGCAACAGACGTGTTGAATTTCAAAACTAAATGCTTACGAGGCTGCTTAGATAGACTTGACACGTGTTGATGCCGTCATGACAGCGTGAATAAATGAGCTCCAAGTCGACCAACTTGGCTACGACTGGGTGGCATGAGCGTGGATAACTAAACCTTTGTAAAATCTAGAGTGGAACTAGAGGCGATTTACCCGAGAACGTAAAAACACCCACTCACCGTTGGTGAACGATTGACTGTGGTTAAACAATTTGTGGAGGAAAAGCCTTCACCAAGAACCACGTATCATTCAGGTGAGGGTTTCTTCCGTGCATTGATGCACGTTCACGCCACGGCGACGCGGGTGAGGCGAAAAGATGTGCGCGCTCATCCGCAAAACCTCTCCTCCTATAGACTCACCGAGTTCCATAGACATGCCACTTTCTGATCTAATTAGGCCACCATTTGTTCGAAATTTACCTCGGCGACCCCTCATACGCGGTACCCACGATTCAAAGCAGCCAATGCCTGCTCCACCCTTGTTTCGTATTCGGCAGAACCTTAAGCCATGGTTTCCACGGCATTAGCCGCCCACAGATGGAGCAGCCGTAAGACGCTCCAGAGCAGATGCTGACCAAGGCAAGCCCGCGCTTACAAGCACCACAAGACTAACCACCCTGCACCGCAGCAGCAAACCAGCCAACATGCGCACGAACCGCATCATTTGAAAAACCAAGCACGAGGCGAGACATTGATAAAAACCAATCTAAAATGAAACTACGCAGCCACCACCGCTCGCACAGCGCGAACCCCAATCCAAATCAGCACTCCCAAATACGCTTTAAGGAAAGGTGAATCCACTGGACCTCGACCCCAGCAGCTGGAAAAAAGCCAACATGCGATGCATACCGACCGAGAACGATGTAATTGATTTATAAAAACTATATGCAATACACAACAAGAATTCAATGTCGATTCGAATAAAAATGCGAGGTTTACGTAAACAATGACATCGATTTATTCACTTTTGTTTCCGCTTCCGTCACCTAGAGAATAAAAATATGGTAAAATATACAAAGGCGAACTTGTAATCTCACGAATTAAAGACAACCCACCATCGGATGATTGCTCACGACGAGGTGAATTCGACCCAGAGCGCGACGGTGTGCGACCACCGCTGCGACGACTGTGAGACCGCGACCTTGACTGAGAGCGGGAGCGAGAGGAATGCCTACTTCCACTGTGTCTCGAACCATTTCCGTTCTCACCACGATTCACCGGACTTCCAGACCGATCTCGAGAACTGTTACGAGAAACTGATCTAGATCGCCTATCAGCGGACCCCTTTGAAGGGGAACGACGAGACATGGACCGGCTACGAGAGCCAGACACGCGAACACGCTTCCTGTCAGAAGCCTCCCGCGAACCTGATCGATCTCTCGAAATGTAGTTAGACCCAGAACGATCACGAGAAACTGAACGCCGGCGTGGCGAGTAACCCGACCGGTCTCTGGAGCGCTTAAGAGAACGGGAATCCTCACGCGAACGTCGACCGCTTCGTGACCGTCGAGACACCGAACGCGAATTGGACCGACGGCGCCAGGACCTCCGCCTGTCTCTTGAACCTGACCGCCCATACCTGCGGCTATCGCTGGAAAAACAAGAGTCCACAAATAAGTACTAAACAATTCCTTCTGGAATATTAATACCTCAAGTTCGAAATACCTTCTGTCACGACGTCGACTTATGGAACGCCGGCGGGGTGGGGTTCTCCGACGCCTGGATGACGGACTCCTACGTCTACGGCTCCTGCTACGGGATCGGCGACGACTAAACGAGTACAAAATACAAATACCCAGCTAAGTGAACATTGGCAGTTCCACGTAAGTAACAGCTTGTCCGACAGCAAATGCAACTATACCCGCAAAGGAACCGATATGCATCCAGCGCGCTGAGCCAAAATTCCTATCGGTCTGACAAGCCGCTTTAAAAACGAATCATCAGGTTATGCGGTTTAGATTGCTTGTAGAAACATAAATTCACTCGACGACACCCACTCATGGAAATTTCATCACTAGAATCATCCGGGATTTGAATTAAGCTTTAATCAACTCACCATCCCTAATTCGGAGAAATAGGTTAAGCGATGGAAATGGACGATATTGAGATTATGAAGAGGAGAGGAAACGCATTTTTGAATGGAGATGAGAGACGACAGTTTCGAAGAGCGAATCGACTTAGATGAATATTTCTAGTAGGTGCGTGGGTTCGAAGAGCCGATTGTAGTTAGAAGTAGGCACGAAGACCATACGAAGAATTTGCGTGAAAAGCGCAAATTAACAGAAAAAGTGAATAAAGTACCCCCTGTAATCTCCTCAGTAAGAAATAACCAAAAACTTTAGAAGCTAAGCCAACACCACAAGCGAAGGTATCACACCACCTACTATCACAATTAAAGGGCCTCAAAGCAGTATTTCCAAGCATTCCCTGACTTCCCAAATTTGAATCAACGACGATGTAACGCTTACCCCTCCAATTTGTATTTGAGAGAATTGGCAGCGTGTTCAACTCGCAGTCGTGAACCGAAGGGACTACTAAAGACCAAGTTACAAAAAGGAACTAACTAACCTCCTATCCATACGCCTAATGGCCTTCTCAGCATCTTCCAGGTGTTTGTAGACGATAAAAGCGAAACCAGGAGGATTGCGAGCAACCCACACATCAACAATCGTACCAAAGCGATCAAACTCTCGCTCTAACTCGACTTTACCGACCCTTGGATCAACTCCACCGATAAAAATCCGATAACCCTCCGCCTGTCTGTCGGAACGAGGCATGGCACCGTCTAACAATAACGCAACCGAAAAGCGGATGTGAAACCGTTCAAACAAATTCGGCAGGGGCAAATATTAATCATATGCAATTCCGTGCACAATAACCTAAAAATGTATGTTGCAGTGTCGTCTAAGCTAAACAATTTGGTTTGCCGTATAAACCATGCGAAAATTCGGCAAGACATTGCAGAACAACAATGCCCGAATATTTCATGAAATCCTGGTAATCAACTCAACGCATTGATTCGCGCATTAAATTTATGGAACAAGTCGTATTTCGCCTTCCACGTAATCCTAATGCCTCTGTTCGATGATTTTTAGCTGATGCTTTAGGACCTTCAAAATTTGTGCTTCTATAACAAAAAACAGGACTCTGACTAAGAATCCCCCATAGAAACTGGAAATACACTCCTAAGTTGTGCAAAATAGTGCAAACAATAGTTTAAATTTAAATGTGGGTCCCTTTTTGATTTTACCGGTTTTAAATGGCAAAAGGTATCAAATTCTTTGTCACTGTATTTTTGCATTGCGACTGTTTAAATTAACTTGAATCGATCGTTGGTGCCGCTTTGAAAGGTTGACTCGTGATGGCTAGTGTGGATGCGGGGCGTAGGCCTCCTGTTTATGTTCCAAAGCAAAAACTTTCCAACAAACGTCGGCCTATATCTGGAAAGAAGATACTCGAGCATGCTCGTTCCCTGAGCAAGCTAACGAAGAAGCAGAAGGAAAGCATTAAGAGGCGTGCTCTTCTTAATCGCAAGCTTGTCAAGAAACCCAGATTTGTAAGTCATCCTCGACTTCTTATTGCCCATATTCAGCCTCGTATGTATAACGTGCAAAATCCCAAGAGGAAGTTGCAGCTTCGCAAGGTGCAGTGCTTCAAGGATCATCGTCGCAGGATACGCAAGTCCATCACCCCAGGAACGGTACTCATTCTTCTTGCTGGCCGACACAGAGGAAAACGCGTTGTGTTTTTGAAGCCATTAGCCAGTGGAATGCTTTTGGTTACCGGTGGGTATTTTTAGTACCTTTAATGACATGTCTTAGGGCCCTTCAAGTATAACGGTGTGCCCCTGAGGCGTGTTAACCAGCGATACGTTATCGCCACCAAGACAAAGATTAAGCTTAATAACATTAAAATACCGCCGCAGTTGGGGGATGAGTTCTTCCGCCGCCAAGACCTTAAGACGAAAAAGACCGTGGATAAGATCTTTGCTGAGGAGGAGAAGGTACGCTTGTCCTACGTTATTACTTGTTTTATCTTATCAAGAAGTACGCCGTTTCCGATGATCGAAAGAAGTTTCAGAAACAGGTTGACACTGCCCTGATTGCAGCTATCAAGAGGGGGAAGAATCCTTCCATCATGGCCTCCTATCTCAAGTCCATGTTTTCGCTGAGCAAGAAGGATTATCCCCACAAAATGGTGTTTTGATGTGTTCACGATAAAGGTTTGTACAGGTTGCTCCCCTTACTACTCGCTTTTGGGGCAATAAATTATGGGCGGCACTCACGTCCTGGTGTGAGCGGGCGCGTCCTCATGTGGGTTTTGTAAGAGATCAAAACGTCAATCTTTATTTGTTCTCCTGAGAGATTAGAGATTTCGTGTACATGGGTAGCTGGGGTAAGTAAAGTGTGGTTCTCTAGGTTTGCCCTCTGTACTCATCGGCGGTTAGCGAGTGACGGAAGGTCGGCGCATTCACAGAAGGTGCTTGGGAACGCGAGGTGAAGTGCTGTGTTCGGGATTATAGGTGGCCTCGCTTGAGCCGGTTTACAATGTCGTCAACCTTAAGTGCCGGACCGAGTTTCATGCTCAGGAGCGAGCGCATTGTTTCAATATCTAGTAGAAGAAGTGCGGAGCCGTCGATTTCCTGCAATGGGAAAGATGCGCTATTGTAGCTTTTGTTTAATGCTTGATTTGGTTGTCGCACAGAAAGGTGAGGGAGTGTCATTAGAATCCACTGGAGGAACCCCAGCACGAGTGCCAATGCACGTTGCTGGCACAGATAATGCAGACCACTCTACCTGCTCCTTGAAGGTGTTGGCGATCTCGACTAGTGATGGATCCTTAGAAATGAGGTAGTTGTACACGTCGTCTGTAGACCACTCTGTAACGTTTGGAAGGGGACAGGGTCCAAGGTCTGTCGGGTAAAAAGCATCAGATTGGTGAATGAATAAGCCCCGCTTTAATTGCACAGGTGATTTACTACTTAAAAAAAAGCAGTAGGCATTATCGCGCACCCATTGAAGCAGGCGAGACAGTAGACTGAGAGGGCATTTGGGTTCGCCCAAGGAATGGTGGATCACCATTGCTGCCGACGCACACAGGCGTCGGACTGCGTCGTGAGGACGTGCCAATTGAGGGAGAAAACTTAGTTGAAAAGGGGGCCAGGAGTGGTGGTGGAGAAGTTTCTAAGGTGTCGACGAAGAGTTGTGTTGTTGATCCAGAGAGGTCGCCTGGCCGTTGGCGGATTACTAACTTCGTCGGTTTGCAGAGATCGCTAAAACTAAAAGACGCGGCGGGGAGGCCTGATGAATTGGTGAATTATAAGGAAGCCTGACCCCAAAATTTAGCTCTCGGTAGTTAAAGGGTTATGTAAATAACTTCGAAAACAATGCTCAACAGTCGTTTGACATTGCTAACTTACATCGAAAAAGTTTCTGCTATAAGGTGCTCAATTGGTCTGTAATGGAATTTTCTAAATAAACCACTTTCAAAGCGGAGTAAGGCGGAAAAGACTGCACCAAATTCAGTCCAAAACAAACCATAAGGAATTACTGTGTCAAAAAAGGCAAAAAATATGTTCGCCTAGTGGCATAAAAGACCATTAATACAATACATATGCACAAAACGCTCCTGCGTCCAAGACACTTAGCTACGGAAACTTAAAAATGGATATTAAAAAAGTATCCGCAGTTGGCATGACATTACATCATAAGCTAAAACCAACGCTTAGAGTAAAAAATATGAAAAAGCGCACCAAAGTATCAAAATGCCTCATTCACAAAATTAATGTACTTCGAACAACATACCTGACTGAGCGATGTAAATCACTGTTCAAGTGTTTGTGATGGCTCTCCTTGGAGCTATGACGTTTGTGCTTCTTCGACTTCTTGCGTTTTCGGTCAGCACTGTCAAACTCCGCGTCGGAAGGCAATGGTAGCAGTGTGGAGGCGATGGGACTGCCACCCTCCACCGAGGCGTGGCAGTGGTTCGACTTATCCGAGGAGGAAGTAGAAGTCGTGCTGGAAGTAGCCTTAATGATCGTCTGCGGGCTGCCATCCTCTAAGGTCTTGGTGATCACAGTGAGGCGAGGCAGTGGCGGCTGTGGTGGCGACGCGACGGTGGTATAAGTAGTGCTTGTTGTCGTAATGGCGGTGGTGGAGGGAGTAGCGATGGGAATGGGAGTTGAGACAGCGACCTTCTCCGGCTTGATGGTAAGAACAGTGTCCAAGACACGACGAGTCACCGGTTCTGTTGCTGATAGGCGTGGGCGACGTGAACTGCTACCAGCCATTGTCAGTCTACAATGGAAATATACTACCATGTACATCGACATCGTGCCGATAACCTTCTTCTCTTAAGGTTAATAGTCTTCAACGATGACGAAATGTCTCAACAAGAGCACGTCCAATCTATTGAATTTAAAGTCTAATCAACGTTTTGACTTTACTGATTTCCACATTACGGCTATGGGTTGATAGAGGAAAGAGTTAGTTTTCAGTTGCCAAAGTCACTCATGATATTATCGCCGTCTGGGGTAGAAATAGCAAGGAATGATCCTAAAAGAGAGTTTCAGAGATGCTGTAACATGTGAAATCGTCTGTACGATCATATGCACACCCGTCACAATATAGCAACATCTCAGACGAGAGATCGTGTGTAACGGTGAGGGACAGCATGGAATTACTTTAGCGCATGCAAATGATCAGAGAAAAAATTTAACGATCCCAGTCAACAAGCTAACTAGCTCAAGTTGGTTACATGAAAAGTTAGTGAAGAAACACTGACTACTTTGGAGGAAAAAGCAAAAAAGAAATGAGCATCTGTGGGAGCAGCAAGTCAACCAAAAGACGACCCTACATTTCAGAAAGATGTGAGCATGACGCTGAGGGGGTTAACCCCAGTAGCAACCACAGACGAGGTTCGCACTATGCAAAATTCATGTGGATTTCAATCAGCAGGAAATTCATTAATGAAACGGAAAAAAATCAAGTTTAAAGTTCCAGAGCCAGCAGATTATAGTAGGAGTTTCAAGAACGAGAGTAAAGGATTGAGATAGAACCAAAACCAATGCCTTTTAGATGATTGAAGAATGGATCCATGCGGCCAAGGGGCGGCAGACTGGAAAACGAACTAACGTACTTTTGTCATACCTTTTTTTACAAAAATAAGGTCCTATCAGCCTTGGAATTAACACACACTTCAATGATCTTATTCTTTAAAAATGTAGCGTCATTTAAGACTTTATGAACTCAATATCCTTTTCAATTCATTGAAAAAAAATGGAAAAACGTTAAAGAATTTTATGAAAACGAAGGTCTCCAGGCAGCCAGTTGTCATTTCGGTCACAAACCGGATAAAAAAAGGCACTCAAGCTTGTTCGGCTAGATACGGCAGAGGGTTCACAGCTGCATCAATACAATTGACACAGACTAACTGGGTCGGTTGGAAACTGCGCACTAAACTCACCTCACATTCACGCTGCTGATCGCATTCAACACCAAACGCTAGAAGAACGGATTCAAAGGCTCCGACTGGGAAAAGATGTAATACAAAAAATATTTTCCTCAAAGAAATGTATCTAAACAAAATCACAACAAAAGCCCATAAGCAGATAGGGTAACTTTGGCTTCACAAGAGCAATGAAAATATTGAAAATTTTACACCAACAGTTCTGAAACAATATGAAGAGCCCGATGGGTTTCAAAAGCAGGAAAAATTACACTAGCTGTGTGCAAACATAATTCGAGATATAAGCTCGAAACAATGGGGAAGGAATTACCATGCCGAATAACGAAAGCACATACTCCGTCATTAAAAAATAGGCGCATTCACAAACCCGTTATCCCATAAGTCTGAGTTCTCAAAATACTGATTCAATGATCCAAAATTTTCTAGAACCTGTAATTGCGAACACAGCATAAAAATTTAAAAAATCACAAACACACCTCTTTATAAGTCAAAAAATATGCTTTTTGAAGATAGCGAAATTTCCGAAGAGCATTCGGCACAATGGCAGTGACTTTACGCTCCACAAGAGCAAGAGTCAATTCTTACTACTGGGAAAAAAAGACCTGATTTTGGTGAAAATCCCTTAGAGGAACCACGAATAGCCAAAGGCATGTACCGTTTTCGGCGCGAGGATACAGATCTTCTGACTGAGACGGTGATGGGGTTTGCGTGTGCTTGGGTTGGCACCGATAGCTTCGATAAGGAGGAGGAGGCAGAGGAGGAATCAGGGGGTCTGAGGACGGGCATTTTTGTGGGCGTGAGGTTAAGATGCTGGATGGCCGCCGGGCCAGGGGACTGGAGGGCGTGGCCGGCGAGTTTGCACCAGCCGCAGGGAAAGAGGTCGCGCGAGTCGTACCGCGTCCAGTAGTCGAAGTTGCCTGACCAGCCGTCGAAGGAGATGAGCACGTGGAGACCAGATACCTCACCTATGGTGGCTGGACAGATGAGCTGCGCATTATGACGATCAACCGCCTCCAACTTGTCACCCTTCTTAAAGAGGTTTCTCTCTGGATCTGGCGGAGGCTACAATAGAGGGTTGCGACGACTTTTGAAAGGGCTTTCAAGTCTTACCCTCCACGTTGAGCGGCTGATTGGTTTTACAAGCGCAAGGTTTCGCAATTCTGGTGTATGCTTACTTCAGTCGCTCAAGTAAGGAGAATGACATATGTGACAGCACATCAGAAAGATCAAAGAATGTAACAGAAGTTGCGAAACAATTACTTCTCAGTTAATTTCAGTAATAAAAGCATTTAGTTAAACAAACCGAACCACGGAAAAGATATACCAGCACTTTTTAAACAGTGTCAAAAATGCAAAACATGTGAGCATTTTAATAGACGTAAAATCCGCATTAGTTTAATTGTAAAAAAGAAAACTATATTTTCAGAATTAATAATAAGTTGTTTTGCCTGCTGCCATAACCTCAGATTGTGAGAGAAAGTGAGGGATTAAGAACGAAGGAACCACACTCACCAACGTTTAGCAAATTCAAAAGCGAAACAACCTACTACACCTTGATAGGAATGAAAACCCAGTTACTACTTACAGATATAACAGCAGCTGAAAAAAAATTGGACACAGACAACTTATTCATAGGGGTGATATGACTAGCTTTTCCTGATGGTGCAGGCAGTTATTGGAAAAAAATCGGGTAATGTAAAACAAAACACTTGAGGCCGCTGTCCACGGGTTACCTGTTCAAAAAGACCATCGAACACATCGCACGCCCGCATAATGCAACTCGGACAAGTGCGAAATGGAGCCAGCTACATCTATTGCGTGAATGCGTCCAAAAAATGAACCATTTAAGGTGCTCTTTGACTAACATTGCGTAAACACTATTTTTGGGACAGAAAATGTAGCACGCTCAACCCCATATGGTCGTTAATACACTTGCCAAATCAGTAAACAGACTTGGTTTTTTGGACTAATGGCTGGGAATACCACATTTGTGTGCGCATTGAATCGAAGAATAGTTGGATGAAAAGCAAGGCTATAGTAGACTGAGGTTAAGTTTACATTCCTTAATTCAATTCATGACCCCGAAGTGTGCGTAGTGAACTCGCCGAGATGGCTTGTAATTGGGAGCGTTGAGCAGGGCTAACCTTCCATGCTGAGGGTAATTAAGAATGCGAGTGTTACACGCTTGCACATAATTAATGCACCTGTGCTGCGATAATTAGGACGTGTGTGAATGCCATCAAGAGAGTACTGAAGGAATGCCAACCGAATGCCTTAAAAACCCTCTGCTATTCTCCCCCGACCAATCGGAAGTGCAGTAAAGCACCAGGAAAGCAATGATGAAACGTGATATTACAGGTGGAGGATTAAACAGAAATCAAGTATTTTTGCTGCAGCATCAAAAATTGGCGAGCACAAAGTGGGAAAAACATGCCACCTCATGCTAAAATCCAGTCGCATTACCGATTGATGTGAGCGTGATGAAAACATTTACAAGAAATTCGCACACGCACCCAAATATGATGATTCGACCAAAGCTAAAACCAAGATCCCTCGCAAGAATGCTAGAGAGCAATTGAACCTATTAAAATGAAGCTGGAAGCTGCGAGCAAAACAGGGTTTTCAAAGAGCCCGAACATATGGACAGCAATGCCATAGGAAAACAATTACTTGTCACACCAATTAAGGTGCTGCAAATCATACTTTCATCGAAAACAAAAGATCAAAATTGCTAAAAAGTATGAAATAATTCAACAAAATGGTTTACATGCAAATTATTAAGCGAAACCTTGTTATGCATGGATTTGAGTGTGATTAACTGATTATTATTTACAAATATTTTAACGAAGATACAAGCATAGCTACTAAAGAGGGCACAAGAGAAAGGTGACACGTAAACATAATTAATACATTTATAACTAATAAATGAAAGAAAACGGAATGATGAGAAAGTATTAAGCCTATGAGCAAAACAGAATCTAACCTTTTTGAAAAAAAAATTGAGACTTGAATGTGTTAAAAGTTAAGGCACTTAATCAACATGATTCTCTCAAAAACAATTTACAGAACCAAAATCACTACATAATAGGAGCCCTTAACCGACAGTACATTCTGACCGTGAGCTATAGATGAAGAATTAAACGTAGCCGACACCAAATTACTAACGCGCATTTACCACTTTACATCTTCGCAGAATAGACACTATTTTCAGCTGCAAACGAGCAGACACCTCACATTTATCCTTGATAGTAGGATTAAAATACGAACTATAGGAAGGGAAAAGCTCAAAAAAGTTGCCACTGATCACAAATGACCATCTAATGGGTGGAACATTGGACAGACCTTGGCGAAGCACTCAGCAGGAGCGGCTTTGCCCTCCTCCACGGTTCGGCGCAGAGTCTTGTTCCACACCAAATGGTTGTGAACATAGCCAAAAGGCGGTTGAAGAGTCTCATGGGAGGGGTAGGGTCGGATCTCATCGGAGTCAACCAGAAACCAGCAGTCGTTTCGGTCGTCAGTGCCGACGAGGCGGACACGCAACCGTGGACCTGCGGTTTCGATAACACGCGCCAGACTAAAAGGCGCTGAGCGGAAGCGCCGTAGCTGCTGTCCACCTCCCGTGACGGAAAAACGTCGCCGTCGAGGAGCCACAGAAGCGGAGGAGAGCGAAGGTGATGTGGAGGCGGGAGTACTGCTTGTCGCCTCCGACAAAGTGGAAGTGGAAGCTATGGAGGAGGGAGCTACGCCATTCAAAGCAGTAGACACGACGCCACCGCTGGCAGAGGAAGCGGAAGGTGGTTGAGGTGGTGGTGTCTCATTTAGAGCGATTCTCTGATCCACCGCCTCGAGAAGAGAGTCTACTTGAAAGAGGTTTTCCGGTGGCGTCCGATTCTGTAAAAGATTTCCAATGGGCCTATTCTGATTATGCCCATCCGGATATTATTTGGTGTTTTCAGAAATCAGCCTCCTTCCTCCGTTTTTAATTTCAGCTTTTAATAACCCGCTTTAATCTTCATAATAGGCGATTAAGGTATTTAAAGAAGCGTTGCTTAGGTCAAAAGCGAAAATCACGGACGCTATATAGTCACCCGGGTACTTCGAAAAACGAGTGATAAAATTAAGGTTCCAACCCCACTACACGAATGAGAAATTAATCGAAGGGAAAAGGATGTATCTTGGTTACTTGGTTTCGGTATTAATCACAACCACCTGTCATGAGGGTAAATCACTATTCAATGGCAAATTTTCAGATCCAGTAAGGAGTCCACATGGCGACGAAGTGAAGTGGAAGGACATTCTGGGGTTCTTATGCAGGGTGACGTTTAATTAGTCAATTGGAATATTCCTAAATAGCTGGCGATCTGTCCAGATTAAGATAATGGAGCTGAAAAAAAAACTGATCCGTGTTCAGGACGTCGCTTTGCATACTTGGGAAAAATAAAGGTATGAAGCTGAACGAACTAAGTGCGAGGAGGACAAGTTCCAGTTCATGTTTAAGGTCGTCACAATGGAGGAGCCAGAATAAATTTCCTCAACGAGTAATGACACAGAATTTAATAATGCAAAATCCTTACATCCAACTAATGGAAACAACATTTGAAAAAGGAAGCTATTTTAATTCTATTAAGCAGATTAATTTAAAGGATACCTAGCGTGCTAGACTGGAGGAAAATGACTTAGTTACATAGGCTACGTGGATATAAGGAAAAAGCTTCCGATGGACGCCATCAAACTTCCTAACTCTACTAAGACGAGTATGAAATTTACTACTGTCAAGTTGCGCATCAAGACCCCTCCGACTGGCAATTAAATGCACTGATGGTGATTGTTTGAGCGGCAGAACAATTTTTATAGAGGTATAAGAGTCACACACAGGGCGAATTGACGATTGCATCCAAGACACAACATGATTTCACAATTAACGCTTGTGCCAGACAACTGCACGATTCAACATGTACATGCTTGCAACACGGAGCACTTGTAAAGAGGGGTTACGACTGAAGCAGATGTTAGCAAGGCTTGCACACAACGCTGCTGAGTAATAAACACTAACCAATAGAGGTCGTGGTACACCGCAAGGAACAGACAACAGGAAATTCAACGTTCCTCTGCAGCACTAAAATCTGTGCAGGTGATCGCAGACAAAGACTTAAGCATGGGACACGAAAGATAATATTGATGCTCTGTAGAACAGAAGGGGCAAATACTCAGTTGAGAACTCGACAGAAAATAGTTTGCAAAAAAAGGAAGCAGAAGACATAGAGTAAATTGAAACTACCTAGTGTGGGTACCAAAAAGGGATTAATGGCAAAGGAATCTAGTATGGCCTCGTAGTTTTGAAGGCCTGAGGCAAAAAAATCACAACTTGTGCAAGTTAACATTAATACTTACGGAATATTTAAACTATTTTGGTGATCGTGAAACAAAATTTTCTGGATGATGAAAGAAGGTCTTAAGCTAAGTATGGATTTGTCGTGAAGTATTCCAATGCATTTGTCCTCTAGAGAAGACAAAAAATTATCAGAAATGAGAGCATGGGAAACTGCAAGCAGATATTTAACATACTAACACTAGGTTTTCCAACAATGGTATTACCGATTCATGAGAGTAAGTAGAATAATATCTATGTTCATTACTGTCGATATCTCATAAAATGGTACAACTGGAATAAGGAAGACGCAACAACTATAGTTTGCTGCCAATACTTTAATTTCTACAGCATCTATGAGAAAAATTCTCCGAAAAACAAGCGGACGCTAGCTGAAGTGACAGTGAAACAACCAATGCATGTATACTAATACATATAAAGTTAACTTTAGGTGTAATCATTTGGGAAAGATTAGCTATTTGGGATATAGGATTCAACGATTTGACCACAATGCATATTGCTGCAGTAGCATAACAAAGTTGGAGATCATAAGTTGTTCATCGCAATGTACCAGACTACACCCATAAAGAATGCGATATCGAGGTAAAAACCATATTAAGAGAATTGAGCATAATGACTTGAACTGAAAAGTTGATATAGGACTTTGTATGAGAGTTATATGAAAGTTGTGGATTGAGTGAGAAAATTTGGCATTAAAAAAGCTATAATTTCAGCACACATCCCACTGATTTAATTGTTAACATTTAGAATTCACGTAGGCATCTATCAAAACATCCGCTTACGTAGCACAATCATGGAGATTCATGTGCGAAAATGACGAGGAAATAACGTCGAGCAATCACCATCGCAGTAATAAAGGACAAAATGAGGCACCCAATCCCATTTATGTATTCTATTCAAATGACAACAAATCAGAAAAATTTACCTGCTTAAAACATTCCCAAGCAGCAGGAGTGCCTCCTGTCTTCTCCAAGTACTCATTCCATGCGAAACTGTCCGAAAGATCCATATCTAATCAAATCAAAGGAAACATTCGTACAGTGTTAATGAAGGGGGTGCAGAACACGAGGATTAAATCGAAATGTTAATGTGCCATGGATTAGAAAATAATCGACGTTGTTTTTTCCAAACGAATGTAATCATGCACACACAACACTGAAAAATGGGAGTGGAAGTGAGGGGTCATGCATTCTTACCTCCTCGAACCCGAACACTTCCGACATCATAAAGACCCATTGTAATCACAATTTCTAGGAATGGGCAGAGTAAAATTCATTTTATACAAGCACTGTTCGCACATGCTTTTCCCAGGGCCCAAACTGGGTAGGAACAGAGAAACTTAGTAAACGAGACAATTACTAGTGCAACGAAACAAATCAAGAGTTAGTGACCGGGAAAAAATAGACCTCAGCTACGCACTTCATTTAATCATGCGCATTTACCCAAAACAAATAGCTTTAAGCGATAGACTATCCCATAATAATTAAATGAGCTTGACAGAAGCAAATTACGATTAAAAGGCTGTCACAATAATTGATTGGATTAATTTCTTGAGCAAGTTGATTTGTGCAAATGGAACAATTAAGCAACTAGAAAGGAATAAATAGGAGTACAATGAACAAACTTCTACAACTCCAGGACGAATGAATAGACGAGGTGGATTGAAATATATACTATATAATAATTAATTTAACTACTTTGGAATCAAAACCTGAGAGAAAACACTAGTAAGCGAAAACAGAACTCCCCACGCATAGTGCGACAATTCACTATAAGTGAAATGGCAATAAATAAAACTGAGGAGAACTCATAGCCAAAACAAGTCGTCGACATAACGACAGATAAAGCCTGATGTGTACCCTAGAGAATATACTACTCCACATCATATAAGTAACATCATTTGAAGGTCAGTAAAGCAAAAAAGCTGTTAGTCCAAAACCTAACATACCCTCTAGCTCAAAACCTGAATACGAGGTAGTTATGCTGTTAGCATAGATTAGTTAATCCTAAGAAGTAGGCTAAACAGCATAAATTAATCAACCAATGAATGCAGAAGAATTGCGTTCAATAGTGTATCTTTGTTAATTTCGCGACTTCATTGCAAACGAATTCAAATCCAAAGTTCTGCAATATTTTCGAGACTTCCTGGAATGCGTTCCACAAATAATGGCGTACGAGCGTTCCTACATCTTTAATAGTAATGTAAATAAAATTTAAGTTTAAGTCTTGCCTAGCCCACATTTTCCCAAAACATCTCATAATTAAAGATACCAGGACTTGAAATGAGATACCTAAGTAACTGCTCTGTGATGCTGAACTAGTAAGTCATCTGAAGACCCTTTTCGCCTATTACTAATTCTCGAAAACTAACAGTGAATCGAGCTATAACGGGTTCAACTCCTTCCTATCGCTTCTTTCGTATACTTGGAAGGAAAAAAGTTTATGACAGATGAAATCTTCATTTCATAAGTGATTTGGGAGTTTGCATTTACTGAGGCTTGAAAAGGGTGGAGGTTCGTTTCCTCCTCCCAGGAAAAATGTGTGAGCTCCGCTACGTAGTTGACTAGAACTGACCGCTTCTTGCTCGAAATATGCATTCAAAATAAGCACGTATTGCACAAGTATCCTACAGTTCTCATAGAAGTGAATATTGACCGGTGTTACACATACCAGTCATCATTTTAAGACTTCAATAATTTAAGCGTCTATCTCAAAGTGCTCCCTTTTAACTCACTCGGACACAACGAATAAATTTGCGTCACTTTGACGACAATGGGCAGATATTTCGACCTTCAGGATCTGGTGTATCTGCCTGGGTCTTCGCTGAAGTCGTGCAAAGCCAAATTTGTTTGCAGGAACATATATTGCTAATAGACAGAGGTGATGGTAGTTTACTGTTGCGTCCCGGGACTTCGCTGAAGACGAAAGAAGACACAATGCTTGAGCAGAATGCATATATTCAGCACAGAGAGGGTGTTTAGGCTACTGACATGGCTCGAAGGCCAATCCACCCAGCATGATACAAGAAGGCAAACGCAAAAGTCCAAAAGTGGCGCCTCACCAATACCGAAGAATAAACCACCATCGTATTACATTACTTGTCTGGTCCAAAGTCCCTGTCTTAATAGGTCTTCCATTTGGTGCTAGATTGGAGTAAGTTTTCACGTGAGAGGTGTAAAGCTTATCTCTCCTTTCGGTCACAGTACACGCTGGGGAGTCTTGCGAGTCGCTACTTCCGTATTTACTAAGATAACATCGAGTGGTGCTCTCATTCTGCGGCCCCTAAGACATTTTTTTATCGTAATACTCCGGTGAACGTGTGGACTGTAACCTCATGCGTAAGGAGTCACCATCCTACGCATAGATCCCAATTTAGTCGAGAGTTCATAAAACCATACCGAGTTCCAAAATACCGATGATATGTTTTGACAAAAGGATGCCTGCACAGTTTTGCCTTATTCTAATTAAATTTGTTAAAAAAATTTTAAATACCTTATTGATATCATGGACAACTTTGAAACGTACTTTCATAGGACTCCTACAAAATTTGAATTTACCAAGAGGCTCAATCAAGACAGAATGCCGTGCCATCAAAGTGGTATTCTAAAGCCCATGAAGGATAAAAAACCCACATAGCTGAATGTACAATTAAAGCAGCATTGTTCTCATACATAACCAACCTCTTTTTAGCCTCATCACCTAAGCTGCCTGCATTCATTCTACTTCGGCATGTTACAACCTAGTCAGTGCTTCAAAATCCATCCACGAGCTGGCGGTGAAAGTTGTTAGCCAGTTTTCCAAGAAGGTGAGAAGTCATCTAATCCCAACGTTATGGACACACTTCGTCAATTTTACTGGACTCAGACCCACCCTCTTGAGAGACGGATATCATAGACTTGTTGACTGCCTGCAGCAAGCACAGCCCTTATTCACATCTCCACTTTGTAGAAGCAGTTACTTGGAGGCAGAACTGATTAATAAAATCCAATTTAAGATTAGTTGAAATCAGATATTCCTGTTTTGCGCAGGTAGGATCCTCCTTTAGTTATTTATAGGCTTTTTTGGTGTGCATGATTTGAGTGATTGGTGGGATTGGACGTGACTTTAATACCCCTTCCGTTTCGAGTTCCTGAGACGCGTAGGCTTGGGCTTCAACTCAGAAAAGCAGCTTTACCAAATCAGACCTTTTTTCTCTAAACTTGCATCGCTTTTCGCAGCCAAATGTACTGCGTAAGAATTCGTCCTGAAAAACGACCTCCAATCACATATATAATTTAACCAACCAAATGCCCTCTTTTATTTCATCCTGAGAAGCGCATCTTATAACGAACGTTGGGTTTTAAAGTAATATTTCCCTGTCATTTGCAATTCATAGACACCAAATAAAGCACGTCACCCAAAAGAAAGCCAAAGAATCGAAAAAGCAAAGTCTTCTGTAGGATTCAACACAGATTAAAAGTTCACGTTTTGCATTTGGAAGTTTTTAATACTTAAATGAAACTTGCCTTTAGGGTAATGCTGGCACCAAACCCGTGACATCAGACCTCTAACTGCTATTTCCTATTACGTACGTGATAGTAACCATGCAGTCAATGTTTACGACATGCCTGAGGGATTATTTTAAGCACAACAAGTAGTTATTTACAATAAGGAAATACGTGGGTAGGTACGGCCTGAATACGTAATCTTATGCCTTGGAGTTCGTGTTTGTCACTCTGGCATGGCAAATGATGTAGCACTTGTTCGCACTCTGAACGTGCGTATTGTGCGTTTTGCATATTCAACTAAACATGGTCAAATATACTTTTCTGAAAAATTTGGAACTCCATGAGTAAACAAAGTTTGATTGAAGCGGAAACCGTCTACGTGTCTACGACGTGTTTGCTAAATTCGGGGGGCGTGATGCGCCGTTGTGAATTACACAATCAGCCTTCCACAGTCAAGTGTATCTATTTACTCAGTACAGCACATAGGAAATACGTGGAAATGCATTAAATGGGGTATTTTTTATGTTTTATATAAGGTCAAAATCAAATCTTCTTATTAAATGCCGAATTTTCGCAAGGCTGAACATGCTAATCACATCACCTAGTATCAAGAAAATGAGCACAAACGTAGTTGTAAAATTCTTCTTCCTCCTCCTCTGAATGAACAGTCACCTCGCTCACCAGACACATTCACCGAGGTTGCTATATCTAATGAAATCACCACTATTACGAGATGATCGTAATTGTGGCAGTCTGGATAAAGTGCTCATGGATTCCAAAGTCTTACAAAATTCTAAATACACAACATGTGCTTTGTAAAGTTGGAGGTGAGCCTATTGAGCGAAAGTAGTTTAGAACTATTTAACCGGAGGTGACCATAGGCCCTATGGACCAGTCTGGGAGATCCTCAGACGAATCGAGAATCCAAAAGTAAATTTCGACTTCACTGTTGCTGTATTTAAATAATGATCAGCACTGAGTTGAGAGGGGTGTCAAATATTCAAACATTTCAAAGTGATCACCAGGTCTTAATATAATCATAAAACCTAGAATTTGTTCAGTGTGAGCGATCAGATTTATTCGCAAATGCATTATACCAACATATAGCCCTGCAAAGTGCCTCAAAATCCTCTCCACTGGGGCTGAATGAGTCTTAAATGTGCCTCCAACCGCAGATTAATCTGGGCAGCTGATCTATAAAAACTTAAAGCTGCCAGCACTCACCGACCTTGACAAAAAGGCATTGTGATTATATAGAAAGTTAGTAGCACTGTTAGAATACCGGAAACAGAAGGCATTGCGGTCCGAACAAGGTGAACATCCACTTGAGTGACCGGATCTGGTGAAAGGCACGCACACTGCAATAGTTGATAGGCCACTCTGATTGGCTGGTGTGCGTGTGGGGGCGTGGTCCGCGTACTTAAGGGCGACCCAGTCATCGAGATGCATTCTCACACACGCTTCATTCCAATAGTCGCCTCCCCAGCATGCCAGTGACAACTCAACCGGGTGACTTTATTCCCACTGAGCTCCAGAAAATCATGTGCTGCTACAGCTGGATATTTTGTTGCCGAAAACCCCCACCAAAGGAAGATTCACCACCCATTCATAAAGTCGACGAAACGGTAATTGTACGCAGACATGTGCAAGCATTTCAATCCGCCGTCCCCGCAATGCTCTCACGCGACCTGGATGCTGATTTCGACGATGGGAACAGCGATGTTTCAGAAGACACTGAGATTTCAGATTTCATCCGAGGCTATTCATTGAAGGAGGAGGAGAAGTCATGAGGAAAGATGGATATCTCCAGCATTTTTTTCATGTAAACTTTTTTATTCTTGATTCGCATGCATTAACAATTATTTTTTGCAAATGAAATGTTTAGTAATTACTCTTGTGCTTTCTAGTGAATTTGAAGCAACAAAGGCGCATACATTGCATACGTAAGACAGTGTTGTGTATGCCAAATTGCGCCACATTGATATATGTCCTGTGATTATGCAGAACTCTTTAATATATTAACAACCAGCGGGTAGTGTTTACCAGCTTTGTGGACTTTGAATGAGGCTTCGATTCTTCCATCATTCGGAAAATAGGAGGGTGCTTCATAAAGAGGATGAGGACATAAGAGGCGGCGAAGACTGCCAACGCATTACACCACCATGCAGGCCTTTTCGGTCAACGTACTTTATGAATATCATGTGACGTTCTATTTCAACGCCAGAATTTATGAACACTTTTGGAAACCAACTGCTTGTGGTGAAAGCTTACAAGGAACCTGAGGGCTGACTGTGCCTGACTAAAAACCACGCTTCCCATGTGACTCGGGGCTTTTCTTCGGTGAGTGTGAGGATGTGTGCATGCAAAACGGCCTGCACCAGTGATTGCAATAAAGGCTTTCCTTCGCATTCCTTAGCCTCTCCAGCTCTCCGTTTAACCCAAATAATAGAGGCACTATTTACTAATTCTCATCGAACACGATGATCCTACGTTTTTGAGCCACTTTTCCTGCTTTTCGCAATCCAAATTAATGACTTATTTGGTAGGCAAATCTATCCCACTGTAAGTGATGTAAGCTACTGTTTTACATAGCACTGTAACTATCTATTCATTTTTAACATAATCGGGAAACTGACGGCTCAGTTCACGTAATTTTTTTGGGATATTGTTCTAAACGTGTTTTACTAATATCAGGAGCAGCTAACGACGAAGGTTCAATTTGAGTAACTCTAAAAATTTCCTCATCACAGGACGTAGTTTACTTATCCCTAAGTCATGTGCAATATGGAAAGTCCGGAAACCGCTACTACTTGGTGTCGTTTGCCGTCATGTTGAGTCACGCATGCTAGGAGGAAATAACAACCACTGACTCTTGACATCTGACGTTAGTTGGCAATCACCGCGTCCAAGATGTACTATAACGTCTAAGTCAAGCCCTGTGGCCACTAAATGCCATTGTACGACATTGGCTAGCACTTGGTGTTCCATCTCACCGAGGCACTAACTGTGTCCCATAGGCCTGCAAGGAACCTCGTTGTGAGTCGACTGATAAGCTCTGTACCGGGATTTTATTTTAATCAACCAAGCAGAGTACTCAAACAAATGCAGATTGAAATAGGTAGTTACTCATGCTAAATAGTCTGCTCCCTTGACACCTTTTAATTTATTTGATCTTGTACCACTTTACTGTCATGATGTCTGATCAGGTTCCCATTCACTTCTGGGTTTGCATTAAATGGTGAGGAATACAATGATTGGTTAAAGAACATCCCACAATTAAGTACATGGATGCATTACAAGCAAAAGCATGTCTCTCTGGTGCCTAGACCTAGCATTTTTTTGCCAAAAATATTCACAAGCATGGCAACACTTTTCGTTAGTTGATTGCTATGGACTCCATAGATAGTAGTGGGAACCATCTGGAAAAGAGGCACGGCTCGGATTCTAAGTCATCACCACCGCATGTGGGCTAATTCGAGGTTTACAACCTAGACTCTTGATATGCTAGTCACGTAGATGTATGAAAGATTCGCAAGCACAAATGACGACTTGTTTAGAAAACCAATCACACAAAGCCGACTGAAACTGAATTAAAAGTCAGCCAAAAAATTGTTCCAAAGTCTACCGTGGTTTCTTCCACATACCTAGAACCACTTAAAGTGCACATTTGTGCGGGCGAACTTTCAGACATGGGAAATACTACACTAAGGATGGTTTGTTTAAATGGCAAACATGCAAGGTAGTCCCACACCCCACTTGCGTTGGTTAGTGCGATTAGCACGAACGCCGATTTCGTGCACAACTATTTGTCCGTTTATGGCTTCATAATTGGCCTTTGATGAGATCTTGTTTTCCATCAAAATCGACTTAACGAAACTTAGGAAGTAAGAAAAATAGAAATTTTAAGCAACGAACGATGTCACTTGCCTATGAGAGCATGCCGTGCCAAAGGTAGAAGGGGTCATTAGTATAAGCTAGCGGTATTGGAGTGATATAAATCAAGTTAAGATCTCAACGACACTGAGTTTATTCTGCCAAATCGACCGAAGATTTACGTAATGGAAAGACGGTGTAAATGTTTCTAGTACATAATAGTATTTCTTGCCATAATATTGTGAAAAAGACGTCAAAACATTGCGCCGGTGTCAATATCACATGGGCTACAGAAATAAGGACCTTGAAATTCAGCCGTCTCAAGGTGACTTTTCATGACTAAAAGACGTGGAAGACGAGATCGCCGATACCTAAGTTAATGGCAAAACGGTCTTGCACTGCAGGCCACCCACGCAAACCTCGTTCAATTTATACATTTGGAAAATGTCAGATGAGACAAATAGCTCTAAGGAAGGTAAAGGATAGTATGCGAGGAATGTGCAAACCATACCGAAACTTTTGGCTCTACAAGTATGAGTGGTAAGTGTCGAGTCATGCGTGGGCTAGTGCAGCTCCCGTTAATCAAGATTCCAGACAGCAGTGGTAGCGCATGTGTGGAACAACATGGTATTGAGGTTTCTTGTGATCAAAGACCTAAAAGCTCTGGATGGTTAAAAACAAATCAGCAATGGAATGCTAAGGGGCAGGGGTCGTACGTCTATTAGCGACTATCCCAGACGCCGCGGTTTCCGGGTCACAGTACAGCGGTTATGCAGCACGTGGGACGCCCATCTGGTTTTAGATGGTCGACGCACGAGTGACAAACGTTTTTAGGCGAGCGATGAATACAGACATGCAATTTTGGAAGTGTTGGGATGCACACGAACCAGGCGTGCGGATAGCTGCTGCACGGACCACGTGCGTGTTGGCTTTTCACGCTCACGACACCCAAATGGAATGATCGAGACTGGAGAACGCAATTATACGGCTGTGGGACCAGGAATGGTTGCCAAGCCAGAGTAGATAAGATTTGGTTGTTCCTGATCAATGGCTAATCATGTTTGGAAGCGCACGTAAAACTTGTCCATGACTGAAACATAGCTGGCCAAATTTGGCCATGTCCACCTCCTATTTAACAGTAGTGTATCAAGCTATTGGGGCCCTAGCAGAAGCGCATTATTTTTTCTATGCTAGGCTTCTCTCTCACAACAGAAAGGTTAATGCACGCTGGGCACAAGACAACTTTCCACTTTAACCATCATGAAGGTTTAAATGCTGCACTAAGTCGAGGAAAATTCTTACAAGGATTGTCGTGATTTACTAGGCCAAAAAATGGCGTGACAATGTTGAAGTGGAATCAAGGCAGCGGATAAATGCAGATTCACCATGGGTGAGTGGAAAGTGGCCAAAGCTTTCTAGGTAAAAGTTAAACGCTGGGAGAGGCGTGTGAATACAGCAGGGAACTACGTCAAAAATAATAAAAAATAATGAACGGAGCTATCAATACTTAAAATTAGGTCCTTTTCATGAAGGCAAAGTCTTGATTTGACTCCAATGCTCTTTTTTGTTTCAAATGGAGTATTCTCGTTTTAAGAAGAATAATCAGGATCTGAGATATGTTGCAGATGATTTGAAAACAATAACTTGGATTTACATTCGATTGGAAAGTGGATCAACAGAGCAGTTCCTCCTCAATTAAACGAGTATTTTTTGTCCAGTTTTATGTTCAAGGAAACACGTAAATTGTGTAATTGAAATTTTACAGGAAATTCAAATGAGTGAAATGGTGGAAATAGAAAAAGCGAAGCAAGCCTGAGAACCTGCATTGCTTTCTTGCTGCCTGATCGTGACTTTAATTGCAACGAAAACAAAACAGTGTAGTAAGCAAACCTTACCACATTAGGAATTCAGAGTGCTGGTGAGGTGCATGTATTCAGATGCAAGCACACAGGGGCCGTGGTAGCAACCGTTGGGGAGGAGGGCCTGGCGAAATGGGGAGTCACTGAGCAGAGTAAAAAAAGATCCGAACTTCTGATTCTTGCACTTATAAAGTTCTCTTATTTGGATAGTTACTTAGACAGAAAAGTGGTACATATTCAGGTCTGCACTACAACGAGATAAATTGGTGGATCATACCAAATCCGTCGCTACCATGGTAGAGGGGAGAGGTGACGCCATCTGTAACGGTTGGGTAAAATGTTATTTGAGGCAGTTTTGGGAAAATCAACAGTTTGAATACAAGTGAAGTACATTTGTGAATTCTCAAGGGTTAAAACTGTTAAACTACAGGCGAATTTTTTTCAATTTTTCCTTTGGTGGCGTACGGAAGAGTACTCCGACGATATCCATATCGATAGGCTATTTTCATTGCACAATTATAAGTTAACTTCGAAGAGAAAGGACAAATACACCATCACAGCATAAAGGAAAGCTCATAATTGCTTTAATGACCCGTTTTACGTTTGACTAAGATGCCTAAGTTCCCAGTGGTTAAGAAACTGCAGACAACTCACAGTTAGTGTACCATGCCTACCCAGATCTACAATCTAGGCCTCAAATTAGCATAACCAAGTCATGCAGGGGAGTCAAATTTATACGACTTTTAACCTTATTTTAAATGGCACAGAAGACTAACAATGCAACGGGCGTCTTATTTTGAGGTGTCGCCCATCTCTCCGTTCTCATGGATGCTCTGCTGGGCGTGGATGCATTTGGGAAGGTTGGGTTTATACCACCGCACAGTAGGGCATTAAATGAATATTCGGGGTCTTCAAAACTTTTAGCCAAGCATCCCACAATTTCGGTTTTTCAAGCATAGCTTATGGATTGTGCTCAATTATTGTTTCTATTTAATTTTAAGAAAAATGTTCTTTATCCATTATAGTGGAGTACTACAAGGAAATGAGCCCCTTAGGTT